CCTAACCCTAACCCTAACCCTAACCCTAACCCTAACCCTAACCCTAACCCTAACCCTAACCCTAACCCTAACCCTATTAGTACTAATTTTAATTATAATATATTATTAAGCTTTTTTAAAATATTAAAGCTTTTAAAGCTATTATTTTAATTAATTTTAATAAAAAATAAATAAAAGTGTTTTTTTTTAATTATAAAGTAATTATTATAAGTTATAGTTATTAATTTTAAATTAAATTAATAATTATAATTTTTAAACTTATTTTATTAGCTATACTAAAGTATTATATATTAATTAAATATATTACTTAATATAATATAATAATATACTTTTATTTTAAAATAAATAAAAGTATATTTTTATTTTTATATATTATTAAAACTTTAAATTAAAAAAGCTAAAAAATATATTTATATTAAAATAAAGTATAGCTTTTTAATTTATAATAATTAAAAATTTTAAAAAATTATAAAAATAAAATATTATATTTAAATTAATATAAATTTATTAAGTTTTAGTATATAATTATATATAAAAAAAATAAAGTAATATATATAATTTATTTTTTATTTAATTAATTATTTATTTAATTAAAATATTAATAAGCTTTAATTTATATAAAGTATATTTATAATTATTTAGAAATTTTATTATAATATATTAAATTATTTAACTTTATATTTTTTTTTATAAAATTAAAGTATTAATAATATTAATAATAGCTTAAAAAGTTATAACTTTTTTTTAAAGTTTTTTTATTTTAATATTTTATTAAATTTATTTATTAATTTATAAATATAAGTAATTAACTTTTTTAACTAACTTTTAAAGCTATTTAATTATAAATTTAAAGTAATTATTATTATAACTATAATTATTAGTATTATTTAATTTTTATAAAAAGTTATATTAAAAAAAGTTATATTTAAATTTAAATATATTAAAAGTAAAAGTAATATTTATATATAATATTGCTTAAAGTTTATATTTAAAAAGTATTTAAAATAATAATATTTTAAATAATATATAATAATAATTAATTAAAAGCTTTATAATTATTTAAAGTAAATATTTAAATTAATTATTAAAAAGCTATTTTAAATTAATATTATTTATTTAATAATAAATATATTTTATATAATTTATTTTTTTAATTTAAATTATTAGGCTTAAGTATAATTTTATTAATCTTTAATATTAGCTTAAGTAGCTTAAAAATAAGTGTTTTAATTTAAATATTAGCTTACTTAGCTTGATTTTAATCTAAGTAATCTATACTTTATATAAGCTAGTAGGTTATATAGCTTCGCGCATCCTTTCCTCTGCTGTCTAGCTGCATAACAGCCGGCCTGTGTCTGTCCTCAGAACCAACTGTTGGTCCTATTTCTGTCAGGGTTGTGACATCACGCTAGATGTCACACGTGGCATGCATCTGTGGACCAGGATACGTGGCTCGCTTGGCAAAATAAACAAAGAAAGCTAACCTGCAGCTGAAACATGCGCAATGGCATTATTATAAAATCGGGTCTTGCTAGGGGCCTTCGGTTAAATTAAATCTACTTTTGTATTATCTAATTTAGAGTTATAACAAGGAATCCGTAGCCGCTCTGGTACCAGACGGTGAATCTCATCTCATTATTCCTATCTCCTAATTCATTATGTTAACTAATGCGGCGCACTTAAACGTTGGTGATATCAGCCGTTGAAGGCGTGGTCTACAAAACGCGCGTAAGCAGCCACCAACCCTAACAAAAAAGCGGAGTGCAGAAAGACGACCAAGCCACAGGGTCCCCTGTCAGGGGGTTAAACAGCGGTACAAAATGCGCGTTGGCACAACGTTGGGACAGCACTGATAAATGCAGGACTCACGCCAACAAATGAAAAATTCTCGGTCAGGAGAGATCAAAATCCGCGAAATTGCTTACATACTTGGCAACTTCACAATATGGCGAATTCGGAAGACACACCGCGCTTGAAGATCTCGATGATCTCTAGCTCTGCGCCGATCCCAGCCAAGAGAAGTATCAACGGCTTGTCGCTAATGCTGAGCCAGCGACTCTCGTCCGGTCCTTCTATATTGCCAACTGTATCCGAGGATGCCGATGAAGTACCCTCCCCGCCGTCCTCAGCAGCTGCATCGGCAGCATTATTACAACCTGCGCCATTGTCCCGCGCCCCCACTGGCGAGGGCGGAGAGGTGTCAAAGGTTGGGGGCCACTTCGCCCAGTTCCGGTCGCAGAATTTCGAGCCCAATGATTCTGCCCCATTCAGCGACGAGTGGGAGCGGCTGACGGCCTCCCAGGGGTGGGTGCCGGGCTCTCAGGCGTACAATCGGGAACGGGCGCGGGCTCTGCGAAATGAGCTGCGCGCTTGCTACTTTCCTCCGTCGAGCATCAACATCAAGGAGGAGCAAAATGGGCAGCACGCAGAGCCAGCAATCAAGCGTGAAGAGGCGGATACAATTGCGGAGGAAGGCGGAGGCGGAGAGGACTGTGCCGGAGGGCCCCTTGCGCTCGAAATGGGGTTCGAGCATAGAGGCCCCCTGGCAGAACTCATGGGCTTCCAGGCGATGTGCAGAGATGTCGGACAGGATCCAGGGAATACTCTCAACGAGTGCAAGACAGCATTGCGGGCAACACTTGTCAACATTATCGATCTCATCGACTCGCACCGCACAGGGCAGCCGGTGCAGGTGTGGACCGACTTCGAAAGCTTCCGTGCGTATACCATGCGATCTGAGAAGACGATGCCTCTCGACGAGGCTAAGAAGGACGATCTGTTGATATGTTTCTTGAAGAAAATCAGGTCTGGTGGACGCCACTCGAGAGGTCGTGCTGGTCGTGGTGTGAGTAAGAGGGTGAAGACGAGGGCGCCTTCTCTGGGTTCACGCCTAGAGGGCAAGAGAGAGAGGAAAAGGCCCCGTCGATGAACTGTGAATTGAGTGCTCTGTCTCGGGTGGCTGTGGGATGTGGGAGTAAAGGGACTGGGAAATTAGTCCCAGCAATCCGGGTTTGGCAGACAACATATCCTTCTTGTGGTTTGATCCCAAATGTGACAAGCCCATGTGAGAGATCAGGCTGTATCATCAACCATATAAAACACCCCTATTGCTTTACTGCTAAACACTGCGAAGATATCTCAGATAGCTACTATAGTAGCAATAGCGACAACAGCTTCTGCTCTAGGCTTCCATAGAGGAAGGTTGATTTAGGTAGTCTTTTTACATATTTAGTAGGCGACCACGAGGAGAAAGTGAGAGAAAAATCTTAATGGAACTACTCATTCGGAATCCGCCTCCCCTGTCGCTGAAGAATGCTTTCCTTTTGCCAGCGCTGCTTGTTCTTCAGCACGTCAACAGTCTCCACAAAGCCGACGAGAATGATCATCTGTCCCTTTGTGATTCCGGCGCCGGCATCTAGTGAAGCGCGAGTTTCAGCATTCTTCAATGTCGATTGTAAGAATCTCGACTAGGAAACGTTTCCCAGTCCCGCGTTGGCTTTGAGAGAAATACTTACGCTCCAGTCCAGCGTCATGCATGAGCAGCCCGCCCTGCTTCACACGAAAGGTCTTACCACTCCCCTTAAAGAACGTGCCGCCACCCTTGAAGGCGTCGTGATGATTAAGTAGGAGTGAGAAACTCAATAGACACCCATCACTGTGGAGTGAGAGCGATGCCTGCTTCGAGGGAATAGGATATACTGACACATCTACCCGCTTCCTAGTAGCAGTCGCCTCCTCTGACCCGGCGTAGCAGACAACGAACAAATCCTGCAGGCCAAGATCCTGAGGTCTAAACCCAGCCGCGCTGGCCATTCGGGTTAAGATTCTTTCTGAAACCCATCCCTGGGTGACATCGCTGACAGTCTTCTTCACAATAACAGATGCGTCGCCGTCGCCAAAATGCTGCGTCAACTCTGACACAGGCACGTCCGTAGTCGCGAACCTCTCGTGCCGGTCGGTCTGCAGTCCACCCTGCCGCTGGACGTAGTCGGCAACCGAGTTGAGTACCAACTCGCAGTCCTGAACACTGAATATGTTTGCTAAAATGGTGGGTTGAAGACGCCGCACCGGTGTAAGGATGTAGGCTGCCCGGTTCTGAGCACATGTCCGTTCCGAGAAGGGGGGAAGCTCAGCAAGCTTTGCACGTCGGGCTTGGTCCGCGCGGTCCCGGAGCTGCTGTTTGCGATCGGTCGATGCAGAGTCTGCATCGTCGTTAAAGAGGTCGAACTCCCCCTCCGAATCCGAGTGGTCGGGTGAGGAGGGTGCGCCAGGTGCTGTTCCAGTGCCGATCATCTTCCTTCAGAAAGAAAAATATATTTATTCTAACCAGGAAGTGGGGAGTGTGGGGGCCGAAAGCTTGAAGAAACAATCGACGGATTTGGAACGGTGCCAGACGCCGCGCAGCAGGGCCGCGGCGCCCCGATAGCCGCTAAAGCCGGGGCCGTTCCCTGCTACCTTAGCACGGGTACAAGCTATATTAGAATGTTAATATCTATTAATAGTTATGTAGTAAATTATTTTTGAAGAATAAATAAAGATTAATTACTGCTTTAAGCATATTCGCTTGTTAAGTTTTAAGTAATAAACCTAATTATAGCAAGTTTATATAAGCTTTATAAGTAAGTTGCCTGCACCTGCTGCACTTAAATCAGTAGACCGCAACTATAATACTTTATTGCCGGCTATATACATAGGGTACAGCGATTGTTTTGTTCTAAAGATGCTTATCCGCCTTAAGAATTCCCTTGTACCGCTTATCCTGCAGAGGTCGCTCAGTGCTGGAGAGGAAAAGGGGCGTTTACATGCAACGAGTCCTCGTAAAGGTCACAGATGTTTGGAATGACTGCGTAACATCGGCTTGCTTGGGCCGGCCAATCCAAAATCCCAAGAGCTTAAAGGTCTCTGATAAGGTGCAGACTTTCTCCAAAGCCTTACAGAGTCACCTAATCATGCATTCCGTTATATCGTGTATTGAGACCGAACTTCTCTTTAACATAACAGCCGAAGCGGGTTCGTCCGGCCTAGTATAAGAAATAAATAAGATACCTCTAAGGTAGGTAAGAAGAGAGGGTTAATTATATAGAATTCGCTTTTGCCAAATCCTTTTTATGATTACGAACGGTATTTAGTCGGCAGCAACAGCACCTGGTTCTCTTAGTAAACAGTTTTATTAGCTAAGATCATATTGCTAGTTCAGATTAGTATACTCGTCCCACCATCCATCTAGAGCCTTATTGCTATAGAAATTCTCGAACATTAGCCGATTGAAATACTAAACAAGCGAGGTCAAGATCGCGGTGGTTTAAAACCCGACACCTAGAAACTCCACATTGAGATCAATGCAGGTCTGAACTATCCTGGCCCGCTGCGCACTCAAGGCGTCTTGGCAATTCTGATTGAACCCTCCCAGGAGGTGGACTTTATCCGCTGTTACATATTTCCGGGTATTTATCGCAGCCAGTCTACTTTTCTTTAATGACACAATCATGTTTCCTTCGGTTGATTCGTGTAAATTGTCGTAGATTAGGGAAAGAGGCGGCTAAATTAAGAAAGCACCCTGATGAGTTGTCGTTAACATGCCACTTCCGTCATAGTATACTATAGTAATGTTCCTCTCCTTTACCATGGCCTATATAACGAACATGAGCCCCCTAAAACCAAACAAAAGAATTCCTCTGGCCTAGCATTTCCATGCACGCTGCCGCTAACATGCAACTCTCACTACTGTTTTATACCAGCGTCTTAGCGCCTGCCATTGGCTTTGCGGCTCCAGTCGAACAGTATGAAGCCCTATCGAAGAGAGAGAACCTTTGCAACCTACCAGCGCCCCCTACTCTATGCACGCCGGACCCCTCCGTGACGGTGGAAGAGACTGCACAGAGAGCTTATGCTTTCTACCGCTCATTTGTTGTCGATGGAGATCCCAGGACCATGTTTTCTCTCATTGACTCAACCTACACGGTATGTTAGCTAATTTAACTCCAATACACGCGTGTCGTGACATAACACATAAAGAAAATGATTTGAATGATAATGTTAATAACCTTAAACGCATGTTAGCAACATCACCCAGGGTACGCGAGTGGTCCTGAAAACATATGGCCTCTTTTCTGTAGCGGGAACAAACTAGGCACCGAGGATTCCACCGCCTGGTGCTTTCTTGCAGCTACGAATATGTCATACGCGCGATACTCGACCACGGACAGATGGCGTTGGGTCGACGGGTGTGTCCATGAACACGTAAGTTCCTGGCAACATAGGGGGAGCGTGCAACGACTCTAATCTGCGAACTTTAGTGGGACCAGGGCGAGACGATTCCAAGTCAGGGATGCTATAAGTTGCCAACAGGTGCATAGAAAACCAAGATGGATCTCATTCAGTAGGTTGAGCAGCTGGGGGTCGAAGGGACTAAAATTCTACTGCCTTGATTGCACCATCCCGTTAAGACTTGCATCCCGGGAGCTTGACCCAGTTCATAGTTGGCCGTTTGTTTCAGCGGACCAGTCGTGTTTGCCTCCCCCATGCCTGGACCACATATTCGGCCTTTTTCAGAACCTCGCCTGGAAGTCAAAGAGAAACGGCCATGGTTCCGTGTCCTGTAGTGTAGTGCTACAATTAATTAGCATGAAAGTTGGTTGCCCTCTTGAAAAAGAATCCGTTGTACACGTCGTGCTTTGTTAACTGGTGAGGCACGCCTTCATCCCCCATCCGTCAGCTCCCTCTCTACACTTGCCACACAATGGTCAAGGGACCTGTGTAAAGCGCTCACCTCCGGCTGTAAATGGTCTCCATTGGAGAGCCCCTTTAAAGACAGCACAGCATACCGGTAGATCGGATACGTTGTCGAACTCGGGCATTTTATCCCTACATACACAGTCGATCTCCTCCCATATGCGCTGGGAATGGTCAGCGTCCTGCAAGCCTGAGGTGTACTGTTAATTTCAGCTATTCAGGCATTTAGCATTTTCTTCTAGGAGCGACACTGTATGCTGAGAAGGTGTTACTAAAGAAGTCTCACTAACTTTATACCGAGTTCGGAGTTCGGGGCGCAGTTATACGTTGTAGTCCACAAGCGAGGTATTGCACACATACGTCGTTACCAAAGCAGGCCGATTAGCCCCCTCCGCCGCTGATCCTCGTAAGTAGCGAACCCAGTGTACTTGGAAAAACCTGGCCCCTCTAACCGGGGCCGCAGGACAGGCATTAACCGCTCACTGTCGAGATGACACCTAGCAATTTTAGCACCCCTGAGCTCGCAGGTGAGTGAGGAGATGAATGGCCGCGGGGGCTGGTAACAGAACAGGGCCCACAGTACATAGCAGATTCAACTTAGCTTAAAGATAAATCGACTAGCTTATGATAATTAATACGTAAATCTTATCGCCTGGGCGGCCGCCGAGCGTAATGCAAAGTTGGTTAACACCCTCACTCCTGTGTAGATGTGCTGGACCTGGGCAGGATGGGTGGGATAGCCAGCACCCAGGCGGCACCCAGGCGGCACAAACAGGTAAAAGAGCGCTGCGCATCGCCCGGGCGATAGAAGGGCAGTAAGGAGGAGGCCACATAGCAGGCCCGGCGAGGTTACATTGACAGGCGTGGCTGCTTACCTAATTCTTTACTGGTTCCACTGCCACAGTCTGTCAGTTCTGAATGAGGCGAATAAGGTATTCAAATGTATAGATGATTCAATAGAAGACTTTTAACAGGCATTTTTATTATTAAGAACAGCTTGGAGATAGTCTACCTGGTGTTATATAAAGTGAAGTGGCAAGGTTTTAAGGCTTGCAAGAATTATAAATCAACGTCTCTACCTGAAATATAATTCTTGGTTGTTCCCTGCCATCTCTTAAACTCTTAACAACAACGGCCAGGCACCAGCCACACTCGGCACACCATCAGCATCGCTGCATTAATCAAGAGCAGCTAGAGAATAAAGCAGGCTCTTAAGCGTAGTTCCGACATCTAGAGTCTCCGTATCTAATGGTTATACTTCATGCGACAGATCGCACCCACCCGGAGTGGCGGGCAGCGCTCGCTCTCGAATTGAGCAACATCACGCGGCACCACGCTTGGGTCCCGGCTTATGTTCTCTTGAAAATGACTTCTCTGCATCTTCTTCACTTATAATACAATTAATACGCGCCGAAACTTTTCAAAGAGCTAAAGGGGTTGTGTCACTAAAGTCTTTAACACGCCCAAGAAGCAGCTCGAGGCTGCGATAACCACTTGCGGCAGAATAGCCCGGAAGCTCATGACCAGCCAGCTGCACCTCGTAAAACGTCACGCCCCGCTCGGAACCCCAAACCCCTAGACTCCCTGCCCCAGCCATCGCGCCCGTATTCTGCTCGGTGTGGTAGGGCACAAAGAGCGGCGCCGACGGCTTCCGCTGGAAGCCCTGGGACCCGTTCCATGTGATGTTCTGGAGCACCAGCAGCGTCCCATTCGTCGGCAATATGAAGTCGAGGGCCCCAGAACCGATAATAGTATTGTTGAGACCGTCAATCACCCGCGTAAGCGTGTCGTCAACGCCTGGTCCCGGTGACCGGTCGTCGCCGAGGAACCCACCGCTGAGCGAGCAGGCCCACCAGTATGCTGCGTTGGGAACGTTGAGGGCCGTCTTCACGTCCGCGCGGTTGAAGTAGGTCTCTGGAGCCGAAGGGGGGACGTAATCACCGCCGTTGATGACGCCGAGGGGCTGGTAAGGAAAGGGGCACATATCGGTGATATGGTAAACGTTGAAGCAAGGGTTGACTGCTAGGACAGCGTCGATGAAGTCGAAATAGACGCCGCAGTCTGACGGAACTGCGTCCCATGGTCTCGGCGGAGGCGGGAAGGCGAGGTGTTTGTTCAGATAGTCGGCGTAGCCGCACTGTTGTTTCTGGGAACGAAGGCTCGACATGAAGGTGTCATTGAGGCCCAGAACGTTGTTCCAATACTCAATGAAGTCCGGAAGGATTATTTCTTGCTGAAACTGAGCGTTTCCGATGAACGGGTCATTGATGGCAATTCCCTTAATATTAAAATACTCTGTATCGTTCTCATTGAGAAACCCGTCCGCAATGTAAGGAACATAAAATCCGGCGTATGATTCACCCGTCTGGTACGGTTAGACCCAGACAAGATGGATACTCGATGTAGGCGCCGATTCACTCACCAAGTAGATTTTTCGTTGATGAAGGTCGAAAGTGTCCATGAAATTCCTCCAGAATCCTTTAAACTCTCGCACGAGATCAATCTCGTTCAATATGTCCGGCTCACCGACTGAATAGCCGGTGTTACTAGGCTGATCGATCCAGACAAAGTTGGTAAGCTTGATCCAGGCGTAAGGATTCTTGATCGGCCCGAATGTTCCGGACTGCCAGAGGATAGGCCCGTTCTCCTGTAGTAGACCTAACATCGACGAGCAGCCTGGCCCTCCGGTGAACCAGACTGCGATCTCGTCGGTGGCGGCGGGGTTCTCGGATGGGAAGAACCAGAAGAACAGCTTGCGCGTCTCGGTGGCATTTTGCGAGATCGGCAAGAGCCCTGCGTAAGACTCGCCAATGTCCCAGTCGACCAGCGGCACGCCTGTGCCATTCACAGCGAATGGCATTGTCTTGTTTGTGAGGTAGGACGTTGGCCGCGGCGCATTCGAGGCGCGGTTGACAAACGCCGCCTGTTCTTGCCCAGCTGCTGCCCTTGCATTCTCAAAGTAGTGAACTCTATCTTGAAAAATTGAGGCATGAGGTGAAGGTTGGCTGGCTGCGGCAGTGAGAACTGCCCATATTGGTAGTAGCAGCGAAAATGTTTTGAGCATGGCAGCCAGAAATCTTGAGGAACTTAAAAGAGTCGTGGTGGAGGCGGAGAATGAGAGCCTTGCGAGCAGTGATTGTCTCAATCAACGAGGTTGTGAATTAGTTGGGCTTGTGAGAGTGGAATGAGCTGTTTATAGTTCTTAGAGACTGGTCTAGTTCCAATTTTGGAAGGTAGCAACAAGATTTCACGGGTTTAATGAATACGAGGTGAAAACCCAAGGAAACACTGATGGTTGTAGCTAGATAACATGCAGTGTAGAACACTGATTGGGGACCGCCAATAGAACCTTTTATGGTTCAATTCTTGACCCACTCTGCACGACGGCGAATTGCCGCTCTGCCGAACTGCAATCGCGTCAGGTTCGTAAAACCATCTTATATCTTGTATAGATTGCAATGCCTTAAAGGAGCTTAAATATACATATATATTATTAGAGAACTGCGAACTACACGACGTAGTCAACAGATGTACATAGAGAGTCTGTGGAGAAAAGTGGAAAACTTAGAAACGTTTTGTTAGCCAAACCCCACTATTCAGGCTCGATTATAGTTCTTAATAAAGGTGGTTAAAACCAAGTGAAGAAAGTTGATCAATTGGCATTGTACTACTATCCCTCCTGTCTAAATTTACCTGCTGTTAGACAGAAGTGACTGCTAGTGCTTAAAGTACTTTCTCATATGGCCCCGTAGTCGCGCAGCATCTGTACAACTTGTGAGTGACCTTCCCTTGTCGCTAATTTCAGAGCATTCGGGTTCTCAGCGTAATAATTATACCGGGCATTCACATCAGCCCCGTTATCAAGCAGCGTCTCTACAGTCTGTGTGTGACTCTTGTGAAGCCGCTAACAAAGCGTCGGCTGACGGCCCTCCGTATGCGTCTATATCAGCCTCAGACTCGAGAAGAATACCCACGACTTGTTTTCGACCCTGAATGAAGCTACACAGAGGTTTCCCGCTGGATCCACACTGGGTATCCATACTTGCACTATTTTGGAGCAGTAGACGTATGGCAGCTTCGTGCCCACTGCTAGCGGCCAACCACAGCGGTGTTCCTCCGCCGTCATCTGCATTGATTCCAATTCCAAGTAGTTGTCACGTCTACAGAATCTCATCTAATAGACCCGTCAATCCCCATCGTGACGCTAGATGCAACACGATGATACTGGCTTCCGGTGGATTGTAAGCATTCCACCATAATCGTACAATCGCTTCAGGTGGCCAGCCGAAATGGCGCAGTAGATCGGTTTGTGGGCCAGTCTTTTTACACTGGTGGACCAGTGCCATCCGATGAGATGTAGCATATCGCAATAGAGAAAAACAACTTTTAGCTCAGAACTAGAAAGCTTTAACTGTATGATCTCGATGAAAAGTAGCGTATGCAAGTCCTAGACAGCTGGGAATGTGCGGTGACTTCCAGATCTGCCTCACTGGTCTCAGTCCTGGTCGGATCCTGAGATCTTTGCAGAGTTGACAAACCCCCTTGGATGAAGAAATCCTTGACGGTGTGATGGATGACCTGTACAACACGGCACGGTACGGTCTCTGTGCGAGATCCAGGGAGCTGGAACTTGATATTGCGGGATGACTGTACGACCTCTGCGAGGCCGCAGCTGAGTGCCTTGAGCTTTTTCTCCATCATGTCGCAGTTGGTGGCGAAACTTTTCGTGGGTTCGTACAGCTGCAGTGAGGGAGATTTGTCCGAGTAGGTGGGGTCGAAGATCATGCCCCATCGCAATTCGTCGAATATCAAAGATTCCATGGCAAAGCAGGTCCATTGGATGAGTTTGAACGAGTTGAGTATGGACGAGCTTGGTTTGGCCGCCATTGTTTCCAAGATGTTTCTGTACAAATCCTCCGGCTTATCAAAAAGTTTTTAGATGTCCTTTCCGATTTTCACCTGATTATCTCCCTCACTCTAAAGTCTGACAATGCGCTCTACAATGAGACGTGCCCACATGAGAACGCCCGAAGCGCGATTCGTGACATCTATAATTATTACAGTCGAATGTTTAAATTTGGGCCATGTGGACAGTTGGGTCCTGACCCGTATCGATATGTCGTGCTCATTCTAATTTTCAAGACAGATTTCAAATCTGCCATCAGGCAAGGCCAGATAGTGGAATTAACGGCAAATCAAGCAAAGTTACAACTGTACCTGGGTTGGGCACTTTCGAATCCAGAAGTTGATGTTGCTAATAAGTTCATCTGCGTTCTTTTAACCATATTCGTCAAGAGCGTCAATGAATAACCAAACGGGCGACTCTCGAGGACCTTCCCAAGCGATCGTCGAAAGAATTCGCGTAAAGCAAGCCAAGATCAGTCCCACTTCTTGCCTGGCTGACGTCTCTCGTCTTTCCGATCTTGGAAACTAGCAAATAGGTTGTTTGGAATGGCATCTGGGATATGACTGAGGACTTGATGAAGAAGGGATCGGAAAAGGCCGAGAGGTATCTTCTAAAGGTCTTCTATACGATGAGGTAAGACAGAAGAGGATGTTAGAACATTCGATTCGGACTGTATTCCAATTATCTCGCTAAGAAATAAAAGCTCTGGCGGTCGCAACCAATGACACCTCACAGGTACCCTGCAACGCGTGCCATACTGCTGTAGCTGCAAATCCTAAATCCAAAAAATTGATTCATTCAATGATATAATGTATGTTTGATTGTCTATCTACTATTGATGAGTATCCAGACTCTTCTAAGCTTGGATTTGTTCTCCACATTCACGTTCAAAATACCCTGTGCTGTGCTATCCTCCACGGGGTGAGAGCCCATGCCGTATAAAGTTTTTAAGTAAGTACCGCAAAGACCCGACACACTAGTCCGTCATTAATCCATACTTACCTTCACGCTACAAGATGTCACAGATACCTTAGTGTAATTATAGTCTTACTGTACGTACTCCTCGGAGGATGCCGAGTAGTAAGGCAGATCAATCCTAGCTTGTCAACACTCAGGTACCGGTCCAGGAGCTTGTATCGAGGAGAGCGTTTGTGTGGGTTTGCTACCATCATTCTCAGTCTTAATTTTCTTATCGTGCCTGAGAGGATTGCAATGGCGATGCGTACCCTTGCAGTAGGGAAGTGGCTTCGCTGACTCAGGGTCGCATTGCTCGGTCCGCCTCGGCCCAGTCTCACTAGGTCTGCCTGGGAAGATTCTCCGCCCCATGATGTCTTCTGCTTGGGGTCTGGACTACGAGCCTGCTGGCGTCCAATCATGAGCTTGCAGAATAGCGAGTTCGTTGACCCCAAATGCTGCCCATAACTGGATTCAGGCAAAAGTTGGGGTAGAGGGACATTGACAAGAGTCACGGCACCACACCCGTCCACACGCCATCTTCCGCAGCTTGCTGGCACCGGAGGATGAACGACGCCGGAAAAATCCAAGCTTGAATTAAGGGCCCGTCTTGGGTCGCATCGGTCGTCAAAACGCCGAGGCGACACCTCGCAATGGTTCGTGATGGCACCTTAGTGTCTTAACATCCCATGGGATATATTAGATGAGGATGACAGGATGACAGATCTGAACAGAAGCTGTTGTCACGACCTTGAAGTTCGCGTTTTAAGTCACGGCAATCTATCCCGACGATGGCGAGACTCGCAAGCTTCCTCACATGCCTGTTCCTTACGGCGCAACATGTGGCAGCCGTGACTTTTGCCGTCCCTACCAAGGTTGGCACAGCAGGTTATGCATACGCGCCGTTGGATCCAGCTCCTGTGGGCATCTCGTGAGTCTTAACGTGCCTTTTGCATATGCGCCTGTATTTGGCTAATACCTCAACTAACTCAGATTCGAGTTCTTTGCGTTCCCTTCGTACTTCACCAACGTGACGGCCACAAATCAGTGCCTCTCGAACTGGAAGACCTTGACGGGTGTCTGGCCGCCAATTCGCATCGGAGGGACCACTCAAGATCGAGCCCAGTATGACCCCGCGACGTCCGCATACGTGGTGTACACAGTCGCCAGTCCAGCGGACGCGCCCGCTAGCCTGACCTTCGGTTCGAGCTTTATGACCTTGGCAAATACCTACGGCGGGTCGGTAGTTGTCGGTCTGAATCGTGGGAAAGACAACATCTCAAACACTATTGCCGCGGCAAAGGTGGCCGTGTCGGGGATGAGCAATTTGCTTGCCATTGAGCTGGGCAATGAGCCAGAGTGTCAGTTGGGAATCGCTTTGATTGTTATAGTCTGAAGAGCCGGTGACTGACTGATAAGAACTCGCCTAGACTACGCTGGTGCTGGCCAACCAATCGCAGCAGGAGGCTGGGATCCTGCCAGAGACGCCGCGTCTCAGAACAACTGGGACATCATGGTGGGAAGCGCGATTGGAAAGACTAACATCATCCAGGCAGGCAACTCCAACTCGCTACCGCCAACCTGGGGCGCTGCAGAGCTCATCGCAACCGAGAATGCGACGGTCAAGCAGTACGTGAAGACCTATGCTCACCACAACTATCCCGGAGGAACAGTGACCAGCCTCATGAGCCACAGCAATATCGCGAGCAACCTTCACCAGTTTGACGCAGACATTGCTGCGGCTCTGGGCCAGGGCAAGCCCTACATATTCGGCGAGACAAACTCAGGTGAGCATTCACTCTACTCCGGTTGATGATCTGTCAAAGCTACATCACTGACTCTCCGATTAGTATCCGGTGGTGGAGCCGCCACCGTGTCGCCGACCTTTGGCGCAGCGCTCTGGACCATGGACTACGCCCTGCGAGCGACGTACAGCAACATGTCGCGCACCTACTTCCACCACGGCACCGTAGGCAACTGCCAGTACTGCTTCTGGGGCCGCTACTCCATGGGCGCGCCATACTACGGCGCGACAGCGGCTGTCGCGCTACTCGCTGGGGCGTCGCACCTGACGGCCCTCGACACAGGCTCGACCAACTACGCCGGCTACGCGACATTTGACTCCGCGGGGGCGCCCCTAAGGGTATTGTTGTACAACTCTGATTACTTCAATGGGACCGGCACGCGCTCTAGCCAGTCCTTCGTGCTGACGGGGCTCACCGCCACCACCTCGGTCAGGGCCAAGAGGCTGACGGCGGCGAGCGCTCTGTCCAGGCAGGATCAGGGAGGGAACCCAACGTTTGGGGGCCAGACGTATGCGAATGGGACCTGTGTCGTGGGCGGGGCGGAGGCGTATGAAACGGCTGTCGTGTCTGGGGGCCAGGCGACGTTCACTGTCAAGGCGAGTGAGGCGCTGGTGGTGTATCTTAAGTGAAAAGCAAAATCGCATTCAACTGCTTCCGGATTCGAAGCTATTTACTTACAGGTCCACAAGGGGAGAAGATATGAATTCATGGCTGGTACCCATAGATTGATGCACGGGACAGATGAGTCCCGAGCACTGGCCGGCGAGGGCCGCTATCTCGGAATTCTTTTTCCTTTCCTTCCTTATTTAGTCTTACTCGAGGGCGTAGTGATACAGAATACGATCTAACGGGTACCACCGAACGACCACTGAGGAGCCCAGGCAGCTGGTGATTGAGTCTTAATCTTGATCGGAAGTCAATAGCTCGTGCAACCCGATCTTTCTTCGCACAGAGACTGGCGATATGGAGCGACCACTTTCTGGAGTCAAAAGACGTGGCAGCTTGGCTCATGAACGACGGAGGTCTTTGTTGAATGGAACAGCCTGCAATGGGATACGCCAACTCAAGGATATCGGCATTATCCCTGGGTCAAGGTGAGGGCCTTGTCTCATGGCACTTCTTGCCGGCATAATAGTCTCAGCTTGGGCGCCGCGTCAGCTGGCTCGTCAGCTGCTAATCGGCCGCTACAACATGTCGGCCGAGTTCATGATCTCAGGTCACCAGCGTTTCGACGTCGCGAGCCTCCATTCGGTGGAATCTCACAGGTTGTTTCGACAAGCCGGGAGTAATAGCGTTCACCCAGGCTATTTTACCTTGTGCTGAAGTCTGTAGCGAGCTATGGGACCCTGTCTATACGACGACGAAAAATACCTTGGCAATCTACGTTAAATAGATTAAACATTTATAAGATAAACTTGAAATGCTGTACAAAAGATGAAATTGATTTATACTTCAAATAAAAGTAAAGTTGAACTTAAAGCGTTTAATTAGAGTGATGATTTAGGTGTTTAATAAAGCTTATTATCTTCTTACTTTTTTGCGGTAACTCAAATTCAGTTCTTTCAAATTCACCCGCTCCTGGTCTCTATTCTACAAATGCAAAACTAGCCTGCTTTCTCTTCGGCCTTGATTTTAGCTTGATACTCGGCCATGTTCTTCATGCCCTTGGGCATCCCATGCCAGTCGAGGCCCTGCTCGTCCATCAGAACTGCGCGTGTTTCCATGGCCTTGATCCACGACTCCCTGCCAGTCACACGTTCGTGCCACGCCTGCAGGTTTGGGAACCCCGTGAATTTGTCTGTCGCAGCACACTCCAGCAGCGCGTCGGTCCGGTCGTTCCATGGTGCGAAGGCCAAGTCTACGTACGTCATCTTGTCGCCGACCAGCCACGTCCGGCCTTGCAGCTGGCGGTCGAGGACACCCTGGATGCGGCGCACCTCCGCCTGGTAGCGCTCGATGGCCGAGGGAAGCTTCTCCGCGTGCAGAACGGTGAACCAGCCTGCCTGGCCAAAGTAGGGCCCCTGACCGCTCATTTGGAAATGCACTACGTCAAAGGGGTTTCTACAGTTAGCTGCAATACCCACTGATTACGACGAGTATGGATGGGAAAGAGATGAAAGACTGTGGGGAACCCGTGAAAATCTGTCTTACGCCACTGGTTGCATTGATGCTTCTCCTTCAGCGTGTCATAGCTTATGATATGGTCACTATCATACCGCTCTATCAGATATGTGATGATCGCACCGGACTCCCACAACGTGATGTCTGTGTTGGGGTCCTCAATGGCTTGAATCGATCAGAAATTTCTTTGTCCATTTTTGCTCGCTCTCGAGTGTTCAAACGTACCTGGAACACGACCGTTTGGATTGATGTCTATGAACGGCTTCTTCTTGATCTCCTCAAACTTAATTGATTTGATCTCGTAGGGTACCTTCAACTCTTCAAGTACGACGATGACCTAGCTCTCCAGTGTCAGTAGCTTGCGGAGCACGCAGCAATCAATGATTCGTTTACGATACCTTCCATGGGTTAGGCCCAGGGGCTTTATGTTTGTAAACGAGTCAACAGTAATGCTAATAGCAAGCTTGGGCAGTAGGTTGTCGATTTAACACTTACGTGCCATCCAAACACGAATTGGCTCTGTCATTTTTCTATCTCTCTTGCAGTCGTTTTCAGATGCCGAACGTGAAAGCCACGAAGGGAGGTCGCAGAGTTGAGATTGAGCTTTAGCAGAAAGGAGGAAAAATTACAAGGAAACGCTTTCGTCAAATACCCAACCGCGTCAGCGTTTGTGATATGTGAGGAATCGCGCATTCACTCTTGTTTGCAGGGGCAGGGGATGTGACGGCACTCGAGCAGCTTACGGCTGCCTGAACCAACAGACCGATAACTAATGCATGCCCCCTCCTCCCTCCCTTCCGTCCGGCCCGTTTACCCCGCCTGGCGAAGGTTTGCTTGAGATTTACAAAATTGATAATTACACCATTTATGCCCCCTCTATTCACAATCCCATCAAAGCTTAGATGCCCCTAGATGAACATGCTAAGTCCTGGTACCCGTCCTGTCTAAGTACTAAGGTACAAGCAGAGTACAGGACAGCGGATAACTCTATAGCTACTTAGGTACTTTACTGCTGATACTGCGGCTGTAGTTATTATATCTGCACTTCATCGATTACTAATGTTTCACACGCTCTATCGGATGGTTGGTAGCTTAAGTGGCTTGCTTAGCTTTCATTCGCTGTATCTCTGTTTTCTTTTCTTATCCATACACAGAAAAGACTTTGCGCAAGGCTCGCCACAATACTGCGAAATGTGCACTTCGAATGAGAATTCAAGAAATCCAGGGTATTTCCTCAAATTTCTGTTTTCAGGCGTTGTTCGAATAATGCTCGAGTTTTACATTACCTGACTGTTACTTTTCAAGCCATGTAATCATAATAAACATTCATGAAATTTGCAGAACAGCGTCTTTATACATTTTATAATAAAATAATTGTGTCTGACGAGAACTTACTGTTGGATTAATGAATTACAAGATGGTTTGATTCGAGATTTCCTTCTTTTCATCGATGTCGGCATTTGCTAACTTCTTTTATAGCAACCCACTGACAACTACAAACTAAAACAAAAGCGATCACTAGTGTTACAGTAGAAAGATCCTTCGTGGATGTTAGTATAAACGATTTTACGGGCAAATTCGCTATCCTGTTTCAGGTTTCCTATTTTATAGGGGCATTCTGACTTACAAATACTTGGGTGCAAGCTTTGCCGTATTCCTCGACTGCGGCAGTCAGATCCGAATCAGAAACTAAAGGTCTAAAATTTGTAGCGCCGACTGATTTGATCTTGTCTACAAGGTCCGATGCGACCATGGTGGCGAGGTTAGTCTTCCAACCTCTTCTGGAAGATGACATGGCCTAGTACCAGGAAACCCGAGCAGCTGGTAGAGACGAACATGAGCAGATTCGGCGGCCTGGTCGGAACGAAACAAGGTGGCAGGGAGACTTGCGTCCCAACTTGTACCCGAACGGTGTTTTGACATGAACGTCAGCTTTATTAGAAATAGGCCTGGACGGCAATTTCTTCACAAGGTTCGTTGCCAGTGAATAACCTGTTCACCCCAAAATCTGCTATCCAATTTAATGCCCGCTAGAGATACCTCGGTAGATGGTGATCAGAAGGTCGCAGCAGACGTACACCATCGCGTTGGGAAACAGGAGAAGACGGCTCCACCACCCAATTTTATCACAACACCGATGCCTAGCAAAGCCTTCTCAGCATCAGACATAACAGTTGGAAGTTAGTCCACCCCACTCTCTGTGGGGGTATCGCCCCGCACAGCTTTAAAACAGATGGGTAACGGTAGTTGATGACTTGGAAACCCACTTTGACAAAGAAAGAGTTGATACAAAGCAATTCCACGTTCTGGTGCGCCTTGGAAAGCCTTGCGGGGGGGGGGGGGCGCGGTCAGTGCGAGCTCAGATGTAATACGCGTCTAGCTACTTCGCGGACCCGTTGGATATGCGAAGTTAGAGACTTACGAAGCCGACGAGCAGGGTACAGACACAGAAAGACGTGTTGATCAAGACCAATCTGCCGCCGTGCAACTCCTAGATGGCGGAGGATGGCCGCAGTGCAATGTTAAGTCATGTGGGTAAATATTTTGTGGCTACAGTCGCGTTGGCGAGGGCTGCTGTGGTGAGTGCGGGAGGCATGTTGGCTATGTTGGCACTCGTAACTTTCCAAGTTACGAATGGAGCTGCCCAGTCATTTTGATGCGGCTCGGGTTCACACTGATGCGTCTCCTCCTTGGTGTGCTTTCTTCTACCGTCTGACTTGGCGCGCTAGTAATGCAAATGAGTCTTCGATTCTTGTTGCCGAACAAGACAATCAAAGGGCAACAACCTCAGTGATATGAGACAGTCTAACTTGCTATCTCGACGCTATGTCACTCCGCTTTCTCTCAAAGACCGTCAAATAAATTGAAATATTTTACATTCGACCGTGGCTTCAAATCCAACCCTGCTTATCTAACAACTTGCTACCCTACCCACATCTACGTTGTGCAACCAAAGGGTTTGAGCTGCGTAACCCTGGAATGTCCCGGTGGCTTTCGATAGTTGCTTTTATATACCCAATGACAGTCCTGAAATTCAGGGATCGTGAGGGGAAGTTGTTCATACCATCTTCTAGGCATTTTCAGTCCGGTGATGCATGCTACCCAAACTCAACAGTGGCGTAGGGGCAGATGAGAAAGACTTGCCTTTATTGGTTCTTTCGTGTGGGGAATAAGCAGCATATTACAATATGTTGCCTGTAGTAGTAAGAAGTAGCTGCTTCGGGCTGCGTTCAGGTTTATCAACCACCACTTTCCGTCTAGATTTTATTCGCCAGCTCGGATTACCTGTCTGACTGTCGGGTTCTAGGCTTAGACAGCAAAAAAGCGACATATAATATAACCAACAAAGTCCAGGCCTATCATATTCTATATAATTTAAATAAGTGTTCCCATGACATGTAGACGTTACTTTGCGAATATTATTCAAAGCTAACATTAAGAGGACATTGATATACTTGCGAAGAAAATTGCATTTCGAGTGTATGCATAGAGAGCTTGATTCTAACACAATGTTTCGATATTTACTTTCGCTTGTCGTACTTACTCTTTTCCCCCTCCTTCTTTGTATGTCGTCAGTATCTGCCTATCCTGGATATGAATGGGTTAAAAGGCAAAGTACCCAAGATAATGTCCAACGGGAATACGATTATATTGTAGTTGGAGGAGGCCAGTCAGGACTGGTGATCGCAAACAGACTATCTGAGGATCCAAGCTGTAAGTATTCTTCCACTGTTGATTTCTATACTGAAAAATAAAGAAATAAGAAAATCAAAAAGTTCAATCAACTAATTATAAAATCCGCAATAGCCACAGTTCTAGTGGTTGAATATGGTTACTTTGAAAATAATATTTCTCAAATCCAACCCCAAAGCGCCAAATCATATCAGCGGAAGCACTTATATAATGTCACATCGATCCCACAGCCAGGGCTTTATAACCGTACGTATACATCTTATGCTGCTGCTGTCGTGGGAGGCGGGTCAACGGTCAACGGTATGTTTTTGAATCGAGGGGCAGCAGATGACTATAACAATTGGGAGAAACTTGGAAACCCTGGGTGGAACTTTGAGGGCATTTTGCCGTACTTTATCAAGGTAAGCAGCCCCCGACTACGTCTAATTACTCCCGAGTAACTCTGTGGATAAACGAGTTAATAGAGCTCCTTGTTTTCGACACCATCGATAAGTTTGGCCGAAGAGTTCAATATGACGTGGGATCTGAGTGCGTACGGAAACGGCCCAATTCATCTCAGCTTTGCCAAATTTCAATGGCCCGGCATAAGTATGATTAGCTAAAACCGGTCCTGGCCCCCAATATTAATGTTCTCTAGAGCCTCAAATGAAGGGCTTAGAGGAAATGGGCGTGCAGGCGCAGATCGAGGGTGCTGGTGGTAAAGCACATGGTGTTATATGGATCCCGGTCAGCCCCCTTGGAAAAGTTGCTCCCAGTGAGAGTGAAAACTAATTCGCAAACGACAAGAATGCCATCGACAACGAAACTGTTACGCGATCTTACGCTCGGTCGGGGTATCTCGACCCTGTCGCAAATCGAAGTAACCTCCAAGTGGTGACAATGCACAGAGTTAATGAGGTGGTGTTTGATGATAAGAAGCATGCCACTGGAATTCGAGTTTGGCCGAGGAACACAAACAGTACAGAATCTGTGTTCACCGTCAATTCCAGAAAAGAAGTAATTATAACGGCCGGAACTCTACACAGTCCACAGATTCTTCAGAGGAGTGGTATTGGACCTGCAGAGATTCTCCAGAAAGCGGATGTCCCGATTGTGGTGGATTTGCCGGGCGTTGGCAGCAACCTTCAAGACCACCCTAGCAGTATAACATCCTTTAATTGTGAGTTTCACGAGCTTTGAGGCCTCTTCACATACTAAATAAGTCTTTTAAGACAGCCGAAACGTCGAACCAAATCCTATTACAGCGTTTGGCAACTCCAGTTTCGTGGACTGGGCTAACGAGGAGTGGGAGAAATACCGCCGTGGACCTTATTCACAGACTACGACAAACTTGGCTGGCTTAATCCCGCTGAAACAGCTTAGTCCTACCAAGTGGGATTCGATCGTGGAGGCTTACAAGTCACAACACGTGGAGTCGTACCTGCCCAATACATATACGACTGCATTGATTCACGGCTATAAAGCTCAGCGGGAGGTTCTTGCAGCCTCCATGTCAAGAGAAGATAACGCTGTTGTCGAATATCCTATCAACGCAGGAGGCACAACGTTCTTGGTGCTTACGAAACCAGCCAGCCGTGGGACTGTAACGCTTAATCAGACCAATATATACGCCGAGCCAATTCTTGATTACGGCACACACACCGACCCGGTTGACGTTCTGGTGGCGAACGAGGCGCTGAGGTTCTCGCGCCGTTTCCATCAAACACCAACCATGAACACCTCGTTTGGTCCAGTGGAGGTAGTTCCTGCACCAGAAATTACAACGGATGAGGAATTGGAGTACTACATCCGGACCACCGCAAGTTCTACTACAGGCCACCTCAGTGGAACCTGCTCCATGATGCCACAAGAGTTGGGGGGCGTTGTCAGCCCGGACCTTTTGGTCTATGGAGTTACGGGGCTCAGTGTGGCGGACTCTAGTATTATGCCGCTCATTCCTGGAGCACATACCTGTGCTTCGGTGTACGCTGTCGCTGAGAAGGTGAGAACAATATATTGCGTGCTTCGACAGACTAGCTAATTCTGGTTAATAGGCCGCTGATATCATCAAGGCCAGACATTAGTCAAGAAAGCAACAAAGTTACCAAGGCAAAGCCCGGAAATGGGATACGGACGTTAAGGTGTGAGATTCGAAATTGATTCCTTTGTTAGCCACGGCATAGTACTGCTGGAGTGGTAGAGCCTTGTATAAATCAGTGCCAAAGATATCAAACAACGTCTTTCCTCACTTCGTAACAATCACATCCGTGTTTGGATTTCGTAGATATGCTTGACGATATTGGTCATAAGCCTTTGGCCCTCAGTTGTATATTCGGAAGTAGTGTAAAACCGTGGCGATGTACCAGCTAGAATGACTGTTCAGGTTGACTTGAGTACCTATGCGAACGTCATGGATGGTATTGTAAGATCCCGGAACAGAGCCGTTCCCATCATTCGTCTTCTCAGGGTGAAATTTAGGCCATTTCGCCATCAGCACAAGCCCAGAAACCCGCATGTTCCCAATGCACTTCTTGGAGTCCGCGACAATGGTGGTGCTGTTCCTCGAGGTGGTGCTGTTCCTCGAGGTGGCCTGCTGCGCCACCAACGTCTTTGTTCCGGTGTACTTCTTGCCTCTCTTTTTCCAGTTCGTCAAGGCGGACATGGCCATCTGGGCTGGCGTGCGTATGCTGCCCTACAATTCCATTCCTTGATCGGTATAATCTCTGGACTGGTCATGGGTAAGACGGGCTACTACGTGCCGTGGTACATTTTGACCGGTATTTCTTGCATCTCTGGCGCAGCTTGCTTGTATACAGTCAAAGAATCTACCGAGTTGGCCAACATCTACGGCCATAAGATCCTACCGGGCCTAGGCTCCGGCGCCGCCACACAAGTCACATTCGCCATCGCCTCAATGAAGGTACTTCCCGCCGACATTAGACGCAGCACCGGGTGGGAGGCATTCGTGCAGCTGGGAGGACCGACCATCAGCCTCAGTATCGCGCAGGCTATCTTCATTAACAAGGCTCAGTCCGCCGTTGGATCGCTGCTGCCGAGTCTCAACATCGAGGAGATTAGCACTATCATCTCGGACCCGGCAAGTGAGCTGTTGAGGAGCCTTTCGGACCAGATGCAATGTGAAGTCGAGAGAGATGTTGTCAATACGATGCACGATGCATAAATTGTCTGTGTGGTCGGTGCATGCTGGGTGTTGCTTCTCATTTTTCGGTTCAAGGTCAATATCAAGCTGTGGTAATTAAACCTTTCTCGGTGAACCATCCGACGCATGCTATGAGGCTCACCGAGAGTCTGCCTCAAGTTCTCGACTCGTGACACCGGAAGTTATTGATTTGTTCGCAATCATAACGGCACTGTGAAGCTCACTAAGACCGACTAATGAAGAAAAGGCTGTGACGGAAAAGGGGCATTGGGTATTGTGATGGGGATCAAACGATAGCCCTATTAGCATAGAAAGTTGTGAGCTTAGTAATAATTTTGCTCGTGTTTGTGTTGAGCTATAAATGGCAAAAGATCCTAATAACATTGGCACATAAGCAAGCATGGGCGTGGGTCATTGGGCCGCGGCGGTTCATGCATTGCAATCTTCACTCCATGGACTATATTACCAGTGGAACTATGTTCAGGTATGATTCGGAACTATGACCAAGCTGGCGCCATGAAACTCGTGACAAAGATCATGATGCCGTAGTTCGATCAGTAGGGGACTGCCTATTCGAAGTGCAATAGGACTACTGATGGCTGAATGAAGCAGTATAGTAAAGATGCTACGAACTTGAATTGTGCACAAACTTCTGTGATCGGACTAACCTTAAGATTACTGCAGCTTTGAGGCTTGCTAAGAAAAACACGTCGCTGGAAGACAAACTGCACTTTTTATCATTCATCTCGTAATCACCTTACGATTACCTGCTTTCTGAACATAAGAATAGCTAGTGATGTCCTCGTTTCGGTTTGCAATGAGATTACCGAGCATTAGATCTACCTGTTCTCCGATTCCGCGATACATTGTCGAGGTAAGACAAAATATGTAAAAATCCAATGCAACTTGATGTAATATATTACCATTACTGCAGTTTACCTTGAACAGAAAATATGAAAGTTTCAACGATGATCTCTACTGTTCAACCGAAGCATATAGCACGGCATGCAACAAAGCTGCTATCAATCTTTTTTGGACACAACGTAGAGAGGTTTCATTGAAGACCGGCAAGCGCTTCTTCAACCTGCCTCCAGACGGCTGGGTGGAATTTGCCTACGGCCCAGTATCCGCCCGCTGGGGTCCCCACAAGGTAGGCCAAGTTCCGAGAGAGCGGTTGATGGGTGCCTGGTGGCGCGAGCTCGTTGGCGTGGAGGTAGACTGGTTTTCCAACCCTCGATGGGCGGGCATGATAGCCGTTGACAAGAGCATTCTTGGTCCTTTTTTGACCGTGCTTGTCATTGAGGCCAGCGTCTTTGATTACAGCAGGGCTGAAGTCGACTTTTTCGAAGAAGTTTGCTTTGGTCCAGTTGGTCCCGTTGATAGCGAATTGGCTCGTGTCGCCAAAGAGGGGCGGTAAACCGTTATTCTGGTACGTTTGTCTCGCTAGGCGATATTGGGCGTGGATCTGGGTCTCGGTGCCCTGAGTAATTATAGCGTGGCGTATGGACTGGGCAACTCTAGCCATGCCGTGCTCCGCCAGTAGGTCCCGTGCTGGAACGGTTGTCAAAAGTGGGGGAGAGGCGTTCTGCACCCAGACTCCGACTTCCTTTTTTGCCGAAGGGAATATAGATGGTGCCCGGTCGCGGACATCGCAGGGGAAGCCGATCATGACCGAGCGTCGAGAGCCCTTTGGAAACGTCGCACGACCAGCCAAGCATATTATCCACGAAAAGACAACATCCGCTGTACTGACAAATGGTGACGCATGCGAGGCGATCGAGGGCTTTGCCTCCGGGAGTTCTGCCTTGATCGCCATCGTTGCCTTGGCCTTGAGCTTAGCTACTGCTTTTGGGGGTAGATAGATGCTGTGGCTTTCCATGTTGGGCCACAATAGAATGTCCAGGAAGTACCTGACAACCCAAATCAAGAACCAGACCCCAGCCAGCTGCTGGCCCTGCAAAATGTGTCTGTCACTGAAATTGGGGTTCTGGCCAGCAGTGGCGAGAATATCCTCATCGCCAGCCGAGAGGAAGGCAGGAACTTCGGATTCGCGACCCGCCATGACAAGGCTCCAGGCTTCACATATCGCGGATGCACTCATGATGTCACCGAGAACGTGCGGCCAGGTCACAGATACAAGAGTTGCATCTTTGAATGACACAATGTGGATGTTCATGTGGGGAATGTCTGACTTGAGATAGTCCTCCAAGCACAAGGGGCTCCGCGGACCAAGAGAAAGATCCAAGAAATCCAAGGGGCTGTGCTGAATTGACGGAGTTTCCGTTTCCTTGGGAAGACTGGATGCTAGTGGGTGCTCACTGATACTGATGTCGCTGTAGGAGACTCGAGTAAGCATTGACGCCGGTCTCTCAGAGGTGAACTTTTTCGGGACGTGGATCTCCAATTTGTTGTTTTTCTTCTTGTGCTGGTTAGCAATTGGCTCACATTAAACGACGAGTGGCCTTACGTTGAGCCTCATCCTGCCACCACACTTGCGCCACCCAGGCAAACAGCAGAGCCGCTCAAAGGCCCCGTGTACTACATTCGGGTCCAGTACATCGTCAAATCGCAATAACCAAGTTCCTTGTGAGTTGCGATAAACTTGTTGGTCATCGAAAAAATGCACAGGATAAACCTCGTCTGTAGAAACCTTGGGCATACAGGCGAGCGAATTGCCGCGAACAAACAGTCGGGTTATAAGAGGCATAGTGAGCATCAAACATACGGTACGTTGAAGGAGAAAGAGGATGGGTAGCGATAGAGTCGATTCGAGCAACCTTCTGTCTGGAAGCCAGATATATCTTGAGGGAAGTGGACAATATGTCAAACGTCTAATACTCTGGGTATGATGCGCGTCCGTGTTGAGTCAGTTAAGCTTTTTTCTCGCAGTGAGCGTGTACATCCCGGCCCTCGTTGCCCACAAGACATATATGATTCAAAGCTACCTCTTGAGCGTTCTCGGCCCTTTCCGATGGCGTGATGCCAAATTCTATGAAGTTCAATAGTGTTAATCTACTAGCTTGCGTGGGATTTGCATACCAGCGGGTGAATCAACCCAGCCTGGAATGGAGATCCAGGGGTGACGAATGACTATCAATGAAATACCACATGTTTCAGATCTCGAGCCCATATCTGTTTATAACGTAAGTATCAACGGACCAGGTCCCCACTTGTCTTGGACTTGCACCAGCGCCAATAGGGTATTTGAATTGCAGGACTTTGAATTTCATCTTGGTCGCCAATTCTTTCTGTCAAATCGAGATCGAAATTATCGCCAGCTTGCGTGTTACGTCCGACTCAATCCGGCCGAGATATTGCGCTGCCCCAAGATATAAATCCACCAACTTGAGATATACGCTGAATAGCCTCGTCTTTGCTCGTGATTCTTGAATGCTTCTCGATGACCGATGGAATCAACAGTGATCCGCGTCTCTTGCCAAGAAAAGTGGGCAATGTCTTCCATTTTGAGCACGATGAACCACTTCAGAGTTCCAAACTCCCGCGGGTCATGCAGTTATCTGAACTGAGGAATTTTTCCAAGTCGTGAAGCCAGTGCACGTCTGCACAGCAGGTAGAACCGGGGATTGTCAGGGAGATGAGCACAATCCGTCAGGGAAACATCCGTCAGGGGAAACCCTTGAGTTTCACAATTCTCATTGAGGCTTTCGAAAAGTCTAAGCATGTGATAAGAACCATCTGTAGCTCGCTCTGCTCGTCGAGCTATCCCAACAAACAGTCGACAGACAGTGGCTTGATGAATTTAAAATGAAAGATCCTTTAAAGCACAATCTTCTTGAAGAATTTTGGTCGCTCCTAATGAGATTGACGCTCGACTGTTAGCGACACTGCTTTGAAATCAGGGAGGTTGGCCTTCCATAATTTTTGACCTGATCCTTTTTGACACATATTTCAACGACTGCCATCGGCCATTTCTATCTTTTATCGCCACCAGCGACACATTCGCAAACTTGGGTGGATTCTCTCCATGGCCTTGAGCTCCCCTCGCCTGATTACACGCCACTCTTGGTGACTTCCCTATAGATCACGTTAGAATCACTTGCTACATCATGGCTGTCCCTGCTCCCATTGCTGTGGTCGGTATGAGCTGTCGCTTTCCAGGCGCTGGCAGTCCAGAAGAGCTCGAAGAACTCCTCTTGAACGGCGGGACTGGCTGGGGCCCAATACCATCGGACCGGTGGAATCGCGATGCATACTACAACACGCATCTCGGCGCCCCCGAATCACTTGTTGCTAAGAATGGATACTTCCTCCAAGATGACATCTCCAAGTTTGACGCACGCTTCTTTCAAGTGCCACCTAAGGAGGCGCACGCCATGGACCCTCAACAACGCATTCTGCTGCAGACTACGTACGAGGCCCTGGAAAATGCGGGAGTCCCTCTTGAGGATATCCGTGGAAGCAAGACCGCTGTATTTATCAGCTCCTTCGCCTACGACTACCAACGCATGGGATACAAAGACCTGGCCGAGGTCAGTGGATCGCACGTCGCTGGTACCGGAATGGCCATGCTCTCGAACAGGATCTCCTATGTGTTCGACTTGAGGGGCCCTTCATTGACGCTTGACACCGGCTGTGTAAGTTCGTCCCCCCTACAAAGCGCCTGTTTCTCTTGCCTCTTGGGGATTGGCGAGATGGGCTTGAGGCATCTCCAGTGGCTTCATTGGTCAGAATCAATAAGTCCATGCCCTTTTTAACAAAACTTTACATCATAAATGGTTCGCTAACCACATTCTTTCGTCTCGGCATCGTTTAGTCAGGAAGTCTCGTTTGCCTTCACCAAGCATGTCAGAGTTTGCGCCTTGGCGAGTCGAATATGGCCATCGTTGGTGGATCACAACTATTGATAGACCCTGCCCAATCTGTCAATATGAGTGTCATAGGGTGAGATTTGGACTCCCATCACCCATGCGCAGTCTTTATGCCCCGATGTGTGCCCATCCCCTTACCCCCACACCATATTGATCCAGCACCGTGAACCTCTTGCACCTTCTCATCCTTTTGATCTTCGGTCAATTTAAGAACGATGATCTTTCTCAATATCACGAAAGACTCCCATTCAGCCGCGCTGGTGCCTTGACTGACCATTTTCTATATTTCAGAATGGTCAACCCAGACGGACACTGTTATGCTTTCGACTCGCGCGGTAATGGTTATGCCCGGGGTGAGGGTGTTGCCACTGTCGTCCTCAAGCTTCTGGACAAAGCTCTTGAGGATGGCGATCCTGTCCATGGCGTCATTGTAGGCTCGGGTGTCAACCAAGATGGCCACACGGCAGGAAGTATCATGTCCCCAAGTGGTGAGGCTCAGAGAGTCCTCATGGAAGAGGTGTATGCAAGCGTAGGCTTGGATCCTGGCCAGACCCAGTATGTAGAAGCACATGGAACGGTAAGTAATACATGGAGAGATTTCTTTGAGTGCGCATCGACTTAGATGGCTAACACTAATTTCAAACATTTGAAGGGAACGAAAGTTGGTGACAAAGAAGAAGTCAGCTCAATCTACTCGGTTTTCTGCGAAGGTCGGAAACGAGCACGTAACCTCTATGTGGGCTCCGTGAAGTCCAATATCGGACACCTTGAGGCATCTGCTGGGATAGCAGGACTCATCAAGTCAATTCTTGTGCTCAAGACTGGTGTCATTCCACCACAATTGAATCTCATTGAGCCCAAGACGTCCTTGAAACTGGGAGAGAGAAACATCACGGTCAGTTGCCTCAACTACAAAATACTTACGTTGCCTACACGGCGGTATCATTTGGATGTCAATAGAAGCGACAATGGTGTAACAGGGGTTTTGGAATAAGGATACATACTGACGACGCGGCCCATACCAACAGATTCCTCTTGAACCTACGCCACTGTCCCCTGGACCTCAACGAGTGTCTCTCAACAGCTTTGGATACGGAGGAACAAATTGTCATATCATCATTGAGAGCTTAGACTCATATCAAGCTTCTGGCAGCATGCCTCTATCAGGACCGCTTAAGCTTGTCGAAAAGCAAGCACTCCGCGATGTTAACGGCAACATTTTGACAGTTAACACTAATGGTGTTGGCTCGAGTGAGGCGGCACTGGCAGACATTCAATTGTATCTCCTGAGTGCAAACTCAGAGAAAGCTCTGAAAGCATCAGCTCGTGATGTCCTGGCGTGGCTCTCGAGGCATAGTAGCACAAATGACGACCCTTGTCAACAAAAGGCCGTGCTGAATGATCTAGCGCACACTCTTGCTGCGCGACGGACACTTCTTCCCTGGCGGTCGAGTATAATAGCCTCCGATGTACGGCAGCTCAGCTCGATGCTTGAGTCTATCCGGCCCACTAAGGCCTCACATACGCCTCGCGTCGCCTTTATATTCACCGGCCAGGGTGCACAATGGGCGGGCATGGGCCGTGAGCTGATGTCTTTACAGCCGTTCAAAGATTCAATTCTCAAATCAGAGAGTGTTCTCGTCGGTTTGGGGGCATCCACAAGAGGCTGGTCTCTCCGAGAGCAGATTTTCTCCGACTTTCCATCCAGGCTAGGGGAGGCCGAGATAGCGCAACCTGCCACCACATGCCTACAGATCGCTCTCGTTGATCTGTTGAGCAGCTTGGGTGTCCATCCCATAGCCGTTGTAGGCCACAGCTCGGGTGAGATTGGCGCGGCATATGCAGCTGGTGCGCTAAGCCATAGCGCTGCAATCGAGTTGTAAGCGCACTATCCTTGATTCTACTTCGGACACAACCTATTTACCCATTCCGTCAACGACGTGCATAAACGTGGAAAGAATGTCCGACTGACAATATCCACTTGTGCATACAGGTCATACTACCGAGGACTCTGTTCCAGCCAAGGCAAGCAAGAGCACCAGGCGACGCCGGGGTCAATGCTGGCGGTCGGCCTAGGCAAAGCCGCCGTACAACCGTACATGGCCAATATAAAAACAGGTCGTCTCTCGGTAGCATGTGTCAACAGCCCGCAGAGCACAACTATCTCAGGTGATGAATGTGCCATCGACGAGCTTAAGTCCGTGTTAGATGTGGACTCCATATTCGCCCGCAAGTTGCGTGTGGATCAGGCGTACCACTCGCACCACATGCAGAAGATTGCCCCGGCATACCACTCTGCTTGTGAGCAGACGCACCACAACAGCACCCGCGACGATGTATCATTCTTTTCTACGGTCACGGGCACTAAGAAATGTGACGATTTTGGCGCATCGTACTGGATAGACAATCTAGTCTCTCCTGTGCAGTTCGTCAAGGGACTGCAACTTGTTCGTGATGAGCTCAAGCAAGGCAACACAGGTCGCAACGATGGCTACGTCTTGGTCGAGATCGGGCCCGCGGCCGCGCTTTCCGGGCCAACAAAGCAGACCCTTGCATCCTCGACTGACTTTAAGTACACCTATTTGTCCCCGCTTGCTCGCCAGACAGATGGGATGCAGTCAGCGCTCGGCTTTGTTGGCCGCCTAATCGAGCTGGGTGTTCCTCTCAACAGGAAAAAGCTTTCGTCTTTGCTTTGCAGCGATAGTTCCTACACCCCAAAGACTTTAACTAGTCTCAAGGCCTACCCGTTCGCCGATGACTCGAGTTCCTTCTGGCGAGAGTCCCGCTTCAGCGCGGCGCAGCGCTTCCGGCAGTTCCCCTGGAACGATCTTTGCGGACTGCTTGACCCAGCATGCAGTGTACAGGAGCCTCGCTGGCGCCATTTTCTCAACATGGACAGTCTTCCTTGGCTGAAAGACCATGTAATTGACGGTTCAACAATCTTTCCGGCCTCTGGATACATGGCTATGGTCGTTGAGGCGACCAAGCAGTTGATTCAGATGCGAAAGGGCAAAAGTTTCACTACAAATACTTCCGGAAGCATCAATCAATTTATGTTCAAAGATGTCAAGTTTATTAAGGCGATATCTTTCCCGGAAGACGAACAAGACGCAGTTGTCGAGTTGCAGCTAACAATTAGCCCCTCTAGGGAGGTAGGGGGTCGGTGGCTGTCCTTTCGCATTATGATGTTTGGCAATGATACTTGGGAAGAGAACTGCAATGGGCTGATCAGCTTCGATAACGACGGAGATCTCACGGAAGTTGATCGAGTTGGTGAGCGAGATCTCAAGCAAGCGGCGTCTCTGGCTGTCTTCCGAGACATCCAGCAGGCGTGTGCCTCCTGCAATGACATTGTAGAGAAGAGCACGTTCTACCAGCAGTTGGAGATGAAAGGGAACCAGTACGGATCTAGCTTTGCGTTGTTGGACGACCTGCACATCGACTCTACTGGGACCATGGCCTGTACCAAGCTAACAGTGCCAGACCTCTCGGAGCTCATGCCTGGCCACGTCCCACAGCCCCATCTCGTCCACCCAACGACCTTAGACGCCATCAGTCACATTGGCGCCCAACTCTTCCAGATATTCAACGGGAATGCTCCAGTTGTAATAGGGTCGGTGGCAGAAATGGCCATCACAGCTACAGACTGTGGAGACCTGTGGGCGCCCGGCACTGAGCTCTTTATTGCTGCCATTTTAGATCGACGCCTTACTGATGCGCTTTCCTGCATCACTGACGCTTATGTCTTTAGGAAAGACACCATAACTGGGGAGTTCTCTCTTGCTCTGCAGAGCCAGTATGTGCTCAGATCCTACGGATCGGGACGACACTCACTCCAAGAGCAAGGCAGCGGCCAGGACAAGCAGCCTCGGCAGATCACCTGGGATATTGACGTCGACTTCCTGAGGAGCGAGAACTTCCTGGAGATTGTAAGCCGGAAGCAACCACGCACTCTGGAAGCAGAGGATCCCGAGGAAACCTTCGATCGCGACTACCAATGCATCGAACAGGCGGCGTACATTTTCATACGACATGCTCTATGCAAGCTCAACACAACGTTCAACACCAGTGGCACGGTGACTCCACCATCTATGACTGAACCTCACTTGGAAAAGCTCTTCAACTGGATGCAGAAATGCAGCACCTCCGTGGAATTCCACACTCTAACAGCGGACCTCAGCTTCGAGGACGAGGCTCGGATTGTATTGGCCGCAGAGAACGCTACCTCTCTCCGTTTTGAAGGCAAAACGGTTGCTCGAATCGGTCGCAAACTTGCTGACATCCTCCTCGGGAAGTGCGATCCGACTGCGCTCATACACGAGGCCAACCTGCCGAACGATCTATACACCAACAGCGTGTTCTCGCCTACTTATAGCCATATGGCAGAGTACTTAGGTCTACTTTCTTTCAAAAAGCCACATATGAGAATTCTTGAGATTGGTGCTGGAACGGGAGGCGCTACAACCCCACTGCTCCAGGCGCTCATGGGAGAGGATGGTTCCATATGGCTCGACCGTTATGCCTACACCGACAAATCGAGTGACTTTTTTGACCAGGCAAAGAGCAAGCTCACCGAGTGGCTAGGTTATATTGACTTTGGTGTCCTCGATATCGAGACGGATCCTATTGAGCAGGGCTTCGAGGCGCAGTCGTACGATGTCGTGATCGTTACCAACGTTGTTCTCTCAACCAAAGAAATGGATACACCTCTCGCTAATGCACGCAAGCTTTTGCGTCCTGAGGGAAAATTGATCATCGCCGCGGTGACTATGCCGATTGTCGCCGTGGACTTGGTTTTTGGAGTCCTCCCCTCTTGGCGAGCTGATGGAGATAAGCATTATTTGTTGACGACGAATGAGTGGGATGATCTTCTTTGCCGACATGGCTTCACTGGCTTGGACATTTGTACCCAGAGCAATCACAGCTCAAAGCACGGATGCTCGTCGCTCATCGTCTCATCAACAGTGACCGAGCTCGACACTCTCCGACAGAGCACGCCGTTATCGCCATCATCGCCGCTCGACGGCATGAGAATCGTTCAAGGATACAAGGAATCCCATTACGTCCGAGAAATAACAAGTACTCTCCTAGATGACTCCGAGTGCACAGACCACCTGGGCTGGACGTGTTCGGAGAGTATTGAGGACGCTGCTGCCATGGAACCATGGAAAGACAACGGCCCAGTGATCGTTCTAGACGTGGCAGAGCACAGCTTGCTCGTAAACGAGAAGCCTGCCATCTTCAATGCTATGAGGCGCCTTCTGACTTCTGGTTTCTCAGTAATATGGGTCTCGCTCCAGGAGTCAAAGACAGAGGCAGCGGTCACAGCCACCAGGTGCATGATCCAGGGCGCAGCTAGAGTTCTGAGACGTGAGAACGGCAGCACGAGCAGACTCATCACTTTCGACATAGACGAAACTGCAGACTTAAGTGACGGTGGTGTTGTCAGACACGTATGCAGTCGTATCTTAGAGGCTGCACAGTGCTCTCTTTCCGCCAGCGAAAATAACTATGAACGAGAGCTAAGATACAGCGGGGGCGAGCTTCTCATCCCTCGCCTGCAGACCGATACAAAGTTTCAGTCCTGGGCCGACAGAGTCTGCGTAGGCGCATCGTCCAAGACTGCGTCGCTGGAGTCAGACGTCCCATACCATCAACATGACAGGCCGCTCAAGCTAGAGGTGGGCACACCAGGTCTTTTGAGCAGTCTTCGGTTCGTGGATGATCCCGCGAGCAGCTTTGAGGTCCCGCTCCAGCCTAGGGAAATACAAATCTCGACGCGGGCCCATGGTGTCAACTTCAAAGACGTCTTCGTCGCTCTCGGCCAAATGCGTGCTGGTGTGAGCATGGTTGGTGAGGTCTCTGGCGTCGTCACAGCCGTCGGCGAGAATATGACGAACAGATACAAGATTGGTGACAGCGTCTTCGGCTTTGGAGCTTCGCCATTCGCGAGCCAGCCTCGCATTAGCGGCGATCTCGCCCATGCTCTTCCCTCGGGAATGTCGTTCCAGGCCGGGGCGACAATACCAGTTGTCTATGCCACGGCGTACTACTCTCTGTTCAAGGCCGCCAATTTTAGACGGGGACAGACTATACTCATCGCGGCAGCCTCGGGAGGTGTGGGCCAAGCAGCTATCCAACTTGCACAGTACGCTGGCGCAAGCAAAATCTTTGTCACGGTCGGATCGAAGGTGAAAAAGCAGCTTGTTATGGATACTTACGGCATCCCAGAGAGCCACGTCTTTTCGTCAAGGGGAACTGCCTTTAAGGACGGCATCATCCGACTCACCGAAGGATGCGGAGTCGACTGCGTCTTGAATTCCCTGTCTGGCGAAATGCTCAGCGGCGCGTTCGACTGCTTGGCCAAGCTCGGGAGCTTCGTTGAGATTGGGAAGACAGACATCTACAAGAACAGCCACATCGAGATGAGCAACTTTGACAAGAGCATCACCTTCGCGTGTGTTGACCTGGTCGTACTTGGGAACGAGCAGCCTGAACTTGTGCATGAGACTCTCTCCTCGGTTACGGCGCTACTCGAGAAGGGATTGATTCGGCCTCCGTCACCTGTCAACGCTCTTGCAATCGGCCGCATTGAAGACGCCTTCCGCCTCATCGGAACCCGTAAGCACACGGGTAAGGTTGTGTTAGAATCGCCCCCAGACTCGGCTGTGACAGCCACCACGGCGCCTGCCAAGCCTCTCAAGCTATCAAGAGACGGCACCTACGTTGTCGCAGGTGGTCTAGGTGACCTTGGCAGGCGCCTGGCGGCTTTCATGTCCGCACACGAAGCAGGACATGTTGTGCTTCTATCTCGACGCAGTATCACTGCCGAGGAGCACCAAACGCTTCAAGACCGATGCGGTATTCTGTGCGCTGTCCATGTCGTCAAGTGCGATATCACGAGGGAGTCCGATCTCCAGGAATGTGTCGAGTTCTGTAGACAGAAGAGCCTGCCCCCGGTCAGAGGTGTTGTGCATGCAGGCATGGTCCTCAGAGACCGCCCTTTTGCTGCCATGAGCGGAGAAGATTTTGCAGCCGCGCTGGGTCCAAAAGTGTTTGGAACTATCAACCTCGACAGGGCGTTCTCGTCGGGTCATCTTGAATTCTTCATCACACTGTCGTCCGTTGCCAACCATATTGGAAATGGCAGTCAGGCCAACTACGCCGCCGCCAATGAATTCCAAGATGCCTTTGCTCGCGCACATGGTCTTGGCGGTGAAGGCAATACACACTATATCAGCATCGATCTGGGGGCTGTCGCAGGGTCCGATGCCGTCAGCAAGCTCTCGAGCTCAAACAGGCTTGAGTCGGTAATGGTCTCGCTTGACGACGTGTTCAGAAGCATCAGATATGCCATGAGCCCGCAGTCGAAGCTCGATCGCTGTAACCAGTCAATCCTGGGCCTCTCTAGACAGGGTCTGACAGATGCCGACGATTATGTCTGCCTGACAAACCCCTTATTTAGCCGGCTTCCGTATCCAGAACAACTGAACAGCGACGAATCGGGGCTGACTTCGAGTGAAAAGTCCACCGATATAGATAAGGCACTGCGCCATGTCAGCACGATGAATGAGGCTGAGACATTGATTCAGGAGACGATTGCTGCAAAGTGCGCGGTATTCCTCGACCGAGCTATAGATGATGTGCCCGTCAATCAGCCGCTGGCTATGATCGGCCTTGATTCCTTAGTCTCCATTGAGCTAAAGAACTGGCTTCTTCGAGCCTTGCAGGCTACTGTCCAGACCTCAGACATCTCCAGCGCATCGAGTATCAATGCTCTCGCTTCGCTGGTCACAAAAAAAACCAAGTTGGTCAGTGACGACGTCAAAGCAGCAGCAGAGGATCCTGTTCAGGCCGCCAATGGCACCTTTGCTACGTCCATATCTCAGCAGACCTCTGAACGTGCCACGGACACAGAATTGCCGTCGCATGGCTTTGACTGCTGCAGAGCAGTGAAAGAGCTCCCCAAATACCCCCTGATAGATTTGGAGGAAACGATGAGCTGCCTCGAGCAAAACGTGTCCCACTTCGCGCAGAATGGCGAGGAGCTGAGGGGCCTACAACAGGCTGTGCGCGACTTCACCGCACCGGGCAGTCTCGGGAGACAGTTACACGCCCAGCTCAGAGAAAGAGCCAGCAATCCGGACATGGACAGCTGGCTAGCAGACCTGCACCTTAAGGGGCTGTACCTCTCCCGCAGACATCCTCTAGCTCCATGGGGTAACTTTCTCAATACTCACTACGACAGTCCCGTGCCGCACCGCCAGGCGGAGCGGGCTGCATTGATCTCGACGATTGCGTTCCAATTCCAGAAGGAAGTTTCTGCGAGGGTTCTAAGCCAAGACTGGTTGGGTAGCCGAGCACTTTGCACATACTCATGGGATTGGATCTTTAACACTGTCCGTGAACCACGTGTCGGCTGTGATGAGATGCAGAGGTATCCTGGCAATAACTACTGTGCCGTCCTTCGGCAAGGACACTTATTCACCCTCCCGCTTCGGTTTGAGGAGGAGGATGTATCCTATGAACGGCTGAGAGATGCTTTCCAAGGCATTTTGGATCACGTCGACCTCGGCCAAGAATCCTGGGCCGGGATACTCACTACCGATTGGCGAGACCCATGGGCGGCGAACCGAGACACTCTCATCTCACTCAGTGAGTCGAACAAGGAGTATATTCAAGCAATCGAGAGAGCCGCATTTGTGGTTTGCCTCGATGAAAGTCGGCCGGTCACCAACGAGGAGCGCGTAAGGCAGTGCTACGTCGGCAATGGCTTCAACCGGTGGCACGACAAGGCCACCCAATTCCTCGTTTCAGCAAACGGGCGCTCTGCTCAATTATCAGAGCACTCGATGGTGGATGGACTCACCATCGCCCGCCTGACCGAGCGCATTCACGACGCCATCCAGTCCCACGTACCGACAGCACTCGGTGTGGCCAAAACCAGCCCCGTCCCTGCTACCAGGTTCACTCTGCAGACCACTCCCCAGATTGAAGCCCAAATGTCCGAGCTGCGTACCATATATGCCTCAGAAACGGCCAAGAAGAAGTACACCCTGCACACAGTCCCCTCTCTGGGCATCAACGCCACGCTCGGCACAGGACTTTCTGCCAAGGCCTGCATGGACATGGCCATCCAACTCGCCAACAGGATACACTTCGGACACAATCCGGGAAGCTGGGAGCCGGTGTCAACGCAACACTTCCATCGCGGCCGTCCCGAGCTGGTGCAGGTGGTGACGGACTCAGTCGTCGAGTTCTGCGAAGCTGCACTGGACATGCGTGTTGGCAACATGGAAACGGACAAGGGCAAGGGCAAGAAAAAGGGGCTTCTCATCAAAGCAGCTGGCGAGTGGGAGGAGCAGATCCGTCGTGCTGGAGAGGGACGTGGCTTCCTGCGCATGTGGGATACCATGGGCGGGATGCTACCCGAGGGCGAGGGAGTGGAGAAGCCGGCCATCTTCACGGACTCCGTCTTCTGGCGCGCCTTCCCGGGCCGAGTGCTTCAGGTGAGAAACGAGGCCGAGGTGGAGGATGCAGCCCTCTGTCTCTACGAGGAGGATGCATTGTGGATGAGCTACGCTATTAGGGAGGACAAGGTCAACATTTCCATCACAGGTGGCATCAAGAAGGTTGATGCATACTGCGAGGCTCTGAATAGAGCTGCTGAAATTATCAGGTCTGTAATTTGAAGGCGAGGTGAACTGATTTATTTTGTAATAATAGGAAGTCATGAGGACTTTTTTTGAGAAAAAATTGCATTTGAGTTTAAATTGCTGTTACAATTGAAAAATGAAATATATATAATTCATCTTGCCCGTGGGTGCGAGCCACCAACGGCAGCGCAGTCTGAGCGGCTGATGTCACGGACAAGCCGAGCTCCTTGCTGTGCATGGCAATAGGTAAAGTCTCACTTGGACAGAAAGTGAGTCCACCGGACCTTGGTTGGTGCCGCCCGCGCCCCCCTTGGTTTTCGTTGTGGACGGACACTGTTGGGAATTGGGAGCGAAAGCCTTGGATAGCATTTCGAACTTTCTCCTGCTCAGCTGTACACTCTGACACATCGGTCACGACGGCGCAAGCCGTCGTCAGCTTGGGGGCCCCGGAACCAAATAGTGGTACCTATGCCCAGATAGGGTCGTCCAGGAAATGCAACATGTAAGTGAAGAAGGTGCAACCCAATGCCATGAAAGTGAGTATATGGGCCTTGGAGAACCAAATTTTGTGCTGAGGGGAGATCATCCAGCACACACTGTGTGCTTGGATTACCCCCGAATGGGAAAGGTTCCAGCGCGGTGCGCTCAGTGTCGTGTACAGTGTCATGTGGGACAAGAACTCGCGGCTGTCTTTTATTGTTAATTTTGCTCAGTACTGGTTCATAGAAGATATATATGAGGAGGATGAAGAATCATGCTCCGAAGAAGAAGCCCAACACTGTTGCACGGAGTCCATGAATGCTGATGTGGCCTCTGAAGGCGATCAAGGAAATGAAAGTGGGGATGAAGGAAGGGAAGTGATCAACTTGGACACGGAGATCTGATATTTGGATGCCACTAGAACTACTGACGATCCCGGAGCTATTGGAGCAGTTACGAGCGGACGGCCGAGGAGAGAGGAGAGAATCACAATGACGCCTAACTATCCAGACCATGCGGCTATCATTGACTCCATTCGTTGGAAACGTGAAGAGGGGTAACTTTTGAGAGATAATGAAGGGGATTTCCAAATGGAATATTAGCTTGTTTAAGTTCTAAGGCTATTGTAGAAGCTTTCTCGGCGCTCTTTTCGTTTGAATATTCTAGCCCTCGCATGTGTACGGCTCAGATTTCTTTCTTATAGCAGACGCCCGTGATAGGCCTTTGTAAGACTGTGATATTTGAGATTATCAAACAAATGATAAAATATACAAGCTGTATCAAGAGCATCATAGCAGAAAAGTTGGCTAAACATTGAAGTTAGCGAGCATCTTGCAGTTTCCACTTCGACCACGCCCGCAGGCTAGGCGGGAGATATATGGCTATGCATATATTAGACGTAGCTCCTCTAGCATTACCCCTGGAGTGCCACATCCTATGTCTTCGGCCCACCCCAGCCACCGCCTCCCGGTGTATTAATTTGCATAATCTCGCCGGCTTGCAAGTTGATTACTGCTTTGCCTCCTAAGTTAATCTTCTCCAATGCGCCTTTATCATTCAGCTTGAAGGCATAATTCTCGCCTTGCTTTCCCGGAAGCCCGCCATTCATACCATATGGCTGGTACACTCGTCGATCGCTGAGGATGCTGAATTTAAGGGGAATACGAGCCTCGATCTCCCGGACTGTACCGTCTCCCCCGTTCCACTCCCCCAGACCACCGCTGCCTTCGCGAATTCCATACCGGCGTACAAGTACCGCGGTTCGCTTTTCGATAACTTCGGCATCAGTATTTCGAGTGTTGGTTGAGTGCACATTCACGGCGTGTTCTCCATGCCAACCGGGACCGGCACCCACCCCTCCACCTAAAGCCTCGCCATAGCTCCATCCAGGAACAATTTGCCCCGTCTCAGGGTCTCGTCCACCCATGCCCCAACCGAAACTATTCGCGCATCCTTGGCTGGCGGCACATCGACCGAATGCCATCAAAATTGTATCAACGATGCGCTGACTGGCCAGCGTTGAGCCGCAGACCGCGACTGTAGGTGAAGGATTGAGTATAGAGCCCTTAGGAACGCGGATGTCAACTGGGGTGAGACATCCCTCGTTAAGAGGTATGTCTATGTCAACCAGACACCGGATAGTGTATAGAATCGCTGAATGGGTGATGGAAATGGGGCAGTTGTAATTGCCCCAGCTCTGCGGTCCCGTTCCTTCAAAGTCATATGTCGCGGATCCTGTCTCGGGGTCGATTATCACACTCAAGCTGATGGCCGTGCCATCGTCGAACCAATCCGTCGCCGTCAGCGGCTCAGGATGATCCATGGCAATTTTCTTGAAGAATTCTCGAACCGCAAATTCTGCATTTGCTTGTATACCCTCCATGTAGCGATGCACCACTGGAAGAGAGAATTCGTCACAGAGCTTGCCGAGGAGCACGATGCCACGCTGATTTGAGGCGACTTGAGCCCTGAGGTCTGATAAATTGTCCCCTATCCGTCGCGTTGCGCTACAGCCGGGAAATTTACCTGCTGCAGCAAAGGCTTCTCGGATATCATCCTCGAGGAAATGTCCGCCACTGACTATCTTCATCGACTCTATGCTTATTCCCTCTTCCCACAATTGTTTTGACTCAGGCATCATCGAGGTGATGCCTCGTCCCCCAATGTCCGTGTGATGGCCGCGGGAGGCGACATAAAACACAATGCTATCCCCAAAAAATACAGGGCTCACGACAGTCAGGTCTGGGAGGTGTGTCCCACCGCACTGAGGATGATTGGTCAGAAGAACATCTCCAGGGCGGAGTCTGTCTTTCCATAGACGGTGTTGATGTTGTATTGCGAACTGCATGCTGCCAAGATGGATTGGGATGTGTGGAGCATTGGCAACAAGCTTGCCGTCGGGTGAGAATATTGCACAAGAAAAGTCAAGTCGTTCCTTGATACTTGTGGAAATTGATGTTCGCTGTAGTGTGTTGCCCATTTGCTCGGCAATCCCCATGAATCGGTGGGCAAACACGGACAACTGGATTGGATTGACTTTGTCGCTTAGCGCGACGCTTCCATGTGAGAAGGCCTTCTCATCGATTCGTTCCAAGACGACATGGTTGGTGATGAAGTAGGCATGAAATTTGGGTTCAACGAGGATTGTTTGCGTCTTGTCAATGATCAATGCCGGTCCCTCGATCACAGAGCTTTTGTCGACAGTATCGAGCTGATACACACCAACGTTCATCCAACAACCGTCAAGATAGACTTGCTGATGGCAGGATGGGTTCGTGGAGCGCGGAGCTGCTTTCACCGCCAAAAGCTCCTGTGTCGGAAACATTTCACGCTGCGTGGGCCCGACGCTTCCCGTTCCTCTCACTTTCACCGACTCAATAATGATATCCCGATTCAATGTAAAAGCGAATTCTCGTAAATGGTACTGTGTGAATGCAGCAGCGTAGTCTTCATCAGCTGGCCTTGATATCGTGATACTGGTGTCGGTACCGAAATACCGCAGGACCAAGGACTCGTCGAAAGACAGCGACGCTTGGCTGGCTCCCTGGCTGAGCAATTCACCACCCACTCGCGTGCGAAGCCCAGCCAGGCGGTTTCGAACAGGCTCCAAAGAGTCCGGGCCAAGTTTGCTCGAATAAGGTTCCTGGGTTTCGTATTGGAGTTCAGCGTGTGAGATACCATATGCTGAGAGAAGTGATGACCATTTATGTATCAATACACGCTTGATCCCAAGTTTGTCCGCAATGGAGCACGCATGCTGTCCGCCAGCTCCTCCGAAACTAACCAAGTTGTGTGCTTCCGGTGAAAAGCCTCGGGCCTCTGTAGTATTCCTGATGGGACGACTCATTGTTTCGTTGGCAATATTGAGGAACCCCAAGGCGACTTCCTCTGGGGCCAATTGCTGTGATGTCTGTTTGTTGAAGTCTTCTGTGATGTTTTTGAACTTCTCAGCGACAATCTTGGGGTCTAAAGCCTTATCCGCATTTTCTCCGAATATTGAAGGAAATGAAGACAGCACGAGGCGACCAAGAAAAAGGTTGGCGTCGGTAACAGTTAAAGGCCCTCCTTTTCTGTAGCACGCTGGGCCGGGATGAGCCCCTGCACTTTCCGGACCGACGACCAGTAGCCCATTGCGTGCGAAGAGAATGGAGCCTCCTCCCGCTGCAACTGTCGCAATGTTCAACATGGGCACATTGATCGGCCTTCCCGCTATCGTCGTTTCCGTCAAGTAGTCATATTTTCCATCGTATCTCGAGACATCGGTGGAAGTTCCGCCCATATCGAAACCGATGAGTGGTGTCCTTTCCTCCTCGTCAAAACATGATCTTGCAATTCCAACCACACCTCCAGCTGGACCACTGAGGAGAGCCTCGTTGCCTCGGAAGCTTTTTGCCTGCTTCAAACCGCCGTCCGAGCACATGAACTCCACAGTCCTTGGCAGCACTTTGAAACCGTTCTGAAAGTTCTCAACGTATCGCCTTATCACTGGGTAAAGATACGCCTCAGAGCATGTGGAGTTACTCCTGTTCAGCAGCTTGATGCTCGGACTCGTTTCCGACGATAACGTGACGAACTTGAAGCCAATATCCTGGGCTATCTTAGCAACCTGTTGTTCATGATCTTTAAAGAGATAGGAGTGCATGAGGGCAATGGCAAGGGAAGTATAACCCTGATTTTTCAGGTCATTTAGTTGTCGGCAAACTTCTTCAACATCGACCCTCTTCAGAATCCGGATGACTTCACCGCTTGGCGTTTGGACGAGACTCTTGTCTGTGGGGTCCACTCTCTTGTCCAATGGTGTTGGGTTCAGATCATAATCCTCAATAGTCACACGTTCGTCGACTTCAATGACCGTATCGTGCAGTGCTTTTGCCTTGCGCACGTTGAGATCAAATAGCTTTGGTCGGCTTTGGTCGCCGATGACACAGACGTCCTTGAAACCTAACAATATTACAGTTAGTAGCTAACTCGTCCCTTTCATGTCTCATTTCGGACATTTGCTTTCTGTAACCAAGCTTACCTTTTGTCGTGATGAAGGCAAATCGCTCGCCTTTCTGCTCCAAGAGGGCATTTGTTGCGACGGTAGTACCAATGCGACATGATGCTGAAATGAATGGGAAGTAAGCATGCTGGAGCTCCTTCAAAACAAGGGATCAATATACACACAGATACGCGAGCCGTCCAGTTTTTCGCCAATGGGTATGGGCCTGCCATCGACCATTTCCAGCACACGTCTGATAGCCTCTGTAGGAGCATCGGAATAATTCGCCGGATCCACGGATAGTAGCTTGAAAGTGACGGGGTCTTGGTCATCGAGCTGTGCTATCACGTCACAAAAGGTTCCACCACGGTCAATCGATACTCGTATGCCAGCTGCCATGATTGCTGTCTGGGGTCTCTAGAGCGATGCCGACGTTAATGCTGGACACGGCTGGTACTATGCACTTGGATAGAGTCGCAGTGGGCTATTGTGAAATGAACGTTGCAGGCGTCTTGACTTCACGTTCTTGTCGATGCAAAAAGCAGGTACCGAAGAGTGGATACTCGATGCATCTGGGGCGCAAATTAGCGAGCTGCAACTTTTCACATTGCCGTCGAGGTCCGCAACCGGCCGCTACGCTTCAGCTTTCCCCAATTCTTATTCCTTCGAGTTTATGGGGCCAGATAATCTCAGCAAATGGATTTTTTTTTCTGGGTCATGTGAACGGAGATGGTCCGTCATTGTCAAATCTTTGGTGTCTCTATCATCACATTCGAAATTGAATCCATTGCAAGTCGTCCCGGTGACACCACCAAAGTACTATTCTATCTAGTATGTCGGACACTTTTCTCTGCACCTTGTTGAGATCACCATGATTCACAACTTTGAGGGCTTGCGTCTCCTTTACGGCATTAAATGGGCACGTATGCGGCTCAAGACCTCCTCATTCCTTTCTATGTGCACGCTATGATTGGCATTCTCGACCACAAAGAGGTGTGCATCTGGTATTTTAGATGCGATGAGCTCGGAGTTTCCTGCAGGTTCAATCAATAAAGGCCTTCCAGCATACATGGTCGAGGAGACTGCAATCGTAACTGCTCAAGACTTACCCAAGGGACAAATCCAATCTTTGTCGCCAACAATTACCAAAGTCTTTGCGGTGATGCGATGAAGGTCATTTCTATAGTCAAAATACTTTTCGCTCTCAGAATAGAGGTCATCTGCGTGATGTGATCAGTGTCGGGTTTCGGTCGCTCATCCGCGATTGGGCTTACTGTGCGCTTCCGAGTTGTAAGTGTTGTCTAGACAGCTCCGCAGTCCCGCATTGGCATCGAATTTCTCGCTGTAGAGAGGCAGCATGGCAAGATGAACCAGTCTGAACTCCAAATCGCTTTCAAAGACTCCGAACACCTTATCCCTTAGCATCTCAACCGAAAAGCTTGGCGCCCTGTTCAGCCTCTGCTTAAGGACTTCAATGGCAGCATCTTCATCTAAAGGACATTCAGTCGTAGCAGCTCAATAGTCGAGAAAGTGACATACGATGATGTGAAGCAGCAGTCCCTCGCAGTATCAGATGAGATACTTTGGAAGCGTACTTGATGGCATACTGCTGCGCGAGAAACCCACCGAAACTACCTCCACAAACGATAACTTGGTCTTTGTCTCCAGCAAAGTGTTGTCGAATGCCTTCAATGTCGTCTACTAGTTGATCGAAAGTGTAAGGCTTGGTTCGGGAACTCCGTCCATGTCCTCGGTAGTCGAATGAGAGCACTCGCCATTTGGCACACAAGGGGCTAAATGCTTTGAAGTCCGATCGGTGGTCACCTGCGGCCTTATTAATTATCAAGCAACCGGCCGAATTGTTCGAGAGCGTTTTCCTTACCCATTCCCCGGCCACCATGGAGTGTGATTATAAGTGGACCACCGTCGGGACCACATAGGCGATAGGCCAGGCTGGCACCGTTGATTTCTACAAAGTCATTCATGTTATGCTCGTCAGTGTCCTCTCCAATGTGAGAGAACCTATCGGCCCTGAGTAGTGGTAGCCGCTCTCAATAGCCATGTGAGTTATCGAACTGGAAAAGGTCAAAGGCTCGGGCCGGGATGGTCTGACTCGGGTGGCGTGGGCAACCCACTGGTGCCCGTCCGGCACCCGAGCATAATCGGAATCAACAGCGTGACAGGGTGCATGGCGTGCTCGCATGTCATGGCTTTTTATCCCGACTTCGGGATCTTGCCTGGCAAATTCAAGTCGACTGTCGATATCATTCCATGGAAAATCATTTTCATTGCCGGTTAAAATTCAAGCCTGCCTCCCACGCTGCTGGCCTGGGTTTTAGCCCGTTGGTTCACAGCAGCCAATATTTCTTTTAGGGATGTCTGCAAAGAAAGAAGTCACCACGGCCACGGCGGCAGTGGAGCCGACATCCGGCACCCGGGATTCTGACGGTGAATCCAAAGACGGCAATGCAACACCCACCCAGAAGGAGACACAGACTCGGCGTTGGTTTCACTGGCACGAGCCGGGGACATCAGCAGAGGAGAAGCGACTCATCTTCAAGCTTGATTGGTTTCTGTTGAGCTACTCGTGTCTATGCTTTTTCATCAAGTGGCTAGATGGGAATAATGTCACTAACGCCTACTCATCCGGAATGTCAGAGGAGCTGGGTTTTGGTCCTGGCAATGAACTCTCTTGGATGAACACCTACTTCACCATCGGCACCCTTATCGGCGCGTCCTTCGCCAATCTCATCATCACTGTTGTCCCACCGCGCATCTGGCTGCCGTCTTGCCTGATGACTTGGTCGCTGTTTGTTTTGTTCCTTTACAAGTGCAATACGGCCGCTCAGTTCTATGCCCTTCGCTTCTGTATCGGTCTTTTCGAATCCGCTGCTTGGCCCGGCATAACCTACACTCTCGGTTGTTGGTACCGCAAAAGTGAATTAGCTCGGCGTTCGGCCCTGTTCGTCATCTCAGGTGTCCTGGGTCAGATGTTTTCTGGGTACCTTCAGGCCGCGTTGTACACCGGAATGGAGGGTAGGGGTGGCCTTTCTGCATGGCGATGGCTATTTATCTTCGACTTCATCTTGGCAGTGCCTGTAGCTATTTACGGTGCTGTAAGTGCTGCCCTCATCCACTCACAGTCAACTTAGAATCGTAGCTGATGAATCCAGATCTGCTATCCGGATACTCCACACACCACCAAGGCCTGGTACCTCAATGACTGGGAAAAACAACGTGCCAGAGAACGCATCGAAGAGGAAGGCCGTACACCTGCTGGGAAACTCGACTGGACAGTTGTCCGGCGCATCTTCACGTCGTGGCAGGTCTACGCCTTTGTGATGGGATATTCTCTCTGGTCCTTGACGGTGGGAAACTACGTAATGCAGTATTTCACACTTTATCTCAAGAGCACAGGCATGTACACCATTCCACAGATCAACAACATCCCAACCGCCATTGGGGCTGTCAATTTCACCTTCATGCTCAGCTCGGGCTTTATCGCAGACAAAATTGGACGACGAGGGCCCGTGTGTCTTGCCGTTGGGACGTTGCTAGCAGTTTGCTATGTTATTCTCACTGTTTGGGATGTTCCCCACCGTCTGAAAATGGCAGCTTTTATCTTATGCGGTTGCTATGGATGCTACACGCCGTTACTCGCTGGCTGGACGAACGAGACTTGTGGAGGTGATCAGCAGAAAAGGGCATTTATCCTGGGTTTTATGACAGCCGTGGGTGGTGCAGTTGCAATTCCGTTCCAGCAGATCCAGTTTGCTAGCTCCCAGGCACCACATTTCAAAGAGACGCATGGCTGGGGTAGCGGGTTGGCCATGGTGATTGCCTTGACCTTGTGGACAGGGATTGCTATTCCAGCTTTACAAAAATGTGCAGAGAACAAGGTAAAGGTAGACGATGAGGAAGACTGAGAATCTCTATGTGTGTCCATTGCGGGCCTAGATTGGAAATACAAACTTTCTTTGACTCACACGTGAGAAGTGAAGACTTAGCCACTCCTAAGTTAACGAAGTTGGGAACTTTATATTTATGAAGAAAAAAAAAGAGAGAAAAGAACAAGGCGCGCCTGCGGAACGCGAGAAACAAAATTGTGTGCAAACTGATCTTCAAATCCATCTTCTCAGCCCGAAGCTCACCGTATCATTTTTGCGAGGATCAGCGGACGATCCGTCGAACCTGGGGCTCTCGCTGGTTAATTGATTGCATACTGCAGACAAACTACGCCCAGACAGGACACTCAAGCGTGGGTTTCGCCAATCTTCAAAAAAGTATAGCCCTTTAGCTCCCCTTCATGTCTGCAGTCTGCCCGATATTTGCTGGATTCAATCCTTCTACTGCCACATTATAACACAAGATTCACCAACATGTCATACTAGACAGGAACAAAGCCCAGATCGTCTATTAAGACCGAGTCCGCTCTTAGAGAAGACCAAAGTGAAATAAGAAGTCTCGTTGATAGGGAATTTTCGGGACCAGAGGAGGGCGTTATGGCGAGGCAGGTATGTTTGTTTGCTCACATTGCCTGTGGCCGCGCGCGCCTGAACTGCGGAATTATGTGGGCTATCGGCGCCACAACTAGAGCTTGAATTGGCCATGATGATCGTTATTGATTCTGCTCCATTCGCGTCTTGGTTAAACAATTCCAGCTTGCGCGAGCCGATTTAAATACACTTGAAGTATGGCTGACGACTAGAATCGGTCCCAACCGAAGGGAGCTTATCTTGGTGGGCCTCATGAACCTCAAAGTGCGGTATGACACGGAAGACACAGTCACTCAATTGAGCACATATGGCGCGGGGACGGAATGTTACGAAACCCAAACACTAACTGCCATTCTGGTGGTGATATTGAATAACTTACCAAGCGTGAAGCCTTGTCGAAAAAAAATAAGGCATCCCAATGCTGTGACCGGCCCAAGACTGAACTGCATAACCCTCCCATATTTGAGTGCACCCACTGGCCAAAGGTTCAAATGCGTGATCCCATTTGCATGCATCCACCGATACGCTCAAACGGCCAGTCCACCATGACTTTTTGTGCTGAAGAATCACAATCTAATGCTGATGTTCGCAGCATTAAACGGCATGATGGGGGGGGGGGGGTAAGGAAAGCTAATTGTGACAGTGCAAGATGCAATGAAAATTGCGTGAGCCATTATCCGGCCAGAGTCAGCTAACAGCCACAGGAGACCGTTCCCGGCAGTGCTTTTCGGTGGTTGACTGCTGTTAAAATAACGATCGTGAAAGGTCAAGACATGGTGGTCGGATCCTAGGGCTCGTGCGCCGCAATAATTGACTCGATTCCAGTAGTAGGCGGTCCCCGCTCAGATGTCCTCCTACATCTTTTCGTCGGTGATGCCCAGGTAGTGACCTGGTACAGAGGAGTGGTCATTGTTGCGGCCGTTAGCACCCCGTTCCTCTATGTCAAGGTCGGTGCCGATGTCGAGCTGGTGCCACTAAGTCAGCCATATGTGTCGGCTTCTTCTGCTTGATGCAGCGCTCCAAATTGTCGTAGCACGCCTGCTGGCTGGGCTTTAAGCGAGGGTTGCAGCTTCGAACCTTGTGTACGCATTCCGAAAAGTGTGGCTCGGGGATGGACGTTGGTACCTGTGCGACCGAGGCCGCCTTGTCGAAGCACACAATTGTCTCATGCCAGTTGTATCTGTCCGGGCCAGAGGCTTCCAAAAGGTCGATGGGAAACAAATGCGGGCCGTCAGGAAAATCTATGAGGCATTGCCACTGGTTGGTAGACGGCTCCTTGCGAAGCCGCATCTTCTCTGGGCCGAGCCAGTTTGTGTATGATTTCGCGTTGTATTTCTTGATCTGGTCGCCCACCAGGATGCTTGGGGGGTTGTCGGGGTCGACCGGGGGCTGTTACTGCCCGTCTGGGTCGGCTTCTGGCTGATTGGCCGGATCGTTGGGCTCGCTGGCGTCGTCAGCGGTCCAAACACTGACGTGCTGGCGGGTTGACATCCGCTGGCGGGTTTTGTCGCATATTTTTCGAGTTTTGTTGGCAATCTCGTCGTCTTGCCACTTGGTGGCCCTGCCCAAGTACTTGACAGGGACTTCGTTGATGTGCAGGCCTTGCTCTTGGATGGCCGCAAGGACAAACTTGCACATCTTCTGGCACTCTGCGTCGGCGACTTGTAGCCTGTATCTGGACTCTTTTACGGCGTCCCAGTGGACGCCAAAGCCTTGCCTTTCCATAGAGAGGCTCGACATGACGCGCCTGTTGGCGCGGCGGATTGCCTTTAGACGGCTTGCCCTTACTGGCGCAGGCATCTTCAAGGATTCGTACGAGGTTGTCGGGGTGAGTAGGGGTCGGTCGTGGTCGGTCGCGGTTGGGGTCGGTCTCGGACAGTCTATGATGTTGGTAGCGAAATGTCAGTTTGACAGTCTTTGCAGTCTGAAGGCTTTCTTGGTGAACGGGAAAGGGGGACAAGGATCATTTGGGTAGGTCGAGCTTTGGTTGGGTTGGCCCTTGACAGCGTTTGCCAGTGGTCTACCAGTCCGCTTGGACTTCAATGGTTTGGGGAAACTTGACGATACCTTCTGAGCTCTGATGTTGCTGTCGCTGGCAAGATTGGTCAAAAGGGTGGCACAAGGACAAGTGAAATCTGGAAGGAAACTTACGAGGGCGTCGTGGGTACGGTGATAGTAGCGAGGGAAAAGGAGGAAAGCAACCCAAGTTGACAGACACGAGTAAGGAAAAGGAAAGAAAGGGAAAGGAGTATGTGTGGGCTGCAAAAAGTCTGTTTTGAAAAAAAGGAAATGGTAGGGGGCGAGAGAGAGAGAGAGAGAGAGAGAGAAACACACACACACACAGAGAGAGAGAGAGAGGTAGGAAGCGAAAAGAAGAGACGAAGGCAACTTTGAATTGTAGCTTGAGGAAGTTGCTCAAAAGCGGAACGAGAAGCGCTGCACACGCGATTTACACGGCAGTAGTTTTTTAATCTGAGTTCATAGTAAACACACCTCTCAGCAGATGAACATGAGATGAGGTGCTTGGTCCCTCGGATACAAGTCCTGTACAAGGAACACGTATACTATTTGCATGGCCGCTGCTTTCTGTTGAGTTTTGTGCAGAAATTTTCAACACAGATTTACAAAAGAAAGTCTACGACAGAGGCTTTTAAGGAGGCACAGAATGTCCAGGAAGAATCCATAGTCAAAAACAAGTCTCACACAAGATAATTACACAACAAGTTATCCCACAAGAAGGTTATCCCACAGGAAGATCCCAAAAGAAGACTATCCTACAAGAAGGTTACCCCACAAGAAAGCTCTCCCACAAAAAGATCCCACAAGAAATTTATCCCACAAAAAGGTTATCCCACAGGAAGGTTATCCCACAAGAAGATCCCCAAAGAAGACTATCCCATAAGAATATTATTCTACAGAAGATAATTCTATCCTTTAAGAGATTATCCTACAAGAAGTTATTCACGGGAGGTTAGTCTATAGAATGGTCTTTATCAGAATATTATCCCAGACAGGTTGTTCTGAAAAGAAGCAAGTCAAATACCGTTCAGGCTGCAGCCGAACATCTGTGTTGTCTGCCGGCTGCCGGGCTGCACCACACTACGGAGGAGACATTTGAGGCCTATTCAGTGGCATCTTGGAAGCGACTTCTCAATGCTGTTTGTATTGAGTGGCGGAAGTCTTTTTAGTGCAGCTCAAGAGGCGAAATGACTTTATTCATATGTCCGTTACCCTCGTAGACGCTCCATCTTGGGGTCAAACAACGGCTCAGGAGTAATGGTGGCCTTAACCCGCTGCCCAAAGTACTCAATCTCAACGGAATCACTCTCGCCAAGTGAACCTGGCAGCCATGCATAGGCTATGGGCTTTCCAATACTGTACCCATATGCAGCACTTGTCACATAGCCTACAGCATTGTTGCTGCTGCCATGAAACACAGGCTCCTTGCCTAAAACGACTGATTTTCCATCATCAACGGTCAAACACCTCAACCTTTTCTTGCTTGTCTCTGCAGACCTTCCTTGCAAGGCATCTGACCCAACGAATCCACCATCCTTGTCCAACTTCACAGCAAAGCCTACTCCCGCCTCAAAGGGGTCATGCTCGGTGGTCATATCTGTGCCCCATGCTCGGTATCCCTTCTCCAACCGTAGTGAGTTGAATGCCTGCCGACCTGCGGCAATGATACCAAACTGCTGGCCAGCCTTGAACAAAGCGTCCCAGAGCTTCAGACCATGCTCAGCAGAGGTGTAAAGCTCCCAGCCCAGCTCGCCGACATATGACAGCCTCATGGCCGTGACGGGGATGCCCGCAATGGAAACACGCTTACATCGAAAGTATCGCAGTGCCTTGGTGCTCCAGTTGTCGTTGCTCACTTGAGTCACCACATCACGCGCTAGAGGGCCCCACAGCCCGATGCAGCAGGTCCCGCCGGTGATGTCCTTAACATGAGCCCACTTGCTTGGGTCCTTTGCCGCCTGCTTGCGAGCCTCCTCCTTCATGTACACAGTGTCGACTGGCGTGTTGCAGCCCACCTGGAAAAGCTCGTCCTCGATACGCGCCACGGTAACGTCTGACCGCACGCCGCCCTCTCCATCGAGCCAGAGCGTGTAAGTGACCGGCCCCGTCTTTGGGAGCGGTTTCTTGCTCACATCACCCGTGCTGACTCGTTGTAGAAGGTCTGCTGCGCCGGGGCCAGATATCTCGAGGCGTCTCAGAGGGGTCATGTCATACATGGCCACGGCCGTCCGCGTCTTCCATGCCTCCGCCGCCGCGACGGGCGACCAATAACGCCCAGACCAATTATCGCGCTCAGGGGCTTTCCACTCAGACGGAATCGTCTCTAGGAGCTTTGCATTGGCCTCGTACCAGTACGGCCGCTCCCAAGCACCGGCCTCTAGGAAGAAAGCACCCAAGTCCTTCTGGCGGGGAAAGAATGGGGAGGTCCGCAGACTGCGTGGAGACTCTTTTGGCTGGAGCGGATGCAAGATGTCATATATCTCAACGAAGTTCTGCTGCGATGTCTCAGAGATGTACGCATCGGTCAACTGCACCTCTTCGAAGCGGTTGAGGTCCGCAGAGGCCAGGTCGAACGAGGACTTGCCGGTTGTGAGCACTTCGGCAACAGCCCGAGCCACACCAGCAGAGTGCGTCACCCACACAGCCTCTGCGACGAAGAAACCTTCCAAGGTGGGATGCGGCCCTACTAGGGATCCACCATCTGGCGTGAAAGAGAACAAGCCGTTGAAGCCGTCCTGTATCTCGACATCTTTAGTGGATGGGAGAAGCTCCTGCGTGAGCTTCCATGCTGGCTCAAAGTCCTGTGGGGTGAAGTCAAGACGGGAAGGCATATTCTTGTCGTTGATTTCTTTAGCTGTGACACCCAGATCTGCTGCCACAAAGGGCATTGGCTTATGGCCGTAGTAACCGATTCCGTACTTGTCCCCGTGTTCACGATAGTACAGATCTTGGTCTTGGTACCTCAGAATGGGCAGCGATGCTCCATTTTCCGGGTTATTGCGCTCTTTCAAGGCTGGCACAGATGCTGTTTTGACGTATTGGTGGGCCAGGGGGACAAGAGGGACTTTGAGGCCGACCATGGCGCCCAGCTCAACGCCCCAAAAGCCGCCGCAGGAGATGACAATGTCGGCTGGGACTATTCCATTGGATGTGGTCACACCGGTGACGCGGCCCTGAGCCCTCTCGATGCCGGTCACAGGGGTCAAGTCAAGGTACCGAACGCCAGCCGCCTTTGTGCGCTCAACCAGAAGCTGGACGGCGCGAGCGGCCAGCGCCAAGCCGTCACTGGGAATGTGCAAGCCACCGAGTACCTTTTCCCTGTCGAGAAGCGGGTAAAGGTCTAGACACTCTTCTCTTGAAATCACACGGGCCTCGACGCCATACGACTGGGCTAGTCCGTGTTTCCTCTTTAGCTCTTCAAGCCTCTCTGGTGTTGTTGCGATCTCCAGGCCGCCGACCTGGTTGAAGCAGCTCTGGCCATCTTTTTGAAGCGACAGCAGCTTCTCGACTGTATACTTGGCAAAGTTCGTCATGGTTTTGTCAGGGTTCGTCTGAAAAACAAGTCCGGGAGCATGCGATGTTGACCCTCCGGGCATGCTCAGAGGGCCCTGCTCGACTACTGTGATGTCGGTCCATCCTCGCTCGACAAGCTCGTCGGCGACATTAACACCGACGATGCCTGCTCCGATGATGACGACACGCTTGGCTTCAGGGTAGACCACGGAGCCCATGTTGGCTGATTTAGGGCAAGAGAAGGGATGGATGAGAAATAAATGTGGCAAGGGTGAGAGAGACAAATTCCAGAAGTGAGGGAAACGGAGGGAGAGGAAGTGTAGCACAGCAAGAAGAAGGGGATGTTTTTATTTTCGAGCAAAATGCTAAAGAAGACGCGGTCGTCATCAGCTCAACATACACTTTTGTTCAGAGATCACGTCCATGGTGATATTGCCCTGATTTGACCACATGATATATCTCGGTAGTACGCTGTCATCAGCCAATGCCTGGGGAAAGCAGACGTTTCAGGGAGACCAGCACTAGCAGCAATCTTCGTTGCCATCGAGATGCCTGTTGCAATTGTATACAGTCTATAAACATACAATGCACCACAGATATTGAGGCTCAGCTGACTGGTTCAAGCACTATGCTCCATACTGTGCAGCGTATTTGCCATCACGGCTGATCCAAGCCCGCTCGGACATTGTTCGGGACATGGTCCTACCATGTGTTTCTATGTGGGCTGCGAGATAAGGGACTGCCTCTGGCCAGTCGCGGCCATTGCGTCCATCCCCGCGTCTTGGCGGGTGAAGTTGCTCGGGCCAGCCCGACTAACCTTATCTGCCTTGACTGTCCCAACGTCCGTTGTCGGTTCCTGATCTGCGCAGCACGCCCAGCCTTATCTGCAAGCTGGGTGTTGGTTCTCTAGTTCTCTGGGACTCTGGTTTTCCGGCCGCCCCATGTTCCGTTGTCGTGTCACCTCCCTGATATAGACACCCCCCCTCCCCCACCCCTCCCCGATGCTTATCTGCAGGGAATGTGGGTGGTCGGCGTCGTTGTCAGACGTCGTGGCTTTCGGTGGGCCAAGTCTGGCTTCCAACGTCGATGTCATGTCAAGTTGGTGGAGCTGGCAAGCGCAGACTGCGGTGTGATATCATCAAAACCTGTCCAATAGCTAGGCACTTATACGGCATATGTACCCTTGCGGTACTCGCAGACGCAGCCGATCAATTAGGTGTGCTGAAAAGTACGCCCAAGCTGCCATCAATCGGTCCTCCCGGGACGCTGTCTGTCATCCATCCAGACCTTCCTGCCACATCACGCTAAATTAGTTCCATCCGTTGTCGGTATCCAGCCGAGGCGAAGCTGCAGGACATCCCTGATCTGGTTCTATCTTTACCCAGTCACGCGTCTGCTGACTGGCCCGTCAGTGCCTTGACTCGCGCCCTGTGACCAGACCTGTAGACTTCACGATAACTTCATTTTGCTGACCTGAGGCAAGTCTGCGACTTGATGGCCAAAATCAGCAACACCGCCATACCGAGTCGCCATGTCAGAGGTACTTCCAGCACATACCAAGTCCCCGTGATCGTCAGTGCCGCCTCCGTTGTAGGAGGTGACCATGGCCGAGCGTATCCCGGACCCGGTACTACCAGCCACCAAACTGGCGCATAATGGGGGGAAGCTCCTCCCACCATGTGTACAAACGATATTGGGAACTTTGATACTGCTGCCACCAGCGAGTGAGGCGAACTGCATCCATCCCTCCATCCATCTCCCCTTCCACCCTCCCCGTTCTCCCCTCCATCCTATTCTTTCATTCACATCCTGCACACCACTTTCGATCATCTAATTCATGGAATATCAAACCTCGAACTACATGATTCAAGCGGTGGCTGAGGCATACACATTCTTCTCGAATCTACTCAATGCGTATATAGTGACAGAGCTCAACATATCGTGTCTAACTTGCAAGACGTGTAGTAACCTAATTGTTTGTTGTGTAGGATTGATATAGGAGACAGCATTATAGTCCACTGCACCCGACTTTGATTACCGATTCAGGCAAATCTCACTTCGCCTATAATGTCCCATACTTGGTTAGATAGATAAGCACGCCTTACCCTATCAGCTTGTTTATGGGTGTGCGGTGAGTATTTCCCACACTGTACACGCACTATTGCGAGACCATCAAAGTCTGGGGCTCGTATCGCGTATCGTTTGCGGCGCGTCAGCCAACTGGGCACGGGGCTTGATTCAATACCGACAACGGTGAGCTTGGGCACGGCCATGGTTTCAGGCACGAGCGCTAAAAGTGATTTCCGGGGCAGGTACCTACCCAGTACCTATACACAAGGTTATCTGAGACTTGCTTTGTTCCGTTGTCGTATCTATCCAGATTCAGTTCTTTCACGCCAGGGCGTTGGCGAGGCAGCGCAATTTCCGCTTCCTCATTCCTGGGGGCCTGGTCTCCATCCAGTCACGGCTTCACGATGTGCTCACTGCTCGAGAGGGTCGGCGCGGAGCTGCTCATCCTGGCTTGTCGCCACCCTTCCGCCGTCCCTTTGATATCGGGAGCTTGATGCCACTCGCCTGGGTCCTGATGAAGATAATGAGTATATGAGGGCATTGGCCTCGACGGCACCCATCCGCTCCTGATCATCAGACAGCACTTCCATCAAATATCATAGATCTCAGCTGAATCGCAATCTTTCAAGGGCTTGTCCTTGCTCTGTGCTTGAATCATTTTCGCGTCCATCATACACATATACTGCTAGTTGCAATGTCAGCGACAGTACTCAGCTATCTCGGCGGCCTAGCAGGGTATCGCTCCAGGCCCGTCGAAGACAAGGCGCCCATTCGGGCTCTGCCCGCTGGCTGGTACACCTCTCATGAGATGTACGAGCTGGAGAAGCGCGCCATCTTCTCTCGGAGGTGGCAACTCATCACCCACAAGATCAGAATCCCCAACTCAGGGGACTGGCTCAATTTTGAAGTCGCTGGCTTCAACTTTATCATCGCCCGTGACCGCAAGGGCGCAATCAACGCCTTCCACAATATCTGCAGGCACCGCGCCTATCCCATCGTTCATGAGGAGAAGGGAACGTCAATGATATTCTCTTGCAGGTCAGTAAAGTCATAATCGCCATCAATATGGCCAAGTTTCCCAATTTTATACTCCAAATGTACTGACAGAACACAAATGCAGATATCATGGCTGGTCGTACGGTCTCAGCGGCAACTTGGCAAAAGCTCCCGGCTACCAGGAGCTCGAGGGCTTCGACAAATCCAAGAATGGGCTTTTCCACATCCACACCCACATTGACAACAATGGCTTCATCTGGGTCAACTTTGACGCCAAAGAAACGCCTGAGGTGGCGTGGGAGGACGACTTCGCCGGCGCCGACACCCAGGAGAAGTACAAGGACTTCAACTTCGATGAATATGTCTTCGACCACGCCTGGCAGATGGACGGCGACTATAACTGGAAGATCCTGGCTGACAACTATAACGAGTGCTATCACTGCAAGACAACACACCCCGATATCCCTGCGGTGGCTGACCTGGAGGCTTACAACGTTGAGACGAAGCGTGGATACATCATTCACAATGTTGCCACAAAACCTGAGCAGAGGGACCAGGGACTGGTCGTTGCACCGACCTATCACTTTCCCAACGTCTCGAGCAATGTCACGTGAGTAGCCTCGAAATCCTAATCACAAATGACAACTTTATCAGTTCACGTGCTGACGACTTCGCACAGTCCCAACTTCTTCTTCATTCAGCGCTTCATCCCGCACTCGGCCAGCAGGTCCACCATGTCTTACCAAGTCTTTCGCAACAAGAACGCAACGGAAGAGAACTTCCAACTAGTCAATCAGATGTACAAGCGCATCATGTCCGAGGATAAGGTCCTCTGCGACGCGGCACAACGCAATGTGAACGCTGGAGTCTTTGTGAACGGCGAGATGCACCCACGTATGGAGAAAGGCCCTCTCTTCTTCCAGAATCTGTGCCGCGAGGCGGTCACTGAGCATTGGAACAAGGAGAAGGCTACGAAGAAGGAAATTTGGCCGGCAAGGCAAACCTTTGGAGATTACAATGCAGATGCTGCTGAGAGAGACATCACATTCTGCTCAGGGCTGAGTTGCTCAACTCTTGACGAGAAGGGCCCGTTGGCTTGGTAGGCTGCGGTTGGAGGATGGTGAAATTGTTGCCACTTTTGATGGTTGCCTTTGGCGCAGAGGAGTCATGTGTGTCTTGATGTCTCTGGGAGACTTTCTCTTGGACCAGTATGATCGATGTCAGCACAGTTGGGGTGAAAGATGCATTGTGGTCTTTGCAACAGTCGATCGTTATAGTTTCGGGATCATTCTCAAGATTGCCAGTATCAGCGTTGTTTCTCATTGAAGTCGTTCTGATGGATTCATTGGAGCTTGCTTGTCACGATTTCTGAAGAAATTATATTCTCGCTTGCCGAAGTTGCAAGAATCACAAACATGATCACGTCCCTGCTAGGGATCTCATATTTCATTGCTTGCTCGGTGATCGAATGTCGGAGTATTCGTAGAATTGTGCAGCATCTCACCCCATGGTAGAATGCAGCAATTCTAGGGCGATTGACTGTGAATTTGGAATGCCGACAGCTAATGCAAATCTCGATTCAGAAGCTTTCAACACATCACCAACTCTATATGATAAGGCAGGGTTAGTAATAAACAACACTTGATGCGTCCGTTGGTCGGAGAGGCGCGTGGTAATGAGGTACGCTAGCCCTAAAGCAACCGCCGTGGTCTAGACCATGCCTGGGGCGTGCACAATCGTTCGGGCTGGGGAACGAAGTAGATTTCCGGGGTCTCTGCATCGGCTCGTCACGAGCTACCAATTCCTCCACACCTGGTGCGTTGGGGCATGCATATGGCGGTAATTTTTATGTAATATGAACTCCCCCAGGCCGTGCTTGCGGTTAGACTACGTGTCAGTGAGTAATGGGTATCGTCATGTGGCTATCTTGGCCTCATCTGGGCCAACACGAACCAAACCGTCATCTTCACGCCCAGCGATTCTAGCGGCTGGCAAATTCTGGACAGGAAAGTGCCGTGGTGCCGTGGTGCCGTACCCGTCACATACCGCCAGATCCGATGTACTATCTCTTGGGGCATCTGTGGATCTGCACCACAAAAAGAGACGTGGATGATCTTGGTATCTGTCAAAGAGATCAATGATCACTCACTCGAATGAGTCGTTTAGCGCCACTCTTGCATATGCTTTCTTCGGTCCGCGCTGTTGATGTTTACAAAGTCTACACCTCTCCATGTCCAGTGCTTGCGGTGAGCCGCAAGACTTGGCCCCATATTTCTGACAAGCGTGCAAGGCAATGGCAATGATAGACGAGTTCCAAAGAAGACAGCCTCCAGGATGGATGCGAGATCCAATTCCGCACTATCCTGTTCCACAATGTCGGATACTTGTTTCGTAATGTGCTTTATTCTTGCGTTTATAAGTCAAATTCAGCAACCGTGTTACTCAATCACGCCATTGAATCAAAGAAGTCGACGGCATTTCGTATCTCGATCTCTTCGCAACACCCAATGGATATTGAGAAGTGTCCTACAACGTGGTCGTGCGATAGCACGGTATAAGGCAGATCACAATCTTGCCACGACCAGATCCTTTGTGGTAGTGTCCCTCCACCCCAAAAAAGATACCTGTAAATCAGGTACAGTAACCGGTTGTCCCAGGCCGTTAGACGGAGATACTGCCTCGGTACTTTATGCGGGGCTGATAATGCCACACCGAGAACGGACTTGGCGGGTCATGCGGCTCACGAAGCGTCAGATACGTTATCGGACGTGACACTCCGTAGCTTGAATCCTGCCCAGGTGGTGTCGCAGACATGTTGGCAAGAACCCCTTGTCTAGTTCATTCCGGCGATCGTTCGGTGATAGACGTGTCTAGGTGGAGAGTAGTTTCTACTTTCTATCCCGGTAATCTGAATCCAGGTATACAGTGCGGCAGGCTACCTATGAGATGCATCATGGAAATAGCATCACAGCCTACTTTACCAATTTTCGTACTTTTTTTTTTCGGTCAATATTTGATGACCCGCACGAAAGCTTGAAATTCATTATTTGCAATTGTCAACTTCTCACCATCGCCCAACTTCGATCGTCGGCTGAAACTTAACCCCAGTTCTGTCTTTGTGCGACTATCCATCCCTTTTGTTCTTCGCGACATGGCCTCCAGCAACCCATCATATCTCATTGTTGGAGCTGGGGTCTTTGGTGTCTCTACAGCGTACCATCTCATCAAGAAATACCCAAGCGCATCCGTGACAATCGTGGATCGCGATGCTTACGACGCAGAGAGTCGCGTAGCAGCGTCGTGGGATTGGAACAAAGTTGTGCGCGCTGATTACGATGACATTGACTATTGTGCACTGGCACTGGAGGCGCAGGATGCATTTAAGACTGATCCGCTATGGAAGCCTTACTTTGTCGAGACGGGTATCTACTGGATTTGCCGTACGGACTACGCCCAGGATGTGATCAACAACTACAAGAAGCTTGGCAGAAAGGCTGATCTGCAGGCTGTCCCGTGAGTTAGGTCTGACACTGGAAATTGAAGAATTTTCGTTGACTTCGAGCCATGCAGTGTGGAGAAAGCTAAGAAACTCTACGGAGGCCTGTTTGAAGACGCCGACTATGAGGGCGCCAAAGAGGTGCTGGTCAACAGGACCAGCGGTTTCGCTCACGCCGGTGATGCCCTGAGGGCCGTCACCAAAGAGGCAATTAGGCTGGGTGTCAAATACGTTGTAGGTGAGGTTGCTACAGTGACCCTCGACAACATGGGTGTTTGCACTGGTGTCAAGACCAAGTCCGGTCAGGTCCTCCAGGCCACGCACACCATTCTGTCGACGGGAGCATACACGGCCAAGCTGCTAGAGCATAGCGCACAGAGCAGTGGGAACAAGACCATCAGCGCAGGGGACCGCATCGTCGCTGGCGGTATCACCACCGGTATGGTCACACTCGACGACAAGTCGTACGAGAAGTTCAAGACCATGCCAGTTGGCGTGCAAGGATATCGCGTTGAGACAGGCCCTTTTATCGGGAGCCTGCCGCCGACAAAGGATCGGGAATTAAAATGGTGGGGACAGAAAATCTTCACGAATGTGCAAGAAGTCTTACCGGGTAAGAAGCTCTCTGCCCCACCGCCAGAGCCAGACTATGCGCAGTGGAAGGTTTCAAACCCCCTGAAAGAGGACATTGTGTATGCAAACAAGGTGTTCTACGGGAAGAAAGCGGCAGATTGGAAGCAAGAGAAGCACCGTATTTGCTGGTAAGTCCCATGAAACCCGTCCGCCAGTTATGTTGAAGATTAGCGCAATGACTAATCTTAAATGCAGGGACGCTTTTACGACCAGCTGCGACTTCATCATTTCGCCCCATTCGGGAGCTAAGGGACTCTATGTTGCCACCTGTGGTTCCTTCCACGGCTACAAATTCTTCCCTGTACTGGGCAAGTACATCGTGCAAATGATGGAGGGCGAGCTGGCGCCAAATCTGAAAGAGAAGTGGGCGTGGGACCGAGAGCGGCCGGACAGCGCCGGCTACGCGGATTATCCTAGGTTTGAGATGAAAGATCTCCTAGATTACAACGCCAGGCTATAAAAACAGACTCGATACTTTCTAGCGTATAGATGGTAACTAATGGTGTATCCAAGTGCTATGGGGCTTTCGCGGGCTCACATAGACTCGGTCACTGTGTGCTGCATATGTGGCTCTAGAGTAATTATTACCCGTTTCAGGATTTTGAGCGGCGGAAAGTCTACGCGTGCTACGTTAGGCGTTAAACACTGCGTGTCTGGACACCAATGTTAGTACACAAATTAAAAACTTCATGAGCGCTCTCGAGCCGGTGTCATCTTAATCTCTCATCGAGTCAAGGCAAAACCTTGTGCAAATTTCGCCTCAGAGTCTGAGGAGTAATGTGATCTTCTGATCATTCACTTTAAAAGCCAGCGGGCTTTGCATGTCGAGTAAGCGTTGGCAAGATATGCCGTTAGTGTATGTGGGTACGATATCTGAAAATCATCATGTTATACAAGACGCTCTATGCTCGCTGCAGCGAACCCTGCGCGATTGGTCTTCGTTGATCAGGATGTATCCGCTTCGTCTGAGTCACCGCCACGGGTCTCTCTAGTTGCTATTGTTTCTTCCAACTTGTCCCGTCTTAAGCCCCATCCACCACTCCATCCAATCCACCGTCTTTCACGTGGACCTCGTGCAAAGCAGACGAGAACCGCAAAGCCGAGGAAAGCAAGATTTGAAATCCCACTAGCCTTCCATCCCCCAATAGCATATAGGCGGTTTCCAACGGCCGTTCCAGTGAGCTGTCCTGTAAATGCAGCCAACATGTAACAAGTATTAACCCGGTTTCTCGCCTTGGGGTTGACTGCAGCATCTGGAGTCAGCTATTAAAGCACCAAACCAGAAGCTACTACGGATCTGGGGGAAACAATCAGGCCACCATGTGCCCATGGCCTGTCTCAGAATTTGCAGCCTGACAAGAGACTTTGACGCAAGTAATCAAACAGACTAGAGACGGTAGGCTTGTGTTCGTGAAAGGGTCAAAATTGTATCCGGAAGCTGCTTACTATCATTTATTGCTGTTCGATTTGCAATATTACAGGCCTGGTTGCCCAGATCAATAGCAATTGCTTCAATGATTGGGCCAGCGACAGTGAAAGTCCCAGTAAACGTTCCAATGGCGACACCAGTAAGCTCAATACCGATCCCGATGAGACAAGAGTATAGTGGTTGGATCTTATCGATGACGAGGCGACTATACACCGGACCCCAGAAGATTATGGCAATTCCGATGAGAGCAAACAGACCAATGACCAAAGAGCTGTAGTTGAAAGGCGGCGATGAGAGCAGAAATGACAGAGTGGTCCAGAAGGAGGTGAAGATGGAGCTCATGACAAAGCTGATGATGCAGACTTGAACCAGTAACGGCTCGGTGAAGAACATATACAGGATGCTCCACATCAACTCAAACCAGTTCAGACCACCCGGGTTCTTGGATGGATAGTCTGGCATGTAAAAAAAGAGGAGGATAAAGATGCACCACTGAGCACCAAAAGAGAACCAGTATACGTTGCGCCAATCGGTGAAGTTGGCGATGATTCCCGACAATAGGCGGGCAACCAATATGCCAAGAGACAGACCAGAGACAACAATTGATAGGCAGCTCGCCTTCCGGTCGGCGGGTGCTAGATCTCCAACCAGTGGCAACATCAGCTGCGGCGTGACGGTGGTGATACCGCAGATGAACGAGATGGCTGCAAACGATTCGAATCGTGGCGTGAGGCACAAGCCAAGCCACTGTGGGAAAGAATAGAATCAGTCTAGTCATCGAACTGCTGTTTATTGGGCAGGAAAAGGCTTACCATTATGGCTGTGAACATGACTAGAGCTAGGATGTATAGTCTCCTTTTGAATACATCTCCCAATGGACAGATAATTAAAAGTCCAGTAGCGTAGCCCGCTTTTTTGTTAGTCTTCGTGTATGGGTGCTGCACAAACGAGAAGCTTTTACTGGGGTCCAGTGCTGGGTTCCACGTGATGCGCAAGTATGTATAAACTTATGAAAATCGACTTACCCTGTTGAAGAGTCGCTATTGACGAAGCCTTCTCGAAACTGACATCGAATGTAACGGCAATCTTGTACAAGATCGGTTGTACATAGTACAAGTTCGCCACGGTGATCGTGCCGGCCTCATCATCTAAAGTTAACAGCTGATTCATGACGTGGCGCTTGGGTAGCGAGTTGAACCTTACCAGAGCGAACAGAAGGTTCAAGGACAAACTGAATTTAGGCGGTTCATTGGAATCATAACGGCAGTTCTTGGGTGTCCACGTCACGAGAAGCCCGAGGCGGTCGAGAGCAGTCGGATGCTGCTGGGATTGGCACGAATCACTGGGGTCGACGCTGGGCCCTGAAGCTTCTTTGGTGTCTCGATGTTGTTCCGAATCCTGAGCGGGCGCATCTTTAGGTTGTGCAATAGGGACGTTCGAGTTATTTGCTGGCGTTAAGCTTTTATTATTGATGCTGTCGCATCGCTCAGGCGATTCGTTGACCATCTCTGCTTCAATCTGAGGTCTCTCCAAGCCGACAGCGCGTCCGTTGGCCTAAAGCTGATCTTCCCTGTGATTTGCACACGAGACGCTGGTCGAAAGTGCATCTGATGGGCTTGAGATGATCTTTGCCAACTCCAAAGCCAAATGTGATTCTCCAGGGTTACTTGTGTCTTCCCAAAGTCGGTGATTGATGACCTTCACCGTCGGTTTCGGTGTCCGGTACTGTTGACGCCATTCGGACCAAAACCGGCGACAGGGGTCGGACCTCACTAAGCGGCGGGTCCCGGATTCATGACCCTGACATCGTCGGCGTTAACGGGCTTGGCAGAGCGATGGAGATCCCCGATTCACGCCAATCTATCGGTGACGTTATTGCCACTTGAAAAGAATAATACAAGTTTTATAGATAGGTCAAGAGAGAATACATTTGCTTCTCACGGCCTTGACCCCATTGCACATATGATGAGCACATAGATTCTCTGTGACAGTAACCGCTGAACTCGAGACGAATGGCTGTTATGTCTTTTGAGTATAGATGGCAAGCCGATGAATCTAGTCCGCTTTCAATCGGAGTGACTGCCTGGACGGTGAGCGGAGGTTGCAATACACATACACCCCACAGGGACCTGGAGTGATCGCATACAACTAGCTCAGCATATAGTACTCCTTCCAGTGGATAACCTCTTGTGAGAAGTGTGCTGGTGCATTATTTCCGATTCGCCTCTGTCTCATAGCATAATCTATTTTCTGCCTCGTATTGAGTACCTGGCTAACTTCTAAGAGATCTGCAAGTTGTAATGGCTCCTTCAGATGCCAATCAGGATCACCGCCTCAGTGGCAAACCGTTCTATTCCGTAAAAGCTTGCCAGCAGCTAGGAACGAGAATGCAGTAATAGCCCTTTCCAGACCGATTACAAGAAAATGACCAGCCAACAGCAATGTAATTACTACGGTACCTACTTTTGTGCCCAGCCCTACAACCGCCACGGCTTTACTCGTGGCCCGTAGCGTCTAATTCACGCAATAAGTTCTTGCTAAAGATCTTGATGCAGCACATTGACAGTAATTAATGTAGGAGGTCAAGAAAAAAGGCCACCCACGATTGAGTCGCCAAACGACAAGTATACCCTATTTTCAAGCTTATAATCATGCTAGCATTACATACGGGTATGAAACGGTTGTAGCTCAAATTTTCTGGATTGAAGCGATGGATATTGGCGCTAACGACGACTATAATTAAGTCCATGATGTCGTCTATGCATGACAAGGATGGAGATGCCTGGACAAAATGCCCCTGTTTCGAAACAGCTCTTGGCAACAATCTACATCCGACTAGTCATTCCCAAATCTTTCTTCCAATTCATTTGGACCGAACAAACAATCTGGATTTTGACAGGTGGTGACAGCTTGAGCCGCAGGAGAAGTTGGCAGAGCTTTACAGTTGAAACTCTGCCAAGAAAAACTTCCGCTCGCTATACACTTTGCTGTTAAGCCAAGGCATGATGGGCTTAATTACTATATTTGAATGATACATGTGTATACCGTTCAAAAAGGAGGATCAAGATTCCACGATTGATTCATAAATGAAGCCGCCCCGAGCTCTCGGAACCTTTGGAACACTGGACTGACGCTGACATCAAACTTGCTTGCAGTCACTCTTTGTCGTCTTCTCCTGCGTTCGCCACATTCATTCGCCGACTAAAATGCCACAATTACTTCGGTCCTGGACGGCTCTCACCGTCGGGTTAGCTGCACGAGTCACAAATGCATACACTCAAGTTAATATCGCAACGCCATTCATGCAAAAGAATATCGACCCAATCGTCTTCCCTGGCCAATACGACAAGTCACACATGCACTCGTTCTTTGGCTCTGACGCCGTAACGATCAATACTTCGACTAGCGCAGCCCTTCAAGAGGGCTGTACCAACGCGGAGAATCCAAATGACCTCTCAGTCTACTGTAGGCAAGCCTGCAGCCAAAGCCACTAGCATGCCGGATCACTTGCTCACAATTTCTTTCAGGGGTGCCTACCCTTCTGTATACCAAGGATGACGGTTCAACCTGGGAGCCGGTTCCACTCAGCCGATTTAGCGCGGTAAGTGGACTTAAAGAACGTGCTGTCCTGACTTGACGAGGTTCCTCTACAAGAGCTGGCCCGCCCGTCATACGAGAAGGTCCGTATCATTCGTTAATATCTGTTGCTGTAGTACTACAACCTAGGAGAAACCCCTGCGGAAGTCCCAATCCCTCAAGACCTCAAAATGCTTGCAGGCTCAGCCAGCGCGACAACACAAGACGCCTCACCGACTGACGCTAAAGTCGAGTGGTTCTGTGAAGGAGATAGCGGCATCTCAGCTGATGCGAATGGCTTCCCAAGTTCAACATGCAGCACGCATCTCCAAACTCTGCTCTACTTCCCGCAATGCGTTAACGTGGACACTCTCGAGACAGCCTACAAAAGCAGCTCCTATGGCACCGATAATTACTGTCCAGAGGGATCGAGTTCCATGCCACAACTTCGCTTCAGCATTCGCTATGACTTGCGTGATGCCCTGGGCAGCGGATGGAGTGGGACGGCGCCGTTGCAGTTGGCTTGTGGCAATGCGTGGTGCAGTCACGGTGACTTCATCATGGGCTGGACGGAGGAGGCAGCACAAAACATGGTTGCAGCTACCAGTGACAAGCAAAAGTATGCGTCAGTCAACGGTGCTTTGGGAAACGATGGCGAGCAGCCCAATTGCAAGGCCACAGACGCAGACCCGGACCATGGCACGAGCGATTATGCTGAAAGCGTGGCAGCTATGGGCAAGCGCTCCGTGGACGCAGCGGGATGGCATTCCAGGTCTAGATTCCGGTCTGCGAAGAGGGCCTGATACTGAGTATCGGAATGAAATGACTCGCAATATCCCTATCAGATCGTTGACCCTGTGGGGAGCCTTCGCCTTCGTCGATTAACCAAATTTCACGACTTTGTTCGCTGTAATATCTGAGTCCCCGCCGATCTTATGGGATTACAAGCGGCTCGAGCTTGTTCCTTACTATCGCTTAGTGCCTTAGTCGGCAAACTTATCGTTTGCAGGACATCAGAGCATGCCCTTGTTGGATGGTCCAATTGCGAGACACATTTTCAAATGCTCTAGGGCATAGCCTACGTCTGGTATAAAACTTTGCACTCAGCCCTTTGATTTTCAATTCAGGTATGACGAGCCTGTTGTATGTTGCGAATCCTGCGTTTCACCCAGAGATTGAGAAAAAGAAAAAGGGGAAATTAGTATCAGCTCGTAGTAGGGCCACATTGTTTCCGAAATAATGTTATGGGCGCAATTCTCCATCACACCGCAATTCGCAGCTCCTCATTACGTGTACTGAGGAGGTGATTTGAGCTTTGATGTGTTTAAGGTTGCAGATGGTGTGCAAGGCTAAGGTTTCACAGGATGTCGATCAGCACCATGCTGCCCAGGCTGCGCACGAAAGTGACGCGTGTAATCGTGTTTATTACGATCGCTCTGGGTGAGTGCTTCGAGCGCTTCGTCCGAGCGCGGCCGAGCTGCATAGCCTGCCCAGGATACCCTTACTGGGCCGGTAGGAAGTCTAAAAAGATCATCGTATATGAGATGAACACCCCACGGGGTCAACGGTTATTACTACTGTCTTAGCCAATAGACGTGAAGTTGATTTCTGCATGTTTGTTAATCATTCTTTGTAGCATTGGCTCTCTTTTTGGTTCGGTAGAGACCACTGTGGAGATGCGCCTAGTAAATAAATGGGTCCCGGTACTCCAAGCTTGAAGTCCGTGGTACAAGCCCCTTGGAATGCTCGACAGTATCAGACCGCACTCTGTGACAAAGCCACGTACTAGGAAACAAAAGTTCTGGTCGTTGGAATTGGTTGATACGGATCCACAGGGCAATTCACGCTACGAGCCTGATGCTCGTGCTGCGCCTGAAGTATTTCTTACTAATAAAATGAGGAAACTCGCGGCGGCATGTATGCTGCGTTCCATCGAGCTGAATCGTATTAGACTGTGGATCTACTTGTGGTAGGTGCGTGCAGAATCGCCATGAAGGTCTGGGAAGCTGCAACACTGGGCGACTCAATCCTGCAGCGAACGGACACATCTGCTGACGTCTCCCACGTCGTCGATTGTATCGTCCAGGTGCCCACCCTCTCGCGTCTCTCCACAAACGAAACGATATGTCGAAACATATGGAGAAGAAAGAGGTCCGCTCAGAGCTGACGCGCTCACTCCTGAAGTCGTGGTATAGTTTTCTATTTAAGCACTCCGGCGGTGAAGATTGGTTTTGCTCTGTTCCTCCTGTCTCAGAAGCGTTTGTTCAACATACTGTCTTTGATACTGATACAACTTTGAGTTAATGTACATCAACCGTCTTCGTTCTACCGCCTTGTATATTTCAAGACCCCTGTGTTGTTCCTTGGAGATTTATCACTGAAAACGCTTTTCATGCAATATGTATGCTCACCTGGCCGTCTCGCTCATTCTGCCACTCTTGGTTTCCCATGCAGCTGGGCAGAATCAATGCCCTTCCGTCTGGGGCACCGTTGCAGCCGACCTGAAGACTATATTTGCTGGCGATGATGGCTGCACTGACGACGCTCGTGCAGCTATTCGTCTGCCCTTTCACGATTGCTTCCCGGGAGCCTGTGATGGCTCCATCATACTCAGCGATGAGTGCACTTCGCGCGGCGAGAACGCACAGCTCATCGATATTTGTAGCACGATTGGTGCTAAGGCTACCCAATATAATGTCAGCACGGCCGACATGATACAGGTAGCAGGTGGTAAGGCTCGCATGAATAACATCAGAATGGTGCGAATAGCTGGCTAACAACTTCTTGCTTGGTTGCAGCTGTTGCAATTGCCGCCTGTCCTCCCGGCCCTACCCTCCAGATCAAAGTTGGTCGAACCGATGTCGCAACAGCCAATCCAACTGGACAAATTCCATCTCCAAGCAGCAATGCGACAGTGCTCATTGCTCAATTCGCGGCTAAAGGGTTCGACAGTGGCGAGCTGGTCGCGCTCGTTGGGTCCCACAGCGCCGGGAAAAACCTCACTGGAACTCAATTCGACACAACACCTGGCAGCTTGGATAGTACGACCTTTTACAGTGAGGTCCTCGACGACACACAACCCGCAACATTGTTTAGTGATCAGTCTTTGGCCACGGACGACGCGACGAGTGCGGACTGGCGTGAATACGCAGACAGCCAAAGTACTTGGAACACTGACTTTGCGGCAGCGTAAGTGTGGTCCAATGCAGACGTCATACTTAAGAATGGATTCAGCTGACGCCGATCGTAACCAGCATGGAAAAAATGGCTGTTTTAGGAGTCGATGAGTCTACACTTGTGGACTGCACCGACACAATTTTTGCGGCGATCTGATATGTTTCTCAATGGAAACTAAATAATACAAGAGCGGTTCGGGTCTCAAGAAGAAGTCAACACTATAGTCTGGCACTCAGAAATTTCAGGGATGCTTCAACCTTTCAACAAACTCATGATCAGAGGAGGTTAGAGTCAGAAATCCGCAGTATGATCCTGATATCTGCTTCATCATGTCGAATGCACACAAATGGGATTCTCGGATGAAGTCGTCTCCGGAAAAGCTACAATCCTAGACAAGCTTGCATCCCTGATATAATTACCAGTCCTGCAGAGCTTCATGGTCTCACAAGATACTTCCGGCCCAGTTTAAAATTATCAAAAAATAGTTATCATACTAGTGAAGCGTCTGGGTTCCCAGCGTATCATTTTGCAAACTTTGAATAAAAGTAAATGGCACGCCTCTGTGACCCCTAGATGTATTATCTGTAGCGACTGAATATCGGCGGTCAATGACTCCATGAACTAGCTCGTTCACTGTCGGATAGTATCTATCTCCTGCCCAATTTCTTCGTTTCGGCACTTTGGAATTTCTTCGTGCTTCCTCCTCGAAAACTGGGAATAAGCCAGTGTCGCCAAACTCACATGCCAGACATGCCTGGGAGGTCGGTAAGCCCTAGAAGTGCCGTCACGTTAGCACCGCCTCTCGACGTGACTGGTTGAATCACATCAGAATGAGTCAGAAAGCCTGAAACTTACATCCATCAATGTCCTCGTTGACTTGCTTTTTAGCGCTGCAGGCATTCATCTGTGCCACGCTCTGCGACTTGAGAGGGTTGCCGTTCTCACACCCCTGGAACATGCAATTCGAGTCCATAGCACGCTGGAGCGCATCACCTTTCCATCCAAATACATAGTCGGCATGGGTACCGTAGCCGTTCAAGCCACCGTCCTTGCCCATGTAGCTCATCACAAATGGGTTGGGGGTCCCACTAGGCCACATTGAAGCGAACTTCGCCGTGTCCCAAAGGGTCTCGTAAGCCACTTGGGGCATACGCACGGGGTGTGACGCCGGACAAGCTCCGGCCGGTTGGAAGGCACCGGTTTGCGTATCATACATATGGTCCTGGTGATTCGGGGTATCTAGGTTCTTTCCATCCCAGCATCTTGTTACACAGGGGAAAGTCAGCATCGAGCTTCATCAGTCGCGACACTTTTTAAATCAAGACGCGAAGTCAGTGAATAATTAGGGCCACATACGATGGGAAATGGTGTACGGTCATAATACCACCGGGGCACGGCGACGTCGGGAAGTTGTCGAGTTCAGGGAATCTTGTTGATTTGTTTTGGAGGCAGACAAATTTGAGACCCTTCTGTGAGTTCCCGGCCCCTGACCCGGTGGTCGTTGGGTCACCCACGGTCATTCGGAAGCCCTAGAGATCTCTTTGATTAGTGATTTGTAAGTGAATGCGGATGGATAATATGCGTACTGGCTTGAACGCCGTGATCTTTTGGTTACCGTTTGAGTAGAAGTCCTGTTGTGTGTAGTATACAGTCATTCCTAACAAGATGTCAGCTAACGAGGATTTTTTGGAAAACCGTCTAATTAACCACATACCTCCGTTGATACCAGCAGGAAGAGCATCATTCTCCACTGTTACATTTTGAATCAGCAATCGGATACCGAGTAAAAAGCTAAATACCAAAACGTGGTACGTTAGGCTAAGATATTTCTATTTTCGTCTCAAAAGCTGCGGCCAGATAGATGGCTTCATGACAAATAGCGACAGACTGAGCGCACGGCGGATATCTGTCCGCGGAAAGATTCAGATTATATCTGAGAGCTGCTTACTGATCGGCACCCGTTTGTAAGACCCGTTGGTCGGGTGCTTGAAAAACATGACGGCGGTCCAGTAATTCGAAAAGTCCTCGGAGAAAGTGCAAGTTGTACAGGTGCCTTGGTTGCCAATGTCGCCTGACATGGTGGCGTTGAATGCATTACCTCCCACGATCTGGTGCAGATGGGCCGAAGGGGTCTTGCCTGGTTGCACGAGAGGATCTAGTCGTTGAATGCTCACAGTGCCGCATCCAAACCGAAGGGCCGCCTGCGACGGCGAAGACGCGCAGATGGCAAGGGCGAAAGAAAACCACTTCATCTTGTTCGGTGATGGTGGCAGCGCTCGGGATGTTTGGTCTTGCAAAATCACCAGGGGTTTTTTGAAGATAGCGTTGTGTTTTATACATGAGCCAAGGTCATCTGGCTAGGGATCAGCCACCTATTTGTATCAAGCCGCGGCTCACACGGGGCTGATTTTGTCGATGCTCGGTTCTCCCGTTTGGTTCACGTACCGTTCACAGCCACCCTGATCATCCGTTCTTGTATTGATTGTACATTCAGTCAAGCAGAACGTGACCAATTTCTAAGATTCTGAACAATTGGGAAAATCCTTTTCCGTGCCTAGAGATGTTCCCAGCGAACGCGCTGTCCCCCTCCAAATTGTCGTGCATCCAATGACCCAACTGCCGACAGATTGTCGACCTGCCTATTTACCCGGATTTTCTGGGCGTGTTTCTTTTCTTGATTAATTCCTCCCTTGGCAAACCATTTAAATGAACGGAAAGTTCTAGTAGGTAGCGAGACTTGACGCAAGCCAGTGCTCATGAAGCGAAACCCCAGTTTCCCTTGCACGCAAAGGGGCGCAAGCAGAAGATGATTATCTCCGGGCTTTTCAGTCCAACCTGAGACGCTCTATGTTGATCACCATCTCATTGGACTGAATAAAACGACTCATATCGTCGTTTTTAGCACCATCTAGATTGTGACCGCTCGTCTATCCTCGCAAAACCTGCCAGGTTTCACCGTGGTTGATGGCACAGCATTGATATGTCAGCTGGAGAACGACTCGGAGGGTTCAAGGCAAACAGGATCGATCTGCGTCTGTGGTGAGTATGCTTTCTTTCTTGAAATATGGAAAGACATCCTTGATAGGATTATTTCAGATATGGAGAGTAAGCCATTTGTTGTATATGAATACTTTCACTAGACGACCTACAAGTTCGGGACACCATGGATCTGATGACATCAGGATTCTCATATTGCCTGAAGGTTCCAGGTTGAAAACTCTCGAGTGAAACATCGTCAGTTTAATACCAATACACTCGATATACAGGCGAAGCGTGCGGCGTTTGAGCCCTTCTCACCGTGTCCGGCCTGTACGTTGGGCAGCATTTCGGGGAATATTGATGGAGGTACTGCGCTAACATTGAGAGGGATGAAAAGAACCACCATCTCGAAGAGCAGAGATATCAATGAGAAAAATTGCGAAGCTCGAATTTACCATAAACCGCATGGTCAGAAGCCGACAGATCCTCCGAGCTAGACAACTCCTAAATGAGTCACCTTTCCACCTCAACAGTACCAACCCTATTTGTTATCATCGGTGCTTCATATAATCTTCAACAAGGTACCTGGCATTACCAACACCGTAATTCATCTATACTATAATCTCTGCCCCAGTGGCGTTCCGACTTCTTTGACACGATGCGTTGCACCTGTCAGGGAACGAGATAGCCCATGCTGGCTTATAATACCCAATCATCTATTGACAAGAAGAAGCGGTTTTAGGCTATGAGAGACAATCTGCTCGTGACCATGAATTCACCTTCCCAAAATCTCCTCATGGACCTTTTTCAATCATGTGCACCATAACTGTTGGGTTTCATAATTAGGATTTGCTGGGCGTCCGCCATGGCATTGGGATAAATTGGTACCGTTACTAGAGAAATGCGTCAAACAACATCCAGCGCACGCGATCACTAATTCCAAACCTTCCGGTCTTAAGCACCATTTTCAAGGTCGAGTCCCCATCACAGATTCAGAGGTGCTGCCTGAACATCTCTCCTTCGATGTTGGTTGCGATTCTGTGACAGTGCCATCTTCGATCCTTGTTTGTGGTCGTGTTAGAGGACATGGATTGCGAGCTCGCCATCGACGTCCCTGAAGATAAGCCAGGTCGTCCGGATTGATTCGTCGTCAGCACATCAGGGTGGGTGGTGAAGAAGTATTGGTGAAGTCAGGGACGAGCTATCTACTGACCTCCCAAATTCGGTCAATTTGTACATTATGTCGGCAAAAGTCCTAACATCTTGGTTGGGCCCAGCTCGGCATGGAGCATGGGCATCTGGGTCGGAGGAATACATGCAGGCGTTGGCGGTCATCTCGATTGAACGCGTCGGCTGCTCGGGCGATGATTAATACATTCTAGTAGCGAGGTACACTATGCGGCACTAACAGAAACATGAATAAATTCTATCGGTCGTTGCTGATTACAATATGCATTTGCTGAAGGAGTGATACAAGCCGTAATTATGATAGAGCTAGATTCGTGCAGCCCGGCGACGAAAATGGGTGAATAGCTGACCCGGGTGCGTTTATCTTGAGTCAATCTCATAAACATTGTGGGCCCTGCAGCTCCACACTAAGACTCTTCCCGAACGATGCTGTTTTCCGCAACTCCATAATGATTCAGCCAATACAATCGTCATGCAGGGTCACGTTGCGATTCAGAGTGATTGTTACAGTTGAATATGACCTTTGAATGCAGTCGACTTGAACCAACTTTCTTCATTCCTGCGTCCATCTTGCAGAAAAGTGCGAGCTTGTCAAATGCTTTGATCCTCTTCGTGATGATTTTGAATCATTTCCCCATGCTTTTGCTCATCTTGGGTCTTGGCTTAACCATTCGTCAAGTCTGTAATGCGATTTTCGTCCGCCCATTCCTGTCCTCGCGAAAGTCCAAGGCTCTAGGCTGTGGTGCCATTCCACTCGAAAGGACGAAATGGCCTCTTGGACTCGACATGGTCCGAGCAGGGCTAAAGGCTGATCGAGAGCAGCGCACGCCGGATTTTGTCACCAGGCGGTTCCTCGATATTGGTCGCTGGACTTTCCGCATTAGCATTCTCGGAACGTCAAACATAATCACAGCCGAGCCAAAGAATGTCCAGGCCGTACTTGCCAGTCAGTTCAATGATTTCGAAATGGGGCGAGCCCGGAAGACAAACCTGAAAGCCGTATTGGGACGGAGCATATTTGCTGTGGACGGCCAAGCATGGCACTCGGCCCGAGATGTTGTGCGTCCAATCTTCGCCAGGGAGAATATTGCCAACCTGAAAATGCTGGAGAGTCATGTGCAGACTTTATTCGCCTGCATTGAAAAATCATCTATCGATCAATCCGGCTGGACAGAGCCAGTTGGTCTGGCAAGGCTATTCCCATCCCTTACTATCGACAGTGCGACCGAGCTATTCCTTGGGCAGAGCACCCACTCGCTTCCTGCTAGACTAAAAGGCGAGCCACTGCAGCACGACTTTCATTGGGCCTTTGAGCGTGTTCAGGCAACACTAAGCGTCCGTATGCGACTTCGCAGTCTTTACTGGGTATACGGCCATAAAAGACTTCAGGAGTCAATGAGAGTTCTGAACGCCTTTGTGGACAACAGCCTAAGGTCAGCCGACATTGCCAAACGGGAAATAAAGTACGATTTTCTCAACAGCCTTCGTGAACGATGCACAGACCAGAATGAAGTACGTGAGCAAGTTCTCGGTCTCCTGGCAGCGGGCAGGGACACTACGGCAAGTCTTATGGGCTGGGTCTTCTACTGCCTAGTGAGGAATCCTCGAGTTTTCGAAAAGCTTCGCAATGTAATTCTAGAGGAATTTGGACCAGATACCGCAGATACAGACATTGTAACTAGACAGGTCACTTTCCACAAGCTGAAAGGGTGTCGATACCTCCAGCACGTCATGAGCGAGACCCTCCGCCTACACAGTATCGTCGCCTTCAACAGCCGGATGGCTGTTAGAGATACGACGATTCCCACGGGTGGCGGCCCCGACGGCACGCTGCCGGTTTTCGTTCCGGCTGGGACGGAGGTCAACTTCTCAACTCATGTGATGCATAGGCGGAAGGATCTTTGGGGCGAGGATGCAGATGTTTTCCGACCTGAAAGGTGGGAAACGAGTAGACCAGGCTGGAGCTACGGTAAGTTTGATAACCCGCCTCTACTTTCATACTGTCATATGTCGCTGGTCTAATCTTATTTCGAATTTCTACTTATTGAGGTTTCCGAGTCGTGCCTACCACCCCCCCCCCCCCAAAAAAAAGCCCTTGTTCAAGAACAGAGCGCTGACCTAGATTTCAATAAGTTCCGTTCAATGGAGGGCCAAGAATCTGTATTGGGCAGCAGTTTGCCCTGACTGAGGCGGGCTATGTTATCGTACGGATGTTGCAAAGGTACGACGGTATTGAAGGGTTAGACATCCGTCTAGATCAGGAGTACACGCACTTCACCATTGTGGCAGCACCTGGTACCCCAACGCGGGGCGATGAGGCGGTCAAATGTCGATTAAGACTCACCATCAGGTAACTTGTCGAAATCGGTGTCCAGGGTAGCAAAGCAGTCCTGTCACCTTCACGTCAGTAGGTCAAAAATTCAAAATAGCTCAAAAATGGTGATGGAGGTTGATTTTTAGTTGATAATCGCATCCTGCAGGCTGACCCTAGTTAACAATCCTGTATGGTGTGGTTGGTCGCAGGTTGAACGACAAGGAGACAGTCTTCCACTACTAGTATAGTGATGTAGTGGCGACAAATATGTCCTGGGTTTCCTATGCGCTCTAGGATCAGCATTTTCTCCCGAAGCGCATTCACAACACGCCCACAAATTCGTCTCCGTAACTCATGTTGGCGCACGTTGTTCCCTCTTAGATTGAGACTCTTTGACCCCTGTTCTCATCAGACCGGCATGTTCTTCTTCCACTGTCAAGGGTCCGCTGGCGACAAGTAGTGGACACAAGATCAACAATGAACCCCTATCTCGGCACTACATTCAGGACCCACTAATCTGTTCCTGGGCAAATCAGACCTCTCTAGGTTATCTTATTCTAGGTTGAGGACACCATGATTTTGCCTGGATTACAAAGGGGTAGCCGTTGTGAGAATTTCAATGCCGTACTCTACGTTCTTTGATCCCGGATAATTACTGACTCGCCTATTTTCTTTGCAATACTGACTCTCTACCGCGAGTCAATGGTTGATGGAATAGGGAATCCGTGGGGAATGCTTTTCAGCCACTCTGAATAAAGATAAGCAGCACGTGTCTCGACTGTTTTCTAGGTGAGGCCGGGTTGGACATAGAAGGCAAATGTACGCGTCACGTCTCGCGAATGCTCTCGCGTTAGTCAAAATATCCCACCAAGCAATAAATGAATTAGACCGAATTGGAAGAGTGTTTCGAAGATAACATGAATCGGCGTTGCTGAAACGTCTACACAAGTGGCTGGTACCACCTGAACACGTTGTCCGGGTCGTATTCGTGCTTAAGCGCTCTCAACTTTTGCAACCTCCACGGCTCATATCCGTACAGAGCCTCCGGTGGGTCTTCCATGGTTGACGTTGTGTTACCATAGTTAACATATTGATGAAGTCGGCCGTACCCAGAGACTGCAATAAACTCTCTCTTCCATTTGTCAAGGTGTGCCTCGAATGCATCACGATCCTCAATGCTGAAGGGAGTCGCGGTCATCATCCTAGAACGAATTAGGTCTCGTTCCAATGTGAAAGACAAGAGACTTACAGAAAGTGATTGGTATCAAATCTCCATGGGAATGCCGTGGACTCTGCGTCTAGCTCACGAGAGCGATGATGCGGCAAACTTTCGAACATAGCCCCGAATACCCCCTTGCCGGCCCAGGTCTCATTCATTTCCTTAAGGCTGGTAAAGAACGCTTTGGTGGTATTTAGATCAAATTTTGCGACACTCGCCGCACTCATCATTTTGTAGGGTGCTCTGGACCAGACTTCGGGTTTGCTCAAAATTTTGTTAAGCCCATTGTATGTAGTCCAAGGTAGCTCCGACCAAGTTGTCTTGGTCTTAATCCCGGTGACCACAGGCTCCAGAGTCTTGAATTGCTGTATCCAATAGTCGGCCTCTGACTCTTTGCCAGACCATACAAGATTGACAAGAATGAGGTGCTATATGAAGTCAGCCATGACACTCAGTCTATCAGGGTTGCGGGGACCCTTGCCTTCAGTCCCGACTTGCTTTGCCTACTCGATAAAACGAAGATCGCCAACTCGGGAGGCATAGAATCATGTACCCTGTTCAAAGTTTCGAACACGCTGTCACATTGTTCGAGGCTATACTCAAAGTCCCAAGTAAAGTGCCTGCCCCCGTATGCCTGAGGATAGGCCTGGAACGTTGCCTCAACCGCAATGCCAAAGTTGTGGCCAGCACCACGAATCGCCCAAAAGAGGTCTGCGTGGGAGTCACGGGACACCACTGTCACCGATCCGTCCGCGAGGACCAACTTACACGAGATCATATTATCGTGCAAGAAACCATACTTCCCCTGTAGACGACCTAGGCCGGCCCCGAAAGATACTCCGATCACTCCCGTCGTTGGACAGGACCCGACATCTCAAAGGCATACAGGTTAGCTGAAAGTCTCGCACAAGTTCTAGTATTCTTCTGTAGCGAACACACTTATCTCCAGTCCTTTGCTCTCGAGGAACCGGACAAATTCGTCAGTAATAACCCCGCCACCGATGGTCACATAGCCCGTCTCCTCGTTCAAGGAAATCTGGTTCAGCGATCTCATGTCGATTAGAAGACCATTTTGGAGGTGTCGCATGGTAGTTGTCACACAATGATGGCCAGCCCTGGGCGAAAAGGGAATACCCTTCTCCCGCGCGAACTTGACTATGCACACCACGTCGTGCGCACAGCCTGGCCGAACTGCCAAAGCATAGGTCTGTGTTTGTGGTTAGCGACTGAGGTAGTGCCAGATGAAAACAACTTACCGGCCGCTCATATTCAGTGAAACGCAAATCCGAGTTCGCGAAGCCATTCGACAATGGCAAATAGATTTCAGCGCGATCCGACAAGCAAGCCTCTAGCTCAGACCGTAGTCTCGTAGGAGACTCTGCCATGAGAGACATGCTTGAAATCGATGTCTGGTAAGCTCAGGACTCTCCAGTGTTAGCAATAGTGGCACTTGGTACGAGCGCTACTATCCTAAAGTGAATGCATCTGCCTTGCTGAAGTGGTATGAAATCTGATGCTGTTGGATAATTATCCTATTAATCGGCAATCTCTAAAACGTGGTGTCTGACCCTTGCCCGATCATGGAGTACAGCATTTTGTCTTCCAAGGGCCCAGCCCCACTCTCAGAGGCGTCCGCGAGTAAGTCCTTCGGGCCCATACAATACGGGGCGCCTTCAAGTTGTCAAGGGTACTAGAATATTTTGCCGCTAAATGTTGCGGTCCGCTTGGAGGTCCTCGTGCAAGAACTATTGGCAGACAGTCAGCCAAAAGGTCAAATTACCGATTTGGGTCTGGGACCCGGGAGCATGTAACATCCCCAGGTTTGAGTGACCCAGAACGGTGGTGCGCTCCCCACACAGTCTGCGCGGTGATGGGTCCAAGAAACAACTTCACACGTGAACAGCTTCGCTGAGCCTTCCAGTCGCCTGCAGGGTCTCAATCACTTCCGGGCATTCACGGTGAAATTTCTGGAATCCCTGTGCTGAGATTGCTCGTGGAAAGTGGGAGTGATCCCAGACCTATCACCGATATTAAATCGGTCTAGCTGCTGGAGTGTCCGAGCAATGTGGGCCAGTATCACGATTGAGTAGCCATGGATCGTTATCTTACAAACGCACCAACACTTGTCCTGTGAGTTCATCTAATATCTGCCGGGCCCCAGGTGCCCTCGAGATATAGACTATAAATGTCCCCCAAGCTTGCAGTGAGCAAGAGTGCTTACCGAAGCTCATTCCCGCGCAACTCCATAACACAATAATCAGGTTTTGCTTTTTGACGTTATTATACTCTAAGATGGCAAGTGCAGTACAATCAGCGCACAATCCCGTTGCCATCATCGGCATAGGCATTAGAGCCCCTGGAGATGGCTCTGATCCAGAGAAATTCTGGGATATGCTAGTCGAAGGCCGTTCGGCACGCTCAGAGGTTCCCAAGGACCGTTACAGTATTGATGGCTTTTATCATCCTAGCCCCGAGCGGCTGGGAAGCATTCAACCAAGGTGAGTTTAATCAATCTTGAACGCTCAAATAAATGGATGGCGGCTGAAGATCACAGACATGCACATTTTCTGAAACAGGATTTCAAGGCGTTTGACGCCCCATTTTTCTCCATCACGCCCAAGGAGGCGAAAGCAATGGATCCCACACACAGAATGCTTCTCGAGGCCACGTATGAGGGCTTCGAGAACGCCGGCCTGCCACTTGAGAAAGTGGCTGGTACACTCACATCCTGTTATATCGGCACCTTCACAGGAGACTTTCCCAATCTTCAGGCCCGAGATAATGAAGGTCCTTCAATATACCATGCTACGGGTCTGTCCTCGTCTCTGGCCTCGAACAGACTGTCATGGTTCTATGACCTCAAGGGTCCTTCGATGACTATTGATACAGCGTGTTCGTCGAGTTTGACTGCGTTCCATCTGGGTTGCCAGAGTATCAGAACTGGCGAGGCGGAAATGAGTGTTGTTGCAGGGTGATTTCTCTATCCAGCCTTGAATTGTCGAATAAGGTCCGCTGACGTCGTGTTCGTTAATAGCGCCAACCTCATGTTCGGCCCTGACATGTCCATCCTTCTTGGTGCGGCCAAGATCTTATCGCCGGAGGGAAAGTCAAAAATGTGGGATGCCAGCGCAAATGGCTTCTCTCGTGGCGAAGGATTCGGTGTGCTCATCATCAAATCCCTTGACGCCGCTTTGCGTGACGGGGACACAATCCGCAGCATCGTCCTTGCCAGTGCCTCTAATGAGGACGGTCGGACTCCAGGCATTTCTCTTCCAAGCAGCGAAGCTCAGCAGGCACTCATCCAGGCGGCCTACAAACAAGCCGGCGTCAGCCCTTCGGAGACAGGATACGTCGAGGCCCACGGTACAGGTACACAGGCCGGCGACCCTTTGGAGGCGAAAGCCATTTTGGCCACGATTGGTCAGGATAGAACAAGTCCGCTGTTGGTTGGCTCGGTCAAGACTGCTATCGGGCATCTGGAGGGCGCGGCCGGCGTGGCTGGCGTCATCAAGGCAGCATTAGTCGTTGAGAGGGGAATCATCCCACCGAACCTGTGGTTTGAGAAGCTAAACCCTCAGATCAAGCTACCGTTCAATGTCAGGATACCGACGTCGGCTACCACATGGCCCAGTGACGGCCCTAGGCGGGCAAGTGTTAACTCCTTCGGTTTCGGCGGCGCCAACGCTCACGTCATACTCGAAGACGCAGCTTCGTATCTGATGAGAATGCACAGAGTGGGTCGCCATTCGACCCAGAAGCTGTCGACAGGATCAGTCACCAGGATTTGCATGACCAATGGGTCCAACAAGAGTCATATCAACAGCCAAAGCAATGGGCATACCCATAGCGCTGCCGAACCTAGACCTCGCGTCTTTGTCATCTCATCCAATGACAAGGATGGTGTATCCCGGAATGTTGAGCGGCTCCATTCTTACCTCTCAACCAAGGCATGCTCTCAGTCTGATAGCAAAAACCTCGCTCACACCCTTTCCACAAAGCGTTCAGTTCTTCCATGGAAATCCTATGTCACGGCTTCGTCGTTCTCGGAGCTGCAGTCAAGCCTTACAACGTCCTTGTCTTCTCCCGTTCGTTCGTCCAGCACATCAAATCCTCGATTGGCATTTGTTTTCACCGGCCAAGGGGCGCAGTGGTTTGCTATGGGAAAAGGTTTGCAGGTATTCTCCGCCTATCAACAAAGCATGGATGCCAGTGAGCAGATGCTCAGGGCCTTCGGCTGCCCCTGGAGCCTGGATGAAGAGCTGAGGAGGCCGGAGCAGGAATGCAACCTGCGAGGGACTGATTACTCTCAGCCAGCCTGCACTGCAATCCAGATCGCTTTGGTTGACTTGCTGAGGTTTTGGGGCATCAAGCCAGTCGCTGTCGTCGGCCATTCGTCTGGTGAAGTCGCCGCTGCATACGCCGCTGGTCTCATCGGCCACGAGACGGCCATGAAAGTCGCTTGGTTGCGAGGTCTAGTCTCTGGAACAGTCTCTCGGACCGGCCCCAAGGGTTGCATGCTTGCTGTGAGCGCGAGTGGTGACTCTGTAAGTGGCAGGCTAGCCGGTCTGCGCAGTGGCAAGGCTATCGTGGGTTGTTACAATAGCCCGAAGGCATGCACGATTTCCGGAGATGCATCAGCTGTCGACGAGCTGCAAGAGATATTGAAGAAGGATCAGATCGCTTGCACTCGTCTGTCTATGGATGTCGCTTACCACTCCTTCCACATGGAGACTGTCAGAGACCAGTACGAGGCTGCCTTGGCAGACATTCCACACGACTCGGTCGGAGAGGTCATCCCTATGTTCTCGTCGGTCACCTGTTCGATCGTCACATCTAAGCAGATTTCTCCAAGTTATTGGGTTCAAAATCTTCTTCGACCAGTTGATTTCACTGGCGCCTTGACCGCACTCTTGAACCACGTCAGGGACAAGGCCGAGAATTTGCACGACCGCCGAGCCTTCGCCGATATATTCCTCGAACTTGGCCCACATTCTGCTCTACGCAGTTACATGCTCGATATTTTCCGTAGTACGGAAGGGAGATACACTGACCTTTCTTACGAGACGATGTTGCGTCGAAACTTCGACGGCACCAAAACTGCACTGGACGCCATGGGCAACCTCTGGGCCAAGGGCTTCCATCTCGACCTGGACTTGATCAACGATACCCCAGTTGCGAACAGTCAAATGCTCGTTGACCTTCCACCGTATGCATGGAATCACAGCTTGAAATTCTGGGATGAGTCTCACCTTTCCAGAGCATATCGCCTGCGATCGAGGCCTCGTTTAGATCTTCTTGGGTACCCCGTCGCGGGGGTGCCGGATCCGACGTGGCGGAACTTTCTACGTTGCAGCGAAAATCCCTGGATTCGTGAACACAAGGTTCAGGGCAATATGCTATATCCTGGCGCTGGCATGCTTGTCATGGCAATCGAGGCTGCCAAGCAGCTTGCCGAAGAGCAATATGGCGACACTGAGGACATCCATAGTTATGAGCTTCGGGATGTCAGTATCGTCACTGCACTTCGTGTGCCGGACACTGAAAAAGGCATTGAAGTCATGGTCCAACTCCATCCTCGCCGCACGGGAACCAAAGCTGCTCCATCAGCCACGCTGAACGAATTTACTGTGTCGTCGTGGTCGGAGGACAGCACAGAGTGGATCATTCACTCCCGAGGTCTCATTAGTGTGACCTTGGTATCGTCAATTTCGCCTACTATGCAACAGCAACTTGACTTAGACAATGACGCCATCAGAAAGTCCTTCGAGGCAGCAAGATCCGAGTGTCAAAAGCCAGCACGAAACTTCTTGTACGACAACGTCGAGACGATTGGTATGGTGTATGGACCAACTTTCCGCAACGTTCAGGATTTATGGGCCGGCCAGGATGCAAGTTACGGCACAATTGCCATACCGGACACGAGGGCTGTAATGCCTGAGAAGTTCGAGTACCCAGTGAGCACAACTTGTCCCCCTCCCCCTCTTCTGTTCTCAACTTTCTGATGTGCCATAATTTTGGCATGCACCCCTCTATTCTTGCCATCAGGTGTGGATTGAGCTACTGGCAGACCTCAGCATACACGTTGACTCTTTCCGCGCACCTTATCTTTCCATATGTTTCAATGTTCGATGGCTGATTTAGAATGTGACAGTGCGTTGTACATCCGGCCACACTGGATTCTGTCCTGCACTTGCTCTTCCCATCCATCAGCGGCTCAGAGCAATCGCTTGCAGAAGCAGTTGTACCTGTTACCTTCGACCGCGTGCTTGTTTCCGCCAGGACGCCATCACTTCCGGGAACTATTCTTCATGGAACGTCAACCGCAAAGAAGTTGGGCTATACCACATGGACGTCATCCATCGCTATCTCGGATGACACCCATTCTTGCCCACTAATAGTAATGGAAGGCGTTGGGCTCGCTTCAGTGGGTGGCAATACCGACGGTAGCAATGAGGAAGTGCTCGAGACACGTGCATCATGTTTCGATCAGATCTGGCGCGAGGACGTGGAGATGCTTCCACCAAACCATGTCAAGCAGCTTGTGTATAAGCGCACCATTCCTAACGCTGATGATGAGTCTGTCCTGGATCTCCTCGAGTACGTCTGCCTGGTGCACATATACCGCTGCTTGGACTGGTTCAACACGCCCGAGGGTGCCGCCGCGAAGCCAACAGAAGGATTCTGGAAATCCTATGTTGAGTGGATGGAAGTATGCAAGAAGTGCTTCCCATCTCTCGACAACGATCCCACTGTGGTTGAAGCTAAATTGAAGGCTGCAAAAGACCGTATCGCTCTTAGTGAGTCCGGCAATATCACAGTGCAGATGGTCGACCGCATCGGAGAAAATCTATCCAGGATCTTTACCCGACAGATCGAGCCGCTGCAAGTCATGACAGAGGGCGACCTCCTGTATACATTTTACCGCGGCGCCTTCGGAACTTCTTTCAACACCAACGTCGCCGAGTTTGTTGGCCTGATTGCTGACAAGAAACCCGGGCTTGAAATCTTGGAGATTGGCGCTGGCACTGGTGGGACGACATATCACGTCCTTGAGCGCCTCCGCAATCCAGACGGTACATCTAAAGCAAAGCGCTACTCCTTCACAGACATTTCCCCCGGGTTTCTAGCAAAAGCTCAGGAACGATTCTCGGCAGACCAAGGGATAATGGAGTTCGGTACCTGCAACATCGAGAACGACCCGATTTCTCAGGCCTTCCAACCAGAGTCTTTTGACCTCATCGTGTGTGCAAACGTCCTTCACGCCACCAGAAGAATACAGGAGACGCTTGAACACTGTCGAGTTCTGCTCAAGCCTGGCGGTAGACTTGTATTGTCTGAAGTCACTATCAAGCGTATATTTTCTGGCTTTATCATGGGGCCTCTTCCTGGCTGGTGGCTCGGGGAGGATGACGGTAGGGTCGGTGGTCCGCTTATGGATGTTGACGAGTGGAACACCGCTCTCAAGAAAGCCGAATTCAGCGGCGTTGATCTGGATGTACGTGGCGATCGTGAGACCTCCAACGAGCCCGTCTCCTTGATTGTATCTACCAAGCCTGCCACATCGAGGCCCCAGCCGGCTTCCAGGTATGCCATCATACACGGTGGTACCGAGAAGTCAAAGGCTCTTGCGGATGCTCTCAGAAACAATTTCGAGAAGGCCGAACTCGATGTTTCAGTGGCAGTCTGGTCGTCTTTCACTGAGGAGGATGTCTGCGACAAATATGTCTTATCCCTTGCGGAATGGGAGGTACCCCTTTTGACGGACCTGACGGACGAGAATTGGGAGAGGATCCGCCGCTCGATCCACGCAGCTGATGGGACGCTCTGGATCACGGGTGGAGCCGCAATGGACTGCTCTCACCCATTACAATCCCTCATGGTGGGCCTGTCGCGTGCCATACGAAATGAGGACGCCGGCACAACCCTCGCTACCTTGGATATTGAGCCGCCAGAGTCGCTCATCGATGGTGTGAGGCTGAACACAGCCGCTGAGACTGTTTGTCGTGTTGCTCAAGAGCACTCTCGCAAAGACCCGGACCGTCAAGATCATGAGTTCGTAGCTCGGAATAAAACGATATACGTGCCTCGCGTGGAGCGGGCGCAAAATGTTGATGCTTCGCTTCGTTCATACGAGGCGAAGGGCGAGCCTGAACTTGTTCCACTCACCAGTTGTGGCCGTCCCCTCAAGCTGACCATCAAGACCCCTGGTCTTTTGGATACTTTCCGCTGGGTTGAGGATGAGCTGTATCACACTGATCTGCAAGAAGACTGGATTGAGATTCAGGTCAAGGCAATAGGTCTGAATTTCAAAGACGTCTTAGTTGCGCTGGGCAGTCTTCCAGAGAACAAACTCGGAGTTGATGTCTCCGGAGTGGTCAGTCGGGTTGGGAAAGCCGTGAGTGGCCTGAAGCCTGGCGACCGAGTGATGACTGCGACGTGTGACGCGTTCGCGACATATGTTCGCTTCCCAGCCGCGGGTGCTATTCGTATGCCTGACATCATGTCCTTTGAGGAAGCAGCTTCAATGCCCCTGATCTTTCTCACTGCCTACTACGCACTTGTGACAGCGGGCGGCCTTGTCAAGGGGGAAACTATCCTGATCCACGCTGCGGCGGGTGGTGTCGGCCAAGCAGCCGTCATCCTTGCTAAGCACATCGGTGCCGAAGTCTTCGCCACAGTTGGATCAGCCGAGAAGAAGACGCTCATTATGGAGCAGTATGGGATTGGGGAAGACCACATCTTCAGTAGCCGTGATACCTCTTTTTCGAAGGCGATCATGCGAGCGACAGGCGGTAAGGGGGTCGATGTTGTCCTGAACTCGCTGGCCGGCGAGGCTCTTCGACTCAGCTGGCATTGTCTAGCCAAGTTCGGTCGCTTCCTAGAGATCGGAAAAGCAGATCTATTTGCCAACACCGGTCTGGACATGAAACCTTTCCTCGATAACAAGAGCTATATCGGTGTTAACCTCCTCGACTTCGAGAACAACCCTACACCACGTGCTGTCAGGCTGTGGGAGGATGTTTCAAATCTCATTCAGGACGGCACACTAAGGCCTGTGACGCCAATCATGCATTTCACTACATCTGAGGTCGAAAAAGCCTTCCGCTTCATGCAAGCAGGCAAGCACATGGGCAAGGTCGTCGTGCGGGTTGATGATAGGGACCTGGTGCCAGCTGTGCCTCTTACGCCAAAGGTCAATGTTCAGTCTGACTCTACGTATGTTGTGGCAGGCCTCGGCGGTATCTGCAGGGAGATTGCAAGATGGCTGGCGGATAAGGGAGCGAAATCGTTGGTCTTTCTGTCTCGAACTGCAGCGAGCGGCGAAGGCAACAAAGCTTTCGCTGAGGATTTGAGGAGGCAGTATGGCGTGGAAGTCCGAGCCTTCGACTGTGATGTAGGAAATCGCGGCGAGTTAGCTATCGTTCTGGACAATTGCCGCGATCTTCCTCCGATCAAAGGCTGCGTCACGGGAGCCATGGTTTTACACGACACTCTCTTCGACAAGATGACGGCGAACCACGTCCGCAAGACTGTTGGTCCCAAGGTTCATGGGACGTGCAACCTACACGACCTCCTTCCCCGCGATCTGGATTTCTTTGTAATGCTGAGCTCCCTCGCTGGTGTGATGGGTCACCGCGGTCAGGGAAACTACGGCTGTGGAAATATTTTCCAAGATTACTTCGCAAGTTACAGAAGGAGCCAGGGTCTTCGCGCCATGACCATTGACATTGGCTACCTGCTATCGGTCGGGTTCGTGGCCGAACACGATGAGTACGTGGACCATGTCAAGGCAATGGGGCTCAAGGTGATGCATAACAGCGACCTCCATGGCCTCCTCTCCATAGCCATGGAGCATTCCAATACGCCATTACATCACCCGGCACAGATCATGTGTGGTTTACCTCACAATTCGTACTCTGAGGGGTGGTATTGGATTACAGATGACCGTTTTGCAGGTCTTCGTAATCAGCACAGCTCGATTTCGAATTCGGGCTCTGGTAGCAGTGTCTCCCTTCGTGACGAGCTAAGTCTCTGCTCCAGAAAAGATCTCGCCACTGCCACCGACTTGATTATGAAGTCAATGGTGGAGAGACTTTCGAGGCTGATGATGATGCCTGAGAGCGACATTGATGCTGGTAAGCCGCTCAGTGCTTATGGGGTGGACAGTCTGGTCGCCGTGGAAATTAGAAATTGGATTGCAAAGGAGACAGGCGTTGATATCAGTGTCTTTGATATAATGGCCAACGTGGCCATGAGAGCTTTGGCTGGGGATTTGGCGTGCAAGTGCAAGCTGTTGATATCAAGCAGTAGTGGCTGATCTCGAATATAAGGCACTGGTGTTAATGACATATTTTTTACATTGAAATTTAATTATATGCTGTCAATAATTAGTTGAGAAGTAATCTTGACTGCCTTCAATCTACTTGTATTATCAGAGTAGCGGCTCTTAGAGCCACTCTCAAGAGCAACTTGGCCAGACCGAATCACTTGTGATAGAGGATAAACTTAAATCTCGCCCAGCAACGGCTGACATAGGTACTCTACAAATTCATAAAAGCGCGAGACGGTGATTTCATGCGCACTCGGAGAGTTGTCGGGTGTTTGTTCCTACAGCACTGTTGTTTCCACTGGAAACTAGACGAGTGACCGTATCTGAACGTATTCCAGGAGTCCAATGTCTCGCACGATCACTTCGTCAACTTTATCTGGATGACATTAGCGCCCTATTTATGGCTATGGCAGTCAACCGGTGATACTCGACTATCGGCTATCAACGGTTTTGTTTGTACTTGCACAAGCATCATTTTTTGGTGTCTGTAAGTGTACCAGTCTTCCACGCAGCGTTAGGGCGAATTGAATTATTTTGACTGGAAATGAATTATCATTGTATAATATCTCAGAATTAGCTGAGGCGGGTTATTGAAAGCATAGTTAGGCAGTGGTGCTCAACTTTGAATAAATCACGCCTTTATTGTACTCATTGGTGCTAAAGGAGGGCATGGTGGAAGCCGGCGATGCTGGAACAAATCAAGAGGTCTTTCCAGGGGACTTTCCGGGCGCATCCGGGCACTACAAAGTTTCACTTCTCATCAGTTGCATCTTCTTCTGTCTGTGCGAAAGAGTCTATTGACCATCGGTATCCCAGCACCATCACTACATTCCAGGACCTCTCAATTACTAGAAGGAGGCTATCTGTGCGAAGATTTCCCTTGCGTTGCCTGTCGAGGGCTTTCAATCTAGTTAAAGGGTTCGCCTATCTGCTCTTCGAATCTACAGCTCGGACTATAGTATGTTTGATCCCATAGCTGTTCATCGCGTCGAGAGAAGTGATAAGTAGGTAGTTGTCCCCAACGATCTCACAGAGTGATAAGTCTCGAAACACAGGGTTTCAGAGCTTCATGGCCTCCGAAAGTTCATCCCATACTGCTGCATGAAGTCTAAATGGGACCCATCGAGCTTTTGACTTCCACGGTGTCGCACCATACGCCATTTGGCTTTTGTGGCCCCTTTGGTGGGATCATATGAAGCGTCATCTCGGGTACAAATGTATGTGCGCAACTGAAAGGATGCGAAATGTCAGATGAAGTACGTTTTCGATAACCTCGGAGCTGCGGCTGAGATCCCAGAACAAGGTAAGGTCGGAACTTTATTCGGATGCCACCCGAGTCGAAGTCGGCTTCGAACTGCCTCAAGTTGATTACAGTTACATCGGCATCTCGGGTCCTTATTTCTCCAAATCCTATCGTGATCAGGCAGTTCCCTCGAGACCTGCAGCTCGGCAATCCCCTCATTCGTTGGTTCATGCTAGACTTTTCTCCTCCGTAGCACAATATTCAGACGACGCCGCATGCATGGTTCAGGTTTCCGAGCTTGTTGAGCAACGAGCATTATGGCCCCCAAACTTCAGGAACCATTTCATCTGTGCGGCAGGGCAGTAACATGCAGCCTGAAAGCCTAAGGAGTTTTGTTCAGTGATCGCTACTACCATTGTCCCTTTCTGTTGGGCTGAACAGGATTATTCACGTTACACTCCGATAAGTAGTTTAATGCAGGTACGGGACGGAAAACCTTACTCGACTCTTGAAGGAACCACTGGCAAGAGTTTCAACTGCTGGCTCATCCGGCGGTGGTTTAAATGGGAAGCCATCCAGCTTTCTCCTCCTCATGTATGAACGTTGACGATCTAATGCAGCGCGACTCTGTCGGGCACTTCCACATTCACAAGTGAAAAGTCATCCGCATCATCAGTCTCTCTGAATGGCTGACGATAGGGGCTATGTGATCATTATTTTGGTCGCTATCTTACTGCCCTTGACCACCGGGCTGGTGCTTTTGAGGCTCTACACAAGATCATCCCTTGTCAAATCGCTTGGGCCCGATGATTGGAGCATTCTGCTCGCTCTGGTGCGAACACCCAGCTAGAGTCTTTCACGTTACTATTCAGGACTAACATCCACTCGCACAACAGCTTTTTACCGTGGCAACGGGCATAGATCAGGCTGTTATGACAAGATTCGGATTGGGACAGCATGTTTCAACCATCTCGCCAGCCGCCCTGGAAAGATATACCTTTGTATGATGGCCTTCGCTCATTCCACGGACATGACAGAGTGTATAGCTAACGAGGCTTCAGATCTTCTACCTCTCCATTGTGTTTTATTACTGTAGTCTGGGCTTGATTAAGCTTGGGTTACTTTTGCAGTATAAATCACTGGTCTCCGTCAAATCCAAGACCCTTATTGTGACTGTCACAGCATTGATCTCAGCCTGGAGCCTGTCGCTCATTATAGTCTCTATATTCGATTGCTCTCCGGTTTCTGGCTTTTGGAGGAAGGACATTCGATCCACTTGCATCCCCACCTTGCCACTGTAGGTTTTCGATCCTAGCATCCCCGACATACCGGAGAAAAGGATCTCGTCAGCCGCCAGCCTCTGTTACCAATGCCCATCCCTCACCTGATTGCGACGAGAGTCACCTGGTTTGCATAGCATGCTGACGACAAAAAAAAAGGTGGTACCTAAATGCGGCAGGAAACATTCTCACGGATCTAATCATCTTCTCTTTACCCATTCCATTCGTATGGAAACTCAACATGCCTTGTTCACAGCGCCTATCGCTACTGGCTGTGTTTTGCCTCGGTTTCTTGTAGGTTCACGCCGCCACATGGTCTTCGCTGCCCCCCTCCCCTCCTATGCTGCATACCAAGTCTTAACGCATATATGACAGTACTTGCGTCATTTCAGTTGTTCGCATTGAATTTCTGAACTTGGGTGACGACCCGACGTACAACAACATAGCTCCGGCGGGGTGGTCATTCGGTGAACTTTGCGCCGGCCTAGTAACGGCTTGTCTGCCCACTCTGCGGCCTCTTTTGTTCCGCGTCCTCATTCCGAAGCTGTCGTCAACGAGAGATTTCTTGAGCCGAAAGACGCCTCTGCGCAGTAGAGGCTCGTCCAGGTCGGCGTCCGGCGGCTTTGCCGAGGACAGTGCAGTCGCACTGTCAGAGAATGCTTGTGGGATGCCAACTATTGGAAAGGACGAAGAAGAAGGGTACGGGATACCCGACACTTCAAAGCAGGAGTTTCGGAACGCGATGTAGTCGAGTCACTGATAACTTATAGCTGGTCTTCACCTCTCCTCTTGAAGAGTTGAGTGAATGGTATTTATATTCTATAATCGAATCTCATTGACTGACCTTAGAATTGAGCGTTAATACCACAAAAGAAATGTCACCCTCTCAGATCCAGAGCTAGAGGCGGTTCTGTCACGACTTGTATGGGAGCATGCGGCAATATTCTGTACTTTGTGATGATGACGGACACTACGATTGTCAGATGCGGAGTCACCATGCTCTAGCGGATTCGGTGGATCAGGATTGAAGCAGAATATGCGGCTGAAAGATAAGGTCTGAGATGCAGCAAATGTACACAAGGGGGTCAGGACAGCCGTCTCGTTACACAGCGTGGAGACAAGACCGCCGGCCACGCCGCACGGAAAGATTTACGTGGTCAGGTCCCGACAACAATCACGACAGAAGGCCAAATGAGACGGTGATTGGAGGGACTGCATGTGGTCTACAGTATGGAGACAAGGCGGGTCCGACAATCAAGATACAACTCATCATAAAATATTGGTTCCTCCTTATTATACTATAGCCTCCTCCGAGGCAAGCCCCGAGTCGGATGAGTCGGACGAGACAGGAACGCAACGGAAGTTTTCGCTCCCAGGATTCCATTCCGGAAGAAAGCCGGTTCTTGGCAATGCAGCATCCGGAAACAATGACCGGAAGTTCAGTGCTTACAGCAAACCCAACGGGAGCGTTACACAAAAAAGACATTTTCGATTCGGTATGGCACCACATGAGAAAAGAAGGATGCAGCAAAGAGGCGTTAAGGTCATCTGTGGAGACTGCGTCACTCGTGATTGGATCAAGTGGTCACTCGATCCCGCGGTCATCTGCAACGTCGACATTCCAACGGGTCAGGCCCTAAGCACAATGAGACCTTGCACAAGGCTAACACAGATTCGGTAACCAATCAGTTGCCAGAGCATCCAAGCCGTCCATTCACGATGCTGCGCCACGTGAATTGGAACCAACGGATATACTCATGGGACCCGATTGGGAAGGCTGCTCGCAGCTTATGGCAGAAACGGATAGTGGCTGCTTATACTAGCCACGGGTCAACAAAAGGGACAACGTTCTCAGATGAAGTGCAGTGAATGTCTGCGGTCTTCTCACGCTATTCTGACTCGCTCTTCTCTCTCTCAAGTTCCAAGTCGCTACAGTTGGCAGCAAAAGTATGCCTATTGTTCTTTGATTTTGTGATAGACAATCACAACAAGCTTTCACACTGCGATCGAATGCGTGAACTTTGTCGGCATTCTTTGTTACACATATTTGACACGTCAGTCTTTTTCGAGTCCCCTGTAGTGTTCGCCAAAGTCCAAGCCAGCTTGTTGATGAACGATGCCAACTGGCATAACTGAAGTACCTGCTGAGGTGCTAATCACAATTGCATCAGCCCTCTGCTACCACTGCGAAAGGAGACATGACCCTTCGAGGCCGTTGAATATATGGGACCAGCGCGAGTTGCTACAAAAAGATAATGACGGGCTTCGCAGTCTAAGGAGCCTTTGTCTTACCAACAAGCTTTTGTGCAGTGTTGCTCAGCCCATACTCTACCATCATTTGTCACCCTTCTATTGGAACTGGCGCGTACGAACCAAGCCTATGTTAGTGCCGGTAATGCAGACTCTGCTCGAAATCCCGAGTCTGGCCGACCGTCTTATGGACGTCGACATCCGATACATTGTATCCTCAGAAATAGAGACTTACAACGCAAGACGCCTGATCCATGCTTTGGCGCAACGATTCCCGGTCGGGGACGGACTTCCTGGAGATAATGATTTCGAGATTGACATTGAAAATCTTCTCATGAACTACCTCCTGTGTCTTGCACCAAACCTCGAGATTTTATGTCTTGGTATAATACCGTTGTGGAGCTTCTCGACTTTTTCCGGTGCTGTTCGAGACGGGCATACCTCAGGCTTGCATTCACTGAGGACGCTGAGCCTCACTGGTCCTAAGACCCCCGAGACAAGTGGTTCGTTCCGCGGAGTTGGACAGATTCTCGCGAATGCGCCGAACCTCCAAACTCTCCGGTTGGATTTGGACTACTTACCGCCCAGTATGTTCATTCAGAACCTACAAAAGCTGGAGCTCACCGTGGACGTTGGCCGCTCTGAGTTGAAAGAAGCCTTGCGTCAGTGCCTACGTCTTCAGGAGTTCTACTTCTCAGGGAACACCTACAGTGCTCACGAATCTGCCGTCGGCTCCGAGATCATCCAAGCTTTGGAACCGGCCCAGGACACCTTACGATGCTTAAAGATTGGTTACATGAATCAAACGCCATGCATCAAGAGCGTGTATTCTAGCATCGCCAGCTTGAGGCAATTCCGCAGTCTCCAACATGTTGATCTTAGCAAAGGTCTTGGCATGTTCGAACAGAGGAGTTTATACGTTCTCCCAGCTCGAAGCGAGAGCTTCGTCGACATCCTTCCAGACTCGATCGAAGTATTCTGTCCGCCTTGTTGGCCCGAGGCGCTGCTTGGCTTAGCGGACGCCGTCGCCAGAGGGAGGTTCCCGAATTTGCGGCTACTTGAGCTGGAGCACGGCCTGAGCAACTTCAACGCCATGATTAAATCCAGATCGTGGGCTAAAAGCAGTATAGAATTGAGAAGAGTCTTAGATACTGTCGGAGTAGATGTTACCTTTGCGAGGGATCGAGTGACTGTATCTCAAGACTAGCATGGGAAATGTCGAAGGTGTAGATTGAAGAGTTTTTGGCGCAATTAGAAGGAGGGGAACGAAATTGTCTGTTAAAGTGTATCTGTGCCGGGATAGTGGATGTCGGTGATGGTCTCTGAAGTCAATCCAGTCCCCCCGAATCATATTCTGTCACGAAAGGACAGTCCTCCTTGTACACTTGTGTGACATTATCTCGCTTAATTAGCATCACTGCCACGGAAGCCGTGATGTGTCTTCGAACAGTATTTTTTACCTCATATATCGGGCTGTGAGGGTGATGTACGATTTGATTCGCGGTTCGAGGGCTGTCTTAAGAGTCCTGTCTTGTGGCAGGTCTCATCGTGATTTTCTCGTAATAAATTCTCAGCCAATTTCACTCAGCATGCCGGAGGCCATAGACCTAGCGTAGATTGTATTTTCAGCATTCGGCGTCCGTAATTAGCCGCAGCCCATTACCGCAAGTACTCAACCTCACATGTTCTTCACCGTCTCAAGGCCACCTCGCGCCAAGAATGATCTGTTTGGGATTTCAGCATCGGCCACTTTCTGGCTCAGCGATCTCTTCTTAGCTCAAAAGACAGACAGTCGCTTTTTTGTGTCTTGGCTCAATAGACTCCAACGACTGTTTCATAGAAACTTCACGTCGTCATTCACCCTCGCCCACGAATATGAACGCCAAGGTTCCCTGACAGAATCAGGGAAGACTCCTCAGCCTGAAGGCACGTGCAGATCAGATTGGATTGTGTCTGACGCAGCTTTGGAGGTGCTAGTACATACTGGCACCGAATATGCGTATCCTAGATTGGAATAGTCAGATGGACTCAACGTCAGACACAGCCTCAGAAGTGCTCCCGTACATATATTACAGAGATTCTAATGATATCGGCCCTACGACAACATAGGCACAGACACAGCCCTAACAGCCTGTATTATACCTAGGCGGGCGATATGCAGTCCTGGCGTATCATGTGGCAAAGCTTGTTTCTCGCCCGAAACCCATGACTATCCAGATCATGCATGTTGCTTTATTTTCCGTCAGCACACTTTCCGGTCCTGACAGATTGCTTGTGTCTGTGCTGAGGACCACAACGAAGCTTTAGCGGCGTGGCTCTTAGGGGCCTAGCAGGGCGGGTTTAAGATTCACACCAATATCACCGTGCATCTATATTTGGAATGAAGGGCGTTCGGCAGAATAAAGGGGCGGATGCCCGAATGCTTGAGCTTCAACAACATTTAGCGGAGCCTTGAACAAAGCATAATTTCCTCCATGAGGACCTCCACTGCAAGCAATGTCGGGTTCAAGGTCAAAAACGCATCAAAAGTCGAGACACTGTCATGCACACCAGAAGATAGATGAGGCAGAAAGGAAATCTTAAACGTCAGTGCCCGATGGATCCCTGCATACCCGATGTAACCGTCTGACACCGCGATGCTGGAAGACATGCACCATTCTGCTCGGCACGGCGCCCGACGCTGAGTCGTCTCTTATACATACCTGGTTAAGTACCGTAGCAACGCGTCTGTGGTCAGCCCACACCTAGCTCGAACCCTGGTTGCTTCCGATACATCCATACATCCGATTTCTGCAACAATGTAGGATCATTACATGCGTCTGCAGGCCTTTGGGGGCGGTGTTTGAGGCTAAGAAGGTTCATCTAAAGCTGGACAGACCGGTCATTGTCGCCCTCGTCTGGTTTTTTCCAGTTGAAATTGTCCCGAGCGGGCGAAGGGACGGCGAGTTTGTGTGTTAAAGCATCGGTCATACCCTGAGCCGCCGATGCCATTTTACGACAAACTAACAGCGAGTCCTCACGGGCGCAGTCGAGTGTGAAACGAGCAATACCGACATACATGAAGGGCAGAAATGGCAGCAGGCCCTTCGTTTGGCCGCTCGGACACTCAGGCATTTATGGAGAAACACTCGCGCATTGGGCTGGCCGGGGTCACGCAGCCGTTGTGTTCGTTCTGCGAGCGCGCCTCATTTTGGACCCATGCTGTTTGCCAAGAACTGATATAGACCGTCTACATAGGTCGGATTCATATTAAGCCCAGGTAAGGCTATCATGATCATGCCGTCTGACGCCACATAGCTTAATTCACACGGGCAATAATAGCCTATGAGACGCAGTGCATGCCGCCAATCTGCACAAGCTTCTCGCTGTCACGCCGGCAGGTTCAAGTCTAAAAGGCTATTACACCCATGTGCAAGATGCATCATTCCTCTTGTTATGGACATTTTCTTTCTTTGCTACTTCTCTAGTTCTGGGTCGAGGATTTCCCAAGCCGGACCTCAACGGGGCTCGAAGTAGCCTCGTATTGATCCCTTCATCGTCACTATGAGTCTGCCGGCAGAGAGCAACAGTCTCGATGTCCTACCCCCGGTCTTACGTCACGGGCTCAGGGCGGTGGTTGTGCTTGCCTCGCTCTCTTTGATTTCCTCGTCTTGGTTGTTTTCGCATCTTTCTTTCAAATTACTTCAGTACTGCACGAAGAAAAGGAGGGCTAGGGCTAGGGCGCTCAAAGAAAACCAGACCAGCAATGCTCGACCTATCTCGATGGACCTGGAGTTGGTATTGGAGCAAGGAACCTTGGCATCAGCCTCTAAACGCCGGAACGTGCGTTCACCCACTGCAGCTAGCGAGACGCAGCAGTATCCCCCGCCAAATCAATTTGTGGTCCTCTTCCACAGTCTTCTCTTGGCAGACCTACACCAGGCTATCGCCTTCTTCCTGAATGCAGTATGGGTAGCACGAGATGAGATCGTGGTGGGGTCGCCAACCTGCTGGACTCAGGGACTGTTTATTTCCAATGGGGACCTCGCATCCAGCTGCTTCATTTTCACAATCGCCTTGCACACGTACATGTCGGTTGTTCGAGAATACAAGCCCCCCCAGTGGGCTTTATACGCCTGGATCGTGGGGACCTGGGTTTTCGTCTACTGCATAGGGTTTGCAGGTATCGTCTTTACTAATAATGGGAAAGAGGTTGGAGGTTATTTCGTGCGCGCTTCAGCCTGGGTTAGTTCGCCTCATCTACCAATTCTCTGGTCGTGTGACAGGCTGACAGGCAATCAACAGTGCTGGATCAATGAAGAATATGAGAGGCTCCGCCTTGTCACCCATTATCTCTACATATTCCTCTCCATCGTATTTACATCGTTGCTCTACGTCTTGATTTTCTTCAAGCTTCGAGCTCGGCTTGCCCACAAGCGAGATGGTGCAACGCCGGACAGAGGACAGGATTCGAGGCCACCACTGAGGCATAAAACATCGATGCTCAGCGTAATGTCGTCGTCGTCGTCCTTCTCTTCCTCCCAAACATCATCCGCGGACTCGCCCCCGCGTATCAACGCTGATCACCACCCGGCTTTTCTCATATACCCTCTCATCTATGTGCTGTGCACGATGCCGTTGGCCATCGGCCGCATTGCAGCCATGACAGGGATCGACGTGCCCCTTGCGTTCTTTTGCGTCGCCGGCGCACTCATTGTGAGCAACGGCTGGTTGGATGTTCTTCTATGGGGGACAACGCGGCACACGATTGTCTTCGGCCGCCTCGAGGACGCAGACGCGCTGGGTCTAGACACGTTCGACTTCATGCGGACACCCTCAGACCGCAGATTTGGAAACTTCGTGTGGGTCCAAGGCGCCAGCGATATGCAGACCGGTCGCCCCGACGGCTCCGCACGGAGAAGCCGTCCATGGTGGACACGAGTTGGTAAACCTCTCGGGATGGGTGGATCCGGGGTTGGGAACGGATCACGGAGCGATCCTCGTGGAGTTTGGGAAGATCGAGACTCGGAGACCCTTGCTCGGCCAGATGACGAGAAGACTTACCGCCTGTATCGAACGAACGAGACTGACAACCTCAAGTCGAGCAACGATCAGTCGTCAGTCTGGACCAAGCCCTGGAACGGACGACCAGACATGGGCATGAATATCCAGATGGATAGGGTGGTGACGATTGTCAAAGAGGACAGCTTTACTTCCGTTACGAGCACCCCTGCCAAGCCGGGGTCGTCATACTCGGTGAGGGCTCCAGAAAAAGATGGGTACTTTTGATCGGTCTGGGAAGGCTTCTCGAACAACTGGAGCCCTCGCGACCCCGTGTCCCCGTAGAAAGAAGGAAGTTGGAACCGGTCGCCACGTGAACAACCACCGGATTCAGCCAAGGCCGAGACAAATGACGGCGAGCGACATCGGGGTATCACCAATATCTTGTCATCTGTCGGTGAGAAGAACCCGTGGCCTGTGCAGCGTGAAAAGCCGCCGCCACAGAGTGTTGGTTGGCTGTCAGACGCAGCATTCAGCCCAGCGCGGTGACCGCCCCTAGAATTTATCCCTGTTGCTGCACGTCTGACTGGCTGCAGAGTGTGAGAGACACCTGGGCGAAGGGACCTGTTGGCACTGATAGTCTTTTTTTTTCTCTCTTTAATTTTTGGGTTTTGCTTACCCCTCCTGTGAACTTTCTTCTTGGTGAGATGATGAAATCAGACATCAATCAAGAAATGAGCTGAATAAGAGCCCACATAGGCCCGTACACCTGAGTGCAAATAGACCGCCTCCACAGACGAAGACTATTAGGTCTAGAGCATAGACATATGTCTCAAAGACTAAATGAACGGTGATCGATTCAGGGGTGTGGTCGGCTAATTGGACCACCGACCCATTGACGAAGTGCGGGCATCTGCATTGGAATATCTAGTCTGCAGCCGCAACTGCTGATACATGCCAATAATGCGCCATGTGTGTCCCGCAGGGCACTTTCATCATGTCATGTTCCAGATAGGCAGGCCATGCATAAATTTGCCCACAAAGAGTCAGAGTATCGGTGGCGCCCAAGCCATGGCCCATGGCTGCCATGCCAGCCATGCGTCACGCCGACCCGCCCGGCACGAAAGCCATGATCCACTTGCCACATGGCAGGGTGGCTTCCTTGGACCCAGCTGGCGGGAACGGACGAACCAGGGCCTCGCCGCCGAAAAAAAAAAAAGCTTCTGTGGATGTTGATGCTGCCCTTTGTCTGTTGAGAATGCTCCGTCTGCCTGTCTCACCGGTCGAACTTTTACGGTGTGTGTTCCAGCCCCAGCCCCGGACGATTTTCCTCAAGCCCTCGTCTTGATATTGACAAGTTTTGGCGATGCTGACGGACCTGGCTCACCGGCATGCTCATGCAGACCAGACGAACGTGCGCGGCGTTGAAACAAACGCGCGAGTTGTCGGTTCATGAAACAGGTCGGATTCCCGTCTGCTGGAAGTGCGCACTTGTCGGTAGACACACGTCAAGCCGTCTCTGACGCCCCAAGGTTCTGCGAGTACCCATGTCTCTCAGCCCTGCCGCCGAATCGGATGGCTTCCTCGTGTGCTGGAACCTCTGAGCATGCCTTCCATTTCACCTTCCATGACTAGGTGGAGCACTGGGCCCCTGTAACGCTTCCCACGCCATCGACACCGCACGAGTCGATACACCGCCCATAGGGACGCGGTGAAGGAAGCCCTGTCCCTTCAAAATTTCTTCTTTGCACCACTTGTCTGCGACAAGTATATGAAGGTCGTGGCCGTCCGGATTCCTCGGTTGATCCAGATTCCCAGCTCAGCATCAGCTTCAGTGTCTTCTATCTCTTTCACCTCGTCCGCAAGTGTTTCTTTTTGCCTTGCCGAGCCTCTCGAGACAAAGTCTGTCACTCACCGTCTCTGTCTGCATTTTTAAACCTTCACCGGTCAATCCTTGCGCACGCACTCTTCCAGAAGGACGCTAGAAGAAGTCAAACAGGCAGGAAAAAAATCTTCCGCCCGCCCCGAATATCCACCCTCACACCCACACCCACCACACCCGGGAATCGATCCACCCACAACTGTCTCTTAAGGCACGTTGTACCCACGTGTCTTCACACTCAGACACCTTCCACACGTCGCGCCGCCGCAGCTCAGGTCGTGCCTACTTTCCTTGCTATCCCGCTTGGCTCTGCATCCAAAATGCCTCGAGGAGCTTACGACGTCTCGGCCACCAACAACCCCAGGCCCAAGCCCAACCCCAAATAAGGAGGCAACTTGCCTTTTCTGGGCTCCATTTTCGGGCCTCCAACCCAACCACGACATGACGGTCAGCTGATTTACGATGTTTGCCTATGCGCAAACACGCTCGGCGCTTTCACCATCTATGGCTCTTCCTCTCACGGGGAAGCTGATTTCTGCGGAGGTTTTATCATTTGTTTCAGGTTTTCAGCGACAAGGATTCGGAATAGAGTAAAGGTTATAAACAGGGATAGAAGGCGCATTGCGGATAAAAGGCACAATACCCCCCAGACGGACCGGATGGTCCAGGACGACCCAAGCAGATAACAGAACACGGGGCAACCTGTGAAAGCCTCGAGAAGGCTGCCGGCTAATGTACTAATAAGACTGTTAGAGATGGAAAGCGGCGGGCATTGTTGGCATTTTGGGTTTTCAGAGTGGGCGTTCACTCATCACATTAGACTTTGCTTGTTTACACCTCACCGTACCTAATATCATACGAGCATAATTACCCACTAAATTGCTGGAAAGCCATCCTTTATTCTCCATTTTCGTGACTATGATGCTCGTATCAAGGAACCACTACCAACTGTGAAGAACCAAATTCATTTATTCAGTTTGCGCCTCTACCTAATTGCACACAAGCAACAAGCAATTTTTTTCTCCGGCCCCGTCTAAGGCCGCCATCCTTTTTAAGATGGTCAGCAAGGTCTTCCGGCATGCATCAGCATGATACGAGATTCTTCACCGTGCCGTGCCGTACGACGCAGCCGGGGATAAGTAATATGTCAGAAATGACTTGGCGTGCCGGAATACAACTCTGGCTGCACGCCTGACCGGGGCGCGGGGAACCGAACCTCGCATCCAGACTTCCCATGCCACCAATGCAGGAACGTGCGTCTGCCGCTGCCGACTGCATCTGCAGGAACCGGAAGCATAGGGCCGGAGCCAATGCTGTTTCATCGCGGGGCAGCTGCTGTGCATTAGCTACATATAAAGAGACAATAAGTAATCTCTGTGCTGCAGGTTGAGCCATGACAATGTGTGCTATAATATCAACACCATGATCGTGATGGTGGAGACTGCGCATTTAACAGAGATGAGTGCGAGCACCTCGGACTTGCTTTGAGATTCCGGCCCAGAAAATCTTGATTATGAACCTGTGGTTTGGCGTCTGATGAATGGCGTGTCTCGGTAGAGAAGAGCCGCCAATGTGGATTTACCTGTCTTTTTGTGATTTCTATTTAATAAATCTGAGGGTAACTAGGATAACGAAGAGGTGTGCAATGACTGTATCTTCCAAAATGCACAAAGTTTTAGCCGATTCTTGTGACTTTCGGGAACACTTGGTCATCACTGCAGTATCCATAAAGATTTCTGCCCTATTTGCTACGTGGGGAATACTTACAAGGTCGATTCGGTGTTGCAATTTGGATGATCATATTCAGTTGGTCACATCTCGGTCTTTTCTAGAACAGCATTGAGCACAGTAGCAATGACATTGATGCATTTGCGTATGTTAGCGGCAGTGAGTCCTCTGACCATCCGCATAAGTCAAGCACACCGGCCATTAGACTTATTTCTTGTCCTTGTCCTTGAGGTGCAATTGATTCCGAATGGCATGTGCAATCTGCGCGTCCTTGGCCTGCTCGAAAGCGCTCTCGTGGCTTTGGTCGCCCTTGTGGAGGACATGCTCTTGGAACCCATCGATAGCTGCATTGCAGGTGAGTAGATATTCAAAGCAAACAGGACTACAATTTCACTTACTCTTGTCAAGGAAGTCCTCCTTCTCTTCAGCCTTGCGCCCGCCACCAAGGTTCTCGTTGATGCGGTCGTGCATCTTCTCGAATGCGTTCTTGTTCTCCTCTTCCTTGCGTCGACGCTCCTCCTCCTCGGCCTTGCCGGTGATCTTGTCGAGGAAGCTGGGCTTTTCGTGCGGCTTCGCCTGCTCCTCGTCCTCGTCACCGTCCAGCTTGTCTTTGATGCGTTCCAGCAGGTCCTGGTTTTCCTTCTTGTCATGCTTCACCTTCTCCAGGTCTGCTCTGATCTCAGCCTCCTTTCGGTCGAGCTCGACGGCCTTCTTCTCTCTCTCGTCCTTCCCTGTCAGCTTGTCGAAGAAGCTGGGCTTGTCATCCTCCTCCTTCGCCTCGTGCTGCACCACCTTCTCCTTGTCAATGTCGCCGTCAAACTTGTCCTTGAGCTTGTCGAAGAAGGTTTCGTTATCCTTCTTCTCTTTTAGCACCTTTTCGAGCTCATAATTCAGCTCCAGTTCTCGCTTCTCGAGCTCAAGATTCTTTTTCTCCCGGTCCTCTTTGCTGATGAGCTTGTCAAAGAAGCCCTTGTCCTTGTCGCCCGACTCGTGCTTCCCGCCGTGATGTCCACTGCCTCCGATAAGCTTGCCGATGAAGTCCCTCTTGGGCTCTTCTGCGTCGTGCTGAGGAGCCGTATTGGAAAGGTCGTGCGTTGACCCAGTTTGGGCGGCACTATCCGTGTATTCATGCTTCTGCTCCGGCTCCTCGCCATGCTTGAACTTGTTGATGAAATCCATGGTTTCTGTTGCTTTTGATAAATGGCGGTAAATGTGTGATTGGAGAAAACTTGCAAAACATACGAGGACACTGAGAGTGTTTTTGCCAGCCTATAAATACGGCAAAGACAACGGTGGATGGGGAGGCCTCGCCAGTCACAGCTCGTAAGGACAGAAAGTCAAATACGCTCGTGGACGCAGCATATTGGCTGGGCTCGTGCTTTCAGACCCTCCCACCCCACTTTTTCACTGCCCACCAGCAGCCATACGTGAGAAAAAGACCTCACCGTGTCGAGATACAGGGGCTGCTCTTGGCGGGGAACTGGGGACGATGTATTGCATTATTCGCTCGCAGCCGCGATATGCAGTCCCACTCAACTCAGCGTAGAGAGGCCTCTAATCACGAAGACGTCTCTCTTCGTTATGCCACTAGTGGTGTATACCTATATGTGTTCCATTGTGTCTTCCTATGTTTTTACAACGTATTTATATTGAAGTCCTAGATTGCAACTGACGCTTACTGCTTCGCGATTTCCCGCATGTTTTGATGTATCACGAGGTCAAAAATGAGATATGTACGTCAAAACAAAGACCCAAAGTTACATGTCACGATCGTGCCCACTTTGTGGGCTCCGCTTCCGATCTTAGTTGCATCGCCATCTTGTCGGGAGGGCACAGGTACAGCAGCCAGCGGTGATCACATGTGGGCTCCACGTAGGGTGGGATCTCACAAACAATCGTATTTGGTGAGGCAGCCTGATGGCGGTGCTTGAAGCTGGCACGGTTCTTTCCACCATGCGTCCTGGGCCAGCATCCAGCCATGACCCAAAATGTTCATTGATTGACAAGCTGTGCCAATGCCACTATTTTCCTATGCCTATCCCCTAAGATTCTTCCCATCGCCATCACTTACACAATACAAATAGGCTACATGAGAGTCTATGAGCGAGCCACCCAAAATACCGTCCAAGAATTATGATCCCACATGGTGCAGCCACCCCATTTCCAAAGCAAGATGCTGACTTCCGGGGAACTGCAATAAGACATCTGCGAAGCCGATAATACCACCAAGAAATTGTTTTATCAATACATAGAAACAAAAGACATGATCGGGATGAGTAAGGGGTGAGGGTATATATACACATGAGCAACCTGCCGTGCTCGTTTCCACTTATTACATAGTCCTAAGTTCAATGCGAAGCGACCAAGGGTAAATACTAATACAAGAAGAAAAAAAAAAGGAAAAGGCGCAAATGAAATTACAACGTTGATATAGAGGACAAAAACGAATATAAATAGACAATACAAAAAGAGAAGCAAAGATAGAAAGCAAGACGTACAAGCATGCATGACGAGACTGTAAAACAAAACCTCATCAGGAGTACAGAACGTCGTCCACGGCGCCTAGGGTCGGTGGGACCCCCCCCCCCCCAATCGCTCATTCGCTCAGACATCGCGCACGACCATTGACGAATCGAGTTTCTGTGGCTCATGAATCCCGCGCAGACGCCTGGCGGAAGTAGAACGCCAGGAGCACGCAGACAACCAAGCCCGTCAAGGCGGAAATGATGAGGTCGCTAGATAGGGAACTAAATGGGAGGTGGTCAGCTTGTATGATTTCATTTGCTGCCCCGAGTTTAAGATTCTCGGGGGCTCAGTTGACAGGAGTAGCCAATGGAACCGGCTTGGCATAACAGGGGGAATGAGTACGTAGATAAGGAGAGAGTCGTGCAATGCCGTGAGAAAGGGGGTTGAAGGTGTCCGTGTGCTGCTTGGATTGAAAGTAGGGATAGGGGCTTGTAATAAAGTTTGGTATGATCAGGCCAGTGACAGGGCACGACATGTATTCCGGCGGGCGCCGGCGAGCAAGGCCGAGCGAGACGGTATACTCTACGATATGCTGACCCTGGTATGGAGGAGCATACGCTGATAGTAGGTGGCGGGCGTCTGGACACGGCATGGATATCACGGTTTGGCCATCCCGATCACATATCACAGGGGACAGATGGAAGTGTGGATGGGTGGATGGTGTGCAGGGAAAGGTAGGCTGGTAAGTGGTAAAGCCTACTACGGGTTGCTGAGCCCGTGCGGTTGGTGGTATTGTACAGTATCTCGTAAACATGATATGGACAGTTATGGTTCTTCGAGTGTGATAATATCCGTATTCCCGCCGTTCTTCCGCAGATGAGGTATCGTGGCGCTGCCGCTCAACATTAAAGGGGAAGTGCAATGGTGAATGAGCAAAACGAAAAGCAAACAAGAGTCAAAAGAAGAGTATGGTTCAAAAGCAAACCCTCCACTCACCCCGTCGCGCGCCTGACCCAGAGCGTGGTAGGCTCGTAGTCCGCCTGCCGATCCAGCCTCTTGTACGCCCGGTGCAGCTTCATGCCCAGCTCGTGCTCCTCCCGCTGCACGTCGGCCAACTCTTGCTGCAAGTCCTCTACCTTGCGCTTCTCCATCTCGCGCTTGCGCATGACCTCGGGGGTGGCCATCAAGTTATCCTGCGGCATAAGCTCCGTCATCTGCTTGATGCTCTTGTTGATATTTATGCGCCTGTTCCCCAGGCTCTGAAGCTGCGCGTTGAGGATCGCAACGCGGTCTTGGGTCGATTCGGCCGACAGCTCGGGAGGGGCGGCGGGCAGGGCTTTGTCGACGGACAAGATGGAGGCGGGGCGTGATGTGTTGGTCGAGTCGTTCTTGAGGGCGACGGCGAGAAGTCCTCGGTTCTCCTTTCCGGCCTGCTCGCGTGGGCCTCTGGGCGCCTCCTTCCTGGCTCGCGGCGGCGAATTTTGTGCGTTGATGCCGGCACTATTGGCACCAGCCGTTGACATCCAAGGTTGACTGAGGCTGATCTTGACAGGGGCGGCGTCGTGGTCATCATCCCAAGCACCGTTGCCGTTGCGGGTTTTGGGCCGGCTGCGGTCCATGACGCTGGCGCCTTTTGGTTGTTTGCTTCTGGGGATCTCGTTGTCGAGGTAGGACGTCATAGGGTAGTCCTTGGGAGGAGTTGGCAGCGGGGGGGCATCGGCGTCGTTGTAGTAATTGCGGTCGAACTGCTCAAGGGATTCGCGAGGAGTCGAGGTGTGTGCCGAGGTCGCGTAAGTGGTGACGCTGAAACGCGAGGGCGGCTGCACGTAGGGCGAGTCGTCGTTGCCTGCACCAGGAAGGTTTCTGGTGTCGATGATCGGCGCCGGCCTGGGAGGTGTTTCCTGGTCGGTTGGATACTGCTGAGCCGGAGCGGCGTCCTCGGTCTGCTGCGAGTAGACGGACGACGCAAACGACTCCTTAGGCTGATGATGTGCGCCGCGGCCTGGTTGCAAGTGTGCAGAGGGAGGCCCACCGCTGCCCACCTGCTTCCTTCGGATCGGTGCCTGGGATGCAGTCGGGGAGGGCTCTGCGGAGGAAAATGACGGCGACGACGGCCGTGGTTGTTGTTGATGGTGTGGCGGCGGTGGTGGTGATGATGATGATGGTGGTGGTGGTGGTGACGCGGAGGCCGTCGGTGAGTGATAGGAGGTGTCAGCAGGGTGCTGCGTGTCGATCCCGGCCGCATCAGAGTCTATCTTTACAGTGGCTGCATGATTAGCTCCGCCGTTGGCATTGACAGGTGCAGATTGCTGGCCCAGCGTGCCCAGCCCCGCCAGGTGGGTTGGGCTGCTAGAGAGCGGTGGGCTGGGATAGCCCTGCAGGCTGACACTCGCACTGGTTCCAGTTGCAGTCGCATTTCCACTTCCCGCTCCCGCTCCACTAGGGAGACGCTGCGAAGACGGGATGATTCTTCGGATGGTGTTGGCCATGGTGCCCCCTAGACTGCTCGGGCTCAGCAGCGGGCCCTTCCCTGCACCGCTGCCGCCTCCCATTTGCTGCTTCTGGCTCTGCTCCCTCACTTGGGTTTCAGGACTTATAGGTGGGCTGGACATGGCAGCATCGCCGCTACCGACCCCGCCTGGGCTGAGGCCGGGCCCGGGACTCGGGCTGGGGCTGGGACTGGGGCCTCCGTACGGTCGCGGCGAGCTTCGCTTGTCGCTTCGTGGTGGGATCTTGAGGGGTGCCACTTCTGGGTTGTCCTTGACCGGTTCGACGATGGCGGTTCGTCCGGACGCGCCACGCCAGCCCGGCCTGTTGGACGAAAATGCTGCCGCAGCGGGGTCAGTATTGCTTTCGGGCTGCTGCTGCTGCTGCTGCTGCTGCTTGGGCCCGGAACCGACTCCCATTCTCGAGCCCATCAGCCTCATGCGATCGCCCATACCGGAAGCGCTCTTTGGGGGCACGGGCGAGGTGGCCGTCCCCCGTTCTGCTGCCGTCGGAGAGGTTATGCCGAGCCCAAAGCCTCGTGCGAACTCGAGTGGCTTGACTTGTGATGGCTTGGACTTCTCGTTGTTCATGGCGATCTCGCCCGTCATCGGGTCCCAACGGGGATTCTTCTCGCCACGTGGCCTGCCGTTGCTACTCCCTGGCTTCTGGCTGTAGTCCACGGTGGGTTGGCGTAGTCGCTCTTTGCTGTCCATGGCCTTCAGGGACTGTGGCACGGGCGATGGCTGTCGTAGCCTTTCTCTGCTGTCCATGGGTCGTAAACTTTGCTCTCGTGGTGGTGTGTCCCGCAGCGCATCCTGGCTGGGGGATGCCCGCAGCCGACCCGCAGCCGCGTCTCTTTGTTGCCTCTTCTCGCGACGCATCATGGGGATGTTGGATCTAGCATTTGGAGAGGGCGTGTCGCCTTGCCGGCTGGCGACCCGTTGCTGGGAGGGGAGGGCGCTGACAGCAGACATCTTGGGCAAAGGCTGGGGGTAGGAGGGGTCGTCCTCTTCGTCTATGGGGGAGATGTCGAGGTTGCGCCTATATGCATGCGAAACTTGTCAGCAACTCCACAAGGGCAGAAATCAGGTAATTGTAAGCAAGAAGCAGGGCAGGAGGCAGGCAGGAGATAGCAGGGTGTGGCGTCGCAGGGCCCGGAGACCGGCCGTGATGCAGAAAGGCCAGTCTCAAGCCGTCCTCAGCCCGTGACCAATTCTGCCGCCTGCCGTCGCACCAAGAGGGGAACTCGAAGTGCGTAGACAAGCCCATGTATTTGGTTTTCAATGCCGTGCCATCCCCACCACTTGTGGCTGTTGTATTGTGTGCAGCGACGAGGGATTGGACGTACACATTTCCGGGAGATAACAATTCGGGCGAGCTCGGGGGAGAGACGTCCTCAAACCCGTCGGGTTGCTTTCGCGAGACGTTGACGCGGTCGCGCTGAGGCGCAAAGCTTGTATGCAGAGGCGAGGGTTGGGAATAAACCGACGAGGTTGGGCGGCCGGCGATGGAGTCGCGAGGGTCTTGTCGCGGGTTTAGCTGTTGTGGAGGGAAGGTCTGTTGGCGGGCAGGAGGTTGGACTGGTGGTGGAACTTCGCTGGAATTGCACGTGGCGTGTTAGCTTGGTGTATCTGTCTGTGTTTAAGACATTGCATAAACGGCCATCTGCCAGCTTGTGTCTACTTGGAGGTCGAATGCTACGCGCGACCAGGCGCAGGCCAGTACACAAATTAATGCTCGGGAGCAAGGAGGAAAGGATGCACCCACAAGTCCCTGAGTGGCCTTGGAGGAGGAGGGCCGCCCTTGATGCTGTACTGATAGCCCCCGTAGCCACCAGTACTGCCGCCGCCGGGGTAGTTGTCGACCGAGGCTGATCGTTGGTTCTGGTGTTGGTGTGGGTAGTGTTGTGGTTGTGATTGTTGCTGTTGCTGCTGCTGACGCTGACGCTGGGCGATGACTGAGGAACGTGGCTGCCAGCTGTTGGAGCTGTTGGAGTTGGTGTCGTTGGAGTAGTAACTATTATTAGAGGACAGGTTCGATCGCTGCTGCTGCTGTTGTTTCCTCGAGCTTGAGGAGGGATCATGACCATGACCATACCCAGGGCCTTGAGCATTACCAGGCGCCCCTCCCGTGCCCGTTCCCGACCTGAAGCGGTCCCACATTGTTGCGCTGCTGCTGCTGCGCCCAGACCGGCGCAACCGCAGTGATGGAAATGAAGGGAGCCCCCCTCTGGCCCGTGAGTCGAGTTAATGCGCCAGGTGGTTAGGCTGCGGTGGCTGCTGCACTGTCCCTGGTTTCTTAGCACGCAGGCATGTACTTGTGGTGTGTGGTGTGTGGTCTGTCTCTCTTTTTTTTTTGTTCTGACGCAGCTAGGCGGCGATCCTCCAGGGACTGACACTGACAGTCGAGAGGGCGGCGGCTTTCCCTTTGGGCCTCTCCCGGCCGTTTCGGTTCTCTTGTGGTGTTTTCAGCTGCCTGCCAGACTGTCGGCTGTCTGTCTGATCGTCGCTCGGATCATGTACAGGCTCTGCCCTCCTCTGTCGTCCCCTCTTTCGTTTTTCTCTGCGCGTCTTTGCCCTGTCACCTGTGTAATCTCACCCTCGGCGAGCTATGAAACCCGGAGATCGGATGTGGGCGGGGTGGGAGTGGACCGAGTGGGTGCCCTTGGGGCGGGTGCGCAAAGTGGGACGGAGGGGCTCGTGCTAGCCTGCCTGGACTGCTAGACTGCTGTTGTGGTGAGAAAGATCAGACGAAATCTGGCCAAGACGAGGTCGAGTCCAGACGGTTGTGGACTGGTTTGGCTGGTTCTGGCTGGTCTGGGAGCGCGAAGTCTGAGAGATGCTCGGGAACAAGATTGACCTGATTTGGCCTGAAATGAACGAGGTGGGCCAAGCGGTGATTTGACTGTCTGGCTGAACGTCTGTGGTCAGCTGAAAATGTGGACTGCACAGAAGTGGCAGATTGAACGAATGAATAAGTGATTATTGATTGACAGATTGATTGAATGATTGATTGATTGATTGATCGATCGATTGCTGGGATTAATGTGCTTGATTCGGCGACGCATACGAGACGAAGTACCCCAAAGCAAGCAACGATCGTGTGTATTGTCGACAGCCTCAACCTCGGACAGGGACAATCATCAGCCAGTCAGTCGGTGGGTAGTGTTCATCCGAAGTTGGAAGAGGGAGGAAGAAGGGCAAAAAAAGCCAATCCGCCACAGATGCGTGCAGCTGCAGGATGGATGGATGGTCATCCGTCTGCAATCCGTCCAGATCTAGACGGCAGAATGCAACCTTGGCTGGTCAGGGACTCGTCTGGACATTCAATACAGTGCCACTCAAAGAATAACAAAATACCACAGAACATAACACAACCCAATACCAGTATCGCCTCACATCACCGTCACATCACCGTCTGCCAGTCCAGACGTCTGGCTGGCTGGCTATCCGGGCATTCTACAAGGGTGAGGATGCTTGCTGCTGTGTCTTGCCCATGTACTGATGCTGCGTGATGACTGGCTGTCGATGTCCCGTTGCCAGACACTGAATTCCCCCATTTACATCAGACACACCAAACACAGGCGACAGGCACTCACACTCACCCACACATCTCACCCGTTGTAGGGCTGAGACGCACGCAGTCTTCACCAGCAGAGAAGAAAGTGCAGTTGGTTCGTGGAACTGGGTCCCACACGCGTCGTTGTTAATGTGATACGATACATATTGATGGGTTCGCAGGTCTGTGGGGTGGCGTTCATCCCAGCCGCATGCAAACAAACACCTCAACAACCAGGGCGCGTCTGTCCCTTGGACTTGGGACTCGTGGTTCCCAGGCTTAGGCCCAAGCCCAAGCCCAAGCGCCCTGGTGGCTGGCCGGCGTGACGCGCTCGTTAAACACAAAACACTGCGAGCTGTTCCTGGCGAGTCGACTGTGTCTAATCTCGCTGGACACTGAGTCTACCACTGCCCTTCCGAATGCTGCGTTCTCCCAGTCCATCCCAGTCCATCTACAGGAGGCAGCCGAGGTTGACCTTGGGGGCTTTGTCCTATCGCACTCGCCACTCAATGACTCTCTCTGTGTCTTCCCTTGTCATCTCCCGCTCTGATTTGACCGCGGTCTAGTCAAGCACGTTGTACCTGACAACAACGGTACTGATGGCATCAACACCAACCACGTCAATAATATCAACAGCAGCACCAACATCGGGGTTGACTTTTTTTTTGGAGGCAACCTTGGCAGTCACCAGGCACACAATGAGGTGGTCTCATGTAAATCAGGCGCCTACTGGGGCGATGCCTGCAGAGCCTAGGGGTCCCAGGGTCCAATTCCAGGGGCCCACCAACCACAAAACCACTGCAATCTTGTTCCCCCAACCTTAAATCGCGCGCATGCTGTCTGTCAGACGGCGTGCATATTTGACTCCGTGCGATCAGGGTTCGGGCTGTGGCTTCTCTGCCCAGACCCTGCCCCCTTGCCAGCCTCTTCAAGCCTCCGAGGGGGTTTGGGGGCGGCTGCGGATATGGAAACGGACACGGGACCGGAGTCCTCGCCGGAAGATGCCCAACGAACAAACCACCATGCTGATGCTCGAACAGGGCGTAAATTCCCGACAACTTTCTCCCTACCTACAGATGTGCATCATAGTGTATCTGAGTCTGCAAAAATTGTGCATTTAATGGAGGATCAGTCCAGCTCCGACGGTACGATGATCTTCTTTTCAATGCGCAATGAAAAAAAAAAAAGCGACTCTGCAACCTGGCTTTCTATAGTCATTTTCCTGCCCGAGACGTGCACTGAGACGGTGGTCTCTGTCAAAATGAGTACTGCAGCCTCACTACTATGTATCCGTCATTAGTCAACCCCTCACCGGCGAGAATGCCGTGCGTCCAGTATAACGTGATCTGGAAACCTTGACCTCAATCGACGGGAAGCGGGGGGTTGAAGGAGAGCCCGAGATCCCGAGGAGAGCAGTACTCCATCGAGAACATGACCTCTCCATGGCGAACTTTGCTCTTTGTAGCGTGCGATCTTTCCACGTTGATGATATTGTACTTGACGCATCGAGTGATAAACAAAATGCCCAGGAATGTTGGGAGAAGCAGAAGAATGGACAACTCGAACAGCGCGAATTGCAGACATGCCTCACTTGCACAACACGGTGCTGTGTACGATTCGTTCTGAGGTGATGCAGTCGAGAGCAACGCGGCCACACAGCCTGGCTACCTAGGTACGTATATGCCAAGGTACAAAGCCGGCTTCGCAAGGCAAGGAGACAACTATCCTTCCGCATAAATGTCTAGGCGGTCTGCAGTCCCTAAGGATTGGCGGCTGCAGTTGTGCATAATTGCACGTGTACCGAGAGCTTCTGCTCCGCGTGTGTGCTCCCGTCCCAGATCTCGAGGTCTACCCTGTGAGGAGAAATCTCTTCGAGCTAAAGAGGTTTCTGGAGGGCATAATCACCCACCACTGAAATAGCAGAGCCTCATAGCCGTTACTTAAGCTTTGCACAGTCCATGGGTATGCCTGGCCTGCGAACTCGCATTGGCTGAGGGGGTTGCCAACTTGCCGTGTGGGTGACCGAGTCAACGATGAGGTCCAGGCCACTCGAGGGCGGTGTCCTGGTGCATTCACAGCGACGCATCGGAGCTCTATCTACGGGACGACATGTGGATACGCCTATTAGCTTTTCGGGATGCCTTGTAGCCATCCTTGTTGCATGTTCACAGTCGTCGGGCATGAAAATATCGATGGCCTGAGGGGAAGGACTTCTTGCTCATTCCTAAGAGATCAGCACAGCTAGCCCTTAACAGCCCCCAATACGGCCCTTTTCTGTTCCTGATATTCCTTGAGAAGTTAGAGTATTATTTCATGGCCCATTTTGCCCGTCGGACCGAGTCTTTCAAGAGGCGATGGGGCCACCACACCCGAGCTCGGCCGTAAGGCTGGAGACAAATGAGGCATACGTACCGGAGATATGGGTAAGCTTTGCGACATGAGGAGACTAGAGCACGCCAAACTTTCAGTCGGCGAAGGTAACTGACGCGCGGACAGGCCTGGTATGTGCTCGGCACCTTGATTCTCATTCTCCGTCACGCTGTGAGGCTTCGCACAGTAGGCCTACGAGGTTATCAGGGTGATGATTACTTGTCTATCGTCGTATGTCATCTCACCCTGCCTCGAAAAAAATTCGAATACGCAACTGTATTGACATTTTCTCCCACAACTACATAGTCCCTCTGTCTGTACACCGTCGATACCACCATGGGCTACTTCGCCTACTACGCCGGAGGGAACATCGACGTGACACCCGACCAGGTCGACTCACTCAGCGACGCAGACATCCGCATCCTCGAAAGGGGCAGCAAGATGGAATTCGTAACGTGGTACACGTACCCAGGCTTTGTCTGGGTCCTAAAGTTTTGCATCCTGTTCTTCTACCGTCGTCTTACCCTGGGACTGACAAAAGAACGAACCCTTAACTTACTATTTGTGTTCTGCGGCGTCACCTGGGCCACCCTCATCATAGCCGTGAGCTCGACCTGCAGGCCGTTCCACAACAACTGGACCATCCGTCCGCTGCCGGGGGAGGAGTGCATCTTCCGTGCTCAGAACTTCAAGGCCCTGGCGGCTCTGAATATCGCCACCGACGTGGCCATACTGACCATACCTGCGCCCATGATTTGGCATCTACGGGTTCCGCTATGGAAGCGTGTTGGCGTCACCTTGCTGTTGTGCGGCGGGTTGTTCGTCATCTCCGCCGCTATCATCCGCGTTGCTTTGACCCTTACTGGCACGCCAAGTGTCCTCAACATCAACCTCTGGGGCTATCGGGAGACGGTCATTGCGCTGCTCGCCGTCACTGCCCCAGTGCTGAGCCCATTGTTCCGGCCGGGCTTCTGGAAACGAGGTGTTTACGTTCCTAGAGAGGTGGATGAACAACAACGTGGTGCAGAGCAGGAGATTGCAGTAATGGAAAGGAGGCGAAGATGGAGACTGAGGGATAGCTGGTTCTTCGGAAGCAGTTTGTTGACCAGCTCCTTTTTGTCGATCAAGTCCAGTGTGAAGTCGAACATATTGACCACCAGGACCAGAGCTGCAGAGGTAGACCCTGAAGCGGCCGGGGCGTCAGTTCCAAATGAAGAGATGGAAGCAACTGCTGCTGTACAACCTGTCACTGGGCAGCATGTCGCTGAACAACCTACTGAGAAGACCCATGCTCACCGCCAGGAGCTAGAATTCACTGTAGAAGAAAGCGTCCTGCCGCAGCAGAGCACGAATCCTCACACTGGCCCAAGCCAACAAAATTCTGATAGAGGATAGCATGAATTGCAGTTAAGTATAAGAGTCACATTATTTGAACCAACTGGCTCCCTTCGAGAATCAGGTTTTGCGTGCAGAACTTTGGACACCCAGAAGAATGTATTCCGATTTATCTATCTAGGTGGGCAGGCTCAGCTATTGAATCATTTTTGATATCTTTGCACGGGTAAAGTATTAATAACGGGGCTAATTTTGATCATAAGCACCTGTTCTTCCATAAGGTGGGGACGAACCGTCATGGACGAGGGACTCATATCTTGGCCCGATCTCGCAATCGTCAGCACGTCTGTCCTAGCCGCCAATGCAGCTTGGCTCACAAGCATCGGGAACTAGAGCGAACACAATTCTTCCTCTGAAAGTAGAAATCAGTGGCACAGCTGACAGTCGACTCACCAATGAGCCACTGATGATCCGGAAGAACAATCAATGAATAGAGCGACTCCGTGCATCTGCTTGACCGAGATATTGAGGCTTGTAGCCGCTTAAGCAATACTGTGGTCGCAAGTCTGGGAAACCACTTAACGGCAAACATGAGTCAATCCGGTCAGCCACCTCCATCCGGCAAGCCTCGGGTTGAGCACAGTAGGAGCAATAGCTTACCATGTTCTCACAGCTTCTCATCCAGCAGAGGATGATACGCCTAAGCCCGTCAATTTTGGCGTTATTGTCTTTCCAGCGTTCCAGCAGCTGGACCTGTTCGGTCCGCTGGACGCGCTCAGCCTCCTGTCGCGCTCCCACAAAATGAACCTGCACATCATCGCCGCAACGCTGGATCCCGTGTCAACAAAGCAACTTGCAGCCATCGGCGATGGCAACCACCAACGACCACTGACAGAGTCCCCCGATTTCGGAACTTCCATCTTGCCAACCCACACCTTCGAGACGGCACCACCCCTGGACGTGCTGGTGGTTCCGGGTGGCCAGGGCACGCGAGCGCAGTCTGCAGCCATATCCGGGTCCATTGAGTTCATCAGACAGAGATTCCCCTCGCTGCAGTATCTCATAACCGTGTGCACGGGGGCAGGACTCGCTGCTCGGGCCGGCGTCCTCGACGGCAAGCGTGCGACGACTAACAAGTTGGCGTGGGAGTCCACGACAGCGTTGCGTCCCCAGGTGGACTGGATCCATCGCGCACGTTGGGTGAACGATGGCAATATATGGACGTCGTCGGGAATCAGCGCCGGGATCGATGTGACTTTTGCATGGATTGCACATGTCTATGGGGCTGATGTGGCGAAGGACATTGCTGATCGAATGGAGTATACTCGTGTGACGGATCCTAATGATGATCCGTTCGCGGGCTGACCTGTTTGAATGCAGTGATAGTAGGACCATTTACTTGACGTGTGTACCAGATCAAGTACATGAGGGAACTTATTAGGCACAGAAGATGGAGTGACGAATTCTACGAACAGAGAGCAATTGACAGCGGCAGCAGACCATATTAGAAGCTACTTATTACCGAAACAATTTGGCTTAAATCTGCTACTGATCCAATGGCATCTTGACTGCCGCCGATACATAACCCAAATAGATTGCAAATCATATGAGCCAGCCAGACAGCTCGGCATAAGGGTAGCTCCCATTTTCTATACAAATAATCAAATTCGAAAGAGGCCAATACGCGAGGGCCGAAACATCAGTCCAAGATTTATATCCGCTTTGGTTCTCAGCCTCGTCGAATTCTTGGTGAAAGCGCGGCTAAGAATAGACTTTGTTACTCTTTCACGGCCGTACCATATACTTCTATCCATGAGGGCGACTGCTGTGCATGTTCGATAGAGCCATGGAGGAGAGTAGCGGCAGGGTTCCAGCGGTGAACGGTCACTGGATTACAGCAACGAGTTTGGACTTACATTTTCTAGGTCACAACATATGAGTCTAAGAGTCCGGTCTTATGTCATTCAACTGCCCAACACAATATGAACATTTCACATCAAATTTCGCGCAGCTTTTGATAATAGGCGTGTATTTTGTTTACATGGGCCTGATAAGTATTTACATGGAACAATCGACAACTGACAATCTCTCATTGCGACACAGCACTTTCCAACCTGTTGAGAGGCCCGACCACAACCCTTCTCCTGACGAGAACACTAGCCATAGGTCAGAAGACTCGGGCTGTGTGTGACCTATCGAACGCTGATGGTGTAGGATGAAGTGGTCATGACAGCGTTGGAGCCGGTGAAGGGCTCGGTGCCGGCCTGCAGGGAGGTGATGTACATCGAAGTCGAAACGCCCTGGCTGCTGGTGAGGTACTTGAAGAACAAGTTCAGGTCGCCTGAGAAGCTGGTGATGGTTGAGTCGGCAACGAAGGAGTACACAGTAGTGTCACCGTTGGGGCCGGAGTACAGCTTCCAAGTGTGGCCAGCAATGGTGGTGGTGGCAATGGGTGTGCTGCCCGTGGACGAGATGGGGCCCGCGCCGCCGTAGGCGGCCAGCCAGACCATGATCTCGTACTTGTTGGTGCCGCCGGATGTGGGGGCGAGCCACAGGTCGTAAGCGACGTCTGCGACGATGGAAGAGCCGGTGTAACTACATGTACAATTAGTTATTGGTCTGTTTTATTCATGGATGGACCATGGTTGCTATAAGACTAGGAAAGAGTTGGAAAACCACGTACCTCCACTTCCAAATTGAGTTGATCGTCGACACAGACTTGAGCTGTTTGTTGACGTTCGGAAGAGCAACGTTGGAGTACGATTTCACAGAGCTGCTGCCACCAGCCCAGGTCCATGAGGTAGACCAGGAGGCAGTGTTACTCTGAAGGTCATTGAAAGTGGTGCATTGCGAGCCTGAGGAGGCCGCACTTGCTCCCCAGTTGTTGTGGTAGAAGATATATGGACCAGCAGTCTCGGAACCGAAAGAGCCACAGAAGGTGGTTGAACGCTTCTCGATGGCCGAGTCGACACGAGAGGGCCCGACCTCAAGAGTTGACGTGGGGGCTGCCACGACGGCCGAGGCCGCCAGCAGAACGTTGGACAATGCAGCGTTGAACTTCATAGTGAGTGTTGATAAACCGAACAAGAAGGGATGGAGTGAAAAGAAGGGAAGTCCCAAGAGCGGAAGTGGACAGAGGTAAGCTCTAGATATGGTCTTGAGAGTATCTCTGATGGACGAGAAAGGCAATGATCAACTCAATAGGAAAGAACATGAATATTTATCCATCTTAGGACTACGGTGAGATTCCACCTACGAGATTGCTTCTCAGGGCTACTCCGGACGAACATACTCTTCCGTCTTAGTGTAGTATGGCAGACCGTTGATGAACTCAGAATTAGCAGGCCACATCTCCGTGGTGTGGATCACTTTGCCTGAGCGTGGTCATCCGACGGCAATTTCCACAAGTCCGCTGTTCCCAAAATGCTTGTTCGGCCGAGGCTGTCGCTAAAAGTTAAGCTTAAGAGTGGATCGACAGCAGTTCGGTTACAGCCGAAAACGAGCCAGACCGTGTCGACTCGGACGTGCGTATTGGCCAAAGTTGTGAGGAGAAATGGCGTCGACAAGAAACACTAGTTCGCGGCCCCTATTGTCCTCGTGGATCCAGGATAGCCATGTAGTGATCCTTGGCAGAAATGAAAACTTAACCTCAATAGAGCTTGCGGACATCCAGGTCCGGTTGGAGAGGTCATCGGGGAAAATCCACCAACCAGGTATCATACATAGTGAGACCCCTGACTCACACCATACGCGGTACTTGTGCCGCGCACGACAGTGCATTGTGAAGGAAAGGAACAAAGACAATTGTGTTCGTATTACACAAACTCGGCATTACTCGAGACTCCTCCGCCCTTCATTGCATGAAGGAATTCGTATCGCGGAAGAAGAGAGCGAGTCTATGATTAGTTTGGACATCGTGCCGGATTGTGTCAGCAGAACGCCGCCGCCGCCGCCAACTCGATTACCGAACAACACAGCCATCCAATGCAAGAACCTCCGGATGAACGCTATGCTCGGAAGGATGATTCGTGATAAAGGCGATTTTCAACAGCTCACTGACATGCATCATCACCGCCTAGAGACACATTGCATTACATTGACATTAGCAATGTGGTTTCGGTATATCCGATAAACTGACATAGCCCTCCATGCAAAGGTGAGCAGGTTAAAATTTTCAGCAGCTTCGCCAAAGTTACAAGTAGGAGCACATGTGCACTTTTCTACTTACCTCACTTCCTGTATTCTCCGAGGATAACTGAGTTGCTTGTACTGACCACCGTCGTTTGGGACTGGAAATACGAAGCTGAACGACTCTTCTCCTTGCAGCTGATCGTAATCTCGAACTCCAGTTGTCGGAAGGACTAAACAGAGGGCCTGCGGCATACCACACGTACAGCCTTTCTGTTTCATAAAATGATGCATGCGGGTGAATGGTGTGTACAATCTTCCAGTAGAGCAACCTTCTGCCGAGCAACCCGCAACTGTTTGCTATATAGTCGTGGGGCAACAGAGCCAGAGCCGGTCATTGGATATTGAGTGAATCCTGTCTTTTCTCTAATTTTCGAGGGCCACTTCAATGCTTTGGAAGCCCTACGAGACATAGAGACGGCTCTTGTAGATGGATGTGAGTGAACACTCAGGAGCTTTAAGACAGTCAGCGAGAACGCCATTTATTGGTCCGCAGCTTATTTGAGTGCACAAAAGTTCGTGCTCGGCCACTAACTTCGCTCTGGCCATGTCTCTCGTGCGGTGTTTTAATCAAGTGAACAACTGGCCTAACTTGAGGAAATGCGATGTTATCGGCGCAAGTGACCGATATGAAGCCGGAACGCCTGCCGGAACCGGGACGGCATTGCGGGGACAGGTGGGCCGAAGACGAGCTCGCCATCTCGGTCGTCAAACAAACCTTGAGGCCACACAACTACCTACTCAGCAATGACGCGGATGCACAGCATTGAGTCTGAAATTTCATAACAGAATGGCGGCTTCACCAAACCTTCACCCCTCCTCAAAAATCTTCATCATCGGCTCAGGCGTCTTCGGCCTCTCTACGGCACTATGGCTGGCCCGCTCAGGATACACGGACGTCACCGTCCTCGACATGCAAGACACAGCCAGGGCAGGCTATGATCCAGACGAGATAGACAGCGCCTCGGCAGACATCAACAAGATCATCCGCTTCAGCTACGGCACCGAGATCGAGTACCAGCGACTCGCCTCCGATGCGGCTGTGATGTGGGAGGAATGGAACCAGCAGCTCGCCCGTGCCAAGGACGAGGACCTCCCACCGGGGCTTAGGGATTGGGCGGGTGAGAGGAAGCTGTGGTGGAACGTTGGGATGTTGAGGATGAGCGCGACGGACGATTTTGGCGACTTCGAGATGCGGACCCTGGAGAATATGGAGAAGGAGGGTCTCAGGGACCGGCAATTCAAAAGCGATGACGCTGCAGACCTTGAAAGGGCAAAGGAAAGAGGGTGGGCCCATAAATTAGACCCGTGTGACCGAGAAGTTCGATTTGGTGTCCACAAGGCGGTGTTGGACTCGACAGCCGGATATGTCCTCGCATACAAGAGCTGTGCTTGGGCGAGACATCTTGCCGAGAAGGCGGGCGTGCGATTCGTCCTCGATGCCGAGAAGGGAAGAGTTGTCAAAATCGACGAGCAAAGCGGCAAGCCGAGAGTCACGACCGCCGATGGCACGATACACGAGGCGGATGTGCTCGTTGTGGCCTGCGGTGGATGGACACCAAGCCTTCTCCCAGAGCTATCCCACCTCCTCGAGACAACAGCTGGATCGGTCGCGACCATCAAAATTCCGAAAAGCAACGTGGAGCTTTGGGACCGCTTTTCTCCGCAAAACTTCCCCGTTGTGACATGGGGCATGAAAGAGGGCATGGGTATATACAGCTTCCCGCGGGATGAGAACGGGATAATCAAGATAGGGTACAGAGCAACCAAGTATACCAACTTCGACGAAGTGGACGGTCGGCGCATATCTGTCCCGAAGACAGCCCACGTTACCGAATGCAAAGAGACAAACGTGCCACTGAAGTCGCTACAAGGCATCAAAGGTCAGTGAAAATCTCTTCTTCTTCTTTTGTGTCAGCCGCTGACCAGTATTACAGATTACATCAACCACGCCCTTCCCTCCCTAGCGCCTTTAGGGATATCGTCCACCAAACTATGCTGGTACACTGACAGCATCGACAACTCATTTCTGATCAGCTACCTCCCAGACAAGCCCGATGATAGCAGGAGTAAAATACTGGTTTGCTCAGGTGGAAGTGGCCATGGCTTCAAATTTCTGCCCATTCTGGGTCAACAAGTGGTCAAGATCCTGGAAAGTAGGACTGAGGGGAACGTTTATGCAGATATGTGGGCATGGCGGGAAGCTCAGAAGGGAGGAAAGAGGAACGGCCTCGAAGAAGGGGAGAACGGGCCGCGTGTGTTAGCGAAGCAAACTATGGCAAGCGAGAAGGACTGGGTTCTACAATAGAGCTTGTACGTAGTACTGGCACCACTCCTCGACCCAGTCATATGTCACGGATGCAAGATTCAAGGCTTCACTTGAAGGGAGTTCAGAGTTCGCCCATCTTGGCGCGCATGTGTGCAACGTCTCGTGTGGGATGCCCACATCATGCAAAATGGTGGACTGCAGCTACATCTGGATTGACTCGCTTTGCATCATCCATGTTGATCTGTCAGACTGGATGGTGCAGTCGCAGAGAATGGCCGAGACATATTCCAATGCAAACTTCAATATCACCGCAACATCATCTCCTGACAGCACTAAAAGCATGTTTCAGCAACGATGGTGTTTTGGGACCCATTTCTCCTGCCAGCCTTTGCTCCCTTACGACTTAAAGGCCTCTTCGTCCAAGGATTACTTGGTTTGCGTAAGGCAGCGGAGTGCAGGAACAAGACCTCGAGAACTTTGAAGCCCTCGAGCTCAAGAAGAGTGACGCGGGCTGCGACATCAAGGGGGCCTTAAAGATGCTCCATGCCAGCCCTGCCGCAAGAAGTCTTGCTATCCTTGTCTGTGATGGTTCTCATCCTGCTGAGAGTTCCAATGTCATCACCTATTATTTCGGGAGCATGCTCTCCTGGGCCGGCATCACCTCCTCCGCAACACATCTCCAGATGAACGTCATCCTCTGCTCCTGACAGCTTGTGGTGACCATGGCCGGATCCGCCCTGGCCGATAAGCTCGGGCGGTGCATGCTCGCGGTTCTCAGTCTGAGCCCATGCACTTTCTTCTTCTGTCTGCTGGCCGGGCTGACGGCCATGTACGCAGCCGAGGTGTTGCTAAGGAGTATCGGGATGAAATTGATTGTGGGATAGGATTTCGAACAAGACAGCAGAGATGCACAGACTCGCTCAACTGAAGGTTTTCCAACTGCTAGCTGAAGGCTAACGAATTATATGGACAATGCTATAAAATAAGAAGAACGAAATCGGGCTACGAGAATAGAAGTAGACTGCGAGGTGGGACCGGCGCGGAGAATCTGGGGTGTCCATGAGCTGAGCCGAGGGGTGGGTCCACTTATGGGTACCGACTTACTCGTTTTTTGTCGTCATTTTCATCATACTCCGAATGAACATTTGTCCTTCCATACATTTTGTAAGATTGACCTCATTGGTCGGCCTTTCATCTCCCAAAATCATGACGTGAACTTCGAGCATTGATTCCTCGTGTATCGGTGCGGAAGTCCATATGTATACTCGAGCACCCCTCCCTGATACAAGTTCATCTGGGGTATGATTGAAGCTTCTTGCCGACCCGAGGGGCGGGAGCGTTCGTCCCATCTTGCAGCGGGGGCGCCTCCTCGCCAAGCCTTCGCCTACTGTACACGTGCCATGGTGCGCAGGTGGCGAGCCCAGCGCGTGATTTGCATGTAATTCCACTGTTTACGGATGGATTGGGTTAACGTGTGCGTCGTGTGTGTTTCCCACTTTGTTTTGGCCTCGTCTTTGCTTGAGCAATTGCCCCAAAATGTTGGCCACCTTGCGCTGGTACCGGTAGCTAAGGAGGGTATGGTCTGTCTATATAGGCAGGGGGCAAGACTTATGCTTGTAGAGTCCTTCCGAGGTGCTTCCGACGGACCATTACGGGGGCGAGACATTGCGCAGTAATGAGTAGTCTACCCGGTTTCTCTATGATCCACTATCCACGAGCTGTGATGCTGGTGGGCACAGTGGGGTAAGGATCACCGAGTCGTCTGCCGAGGGGAGGCACCTATTCAAGCAGTAGCCGAATGAATGACGCTACTTAATAAGTCTTCAGGGTAGCTGGGAGCTTGGATTTCCTATACCTCCAACTCCCAGACCAAGAAGCAAGAAAGGGCGCGCACCATGAAGACCTTCGCTCCTCTGATCTTACTTGTCCAAGGCGCCCTTGCTTTCTCTCCAGGGCACCGTGCGTGGCCCCGGGAAGGCTCTGGTGATGCGCTGCAAGTGTCCACAACCTCTGGCCCAATCCATGGGAAAATCGACTCATCGCTACCCAAAGTCCGTCAATTTCTTGGCATCCCCTACGCGAAGCCGCCGACGGGAGACCGCCGTTGGGCTCCCCCCGAGTTGCTGGACGACCCAGATGCTCAAATCAGCGCGGTTGAGCTTCCACCGAGTTGCATGCAGTCTCTTTCCACCGCGAGTGCCTCAGTATATAACAGAGACGTCCTGGAATTCAATTTACAAGGTCTCAATCGCACGGGTGCGATCAGCGAGGATTGCCTGACAGCCAGCGTGTGGGCACCGACTAACAATCAATCTGGCCTCCCGGTCCTCATTTTTGTGTACGGCGGTGGTTTTCAGACCGGGGGCCAGGATGTTCCGTACCAGATTCCCGCGCAATGGGTGAACCGAACTCAGGACCACATCGTGGTATCTTTCAATTATCGGTTGAATATCTTCGGCTTCCCCAACGCTGCAGGGCTGGAAAATCAGAATTTGGGACTCCTAGACCAACGCGCATTTGTGCAGTGGTGTGAGAAGAACATCGCCGCGTTTGGAGGAGACCCTTCTCGGATGGTGCTATGGGGCCAGAGTGCTGGGTCGATATCGGTGGACATGTACAACTTCGCGTATCCTGATGATCCCCTCGTTGGAGGATTTATCATGGACTCTGGCACAGCCGAGTCTGGGCTGTCTTCCGCGGATACCCCCCATTCCAACTTCACCTTCGTGGCCGAGAATGTGGGATGTGGTGGCTTAAGAGAAGATCCCGCGAAGGAATTAGACTGTATGCGCGGTGTCGATGCCATCAAAATCAAGGACTTCATCGCGTCATATGCAGAAAGCGGTTCATCTCCCAGTCTAGGCTTCAACCCTGTTCCGGACGAGAGCGTCGTCTTCTCGAATTACACCCAGCGTGCCCTGCAAGACCAACAAGCACAGATTGTACATATTCCCCCGACCCCCTCCCAAAATTTGAGCTTGACTCCGCTGACCACAACAACAGCCAGCCATCATCGGCACAAATACCGAAGACGGTGTTCCCTTCGCCCCATACAATTCGAGCGGACCAAACCAGACCATTGCCCTCCAAGCCGGCTTGGCCACTTTCTTTTGCCCGGCTACCCAAACCACTCGCCTCCGCCAGCAAACAGGCCGCACGACGTTCCGTTACCTCTACGCCGGCAATTTCACCAACATCTCGCCGCAACCATGGCTCGGCGCATACCACTCGGCCGAGCTGCCGATGCTTATGGGTACGCACGGAAACTTCCGCGGCGCAAGCTCCGAGCTGGAGGAGGCGACGAGTCGTGCTTTTCAGGATGCGTATGTGGCTTTTGCGAGTGACCCGACTGGTGGGCTGCCGGGGCAGGGTTGGCAAGTTTATGCGGCGCTGGGGGACTCCGATGTGAGGGAGCTCGGTGCTGAAGTAGTAGCTAAGGATGTCAGTGTTGCTGACATGGAGGCTTTATGTGATGGCGCGCAGCTCGCGGATTGAAATGCACACTAAAAGGACTGACACATAATTAGATGCAGGGCTTCAGAATATTATACGACGAGGCCGGCTTGCCATTTAAATTAATAAACATTCCCACTGGTAATTGTGGTTGTCAAGCAAAGGGTATTCTGTTCATCAAGGCCCTCCCTCTATACACAGTTCCGTATGATCATGACCTTTCTCAAGCTCTTCTTCTTGCGTGACGGTCCAATAGAAAACTTGTAAGTGCCTTGTGGCAACGTCCAATCGCCTTTCACCTGCCTCCATTTCTATCTGAATCCACGGACTTTTAACCTTTGAGCCTGGGGAATAACGTCCCGTAACGCTCTCCGACTCCGGCTTAGGTAAACTGAAACCGCATAGTGCCTCTCTCCCGAGAATTTGGCAGGCAAAGACGCAATGTCTGGACCCTGATTATCTATATCAGTTCGGTCTCCGTTGAAGCCACGGGTGTGACCAACGCAACCGTCTTCCGACAAGGACGCTCCACCCGTCAACCTCATCTCTAGTCGAATGCTCAAGGCATGAGGGTCTTGAGTGACCTGAACTTCGCGGTCGGAAACATCATTCCAGCACAGCGTCTTTCCGTCTGGCGAGTGCTTGGAAATTACCAATTCCCGGCAATGCCTCAGTAGAGCTTCGTTGGACTCTCTCGTTTTTACCTTGACTGCGTCCAATATGCCCTTCAAGCCGGGTTCTGCTTCGTTATAAACAATTGCACAGGGACGGTCGTTGCCTTGGGCGTCTTCAAACATGCCACAGATGAGGAGGCAATTGCACATATGTCTGCCAGTCTTCCCAGACCCATAGCGAATATCAAAGGCACGAATACCGATGAAGCGCGAAAAGTTTGGTACCACTCCTGTCGATGTGACGCGTCCCATGGTCAAAAAGTATTCGTCGTGGAGATTCCATTGGTCTGTAGGGAATGTCGCCTTATCAAAGACCGCGTGGTCGCCAATCTCGTGGGACCAAAACCGAACGTAGATACGACCTCCCAGCTCTAGACGTATCTTTGCTGCCAGTTCTTGACGTATCCTTTGCTTCTCTTGGGGACTGAGGCGCTTTTGTATGCTGACTGTGGATCCACTTCCATTCCACAGGCTGGGGTCTTTCGTGTGGTAGAGTTCATTAGGACGCTGCCGAACAAATCTTGAACCCGTCTGGTGAAGGTAGATGCCCAGCCTCTCACCTAGAGCCGCATCGCCACAGCAATCAAGATCGAATACGAGTTGCTTGTCATGTGTCAGGCCCAAGCTGGTTTCCAGCGTGACGTCCCGGTTGGTAATGACGAAGTCCGGGCGCGATGCTAGCAAGTCGAAATCAGCCCGTCGCACAACAGTGCGGCATTCGGCGAATTCTGCCGGCGAGCTGGCGAACATGCCCCGGATGCTATCTGGGTCATGGTCTTCTTTCGAGGTCCATGCGAACAGCGACAAGTCATTTGTCTCCTTGGCTATTTCCTCTTGCAGCCTAACAAAAGCACGATCACCACCCTCGCCGTAGATCATAGGCATGCTGACATCGAAGAGACCAAGAAGACAGTATGCCATGTCTTCAGTCCTCGTTGTTTCTCGACCACATGCCCAAGACATCTTCCTCGCCACCGGAATCTCCGGCAGAACGCTGCTATCGGCCAGAACTCGTTCATCGATTCCGGTGACATGGTAGAGTTGAGGGATCAGAGTAGCCTTGTCTCCACGATATGCCCAGCTTGAGTCGTAGAATTCGACCTTGTCCGCGGCAACCAGTTCTTGTAGCGTCCAGCCGCGCGTAAACCATCGATAATGGCCGTCGTTGAGCCAGTCGGAGGCCGAGCCTTCATTGTTTGACGGCAGGTCAGATATATATGCAAAGCAAACTTCAGCCTCTCTGTAATACCGAAACATGGAGTTGATTGCTTCGGTCAGTTCCGCACTACTGCTTTTGTCAATGCAGCAGTTGTCGATCCAGACGTAGCGTAGATCCCGCGACGCTGCAAGTTGGCATGTCTTCACTATCTTTTGATAACTCGGTTTGGACTTCGCTTTCTCTATGTCGCGGAAGTCACTGTAAATGACTTCATCATCTCCCCATGTGTGCGAGAGGATTGCGTATGAAGTTTGCCGCAGCTCTTGAACGTGATGGAGTAGCAGCGTGGTAGTATCGATAAGAATCATCTTCTGGGCACTTTTGTGGGTCTATCCAGGAACTGATGCGTCTGTGGTGGTCAAGATATGCAGGAGTAAGAGCCGAAGCAGTTTTGCAGCCAAGGAATATACGAAGCTCATTTGAAGCACGTAAGCAAGGATTATCAGCCGCACCAGTCTCGTACCACAGGCCGCAGTAAGCGCCACAATGCCCTGGCAGAATCAGGCAGAGACTTAGCAAACGTGTCAATTAGCGTTGGATAGAGAAACCACGTGCGCGCGACCCTGCATGAGCATTTGATTAACGGGCTGGCCGTTATCGTTCCCCCTCCTTTACCTCTCCTTCTGTGGTCCACCAGAGGGATCAGAGTAACTGAATATGATTTTACTTTATCTCTATAACTGTAGAGCAATTAGAGCAATATTTAAGGTCACTTAGCACTGCATTTCCAAGACGAAAAGTCTCTCCAGACTTGTTCATCGTCGAATTTCTAAATTTAATACATATCCTGAGCCTGCAAGGTTGTCCATGGTACACATATAAGAGCTTGAATCGATGGAAATTATGGATATTGGACAGTGCATCAGGGCGCAACGTCGCTGGTCGAGATCTGTGGTTACCGGGGTTAAAAAGGATGAACCGCGATCCATTTCATTGGCACATGAATAGGTCGTACCCGGCACCGGTGCTGTATGCTTGCCCATGCCAAAGTTTTGGCGATTTGGACTGAGGTGTGTATTGGCCACTGATACAGCTAATTTAATTCTTTGCTTCACAACAACAAGTCACTGACAGTCTTTCCCTGCTTCGCGATGCTGTTCTTCGGCTCTGGCAGGGAGTGCTGGCTACCTACCTAGGTAACTGGTAGGTGGCTTCATACCTAGGTGCTTGAAGCTATTTACCGGAGACCACCGAAGTATGAAGATGGAAATAAGTAAGTATGAAGATGACAATTTGCAAACAGCGTGAAAAGTGCGGCATCTGGTAGAAGATTTGACTTGTTATATACATACCTAGGTACTTAGTATATAGTCAATTCATGTCTCCGATTAGAGGAAGTCAGGCGTTCGAAGGTATGAGCTCCCCAGAACACGTATCGTAATCGGCATGTGCAAGTTCAAACTCTTTGTTCTGAGCTTTCAGAATTACTAGGCTGATAGGTTCTTCGAATTTAATCAAGACGTTATTTTATATTAGTAGATAGGACTTATCAGGATTTAGGAGGGCCTTAAATATGGCACCGTGGCATCCAAAAGCGACCTGAGATGCCAGATGCGAATGGGCCCATGGTGACACAGGACTGGGAGGGCGGATGTACTGATAGAGCAAGTCGTCTTATGAAACCATCGAAATTTCGATCTGCCTATATGCAATAACCGACCTCAATATTTGCCGTCCGATGCATGCGAAATACTTGGGGCTGCCGTGAGCGTCAAGATAATGATGAGACATTAGACTAGACGGCTTCTGAAACATGTGCGTCTTCAGTTTCGAAAACCGTATAAAGTGTAATGATGGGATCTCAAATGTAAATTGAATTCTAACTTTTAATATTTAAAAAACCTCGGCCAACTAAGAAAGAGAATCCAGGAAGCAGTACAGCCACCAAGCATGGCAGCCCATATTCTTCCATGCTCAAGATCCATTTATCTTGGAATATAACTGGTTTCTTTTCCAAACATGCCAGATAACTTGTGCGGTGATTGTTACCGTAATGTTACCTGGATTATTCCATCGGCACAAGCCTATCCACCTTTGTGTGTCTCTGACCGAAAGCCACCACGTTGTCCAAGACCTCAATGCAGTTTTTGCAGGTAAAGTCCTGGCAGTGCAGGCACTTGTGGTAGAACACGATCTCACCATCACTATCAATCTCCATTACCACAAACAGGTCTTCTTCTTTGTTCTCAAAAACGGAAACGAGATGGTCGCCTGGTGCGAGACGAACTCGTCTGCAAGGATTCTTCCCATGAGCAGCCGCACCTCCATGATAGGCTGAAAGTGCATCATCCTGCCTTCTCCACTCTGTATAAATCTTACTGATACTAGTAGCAGCAAGAACCAGGTTTCCGCGGGTTGTCGGGTGCGATGGGAGGCGCGTCAATAACCAGCCGTCGTTGTCGAAAAGGACCACTCGTGTTGCACCGTGCAGTAGTCTCGGCGGGTCACGGCACCACGCTGCGTTGCTAGGAGCGCGGATGTGCTTGGCATAGAAGTACGCCACGAAACGGTTGACTTGATTCCAAAAATTATGCGTATGACGAAATTGACTGTCTTCAAAGATCTCTGGTAGTTGGTACAGCGACTGTGAATCACTATACTTGCACACGACGAGGTCATCCGACTTGACGACGGATGTGTGGTTGCCGTTGGAGGTCATGGTAGGAGGAGGTGCGTTATTGGCCAAGGCCTCCATGACTGGAAAAGAGCTTGCTTCAGAAGATTGCTCGATTTGATGCGAAGAAACGGCTTTTGCTCACAGCCTGAAATCAACCAATGTGACTAGAAGGTATCTTGGTCCTGGTGATGGACCTGGTCCTGGGGATTATCAGAGGATGTTATGGACGGGATCGCCGAGCTGGGTTGAACGACAACGATGGGTACGTGTTCAATCTGAAGGTAGACGTTTGGTGATTGGCCGTAGGTAGTTAGTCTTGGAAATATTCGTGACGAAAGTGACAAATGGGGGAGAGAAGAGCCACATTTAACAAGGAGCATTTCAATCAATAATCAAAAAGCACTGCTGTATCATATTTCGTGCAAAATCCTTTACTAGCGTGTTCTGAAGTCATCCCTAGTTCTTACTCCTCTGGCACTTGTTTGTAGACGGCTTGATACTTAGCCAGGCAACCTTGATGTGTAGCCTCTGCTAGCGTACCGCAGTGCACTCAAGGTATTGTCTTTCAGCAAATAACAAAGACCATAGAAGTACAAACATCGTAAGTCTTTCCAGGGCAGCACCATTTATTGGTGCTAGCTTACTGTGACGGCACGGGTCTTATATATTGCTGGATATTTCTACTTGCGATTAGAAATTACAGGTCTTTTGGCCGAGTGGTCTATTTGCTAGCAGTAATAGATTCGTCTCACTTACCTTAGTAAGTACCTATGTAACCATTTAGGCTATGGCATCGCCGTGACGAGACCAACTGAGCCTGAAGTCTGGCTCACATGCACCAAACAAGCCCAACTGCCACTGCCCATCTCCCATTTGTACCTACATAGGCACTAGTATCTGATGCATGCATTCATGATATTTTGCACAGTCTCGTCCTTGGCTCGAAAGTCATCGCTGAAACAACGAAATTCAATCGTATGTATATGAATACCTTCCCGCTGCTGCCGCAACCGAAGATCACATACTCGCAGGGAATGATCCACCTCATAGTTCTCCAGCACCTCACAAGTGAACACTAATAACACTGCCAAGAAAGGCCACCCAGATCAGTTGGACTTAAAGTGGGATTATCAACCTATAGACGTATGCTAGATTCTGATAGGTTGTAGCCTTAGGAGCCTTGACTTTCAGCAAATGGAAAAACGAGTTGTTAGAATCTAATCCTAGAAGAGTGCGTGCATGGCGATGCGCAACAAAGCCTGAGACATTTCAAAGCCAGTATCCGCACAGGAGATATGCCTGTCTAAATTTTTAAAATCCTAGGTTGAGCAGGAAATCATGAAGAGGAGCCTCGGAGGTTTGGTTCTGGATTGTTGTCAACCGGATCTAAAACAAATCACTTGAGGTTGACAGCATTGACTCCATTGAAATTAATGAAGTCCACATTTGTGGCATCATAATGTGAGCAGCGCTGTGTGGCGAGTGATGATCAAGTGAGCAATGAGATGTTTTAAGGGGCTGATTCGCGCACTCTGTATCGGCATCCAGACGTGGATGCAGCGACAGTCATGACATGGGAGGTTTGGCAGTGATGAGGGCTTCAAAAGTCAAAGCAGATCTTTTTTATCTCCCAATCATGCTAGAGAGGCGAAGGCGTGAAGAAAGCAACATCCCCTTAAAGCCGTGGTATCTATGGTCAAAAGAAGAAAGTGGCAATGCCTCAAACTGACGAGGCCAAAATCCGAACAGAAGCCCTGGCTTAAGCCACTGGAATGGACTTTCCCGCCAAAAGCCACCCAAAAAAACAGCGGAGAATGCTTGCAATGCGATCAGCTCGGCCACAGCAGGCGGCTCCATGCTGCAAAGTCCTTGTACCAGACGCCATGCTCACATTGAACCTATCAATGTACCTCCCTCATGCAATCACGCCCAAAAATCAATCCAGGACAGACGCCGAGTCTTTTGGGGGCATCAATGGAATAGCCATGATACCAGACTGTATGCTGCCCTGGAGGAAAAAAAAAACAATGTCAAAGCGACCCGGACGCGCCTCGACAAGCTCCATCCCAGAAGCTGGCGAAGCCATGCCCTTTCCACTTTGGCGGTACGCCACCACAGGTCCCAAATTAGCGGACTCGAGCTGCGTTTGATATCTCGTCGATGCAAATCTGGTTGTCAAACCGCTTCCTAGGCCATTCTCATGCCGCCTCCCATGCACCCCTAGACAGAAGTCCCAGGCCAGTATTCGATGAGAGCTACAGACCGGGCGTCACGGACGGGCTGCCCTGTTGCAGGCTCTGGCGAACGCTAGGCGGCAGCTCAGCGGGGATGTCCTCATCGTCATCACCAGAGTCTTCCGACTCGGACTCAGTGTCGTCCAGGGCCATAGGCTCCTCGGCCGTGCCCTGGCCCTTAGCGCCGGCGGTCGAGGTGACCCTGGTACCGGAGCCAGGCGGCAGCGTGGGGTCCATAGTCTCCGCGTCGGCCGCGGCACCGCCAGAGAGGCCGCCCATCTCGGAGTATGCCAGTCGTTTGCTGCTGGGGGAGGGGCCGGAGCCGGAGAACCGCCGCTTATTGCCGCCGTGCATCGACACGTCTGCGGCCCGCGAGTCACCGAGGGCCGGGCTGGGCACTGGCGACGCCGAAGCCAGCGTGCTCGTTGGCGCCTGCGCACCAGGGCGATTCACACTCGACCACATGGTCCCAGTGCCGCCGTTGGAGCCACGCGCGATCGTGCTGGCAGGGCGAGGTGTCGAGGCGACAGGTCGACCGGGTCGTCCTGGGCCGGCACTAGGGATCCCAATGTCTGCCGCCAGCTCCGCGGCCGTCTTGTACTGCATGCGGTCCCTCTCGGCCTGGATCTCGGCCTTTGTTCTCCGCATGCGGAGCCTGACACCGTACTTCTTGCGGATCAACGACTGCTTCGTGCCGAACGAGTTGGCGAGCCCGTCGAGCCGGGTCTTCTTCTCCGCCGGATCCGGGATCGTGCAGGCCTGTCGGAACCGCTCGCCGTAGGTGAGCTCGGCCTGTCGGAGCTCCTCCTGCATGGCCGCCAGCTGCTCGGGCGAGAGGTGTGCATACGGGTCGGCAACGGCGCCGTCCGGGGTGTGCAAGCCCGGCGTCCCCTTGCGTGAGCCATCTCCTGAAGATGATGGTCGAGCGCCAGCCCGTGAGGAGGCTGGTGTCGATGTTGATAGCGATGCCGACGTAAGCGCCGGTGTGGGCAACGGCGCTGGGGTCGTGGGAGCAGGCCTCTTGGCCCTAGGTGCGGTTGGTGTGGAAGCAACTGGCGCTGTGTTGGGACTGTAGGGCTCTTTAAAGTCCCCGCAGACCTTGTTTGCATTATGATACTGGACACCCATGACAGTTGTGAAGCCTTGGCCACAGTGCTGGCAAGAGAATTTGAAGCCGCCTGGCGCACTAGGCGAGCGCGTACAGACCTTGGCCTTCACATGATGCTCATACGCGGACTGGTGGTTGAACTTTCGGAAACACATTCCGCAATACAAGGCCTGCGCTGTTGGTTGACCGGGATGAGCAGGCATCTGAGCCGTCGACTGAGGAGCCATCACAGGCTCTTGATGGACTGGTGGCTGGCTCGCAGTCGTGTCGTTATCCTCGGCCTGGACATCACCCGGCTCGTACCCAAGGCGCTCAGCTCTGGCGAGCGCATTAATAAGGCGCTTGGCGTTGATCGACTTGAGACGAAGCTCGAGGGCCGCGTCGAGGAAGGCGTCGCTCGCCTTGGTGAGCAAGTGCGCGGCTACAGCGTCAATGTCGGCAGGAGTCATTGCATCAACAATCTCATTCTTTGCGGCGGAAATCATGGCTTTTCCAAAGTCACGCATGCCACGCTGAACAGCCGCCGGGGTGGCATGGTGTATACTAGCGTTGAGCTGTCTAGAGGTCAGTTCGTGTGTGTGTGTGTGTGTGTGTGTGTGTGTGTGTGTAGGAGGTAGACATGAAGGGGGAAGCAACTCACGATGAAGGCCTGGTGGAAATCGGAGCCGAGTAGACACTTCTCCCAGTTATCCCGGACGGAGCGCCTCACGGCTTCGGGTATGGCCTGCTGGATGCCGTAGGTGATCCTCGTCTTGTCGTCGAGGAACTTTGGGTCCGCGTGGACATGGTCTCGGCCAGGCGAAGGGAAACCTGCCGTGGGAGGAGGCGCAGGAGAGCCGGTGCCTGGGCCCGGGGCTGGGGTGATGGGGACTTTTCTGTGCGGACGGGGAGACTGAGCGCGCCAAGTGGGGCTGTTCTGGTAGCTGTTGACTCTTGTGGCAGGTGTCGGCTGGGTCGCTGCTGGGGGCAGGTGGCTGGCTGCAGGAGATGCTCGCAGAGGAAGGGAAGGCGAGGGCAGCGCAGGCGAGCGTAGAGGCGTGTTGCCCCTGGACGACACAGCCAGCCGGCCGCCAAGGCCGTGGATGGAGGGAGACGCCGACGAGGCCGGGCTTGGCACCGATGTGGGAGGCGCAGGGGCAGATGCCATGGGAGGGAGGTAGACGGTGGCTGAGGCAGCAGCAACAGGATGAGGCGGAGGAGGATGATGAGAGACGTCTTGAATGTCCGAGACAATGCGGATGGGTGAGTCCGGCGCAGTCGGGGACGGCGATGCGGTCGCCGAGGCCGAGGCGGTGTTGGAGACGGCGACAGGGCTTCTGCTGTGGCTGGCACTTGTGTTGTCGGTGCTGTTGGTGTCATCTCTGCCATCGCTTTTGCTGTTGTCCTCCTTGTCTACGCCGTCTTGTGCCGTCGCATCGCCGAGGACCAGGGGTGGTGCTGGCGCCATTGGCGGCGATTCCTGGACGCCGGCCGAAGCCATGATGCCGTCGAGCACCAGCAAGTGGTTGGTCTATGACTGCGGTGCAATGGGGAGGGATGTAGCTTGATGCAAGGAAAGAAAGCAGACTCTCCAGAGTAGAGTAGCTCGAAGGAGCGAGTTTCAGGTCCCCCAAGCAAACAATCGAAAGCGAATGCCAGAATATGCCAGGCCCACGCCTTGTTTCCTAGTTTGCCCTGATCAGCCAAGTTGGGAACAGGTCTAGAGTCCAGATTGGAGTTGTGAAGGACGTGGGCGAGACGGGTGATAAGATGCGATGCGATGCGACGCGATGCGACGCGACAAGGCACGACCAACCTCGTCGCCGATGAGATGAGCACACAGCCTGGTGTTCTGGTGTCAAGTGCAGCCCGCCTCCACAAGGTTGGGTAACCGTTACGCGACAGAATCGCGCACGATACAAGTACGATGCAGGTTTGCTTACTTCTTACGCCCTTTCCTCGCTGCTTTCCCCCAGGTCCTTCTTCTTGTTCTGCTTCTTCTCCTGGCAGATAAATGCGCCGCTCATTAACTGTCAACCGCCAAGACTCGTCGTGTGATTTGGTCTGTCGTCTTGATCCTGGTCTCCGACGATGTACTTAGGGGGGCAGGGTCACGCGCAGAAGGGCAAAAATAAGGGTTATAGAGGAATTGGTGTAAAAATGGGGGATGAAGAGGGGTAAGCACTTTTTATAGCGGGCAAAAAAAGCAGGAAAAAACTTAACTGTAAAACAAATGGCGCTAAAACCCCATTTACCTGTTCTAAAAGAGGAAAAGCGAGTTAAAGTTGCAACTTAAGGACCCGCTTCAATACGCCAATGTCGCTGTTCATTGGCCTGGTTAAAACTGGCATGATGAGAACCATGTACAGCCATATTTGAATTGCAAGTTTAATATAACTTTGACAACGGAAGCTGGGTGAGATTCCCTTGCACCTCGCAAACAACCCCCCCAAAAAAAGTCAGCCCATTGCCCAGATTCTGTTGTCCTTGGAGCAATCCATCTGTTGCGCGCGTACAGTCTCGCTCACCTACATGGAGACACACCCACATCCAAATCCACATGCACGTTTTGGCAGCCGACAAGGCTGGCATGGGTGCAGCTTCAACTGGAGCTGGGGTGCTACTGCATGAGGGTGGACACATGCTCGCTAGGGTGCCGTGCAGTTCTCAGGGTCCAGTAGCCTCTGTGGCCTGCAAGATTAGGTTTCGTGGAGACGAGGCAGTACTCGTATTATCATGACCATAATCTTGACCATGGCCGAATGCAACAATCTATCCGCTGCAAGGCTGCATCGGCATGCAAGTTCCCGAGATGGGCTTTGCGGGCTTTCCATCTCAGTCATGGCCACCCAAAAGATGGCGCCATGGACTGGACTAGGAAGAGGATGATGGCATGAAGAAGCTATTCAAAGTGACACTGTGTGTGATGCACACAGATGTCCATCAAGACGCTATTAACGTAGCCAAAACCCAAAGCCATCATGATGTACCCAAATCAGTGTGAAATTATCAAGTGGACTTCGGGCGGCATGTCGAGGAACGACGGCGACGGTGATGGTGACGGACTGGCCGTCGACCCGATGGCTGCGGCCGCCGGATGCCTGATGGGCCGATGCTGACTCGGCCCCGGTTGTGACGGGCAAGTTAGTCAGTGGAATTGGCAGACGGGTGTGGAGGGAGCCCAAGCCACCAGGCCAGCCACCTAAAGGGAGTAGAGTATAGTAGAGGATCTGCTGAGTAATTAATTGTCTTGGTGACCACTGTGCAGGAGATGTACCTCGGAAGAGAGTGAGTGGCCAAGGTTGACATTTGACATGCAAGTTGACCTCGCAAGGCTGATTCTTGGTCGGTCTACTGTAGCAGTCTGAGCAGTCTAGCTGGTTGGGCTGGTTTGCAGCCACACTACATGACGTTGATTCCCACGCCACATGGAAGGAGCGCTCGGAAGCGGGGCCTTTTGGGCATCGAAATGTTCCTTCTCTTGCCTCCCGGATTCCGATGAGAGAACACCCAAAAACACACCACAACTGAGAGGATATACTAGTACCTGAATAGAGACTGTGTTAGGCCAAGCAGGTACATACATACCTAGGTTTCTTCTTTCCTATGATTTACGGAATGATTGCACACATTACATAATAGACAGTAGTTCCAGTAGAAAAGGAAGGCGCACGGTGACGGATGACATGCGTCAATGGTTGCCGAGCTAGGCAGGCGCAGATACTGTTACCCACCTGGGCAGGTACCTGGATACCTGCTGAGCCACTCCTTCCTTCCCGTCGTCAGCCTGGAGTGGTAGGAGCAGCACCACCAAGAGCAGTGACACTGCCCCAACTCACTTCGTGCCTGGCTGGTCTGGCTGGCTGGCTTTGATTGATGGTCACGACTGTCCTGTCCTATCCTGTCCTTGTTGGGCCAAGTCCAGGTCCAAGTCCAACTACGGCACAGCAACTTTGAGTTTTTTTGCCTTCAGCTGGCGCAATCAATCAATCAATCAGTTCAAGTCCGTCGGTCTCACTGCGCCTCAAAGCTTGGCGCCCCATCCCATCCTGATCCTGCCCTTCTGACCCGAAAGCGACACTGAGTGACGAACATGGCCACCTGAATAAATACTCTTTCATCGTCCCGCTTCCTCTGCACACACACACGCACGCGCATATCTCGATTCCTCCTCTGCTTTTAACCGAGCCGCACCTACGACCCGTCCTTGCTCTACTCTACTCTACTCTACTCTGTCTTGCATATCTAGGTACATTTCTGGTGTACACAGCAAACCCACGTCATCCGCAAACAAACACATCTATTCATCAGGTAGACTCACAGTACTTCAGCTCTCAGCACACGTCACGTCATGTCATACGGGGCCTACCCTCCCTACGGCCGTAAGCTCCCCTTCCTTCTCTCACCCTCTCTCACCCACACATGCACAGTCACAGTCACACAGACACTCGTACACAACCCGCAATCCTCTTTAATTCTCAATCCACCAACAATTAGCTGACATCCCATCGCAGAACCACCACCCCAAGGTCAATGGGGAGCTCCTCCGCCGCCTCAACAAGGTGGCTACGGCTATAACCAGGCACCGCCACCTTCACACTCGCCATATCCTCCTCAGGGCCACTCTCCCTATCCACCTTACGGCCAGCCCCCACCTCATCAGGGCTACGGCCCACCACCGCCTGGTCCTCCACCATCTGAGCTCTACGGCTCGCCGGCTCCTCCAGGCGGCGCACACGCTTACTACCACCAGCAGCCCCCGCCTGGTCCACCGCCTGGACAGTACGGCGCTCCGCCCCCACCTCATGGCGGCCAGTACGGAGGCGGCCAGTACGGGGCTCCAAGCCAGTATGGGGCACCGCCGCCGGCTAGTTTCCCCACGCCCGTGTCGCCCGGCTACGGTCCACCGCAGGGCATCCAGTGGGACGCGAATCCCACCGCCAACGCCATAAGGAAGGCCATGAAGGGATTTGGCACTGACGAGAAGACCCTAATCCGCGAGCTCGCCGACAAGGATCCCTTCCAGGTCCACGCCATCAACGATGCCTACCAGCGCAATCACCGGCGCAACCTCGTGGCAGATCTCAAGGACGAGACCTCCGGGTGGTTCGAGTACGGCCTCGTGCAGCTCGCCCGCGGGCCCCTCCTGGCTGACGTACACCTTTTGTTTGACGCCATGGAAGGCCCGGGCACCAAGGAACGTGCCCTGAACGACGTGCTGCTGGGCCGAAGCAATGCCGACATCAACGCCATCAAGAACGCCTACCGCCAGGTCTTCCACCGGGACCTGCTCGCCGCTGTCAAAGACGACCTCTCACTCAAGACCGAGCGCCACTTCGAGATCGTCCTCAGCGCCCAGCGCGCAGAGGACTCGGCCCCCGTCAACAAGCCCGACGTCGACCGCGACGTCGACGCCATCTACAGCGCCACCGAGGGCAAGCTGGGCACGGACGAGATGCGCGTGTGCTCCATCCTGTCGACGCGCAACGACAACCAGATCCGCGCCATCGCGCACGAGTACAAGCTCAAGTACGCCCGCGACCTGGAGACGGTCATCAAGAAGGAGTTCCGCGGCCACATGGAGGAGGCCCTGCTGTTCCAGCTGCGCCGCGGCATGGACAAGTACATGCACCAGGCCATCCTGCTCGAGGACGCCATGGCCGGCGCCGGCACCAAGGACTACCTGCTCGTCTCGCGCGTGGTGCGCTCGCACTGGGACCGCGCCAACATGGCCAACGTCAAGGGCGCGTACGAGAAGAGGTACGGCAAGAGCCTGGCGAGGCGCATCAAGGGCGAGACGAGCGGCGACTACGAGCGGTTGATGATTGCATGCATCGGAGAACGATAATCTCGGGCAAGGACTCGGCCGGCGTTTTCGGTCGTTCAGGCCTTGGTTTGGGCCAGGGTTGCAGGCTGATGAGACATGATTGATGCGCATCATTATTCCCCCTTTGCATCGTTTATGCGCCTACGAACTGTAATAACTTTCTAAGAATGTTAATATGATTAATGTCACTATCGATTGGCTTCTTGCATGTGACATGTGCATTCTAAGTGTCGCGGGTAAGAGCAGAACAAGTACCGTTGCAGAGAGTGCTGGATGAGAAAGAGCACGGCAACGGAAGGATGACCAATGTATGGCCCTGGTGTGTTTGTATGTACGAGTATATATTATCAAGTTTTGTCTATCTGACGCTTCCATCTACTATATGCAAATGCTAGCGCTGGCTACTATGGACAAGCAAGACAAAAACCGCCCGGGCGACCCGCAACAACGCTCCCCAGCTCTTGGTGCGGCGTTTTGGCGAAGGCTGATCTTCGTCGTCTATCGTGTGTTTGCTCTTTATTACATGATTACACATTACAGATCCCTTATTGTACGTTATATGCATTTCACATCCACTCGTGATCGTAACATTCGTATGAAATTCCGCCGGTCCTCGTGTCCCAGGACGTCATCCGGGAGAGCACTAGATGCGGGTCCCGTTCCAGGCTGGGTATGTCGTGTGCCACTGCCCGTTGTCGTAAGAGGTCGAGGTCGTGCTGCTGCTGCTGCTCGTCACGAATGTCGACGGCGTCGGGATTGAGCCGGTGGTGTAGGGTGGGGGAAGTACGACGCTCGATGTTGGGTACGGAGGGACTGACGCTGGCGGGGTATAGGTGCTGCTGGCGGTAGATTCCGTTGTCGAGCAGGAAGAGGACGAGGGGGACGCAGAAGCGGAGGCGGAGGCAGAGGTGGTGGCAGAGGTAGAGATGCTGCTGCTGGAGGACGAGCTCGACACCGTCGAAGATGTCAAGGTGGTAGATGTAGCACTTGAGGTAGTCTGAGTTGGGCTCGGGACAGGGCTCGCTATTGAAGACGACGAGGCAGAACTCGACAGCGCGCTGGAGGAGCTGGAGGAGGTCGATGGGGAAAGAGAGCTCGTGGAGGACGTCTCGTCAGTCACGGTGTGTGTCGTGACAATCGTGACGGGACTTGTGGCCGTGACCGTCGTCGGCGACTCAGCCGGCACGACGGATATGTCTGTATTGGTGACCGTCTTGGTGGAGTCCTTCGCGGTGGCAGTGACGGTGATCTCGGGCGTTGCTGTCGGCGACGATGTGACGGTCTGCACGACCGTGGTGGTGGCATCCTCCTGCGTCGTCGCCGGGCTGCCGCCGTCGATGGGCACGATCGAGTAGCTGGCTCTTGGGCGGAGGGCGTGGAATCTCCCCAGCTGTTGGTGGTCTTGTTGTTGGTCGACCAGAGGCAGGCATTCTGAAGGGCTGTAAAGAGCAGAGAGCGCAATGGCAAGGAGCGGCGCTGGCAGATTGAGCAAATGCATCTTGGGAGAGAAAATACAAAGGATCGACTTCGAATTCTAGTCCTGACTTCGAGACTGACAAGAGCAGAGAGCGACAGACCAACTGACTGTCGATTGTTACTTGACAGAGAGGCAGCGAAGTGGAGAAAAAAGAAAAGAGACGAAACAGAGGAACAAACCTGGAGCTGAGGGCATTCCAGCCCTTATTTGGCGGAGCACACTGCATGGGTTGGTCCTGCCATCACCTGGCCGTTGTCTGTCCTAATGGTGGTGGTGGCGGTGGATTGTTGGAAAAAAGACGGTGGTTGGGAACGCGCATTGTAAGGAAGAAAACGAGGCAGTTCGCGATGTGGAAGTACCACAGTAGTTAGACTGCGGGGGTTCTGGACTTGGGGAGGGGCTGGGCGAGCTCCCCCTGTCACCAGGCGCGTAGCTCCACTGTGACGTTGGCCAGGGGGGTGTTGCCCAGGGTGGTGACCTCTCTGTGCCTCTCACTGGCTGCAGATGGCCAGGCACGTCTTGGTCAGCGGGCCATTCCGAGCGCCACCAGCCTCCGCCGTTCTTTGGTCTCGTCTCAACCTGCAGTAGGGCTACTTTTCCTTCAATTTTCCACGCATGGCTCGTCTCGGCTAACCTCTGTCGAATCCAGGGTCGAGGAACTGATGTTTCCAAGGCGGTTTCAAATATTCCAACCTCGTATATATGAATGCCACTGCGACAACCGTGCTGCTGGCGTATATAAACCACGTTATGTGTGATCCGTGGGTGCGGACGCGTACGCATTCTTCTACACTCGTGCGCCTGGCGGTCCATGAGGGTGTCTAATGACCTGAGAGAGTCTAAGATGGAATTTTCCTTGTCTCTCAATACGCTCATTATCGCTGTTACAAGTTCCCACTGTAGCTGCTCTGGCCACACCCAGTGCCATGTGTAGTCTCTTCCACACATCTCTGGTCCAGAATTCTCATTAGGGAATTGGATTGGGATCACTCTGTCTCGGCCACCTTCGCTGGCAAGTTCGCCCTGGGCGCCAAGCTCCGTGGGCATGCTAAACCTGGACAATGAACATTAGGAGTAACCAAGATACGGGAAGATAGATGGACGTATCTATAGAGGACAATGAGCCTCTTGTATAAAAGTTTTCTGCATACGAACAGTAGGGATGGTGGATGTTGTGCGATTTTAACAATGAGAGCCGGTATTTTGTAAGAGATTAATAGAAGCTCGCGATTCAAGGTACTTCTTCTCGAGCCGATTGATCGACGGCAAGAGCGTAGTTTCTTGAACCTGAATAGTTTGTTCCATCTGGTTGTCATGTTATCATTTCACACTAAACCTCGTCTCCTTAAATTCCTCTCACCGTTGTTTCGCACCAGTTGCCACACAGGGTCCCTGGGTACGGGTGCACCCTATTTGTTGGTGTCGGTCTCCTATCATGAGTATTTGTGACGTGGCCTGGGGCCTTCCTACCATCGAAGATTAAATTTCCAGCAACGTGAATGAATATCTAAGCCTGTGTTCAGCAAGACTGGCTGATCTATCGGGGTATAAAATCAGCAGGGAATATACCCTCCTGGCTATCAAGACTAGATGCTAGAAGCCACATCCTGAAACAAATTCAAGAGCGGGTGTTGAAGGCTCTGGTGATGTGTGGTGGACTAACTTTCCTCGCTCTTTATTTCAGTAAACCGGGATTGGTCTTGCTTCTAGTCACACATCTTAAATTTCCGCTCAGCAGATTCAATCTTTGAAGCTTAACTTTGTCAGTTATTCGAAATGAGAAACGCAAATCCACATAGTCATTCGAAAGTTCCAAACAAGTATTAAATGTCCTGAGTCCAGTTGCCTTCATGTGAACCAATGCTCACGTTTCTTGATAATTCCGTGATTTACAGATACAAAACCAGATAGACTGCTCGGAAACAGGATAATTACGGTTTGATGAAAAAATATGGAAGACAAATTAGTTTAGAAAGTGCAAGAAGCAGAAGCGAGGCAATCTCAGGACATCTTGGGGAGCATCTAAAAGGTTTTGGTATGAACAACTGGTTTGGCTGATAGATGACCTGCGAATGCTGATGAGTGCTCCAAGACATTGACCGACCATGCGCTCAGCCCTCCGACAGTCTGCATCGAGAGAGCTTCGAGATCGTGCATTCAGCTGAGCTTCTCTCTTCCTTTGTTTTTCTTGAAGCAACCCTGAGCAACATCGAGCATATTCTACTACCAGATCGAGTCTTCGCGCCATGAAGACGTTGGCAGCCTGTCCCAGTCTGCATGGAGGCAGGGGGCCCTATGCAGGGACGCTGATGGTAGACAAGACAAGACGCAACCCAGACGGGAAAAAGAGGGTCACTCCCTCGCAAAAGCTCGGGATGCGTCTCCACCTAGTTGACGTATCTGTCACTCAAACCTCCCACGCTTCCGCTGCAATCGCTAGAGGCAAACCAAAAGTTGTTGTGACGATGCAGCATACGCTTGCAGCCCTTGATATGTTGGATGTAACGCCAGCTTGTGGCTTATGCAACATACGGTTGCAGCCCTTGATATGTTGGATGTAACGCCAGCTGGTGGCTTATGCAACATACGGTTGCAGCTCTTGATATGTTGGTTGTAACGCCAGCTTGTGGCTGATGCACGCCGAACATTATCGTGGCTCCACTTCCCTCCCAATCAACTTGTTCCTCGCTTGACAAACCTTCCTGATTGAACTTGATCAAGGAGTCTCAAATTAAATCGCAGTGCCGCAGCTAACCAACCAGAGACTGGAGGCAATGCCCTTGAGCCATGTATATGCATAGAGATGCGCTGAGAGGGGTTCTCCGAAGGAAAGGCGTGGGAGGGGGGCCGGAGAAATCCTTTGACTGATGGCTGTATGGATAAGGTTGAGAAGGCCGGGGATTAGGATGTATTGTGTTGCGAGTGGCTGCTCGTCAAGGTTTTGGCATAAGCGCAGGCGCAGAACGGTAGAACTAATCCATCCAAAGGTCTGCGAGATGGGTGGTGAACTCCAGCGACTTCCTATGCCTCGTCCTTCCGTTGATTCATGACTTCGTCGGATGGATGGTGTACGGCCATGCTGGCATATGGCCCATGCCGTCACGACATTCTCGGCTGACTGCATATTGATACCACTATGTCATGAGGTATTAAATACACGGGTCCGGAAGCCCCAGTCAAATAGAGCGAATCACATACACAGACTGGTAGATTGAGCAAGTAGGTAGGTACCTCAGGCAGGCAGTCAGTTTGCCCCTCCCGAATCACTAGAGCCTTTTTATGGGAATCTAAACTGTCAAGAGCAGCCCCCGTATCTCGACATGGTGAGGTCTTTCTCTCGCGTATGGCTGCTGGAGGGCAGTGGGAAAGTGGGGTGGGAGTGTGTGAAACGATCCCAGCCAATGTGCTGCGGTGCGATTCTGTTTTCTCGCAGACCCATCAAAACCTTTCTCTGTCTACCCCCTTCAGCACTGCCATTCATCAATCGTAACTCTGAGGAACATTCAAATAGCATTCTCTTTCCTTTAAGAGGGGTGTAGTTAAGTGCAGAGACATCAGTAGAGCCCGAGAGCTCAGCGATGCTCAGTAGTGCCCTCAGAAAATGGTGCCACTCAAAAATTGCTGCTTCTCACCTTAAAAGCAGAGCCTCCCCATAACAAAGTGATTTAGTCTGGTTCCTCTCTCCTCGAGGTTTCATATTGAATTGTTCAGCGTATTAGAGTCATAGTTTGATCCGCCGTGTCTGTTGATCTAACATCTTTCGAAGATTTTCGCACAATTCTCAGCTTCAGCAGCATGTCTGCCATGCTCCGGACCGGCGCTGCCATAGCTTTACCAACGCTTGGACTACCGTCCAAGCTTGCTGCCGTTGAAGATACCATGGGCACTCCTCTCGAAGGTCATTCCAGTGACCCCAGCACAGAGCCATACAACATTGCGCGCCCCACAGCTGAAGCATTGACTCCCGGGGAAGTAAGTGCTCATCCCAGTCGAGCCCCTGTTGGCCACTCACTCATGTTCTCTACAGCCACTGCATCTCCAATCTCAGCCGACCGACATTCAATACATCACGGCTACCAACCGAGAGTCCACCAGCTCATACTACGATGCTCACCCAGAATTGGAGACTGCGGCTTCCAGCGCCGCGGCCTCCGATGCGGCCCCAGGAGGACAGCATTCGCCCAGGAAATCAACTCTATTCCGCTCTAAGTTCCTCAGAGCCGGAGCTGTTCTCGTCTTCGGGGCACTGCCATTGGTCGTGCTGCCAGGCGTCATGGCGGGAGTCCTGACGAGACAGATCCTCGTGGGCATTGGGCTGTCCAGCGCGATTGCCACCGTGGCGGGCTTCTTCGCCGGGTACTACTACCATATCAACAGGGCGGGCTAGCTACTGACAATCCCTGGGCCCAGTAGGGACTGTCGGTGAGGTCAACTCAATGGGGGATAGAAGGGGTATTTCTTTCTCATTCGCATTTCTCTTCTCGGGCCTCCTCCAAACCACACCTCCCCCTTTCCCGCCACCATACTTTCATACAGGGCCGGGGGCTGCTGCTGCTCAAAGGGCCCGTGTGTCTCTGATTTGGTCAAATTTCGAGGTTTTCTATCACATTCAGCAGCATTTTCACAGAGCAAGGGAAGCGTTCATTTACGGTAAAATATAACACGTGATACCACATACCACATGAAGTCCATCAAAGTACTCTGCCACTGATTGATATGTCAATCGCCATACGGGACTATCACCGGGTCTGGACCAGCTGTCGAGTCTCTCGTCATCAGAAGGTTCCGAGAGGGTTCCAGAATTGGATCCTTCGTCAATGTTCAGTCGCTTAGTGATTACTTCGTCGTTGTTTAAATCCTGATGAGTTAAAAACGGCATTTCCTTGATCAATGATGCAGTTGAAAATGAAAGACATTTGGAACTATGTGTATAAAGGTTTGGCAGACTTGCTAGGCAAGGGGAAACTAGTCAACCGAACGTATATTCATTGACGCCGGCTCCCATACCAGCGGTCATTCGGCGCTGCTTAGTCCTTCAAATTACCCAAGATGAGCTGGACCTCATTTTCAGCATCCTCAATGATGTGTTCCGGTCCGTACTGCGGCCTCCACCCTATCTTGCTGCCGTGCTCAGCAGTGAAAGTGCACCTGATGATGGCCAGTGTCAGCTTGCAGTCCATGTTATTATGAGCATATTTGGATTCCGAGTCAAACTTACATCCCACCAACCTGGACCGGCACGAATTGAGGCGGGCAGCCCAGAGCCTCGCCCATCTGCTCCAAGATCTGGTCATTTGCCGGCACCACCGTGTTGTCGCCAATAATGTTCCTCTTGGCCAGTGCCGCCGCCATGGCCGTGTAGATATCGTCCCATGCCAAACTCCCAGACGCCGCGAGGAAGTATCCCGCTGTACCGTGGCCAGGGTCCTTGCCGTCGAGTATCGCGCGGAGAATCTCGATATAAAGGGTCGTGTTGTCAAGGACATGGCAGACGGGCCACGTCGGGCGCCCTCCGTCGACCTTGTAGACCCTCTTCATTGCTCGGGCTGCCTTGACGATGGCCACAGTCTGGATCGAGATAGTGTTGCCGAAGCCCTCGCCCCTACCGTAGACGATGCATGGTGCGAAGATGTAGCTGCGGACTCCATGCTTTTCGGATTCTTCGATCACGATGTTGTTTGTATTAACGGCCTACGAGGACAAAATTAATAAGCGGTCGTGTTGGAGGCTTGTCATTGCCATGAGCCTGGCTCTCTTGCACTTACACCTTTCATGAGATCCCACTTGGCTGTCTCCACCTGGGCCTTCTGGATAGAGTACAGCTCTGGATGCGTATCTAGCAGCGGTGCATCAATCGGCGCGCCGGCGTGAGACGAGAAGAGCTTGGCTCCAGTCGTCTGTGAATTCACCTTCATTAGTCCTACCCGTCATAGCATGAATGGTTTGACATGGCAAATGCCATCAATGCAACGGTGGATTCTCACGTGTAGGAAGTGGACCTCCTGGCCCGTCGTCCTCTTCACCTCCGCCAATGCCTTGATGAAGTTCACCTGGGCTTCGCTCCTCATGGCGTCGATCAGATAGAACACAATGGTGATCTGGTGCGTCACCACCGCATGCCGGACAGCAACTTCATCTTGGGCGTCAAGGGCCAGGGGCTCAGCACCGTACTGTTGGACGGCGGCCGCTTGTGCATCGGTCCTCACAAGTGCGTAGAGTTTGTCGTACGAGGGGAGATTGGCGTCCTTCCAACGGGCAAGTAGTGTTCCGCCTAGGTAACCTGAGGCGCCGGTGATGAGGATTCTGTGGGAAGGCATGGCTGTTATTCTCTAAACGGTTCCTTTGAGTCTGTGATATTCTGTGTGGCCTTTAGAGTGTGAACATGAGGTCCTGATGTCTGGCATTTATACATCAAAACTCGGCGCCGCGTCGGCAAGCAGTAGATGGTATGTGTAAGTCCTTAGGTGATGCGAAGGAGCGGCCGTAGTGGGGCCGCGATTTGCAAGCTGCATTGGTCCGTCCGAACGGAGGCCGCTTCAGTGGACGGTGTCGATGCCCTCCAGTTTCCCCACATGGTGGCGATTTTCTTACCGGGACCAATGATTGATCGCTAGGGATATTGCTTCGGCCCTGGCTTCTAAACATGGCAAACAGCGACAGAGCTCGAGGTGCATTCACTCATGTGGGACGACTGCAGCCTACCACATCGACAGCTTGGATAACCTTCGGTGATCTGAGAGACATTGTTGTCTTCGTAAATAGCATAGATCCCTGCTCATAAGTGGGTCTTGGTCCGTATCACATAACCTAGAGTATCTGCCAGTTCCGCGTTAAAGTCACTGACAATTACTCAGATTTTAGGCTCCTGAAGACCTGTAGACTGCTATCCCTCGAAACGAAGTGGCTGAGATTGTATGTCTACGGACTGGGTTCCTTATCAGACATATTTCAGTGGTTTGTATTAAGTAAACGTTGGATGAGTAGAGATTTTGCTAATTGCACATCAGGACATACGATCATGGGTGACTTCACACAAGATAGACGCCACTATTGTCATGGTCGAGCTTGCCCTCCTCCTTCAGCTTCTTTAAGCCGTCCTTCACTCTCACCATTACTTGCTGCCCATACGCCGCTGCCTGCTCCTCGGTCGGCTCCCCTGGTGGGCCCTCCAGCTTCCTGCTATCAACCCTCACCCAGGGGATATTCGCCGCCCCGGGTGTGCTTTTCGCCAGCTCCTGCACCCTTTCGATGTCCTGATCTGTGTACGCACCGCCGAGAATCAGCGCGCGTGGGGGCGAAGACCAATTTCCGCTGCCGAGAGTGCTAGAAGGGTTTGGCGGTGCCTTGCCAGTGAGGAGGGATGGAAGCTCCGCGGTGATGTTGGCGGCAAGTGTGAAGTGGATGACTTCACATGTCAGCAGAAGTGATTTCACCCTGAAGGAAAGGGGAGGGGGGCTACCCACCTTCGTACTCTGGCGCCAGGTAAGAAATAACCAAGCGCCCGATAGCCTGGGTACGGCCAGTGATCAGGACGGGAATGGGCGTGCTAGACATGATGGGAGTTACTTAAGATATTGATTCGTAGTTGCAGTTCAATGTTCGGCCTCAATTGAGTGTTCACGAGATAGTTATACAAACATATGTCCCCACAATGGGGTCCGGAACCAACCGTCCAAGACACGGACGGCCATTCCAGATGTCCGGCATTAGTCAGTCAGTCAACTGGCCGCTCTTGCGCCAAGACCACGCCCTGGTTGGAAATGGGGATATACGCCTTGCCCTGATGAAACTTTAGCTCGCCTTTAATTCGGGCGCGACGGTTTTAGATCCGTTGCGTGGCGTTGTCCGGTAGCTGCGGAGATGATGGGAAATACACATTTCGGCAGCGCGGTTGGTCGGCGCGAGAAAGTGCGCACTCGCGAACAATAAACTTTGCTGACAGAATCAACTTGTTTCTGGCCTTATCAACACCGAGAATCATCATTTCTTTTGGCTTCCTTTGACTCGGCTTCGGTCATACAACTCATTGCTATGAACTGGCCATGTCGGTCCACGGCTTGGATGTTTTCCGCACGCGTGGTCACTCCTTGGAATGCCTTGTCCAACCCATCTTCTGTACAATTTTCGATATAGGTACTGTCACATGCATTGGCAAGGGACCGGCGAGATCTTCGCACTCGATGAGGAGGAGAAAATGAAGTGTTGGAAAGGATTGAATATTCTCGGCAATGTTGGGCAAGTATTCTCTTTAACTGTCAAAGCTTGCCGCTCCTTAGACGCAGCTGGCAGTGTTTTACCTGTGCAATTCACTCCAATCACAAAATTGCCATTGTGTCTCCCATATCACTTTCGCACTACGTGGTTCGAGTTACAGAAAACCCCAACAAAGACCAAAGGGAACTTGTGGGCATGGAAATTTTGAGAAATACCTACGGCCAGGCCGGTGCACCCTTTTCAACCCGAGGAATCGTCCCAGTGGCCTCATACTCGGCCACCGCGTTGTCAAGCTTCAATTTCCTCGCCTTTGCCCTCGCCTCGCTCCCGTAGACCTCCGGATCACCAGTCTTCGCAAGATCCTCGTCGTTGTTTGCCTTCCGATCCGCCGCGATGGGATGCACAAAGTCCCCCTTGTCCTTCTGCGCAGTCAGGTACCGAATCCTGGCATCCGTGTGCACCGAGTTATTGTCATAAAAGTCCATCAGCGGCTTCATGGGCCTGCACTGCCTGCGGCTCGTGTGGTCGGGCACCGGCTGGGCAAAGTCCTCCATCCAGACGTAGTTGTACGTGTCGTAGGTGACGTGGCACCTGAGGTAGTCGAGGATGCTCCAGACGCAGTGCTCGAAGTGGTTCATCTCGGCCGGGCTGGACGTGTTGATGCCGTTGTGCTCCGCAAACACGACCCTGCGCAGCGCGTCGAGGCAGTGCAGCTGGTGCGTGTGGTCGAAGCGCGTCAGGTAGCGCTTGTCGCCGTAGCCCCAGTCGTTTGGTATGCTCACGTGCTTGTCGGGGTCCTTGCCGAGGCGGCGCATGTCGTCGGCCGTGATGAGGAACATGTCGCTGATCATGAAGTGGTCGTTCCAGTACTTGTCGGATTCGGCACCGGGGGCCTGGTGCCACAGTGGAGGCGACGCCTCTTCGCCGCGGGTGGTCGGTGTCTTGGTGTCTTTCTGGAAGGACGTGTGGGCATCGCTATTGTGGAGCAGGAGGCTCTGGATTTCGGAAGGGACTGGGGGGAGGAATGTTAAACTAGCCGTGAGACCCACGATGGCCAGTACTTACGAGTCTCGTAGCGGTCGAAGTTCCACAGGCGAGGTTGACTCAGGTCACGCAGGAGGAAGCCACTGGCAAAACAGCAAACCATGGAACCAATGATCAGTGCTGCAGTGGAGAGCCTTTGCGCCCAACTCTTTCGTTGTGATCGAGGAAGGCCTCCGTGTGCGTACAGCAGCATCTCATCCTCGTCATTTTCTTCTGAAGGTCTCGTTTCTACTTCCTTGTCGGTGCGCTGCGTCGAAGGAACGAGCTCCCTGCCGCGCTTGTCCATGGCCCGTTTGAATAAGTTCATGATTGGAGGCAATTTTCACAATGAGTGAGCGCGCTGCCAGGCGTAGAAGTTGGGAGGGGGTGTTTGCGTATTCGGCCTCAGGGACCAGCGAAGTGGAGTGGGGTGTGCGCATTCACATCTGGGTGCTCTTTGTGTGGTTGGCTGCTATTCAGGCCCAAATATGGCAACGTTGAATTAAGTACTTGTGTAAATAAGGACAATGCTGGACCACGTCAATTCAATCCCTGCAGACGTCATCCTATTCAAATCAGCTGAATGCATTGACTCTAGCCTCAGCTCAAACTTCCTGCAAACCTGGAATGGCACTTGAATTGGGTTTGAATAGGTTAGTTCTAATGACGGAAGTACTTCGATATTCAGCCAGTTCCATGCTGGACCCTCACTTAGAGCACAGAGATGGAGTAAGCAAAATATCCCTTTTATCTAAATGATGTTGATGCTAACAATTATTAAAGGATTTATACAATAGATGGAGGAGGGGCGACCGGCATAAATAACCCGATCTAATAGCAGCTAAAGTAGTGCAGGTAGCAGGCCATGATAAATATGATGAGTACGTAGCACATTTGTACTCATAGCATACATGGATTGCATATAAAGCTGGGCTCCAGGTCATCGTTTCCAAAAGGCTGATTGTTGATTGAAGACGGAGAAGATCACATGACAGAGTCATCACCTCGACATCTTTCAACTCCAGGTGCTGTTCCTACGGCCCTGTTACTGTTAATGCTTTCCAGTTATCTGCTCAAAGGGTTTGGCGGCCCAAATCCTGGATCTAATTGCCACGCAATTGTGTGATGCTGCTTGTCATCCTATATATCTGTACCTTTTAAGAGCCCGCTGAGCTCGCCTTTGAGTTCGGCGGCCCACCATCACTGAACTTCGGTGAGTGCTCGTGTAAGACCTGGTTCTATTCGCCTTTACACTATCAAGGGGGAATTTCACCATCTCAGCCCAAACATGGAAGGCTGCCCCAGCAGGGGGCAAAATCGAGTGCAACTTCAGCGCCACCCTCAGGGAAGCCAGCAATTTGCATCACGCATGTGATCACGCAGCTGCGGTTTGTGCTTTTTACACTTGCATATAGATGTCCCAGATCCAAAGCATCAATTGAGCTGGATAGAACATTAAAGTGGGGGGCAATACATACACGGGCGTAAATTAGTAGAGTTGTTGGAATAGTAGCGTACACAGTATGCGCTAGGTAGATTAGCCTTATCGATAGCATTTGCCAGCTAGCGCTAGCCAGCTGCTAGCTATAGCCTAGCTAGCCTATACTTAAACGTATATAAGCTATAGTTTTCAGCTATAACCTTAACACTAAATAAAGTAGAATTTATACTACTTTAAACTACTTATTTTATAACAAATTACCCGTATAGAAAGCTAAATTAATACTAATTAGTAATTATATAGTAATTATAAATAATTAAATTCCTAAAAGTTATTTATAGGTATTTATAAATAGCGCAACTTTTCGCTAATAAAGAAAAGTTGTTTATAGGCAGCTATAAATGTAAACCTTTATTAAAAAGTTGTTTATTAATATTAATAAGTATAAAACCTTTACTAAAAAGCTGTTTATAGATATCTATAAATATAAATATAATAAATTTAACCCTTTTAATAAGTAAGCTTTAAAAAATATACTTTTAAGCCTTTATATAAGCCCTTATAATACTTTTAACTATACCCTTATAATTAAGCCCTTATAAGCCACCGTAAATAAAAAATATATCCTTATAAATAAACCCTTATAAGCAAGCAATTATAAGCTACTGTAAGCAAGCCCTTACAACCCCTTAAAAGCAAACTAAATATACAATTATATAAATCACTTAAATTATATAAATTATTTAAAAAATGCTCTCTATTATATAAACCTTTAAATATTACTTATAAGCAAATTTACCCTAAATATATTTATAATTAGCTAAGTAATAGTAAAAATAATTTATTAATAATGTACTATAAAACTTATTTTTTATATTCTATTATTATTATATTAAATAGCATTACTTATTTACATTTATATACTTACTGTTTAAAACTTTATTACTATTATTTTTGCTTAATTCTTTTTTCTTACTTTTTAACTATAAGCAATTTATATAATATAAGTATTAGTATATTGCTATAGCAATTGCTTAAATAAAAATTTCCCTTAAAATATTACTAATACTATTAGCGCTATTAAAACTATAAATTTTCTTATTTTCCCCTATTACACCTGCTTTTTTTAATAATATTGCAACTATAATAGTAAAAAAAATAACTTTTATTAGCCTATATAGTAATTATTTTTAAATAAATAAGCTATTATCTATAAATAAATAAGTAAAACCTTAATATTAAGCTAATTAGAAACTATAGCAAAATAATACTCTTTTTAACTATTCCTTAAAAACTTTTTAAAAGCAATTACTTTTCCTTAAACACTATTTATAAAAATCTACAAATCCTAAAATCATAATAACAAAATCATTTATAAAAGCTATAAACGCGCAGTATAAAAAAAACACCGTTTACTAATAATACAACTTAATATTTAAATTAAAACGCAAGCTAAAAGCATATATTTTAAATACCTATTATAATAAATTAAAAAGTAGCAATACTAATATTAATAAAAATAACAATAATAAAAACAATAATACCCATAAGCAACCTTCCCCTAAACACCCTTTCCCTAAAATAACAAAAATCCTTTAGCAACTTAATACTTTTTATAGCTATAACTAAAAACTCTATAACAACTTTTAAAAGCTCTTTAAAAACTAAATAATAACTAGCTTTTAAAATATTAACTAATAAATCTTTTAAAAGTTTTATTAATACTTTTACCACTATAATATTTATACTAATAAGAATTATAAATTAACTAATTACAAATTAACAGTAAAAGTGTTAATATAGCTTAATTAATTACCCTACCCTAACAAAAGCAGCTAGCTATACCCTTTAAAATAACTAAATAATAAGCTATTAATAGCAAATCTAAACCAACAATTAAAACAATATACTAAGCAAAAAGCCCTTAAAAAGCCTAAAAAGCACACCACTAAAAAGATTATTAAAAAAACCGCTAAGAAAACTACTAAAAAAACTGCTAAAAAGCCTATTAAAACTATTAATCTACCTTTATTAGTATACTAATCAGCTAATAAATATACTAGCCTTAGCTATTATAGCTTTAATTAAAAAAAAACTACCTAAAATAATAATAATAGTAACTATATTTATAATAATTATGCTAATAATAATTATAATAACTATAGCTTTAATAATAATAGTAATAATAGCTTTAGTAATAATAATAATAATAGCTTTAGTAATAATTATAACTTTAATAAAAACAATAATAATTATAACTATAAGTAATTTTTATTACCTTTAAAATCTCTATTAAAAAAGCATTATTATTATAAAAAAAAATTTATAAGAAAAAATAGTGTAATAGTAAATTAAACTTAAAGCCCTTACTTTAAAAAAAAAAGGCTTAAAAACTTAATATAGTAAATTTTATATTATTTAAGCAATAGTTTACCTACACACCCATCAGAATTTTCCTAATTTTTTATCATATACCCTAACTAGTTATACCACAGCACTAGTTCAATAATATTACTTTATTTAGCTAGCTTATTAATTAAAGCGCAATAACAGTAATGCCAAAAAAACCGAAAGAAAAAGGAGGTATATAGCACAAAAGGCTAAAAAGCATTAATTTAGCAGTAAACATTGCTAGCACAGAAAACAAGCAGCCCAGCACAAAAACCATTTACCAGCTAAAAGCCAGCTACCTAACAATTTAAGTAATTAGAAATCGATTTAAAAAAAAGCATATTTTTAAAGTATATATATGCACATAGTAAAAAACTGCTAATATTAGAATAATAGCATATATAGTATACGCTAAGTAAACTAGCCTTATTAATAGTATTTACTAGCTAGCGCTAGCTAGCTACTAGCTGCAGCCCAGCTAGCCTATACCTAAACATACATAGGCTACAACCTTTAGCTGCAACCTTAACACCAAACAAAGCAGAATTTATACCACTCCAAACTACTCATTTCATAACAAATTACCCATACGGGAAGCCAAACCAACAAGAGTCGAGTTTTTTTTTCTGACAGATCAGAAATGCCAAAACATCGTTACAAAAGAACCCACTCAATATTCTGATTGATTGAACAGGGGGGCAGTAGATAAATAGGTCCCCCATTACGTGTCCTTAAAGACGTCCAGATATTAATTAGCCCTCGAGCTGGCACTCAGGCCGAGCAAGGCTTTCCTGGAAAACGCAGGCACTGGATTGATCGTCTGGACGACGCTGACTGAGCAGTATCCCAGAATCACGTCTCTGGGGTTGCCTTGAGGCAGTGGTGAAGGCCCGACTTACTTCGCCCAAATTTGCCCAATACTACTCTGAAGGTGGCCTATCAGTCGTCGCAGAGGCCTGAGGAGACCATGTGAACTTCATCCAAGCTGAAGTTGCCCCTGCCATAAGTAGCTGTGCTGCTGCCGATCCGGCCCCCAGTCGCGGGGGCTGTGACTCTCGTATGGTGCCACGAACCAGTCTGGCATTCGTCGCCCCTGAGGCTACCTTCAATGAGAGGCTGGCAGCATTTGTCATTCACGCGCCCCACATACACAGAAGTCTGTAGCCCAGCGTGTTAGTGATATAAGATGTGGCAGCCTATGCTCGACTGTTGTTAGGCATATGTCAGTGCTAGGAGGTGCATTTTCATGTTGTTAGTCTCTCGACTATCGAGGTTCAGGCGCTCCCGTGCGATATCGTCACCCATTCCAACAGGTGAAATTATCCCGCGTCGACACATTTCATTTTGTACGATCGAGGCTACAGACTTCTCAGTTCTGTCTATTTTGCAGACAATCATGGAAATGGTCGGATTCGTCCCCGAGCCCAACTGTGGCCGAGGCACGCTCAGCATCATCTGGGCTTGCCTGACGACGATCATGTTCGTGGTCTGGACGGCAATCCACCTGGACTCGCAACGGTCAATGTCGAGAGTGATGTGGGGCTTCTTCATCTTCTTCGTGCCCGAGGCGATGCCGGCGACCGCGATCGACCAACTCATCAAGGCCATACGGCTGCAGAAGCGGCTCCGAGCCCTCCGAGGCTGGAAGTCCTGGACCCTGAAGCAGTCGTTCCTCATCGTGAAGAGGGGCGTGAGGGAACTTGGTGGCGGAGAGGTCTTCACGGCTAGCAGGCTGGTGGAGCTCGCCGAGCAGCAGCAGTATATGGAAGAGAACCATGGGGCACATGGCGGTGGGATCCACATGGGAATGCTCCCAAGCGACGACGCAATTGACCTCAGGAGCAAGAAGAGCTGGTTTGAGAAGATGCTCGCGGGTGGGCAGGCGCTGTGGTTCTGCGCCAACGTCGTCTCCAGGCTTGCGAGCGGGTATCCAGTCACGCCGCTGGAAGACACAACGATCGCCTACACGTTCTGCGGGCTAATCGCTAGCGTGGCGTGGCTGCGCTGTCCACAGGACATTGAGGATCCGTTCGAGGTTGACTTGGAAGCGGCAGATGATGCGGCAATCGCAGGCGTGGAATGCGGTTACTCCACAGCCCAGGACAGCAGCAGCAGCAGCAGTAGAACAAGCTTCCCAGTCACGGCGCCAAATGGGCTCATGATGGGCATGGTGTGCGTCGTGCTGGGCCTGTTCGCGGCCGTTCACATAGCGGCGTGGGATTATCCGTTCCCGTCTGCTGCGGAAGCGTGGGTCTGGCGATGCTGCTCAGTGGCTATGCTGCCCCTGGGCCTGCTTATACTTTTCTACGGAGACAGGTGCCGATCCAAACACTGGTCTCTTGCGTGGACGGCGCCGGGGCTTGTTCTGGTGCGGCTTGCATTGTTGACGGTAGCAGCCACATCATTTCGACGGATGCCTCTTTCGGTTTTTGACACGCCTGACTGGTCCAATTATTGGGGTCATGTTGGTAAATGAGAGTGGCTCGATGGATTTTACAAGTCGTGCCGATTGACGGTGCGAAGGAAAAGGACAGATGCCGGTGGAGTATCAATAACGAAGGAGCTCGGGTATACTCATTATCTGGCTGAGGTCTAGAGGGGATAGCATGACATAAAACCAGAAGGAGACACGCTTGCCAACTCTGGAGTCAGTCAAGGGATGGGGAGGGCAAGGTGTGTGGCTGAGTGGTAGCAGCAACCTTGGAGTGGCTGGAGTCAGGTTATCTGTGCTTGCTGAGCCTTCATACAATACTCATCGACCTCGTCGGAAGGAAGATCGAGATGGATTTATCCGAGGGATAGACAGCTGGTGCCCACAGTCACACAGTGGGGACCTTCGAATCTCAAGTTTGTGTGAACTTGCCGGTTGCGATCTGCTTGGCTCAACTTGAAGTGGTACCTGAGCAAGCGGAACCTCATTTCCAAGGTTACCAGCGCTGTGTCTAGATAGACAACAGTTTAAATCTAAACTCTAAAAGGGTAACCAGTAGATTTAGTGTTATTGACAGTAAGCTCTCCTACATTCTCAACAACTTCCGTTCCACATCCAGAGCAAGGAAGCTTCCTCTTAAGGTCGTGGGTGAGTCACTCCATGGTGGAACCTCTGAGATGATAATTCCGGCCAGTGTGGGATCATTTCTGACTTCCGAGTCACTGGCAGTAATATAGCGATCGTCCATTCGTAATCGAAACGGGCTGCTGGAACCACACGCTTAGATACCAGGCTAAAGCCTCACCTCGACAATGTCGACAATGCCAGCCACAAGTGGACGTACCAGTAGTGAACAAACATGCGAAAACGAAGTTGGTATGCGGCGCCCGATGAAAAAGAACACGCCATGCTGGAGTTGCTGGAAGTCCTAAAAGAAGAAGCTGACGGAAGCGGAACGAAAAAAATCAACGCAAGTAACGTTGGAAACAAGACCACGGGATAATCATATGTGTAAGACTGTCGGCGATTTAATCAAACTGTATGTTGATATGACCTTGCGAATGCAATATTTCCGACAATATTTGGTAACCCGGGTCAGAGAAGATGGACGGTATCCAAAAGAGTCTTTGCAAGATGACCAAGGCATCGTGCCAAGACGTGAGCGCTAAGGCGACGGTTATTCGGGAGAGCCTTGATGTAAAAAACAATTTGGTCCGATCATCGGGCGCAGCAATAGCACCCAACATTGTTTGCCAGAACATTGACTCCAAGGAAGAGCACAGGGCCAAAGGAGAAGGTAATTGCAGCTCGGGTCTCTGAAAAACCTCCATCAGTTGAACAGCCGTATTTCCGGGGCCCTCTTCTACATTTGTGATGCAAGGCAGCAAAATTCCCACGAAGACCTTGATCGATAATGCTATTGCCGTGAGAAACGCCTCTCTTGGGTATACGGTACGATCCAACTGGATGGCTATATCCAGGGACTTGATAACACGACTAATACGTAATTTTGCAGCATGGTCGAGTTCTTTGTTTGGAACATGCGTATCTTGCAACGCAGTAACTTCTTCCGCATTCTCGAGGACCAGGTAAGCTGCTTTCTTGGCGGGGGCGGAGAACATCGTGTCGAAGATACCGGTTTTCTCTACCGTGTTCAACAATGTCACGTCATGCCGAGCTAAAAGAAGCATTCCATGCATAGTTGTGCTTGAGAAAATAGTCAGATGTCCGCACGTATTAGCCTGGAAGAGTTCACGAACCGTGGGATTGCAGTTGATATCCAATGTGAGGGCGCATCATGTGAAAGCCGAGAATGAAGTGTGATGATCTGGAGGAGGCCAGAGATGTGGATTTTCCACGCTTCAATATTGCCTAAACCTTGCTATTCGAGACCATTTCGTCAGAAAGGATTCAGGTCAAGATACTTGGGTGTAGCTTCACGTAGACGGACGAACATTGAGAACTATAAAAACTAGTACGGCTGCGACGACGCTATCATTGATCCCGTCGGACCCATAGTCGAGGCGCTCCCTCACGGATTGAATTGCTTTCCCTTTGTATGTATCCAATATGAGTTCAACCGCACGGTTTTGCCTTCGCGCTGCATAGACATGTCTGGCGAAGTAAAGAGAGACATCCAGCATAGTGGGGTCGTGAAGGGAGCGAGCCCAGTCGGATTGCATCACGGCGAAGGCAGTGTCCGATTCTGGAATGTCTGTAACTAAAAGCAGCTTTTCCATTGCTTGCGTCACTATGAAATTTTGATCAGCCAGCCATTGGAATCAATGAAAGCGACACCATCCTATGTCCTACACACAATAATGAATGAAGAACGCATCTTTGCTGTCCAAGCTTGGATGACTGAAGATGGGGAGCTGAAGATCGACTGATGGGTCACGATTTATGGTCAGACCAGCTTCCTCGACCTGTAGAAGCTCGACGCGGGCGGTAGACTCTTTTTGATTGGCATATTCGTGTACTAGGCGTCGTCGTCGTCGTGCGAAATTGGCTCTGGTAGTGTGAGCTCTCATTGCTTTCGCGCTGACTATGTCGAGCGCGGGCCCCGTGCTTGACACAAATGTCAGGTCTGGGACAGAGCCCGCCTTTCGAGCAGACATGTTAATCTGATTCGAGATGCGTTCGTCAGTTTGAAGGAATACAATAATTCTATACACAAGTTTGCCTGAGCTTGAATTTGAGATGCGGTCGGAGTTGCCGGGCCTGCTTCGCTCACCTAAGCATGCAGTCCAGTCAAAGGCGTAACGCCAAGCAATCTTGTTTTCCTGAAACAGTTTAGATCTCACTTACCTCTTGTAAGCATGCTACGGCCGTCTAGGGGCGTGACGCCAAGCAATCTCGATTTCCTGAAACGGTCTAGGTTAAGTAGAGCAGATTCCGATGGGCTCGAGGTTGGGCTCGTCCGAAATGCACAACCAAGATACAGTACACTACAGTAAGGTTCGGCGAGATGCTGCTCCGCGACTGGTAAATCCACCTTGAGGGATTCCAGCTATTACAAATTCGCGCACAGCAAGAAGGATGCACACTTGACCAAATTTCGGGAGACGGAGAGGCGTGACAATCCGATAGTAACGCAATGGGGAAATCGAGAAAGCTTAGCAGCGATAGAGTAGCCTTTCTGACCACTATTCCAAGCTAAGTCCTGATCAGGACCATTGACAACATATGGAATCCATTGGAATAGTCTGGGTGGGAGTCGTTCAAAGAGTCGTTCTGGGGCGTATTATAAATACACTGGCAGTACAACAAGAGCTTACAGCTTGGATAAAACGTTCCATGAATATAAATAGGCGATTGTCGTTATTTTTCTATTTGACCTCACACAGACCAGATTACACCAGCCACGACTCCCCAGAAACGGAGACTCTTATTCCCAGACATTTGCAACTGTGCCCGAAACTCAGACAGGATGTCCTCATACGTGATCAATGGAGCCTCGAGTGGCATTGGCGTACGACTCGCCCAGTACCTTTCATGACACGAGCATTTCTAACTTCCACAATGGGACAGTTCGAATTTCTACGACAGCTCTCTCTTAATCCAGCCAATACCGTCATCGGCCTAGTTCGCAACGTCAAACTTGTTGAAGCTAAGGCGAAAACGGAGATAAACAGAAGCAATGTTCATATCATACATGGAGATCTGGACAGCTACGAAGTACTCAAAGTAAGTCTTGAGGGTTGTCCCCAAGAAACATATAATACTGATTGACTTTTAAAGGGAGCAAGCGAAGTCACCGCGAAAATCACTGGTGGAAGCCTCGACTATCTCATTGCCAACGGAGCTCTCCTGCCCACAGATTCCAATTATGTTGGTTTTGGAAAATTGTAAGTGCTCGTCTCCTCTGCTTAGGAGGATTTTGTTACATCACTTCTACGCAGCAACATCACTTAATTCTGACGGAAATGAAGGGGAGAAAACCCTGCAGCTCTAGAAGAAGAGCTCTTCGCAGGTTGGAAGACCAATGTCGTCGGGAACATTCATCTGTTCAACCTGTTCCTGCCCTTACTCTTGAAAGGCAAGCAGAAGAAGGTGGCTTTCATCTCTTCGGGACATGCCGACCTAGATCTTATATCAAAATACGAGATCGAAATAAGCGGACCTTACTCCCTTGGAAAGGCCGCCACGAATGTCGTCGTGGCGAAGTTCCATGCCGAGTATGCCAAGGATGGGGTGCTTTTCATGAGCATCAGCCCGGGAGTAGTCGACACTGGACATTTTGACCTTGCCAAACGTAAGTCGCTCAATCCTTACTTGCTATTCGCAAATTCGATCCATAGGAGCGAGACAAAATTAATCTGATGAGGACGAACAGTGACGGAGGAAGAGCGCAAGGGTTTTATGGCAATGTCAGCCAAGTTCCAACAATATGCGCCCCATTTCACAGGTCCGATGAGCCCTGAGGAATCTGTCAAGCAAGTCATCTCAGTCTATGAGAAAGCGAGCCTTGCGAATGGCGACGGAGGTTCCTTTGTTTCTCACCTTGGAACCAAGCAGTGGCTTTGATTTGTTGGAAACGAGATACGTTATGATACTCTGGCAATTCGACTTGTCAGATCAAGTGCCGTAAACCTCAAAGGCCCTTAGATAGTAACAAGCGGAATAATGTGAGAATGTGGTCACTATAAGTAACGAGTTCCGGTGCCATTTTGTCTGATATGTACAAATTCCCAGAAACCCTTTCTGGGTACGAGGACTGCCCAAGACCTACCATTGTGCTTTTTAACAGTGTTTTTTGAGTTGTGATTATTTTGCGAACCAAGTGTGTGAAGAATCCAGGCTTCCGTCAATCCATCAATTGTTCGATTTCATCGGGATAGCTTTCGTCGCTTTTGAGTACCTGCAAAAGTATATCAATCCTTGCATTTGTTGAGATGCCACATTCGGCGGTTTTATAGTCCAGAAGTACCTTCTTCTCGGCGTATATTTGAGAGTTTAACTCCGTTACATGGATTCTGTCAGCACATCTGCTTCACATCCGAGACACTGGAGCGTAGTTGCCTTACCAGGGTGACGACCGCGTGCACAAGGTGTGCCTACGGAGCTGGATCATATTGTTCTCATAGTGTTCACGATATCATGAATTGGTCGATCAGTCCGTAGTGTTACCGAGAGGTGGCAGGAAATGGGAACGGATCATCAGCCATGTGCCGTGTGACAATACAATGCTCAGGGTATGATACCTAACAGGTTGGTTCAATTCAGAAATGAGTCTCAGAAGTCAGCTCTAGCACCTTTCCGTCGAGATCTTTGATTCTGTTGGAGAAGGCAAATCATAAAGGCCTATGTAAGTTTCGTGATATCGAACGAAGACCACAACTACGCTCTGAAGCAGCTCAATGGAGGTTACCTCAAGCATCCTAAGCATGGAACAACCGCTTCTCAACTGGTGATACATTGATGTAAGGTGACAGTGGCACAAGAAGATGAAAAATCGACTGTGGCTGGCGGACTATCCGGTATCAGTCAGTCCAGCAGCAAAATGCCCCATGCAGGGTTCCGTATTCATCGTGTGTTGTGAAACACAAACACGGTCAAATGGGTTCAAGATAAATCCAGTGGATTAAAATACATGGATAGGCTAGTGCTACACTGTTGATCCCAATTACCGAATGAAGCAAACCTGTACGCGCAACGTGAGAATAGCCGCGTGTGACATCCAGTCATTCCACCCGCCGGAGTCCCGTACCGGTATTGCGTGACAGAACAAGCAGGTTCAGTGGCGATATGTACGTAGCCACTGATGGGAGTCCCTGGATGGTGAAGGGAAGGAGAGGTGGTTTAAGAGGAGGGCAAACAGAACAGTCTACGTCCTTCAAATTTTACTAGCTCCATCTTCCTCTAAACCCCCCCCCCCCCCCGAGCTAACTTTTCAAAGAGGCTGATTATGAAATGATCCTCAAGAACCTTCATCACTCTTTGCTATGACTTGCTTCGGTCTTCTTTTTAGCGCTGTGGCGGTTGCCCCCTATTCTTCGGCACAAAAGCCTGCCATGCGCACATTAGCCACTGACTCACCGCTTCACATTAGCGAGGAAGCACTTTCGTGGACGAATTCTTCAATTTTTGAGAATTCAGCCTCTGTACCGGCGAAAAGAGCCAATATTGCTCCAACTTGGCTCTGCGGATACGTTTCCGGTAAGTCCCTTCACGAAGCAGTGCGTAACCAAAGGTGTCGATTTCGTGAATTTAATTACAGTCAGATCAGCCTCTCCAGTAGAGTGTAGTAATACTATGCAAACTTGCCTCAACAGCGGATCGTGGCGGGGCTGCAGTATGGTTATTCGTGGTTTTACAACCGTCTCGGTGCCCACCAAATGCTACGACAATGGATCCCCAGAGTGCAGTACTACTACTGAAGGTGGTCAGAACCTGTGTTGGTAAGTTTGGAAGCGAAATCTGCGGTTTTCGCCATTCTAATCTATGCTCATAGCGATTCTTATGACCCAACCTGCTTCACTGCTTTCTATTCGACTACCACTTCAGAGACGTTCACATACTTTACTTGCTCGGATAACATAGCATTTTCGAATCCTGCAACAATGTGTGAGCATGATGACTGTGGTTCGGTAACAATCACTGTCTCATCAATAGCAGCGACTACCAAGTTAGACACCACAACGATAACGGGCAGCGCAGGGACCAGCAGCGCCGTGAGTTCAACATCCGTTGGAGTGGCGGCCTCTAATGAACCGAGCAGTCCCGATACTGCAAAAGGTACGACACGAAAATGAGCTGATGCGCATCACGGATTCACAATCCTTCAAGCTAAAATGCACGATTCACAGGTTTAACATCTCCCACTGCGAAAGCCACAACGGCACAGCCGCCCTCCAGTGTTCCCGTCGGCGCGATAGTCGGAGGCTCTCTGGGCGGCCTGGCTATTACTGCTGCAGTCGCTGTAGCATTAGTGTGGATATTATGTGTGACACGTGAGGGTGGCCGATTTCATAAGAGCCGCCCTGTTGAAGCGAATGTTGATGATACCAACGCTGGTGGTGGCGCGGCCCAACCTGGAGAGATTGGATGCAAGCCCGAATTGTCTGCCACATCACCAGCTACCGTCCCCAGATTGATGTCATTACCGTCATTCCAGCAAGGACCACATCTGGGGAGAGGAAATGATTCTGCACTAAGACCAGAATTGCCAACAGGATAGATTGAATGGGGAAAAGTGGTTGTGGTTGACATCGCTCATCACATTAAAAATCCGAATAAGCTCACTTGTACATGTGACAATAGATGCCTTCGATATTACATGCACTGCTTGACTCCACTGCATTCGAAAAGGTGTTTTTGGTGGGCTTACCTTTATGTGGTATCCTAATTAGCTGTCACGCCGGACCTTTCTCGACATGTGGACGAAGTATCTAAGGATGGTGTCCGGTCCTGAGCTGTCTAGTGATCTGTACTGAATGCTGCTTCAGCCATTAGTTGCGATGGCAGGCATAGAACCGGCCTGTACTTGGGACAATGTTGAGTAGCTATTTGGTTGTATCTGGCTAGTCGGTGGGTTTACAAATTATAATACAGCCCTCTGGCTCAACGCCTGCCATTTTCCTCATTCATGATGCCTTCCTCGCCCCCGGTCCGGGCAGGGCCTTGCGAGCTCGCCTCGCTCTTTTCCTTCGAAGCCGCCTTGCCGATGATCCCCGTGCCACGAAAAGCCACCGCAACCACAACCAAATTGGTCGCACCTAATGCGAAGTCGAACCACTGCGCAGCCTGCAAGCCCTTGAGAGTTGGCTGATCCCAAGTCTTCATCGAGCCCGAATCTTCAACGCTCGTGCCCCTGGCATCTGCCATGACGGATGTCTGAATCGCCGTCGCTATGGCCAAGCCAATGGCTCGTCCGAACTGACCGACCGCATTCACAAGCGCACCACCCATCGCCTGGTCGGCTTGGGGCAGAGAGTGTGATGTGAACAGCGTCATGCATGGCCAGGTTATGTCAGCTCCAAGAACGCTGAGCACCATGGCTGGTAAGCCGTATGCAAAATAAGTTGTGGTGGGCGGTATGGGTACGGCGAAAAGCAGGCAAGCGACGGCCATGCAGAGGTTGCCGAACATAAGAAGCATGTGCGTAGGTATGATCGCGATGAGTCTTGCGGTGATGGCTGCCGTAAGTGTACCAACAACGCCGGTGGGGATGTATCGTAATGTCGTCTGGATGGGGCTCAGGCCCTGAAAGTCCTGGAAATAATAGGTGGTGTAGATAAGGAAGCAGTTGAAGCCAGAAAAGAAGAGGGCCATTATGACCATGGCAGTGCTGAAACGCGCGCTCTTGAAGATAGAGACCTTCATAAGAGGGGCCTGTTTCCCTGTTCTCTCAAGATGGCGCTGCCAGAAGACGAACGCAGTGATGATGATGACGGATACCACGATGAGGACAGACACCCAGGGGGTCTTCCAACCAACAACATTTCCCTCGGTAAGTGCAAAAAGCAGCACCATCAAACCGACTGTAATCAATACAGCGCCGACCCAGTCGACTGTTGCCTTAACCTTGACACCTTGAGCGTGCAGTGTGGTTGGTGGAGGGGGGATGACAAAGTATCCTGCGACTGTAACCAGCCCAGCGAGGATAGCCAGAGCCCAGAACACCCAGGACCAATGCGCATAACTAGCAATCAGTCCACCCAAGAGATTCCCAAAAATACTTCCAAGCGGGGCACCAGCAGCATACATAGAGAAAGCATAGTTCTTGGCCTTGCCTGGCGGGAAAGTGGTCCCAAGGATCCCAAGGGCGGTTGGCACATTGGCGGCAGCACCGATGCCCTGAAACCCGCGGAATAAGTCAAATGCGATCTCGCTTGGTATGACAGGATTGACGGCCAGGGTGATAGCCACCCAGCCGGAGCCCAGCACAAAAATCTTGCGCTTGCCATAGAGGTCAGCTATTCGACCCCAGAGGAGCAGGAAGCAGCCGAAGGCGAGCGAATAAGCAGAAACGATCCATTGCTGGCGCGAGTCCGGGATACCGATTTCGCGGCCGATGGTAGGCAGGACGATCACGACAGCCTGGCCGGAGAGGGTCTACAGCGGTAGTCAGTTGAAATTGTTTGATTTTCTCACAGCATGAGGCTTGGGAATATTAGTGAGGGTGAGCTTGCATTCAAGAAACTGGCACCGGTGACGGTGGCGACCAAAGCAATTGCCCTTGCTTTTGATATTGGACCCCTTGAGGACTGTGAAAAAGTTCTTCGAATTCGGTTTTGATCACGGCTCTCGTTCTGTTGTTCCTCTTCATCTACCGAGACATCTACCTCTGCGGTGGCAGAGTCATCCGAAGTCGGCTGTTCTTGTGCCGAGCCGAGTCCCGTTTTCTCGATGTCGCCCTCACTCGTGGCCCCTGGTCTCGACATACTGGATAGAGGCCAATAGTAAAGTGGCCGCGGTCTCAACTCCAAGGTCGAGATCTACCAAAGGGCCCCTGGGCAGAAATTTTGCTTAGGAGATGAGCCTGGGAAATATTCAGATGTGACCGTTTTTTCTTCTCCTTACCCCAGACTGCTTGCATACCCTCTTCGATGGTTGGATCGTCTCAGGACCCACTCCGCTTTTCCATAACGACCCTTAGCTCGGCTCCGGGAATGCAGCCGAGCAGCGATGCCGCTGACTCAACAATTAATAGGATGGCGTCATAAGCATTGAGGTTTGCCCGGCATCTATTTGACATGAGATACTTATCTTATGGCAGTTGTTCTTTCGTGGGATTGCCCTCAAATTTGTGCAAATTGGTGTCAGGCATCTTGTCATTGCTAACAGGCTGGGAGATCCAGAGATAATTGACCTCATCTGAACCATGCCGCTCAAGTCCGTGCTGAATAGACAAACGTGCGGTATTCCACTTGTCGCTGACCGCTCTACCGGGAAAAGGGCATCGTCCATGCACTTGTGCAAGCGACTGGTGTGTCCTTTGTGAAGAAATCGCCCCCACCCACAATGCAACCTGTCGACCGCTGCGGCAGCGAGAATGCTTACATAGGACACTGCCTAGTGTTACAGCACCACCCCATCCAACCACGATGTTCACCCACTCCCAATGTGATTGGCAATCCAAGCAACACAAACATCCATATGGCTCCCTCCAGGTGCGCAAAATAAGGTAATCTCGGAGAATATTCGATAGCGAAGCCGTTGCCTACGTCGATGTCATAGAGTCTAGAAGGCCAATAGATTCGAGGCAATCTGCCAGGCATGTAAGCCGCTATGCAACATTGCACCCTGCAAAAACGCATCCTGATAACATTAGTGCAAATCCGCAGAAGAGGGGCTAGGTTCGAAGCTTTGGATCAGTCTGATGGGCGGGCGCGTCCCTGGTCGGGACCTGCATTTAAAAGCACATTACTGGACTCTTTGCAACTGATCGAGAATGTTGCACCGAGTCGGTATCACTCGTTCCTAAGCCTCCTGGTTCAACTGGTCATCGTACCTCCCGCTGGCATCATGCAGCTTTACGGCAGCATCGTCATCCTCGTCGGTTGCACTCTAGCTGTCGCGCAAATTCAGACATATACCCCAGAGGAGACAGTCATCAACTCAGGTCGTCCCACCTTCTACGACCTCACTCCATCCATTCCAGGTAAAATTGCGTTAGAAGAACATGTTGGAAATTCTCTCTTCTCGGGAACATTCACCACCCCTTTTGTCAACTACACCAACGAGGTGAATTTCGACATTCCCGAGTATGTCTCCGACGTTCTGGCGCGCATCACCAACATTGATTCCCGCGTTGCGGCTATGGATGCCGCAAACATTACCAAGACCATTCTTCTATATGGCGCACCGGGGATTCAGGGCGTATTCAATACTACGTTTGCCATTGAGGCAGCCAAGTTTGTCAACGACGAGATCGCGCGGGTTTACTCTCGGGGCAATTACAGCGACCGGTTCGACTTCTGGTGCAGTAACGCTCTCCAGGACCCGCCCAGCGCCGCGGCAGAGTTGGAACGATGTGTCAAGGAGCTGGGCGGCGTAGGGAGCTTCGTGGGCGGATACACAAATAATGGCTCAGCAGACAGTGTTATATACTTGGACCATCCTATCAACCGAGTCTTCTTGGAGAAGGTCGTCGAGTTGGATGTGCCTATCTACCTGCACCCTCGAACACCTCCACCAGGGCAGCAATTGGTATACGAAGGCTACAACTTTCTAGCAGGATCAGCCTGGGGGTTCTCCTCGGAGACAGCAGCCCATGCACTACGGCTCATGGTCAGCGGAGTATTCGACGACTTCCCCTCATTAAAAATCATACTCGGCCACTGCGGCGAGGGCCTGCCGTTCTTCCTGCCTCGAATCAATCAACGAATCAGGCACTTCACCCACTATTGGAAAGGGAAGCAAACACCTCAATACTACTGGGAAAACAATTTTTATGTGACGACTTCAGGCGTGCAGGACTCGGGAACACTAATGGACACCTTGAAGTGGACAGGCGAGGATCGGGTCATGTTCAGTGTGGACTATCCATTCGAGGACGATACGGAGATTGCAACTTGGTTTGACCGGCTGGAGATGAACACTCATACCAAGAAGAAGTTGGCATACGAAAATGTGAGGAGGCTTTTGAAATTGAGCAATTAAATTAACTAGTCATCTATAAGAGATAGACACTTAAGCCTCAACTATCCTTGTATGCAAACTATAACTGCTTAGTCTTGCACTCCTGGCCCAAAAGGAGCATCTGATGTTGGAGACTTCAGACGAGTTATCGGAAAAACCACCCCATGCTACTGCCGAAGGCTCCGGCTAGCCTAAGTCTGAAGCACGAGGGACAAGTTCCTCCTCCGTTGAGGTACTGGTTGCTAACGTAGGAGCAGTAGCCGAAGCGGCTGAAGTAGCCGCACTTCTGCCTATGCGCGAAGCTTGCATGGCCGCAGTTGCGGTATTGGTAGTACCAATCGGTGCACATATTGAGTTAGTAAGCAGGGCCGTGGCCGAGGATGTTCTTAATTTGTTTTGGCTGTATTTGATGGACGTGTGGTTTTGCCTCTCATGTAATTAGTGAGATGTATGCTGTTAGATATTGTGTTGGTGCGTTCGAATTCTTGACCATTTCGATCGAATCGCCGAAATAGAATTATTTTTATATCAGTTCGAATACTGAGTCGCTCTTCGATCTTGATGAACTCACTCTCATCAAATGCACCTGCATGTTGGTGACTGACTGGATAGGAAGTGCCATTATTTCTGTGACTACTACACTGCAGTGACAGAATTTCGAAAATAATGGAGCGGAAAGGTACGATGCACGAAGCCAATAGTGCTTCAGTGATTGCCATAACTATACTTCATCAGCACGTTGTCTGGATACTCACTTCTTTCACTCAGTCACAGTGGCTTGGGTGACTTACAGGGCCGGACGTATCGGCTAATTGCAGTCATTGCATCCTCAGTTCTTCAAGGCTTGAGCCAATTCTGATACTTGAAGTAGCTTCTCGGTGGTGCCGCCTTTCTCCACTCCAAAGGGGTTTTAGTATACTGAGAAAGACTTGAGAACATTCTCCTCGAGTCTTTGCTATTTTAACGATTGAGACTAGAGATCCACTCTTCCTAAAATCTTAATCAAATGTCCAATTCGGCTCCACACAAAACAAAAGTCATCATACAGATACAGCAAAACAGTGACGGCCGAGCTCCAAAGCGGTGCTGAGCCACACACTGCATAGGTATCTTGTATCATTGCGTCGTCAACTGAGCGTGGGGACAATCGAGACCTTGGTCTTTGAGTCTTGTTGAGTGCAGAGTCTTGTAGCGTGCTTTTTTGAGGGGTGTACCATATCCAATGTTGATTTGCTGATCAGTCAAATCCAAAAGAGGTTCAAAACAACACTCCACGCCAACAGTAAAACATAAGTAGCATGCAAGATGTTGCCCAGGTGGCTTAGGAAGAGGCTCGCTCCCTCAATATGACTAATGGTTGGGTTCCAAAAACTTCTATGAAGGGCGTCTCCGAATTGTTGTTCGGACGGAAATATTCCACATTGACGTCGATTGATGCTCATGCCAAAATCAGTGACGGGGGTGTAGCAGGAAGAAGCAACACCCGTCTGCAGAAGTCACCAGCGGCCCCCGATGGCTGCGCTACAAATCGCGCAAAGCCTAGGCTCTCACTTCTCAGCTGTCACAATGGAAATGACAAGCATTGGAAGATCAGTGACCTGCGGGGTAAAGGGCCAGTCGAATCGACGATTGAGCGGGTCATTAGGTTCTCTAAGTCCAAATCAAGTATCCCCACCAGGGGGCCAGACGCCTCTCGGCGAGGCATTGTCCCCTGGAAAAGTGTGTTGTCAATACTAGTACGAGGTGAGGGGCTTGGCCCTGAGAGAGGAATGTCCTTTGCTTTTCGCTTTTGACAACGTGATTCGAGGGCAAACACTAATTGAAGAGGGCCAAGCCAGATGCATGAGGAATGAGGAATGAGCCCGGTCCAAAGGAAAGCCCATCCCCAATCTACCACTGTACTTACGTATCGCGGAGCCTTGACGAGGGACTGGAAATCACTGAATAGCGATGGCTTCCCAGAGACAATTGTACTTTTCGAAAAAGACTGGCCTCATTGTTTGGTAAAAAAAAAAAAGAAGGAAAAAAAGACCTTCAACCACGTGCATCAAATGGGGCCCGCCTTTGCCAATGGCTTCATTCTGATCAGTCTTACTTTCGATTAATAGAATGCTGTTGCAGTGTGCGATAAACCGACGGCCTTATCTTGTATCAAACGGCAAGCTGAGCCTCACTCACCCCGCAGATTATGTAGACCTGAGGGATTTACCCGCTGCAATTAGTGGGGACACAATGGAGTGCGATGCGATACTGTGTACTTCAACGCAACTCAACTCGCTTTGTTGCGTCAGCGGGCAGTTGCCCAGCTGGTACTTTGTTGAGCTGATGCCGTTCGTAAATGACGCTCAGTCAGCTGTTAATTATAGCAGAGGTTGCAATGAGTACCCAGGTATGTCAACATGGAATCAAGCCACCGCGAAAGCGTGAGAGCCCGGTAGAGTTTGTGAGGATGCTGAAGCTGCAATCATAATCGATAACCGACCGACCTGAGGCGAATATGGTAGTCATCTAACTAGTGCCTTAGTGTGGTGTCTACCTATGAACCACCGGAGGCTCGTTGGGGCTGAAAGACTTGGTACCTACATAGCGCCATCATAGTACAGCACCAGACCAGGGAGGCTGTGCTTTGTCTATGTAATCGTGTCACACGACCAGGAGAGACGCCCACAGACTGCATCCACATTGATAATACTTTCAGATCATTGCATCTTGAGCCAACGAAAATGTTGATGTACGTAGTAGAACAGAGTGACAGTCGGACTGTGAAGTCATCCGAGCCCGCCTCAACTCAGCTCACCTCACACGAGAGAAGCGCAGGGGACCCCTGGACATTACGACAAGGCCCAGAACGGAATTGGGTAATGAAGAGACAATTCGGACAGAGTGCACGAATCGAAGTCCATAGGTTCTGAAACCTGACGCGGGTCCATGGGATGCTCAGAATTGATTGAGATCAGCGTGGACTGAGTAGCACAGTCCATACGCGTACATTTTTGGCTCATGTCACTGCCTGCGCTTTATTCTCTCATCACCGGATTAAGGACTTGTCCACGTTCTTGGTTGTATGTACTCTGTGTCGTTGGTTTTACGCCTATCCAAATGCTCGGATGTAGATGCTTAATAGGTACTAGACCGGATCAACCTCGGCCGAGTCCACCAGTGGAAAAATGATTGAAACAAAAAGGGAAAAATTGAGGAGAAAATTGATACGTGACAACCTGCTGGTTAGCGCGTTCCTTGTGGTACGGACACGTGTGTGGACAAGGCTTTCGGGGGCTCTGTGCCTGCATAAGACACGAACCTAGTGCATTGGTCACGGAGTGCGCGAGTGACCACCCTCCCCCGTCCATTTGTACGTACTCGAAATAGCTGAACGACAGGGTCTATTCCTGATAAACTTTGCCGTCCGCAGCCCACATTGCCGTAATTATCATCACGCCGGGCACGCCGCATTTTTGACGTCAGAATGGGCCATGGAATGTGGACCTTGAGTTTCAAACCCCACGGGGCATCGATGCAATGCTCCACAGTGCTGCGGCTATCTTATCAATTCTGAACAAGCCTGGCCCTGGGCTAACAGGCCCAGGAGGAGATAAATCGGGAGCAACCGTCAAAGCGCCGGGAAATGGCCGAGGTTAATGCAGCCTTACACTACATGTAGCCTTTTCTACATCCATTGTACGTCAGACGTACAGACAGGGCAACTTAAGCTGAAGTGGATCCAAACACGGACAGGCATGGCTCTGTGTATCCGCAGTCCGTCCAGGGATATCTCTGGCCGGCGTGGCTTCAACGGTCATGGGGCGACGCCGGCTCACAATTAAAGACGAGACTCCCCCAGACTTTTTGCTGTACAAACGTGGATTGAATTCGCCGTCACGCATCCGCTCTACATCCTACATGTACCTTAACAAACCTTTCCAATATGTCTGAGAAGAAGGACCTCGCAAGAACACCTTCGGACACCTCCTGTGAGGCCGGCCAAATATACGGAGTCCAGACGAACCCTCACGATGCTGTATTTGGTGAGGTCTCGGAAGATGGCCCCAATTACAGAAGTGTATGTGTTCCGACGTGGGTTTCTCGCTGTCCAAAACTGACATTTACTAGCTAGGATGGATGGGTACGGCTGCCCTCATGATGAAAACTCAAATCGGTCTCGGCGTCATGTCCATCCCTACGGTCTTCGACACATTAGGTATAATCCCGGGTATCATCTGCCTGATCGTGATAGGCATGATCACCACCTGGTCCGGTTACATAGTCGGAGTCTTCAAGCGCCGCCATCCCGAGGTATATGGTATCGATGATGCTGGAGGTTTGATGTTTGGTCGTATTGGACGTGAATTCTTCGGCGCCGCATTCTGCCTCTGTACGTGAATACCCTTCCAGTAGGAGTCGTCCTTGTAAGATCTCGTACTTACAGTCTCTAGATTGGATATTCGTAGCCGGCTCCGGTATGCTCAGCGTCTCCATCGGTTTGAATGCAGTCTCGACCCACGCAACATGCACCGCCGTCTTCGTGGTTGTCGCCGCCATCGTAGGGTTTTTATTCGCCAGTATCCGAACCCTCGGCAAAATCAGCTGGCTTGCCTGGGTCGGCGTGGGAACTATCATCACTTCGAGTGCGTCATGTCCTAGATCTACTGCCCCAAACCTGGTCTAATAACCCTTCCAGTCTTTATCCTCACCGTGGCCGTTGGCGTTCAAGAGCGACCCGCTGCCGCTCCCAAAGAGGGTGTGTGGGTCTCTGACTTCAAACTCACCAACACCCCAGACTTTGCCGGCGCCATCTCTGCCGTGTCTTCCCTAGTCTTCGCCTTCGCCGGGACACCAGCATTTTTCAACATCCAGGCAGAGATGCGTGATTCTCGCCTCTACACTCGATCACTTCTCGTATGCCAAAGCGTCGTGGCTGTTATTTACGTCGCAATCGGTACGGTTGTCTACTACTACTGCGGATCCTACGTCGCCTCGCCTGCCCTGGGCTCCGCTGGCTCTACCATGAAGAAGGTCTGCTATGGGCTTGCCCTTCCAGGCTTATTTGTCACAACCATTCTCGTCACTCATGTAAGTGTCCTTGATCTATCCATCTAACACGGTTGATTAACAGTCCCATAGCTACCAGCAAAGTATATCTTCATCCGGGCCCTTCGTGGAAGCAAGCATCTGAACTCGAACACCGTGGTTCATTGGGGAACATGGATTGGATGCACCTCTGGTGTGACCATTGTGGCTTACATTATCGCGAGTGGAATTCCCGTGTTTGACGGCCTTGTCTCGTTGATTGGGGCCCTCCTAGGCACCCTCATGTCATTCCAGCCGTACGGGTGTATGTGGCTGTATGATAACTGGTCCCAAGGAAAGATCGAACGGACAAAGAAGTGGATTTTGATGGTTTTGTTCAGCGGATTTGTGGTGGTATCGGGAACGTTCCTGATGATCGCTGGCACATATGGGTCGGCTGTAGGCATTGTTAACACCTACAAGGAGTCAGGTGGATCAGCCGCTTGGTCATGCGCTGATAACTCCAACTCAACATAGACAGGAGAAAATTATAAAGTGCTAGATGAGTTTTCATACAACGTTCCCGACATGCCTTGAGTAGGCGCACATCCCGAACTTTTTATTCACATGCTTTATTGCAATGATGGAGAACGGAGCCGGAAAAGAGCACATGATCTTCAATAGGCTATGGAAATCCAAAGTCTGATCGTCTTTTCGGTGTCTAAAGCCATGTATTTATGACTTCCCAAGATGTGACTTCGCACACTACCCTTTTGATACAGTTTTGTCGAAACCCCCATCAAAGGCAAGTACGTCTCCATGGATCTACCCAGTGCAGCAGGGGCCCTATCTCTTGGACTTGTGCCAAACGAAGTTTCTCATAGTATCATGTTGCTCGATTTGCGTTGGGCGGTAGTCGGTCAAACTTTGCCCTCAAGATATGCAAAGATCTCATTAGATCGGTATTGACCGACATCAAGGCCCAAATTATTGTCCTGATTGATTCCCAGATGGGTGAAGGCATCTGGTTGCTCTGTTGTAAGCTCGCGATGTCATGCGGATTGAGGAGTCGGGTTTGCCAGCAGTTGGACTTACCCGTCTTGTAGCAAATCTGTCTCTGACGAACGAGACCCAGTTTCTTAAGGCGCATTAGGACTCTGGCAACGTCGTCCTTGTCATTGAAATCACGCGTGTAGACACACACCAAACGATGCCGGTCAGGCACCTCGCGCGGTGAGATCTTGGCAGCAATGCCTAATTCGCCGTTGGCGGTAGCATGGGCGACCTTTGCCCAGACGTCGTTGCAGTGTTCCGGCGAAGGGAAGATGACCCACTGATGTACGTCAATAAACCTGTTTAAAAAGGATCGTGGCGCTGTGAGCGCACACGCTCACCTTGCCCTCCGTCACGCTTAGTTGACTCGCCAACTCCAGGACTTCGTCAGTGAATCTCCTGCTCTCCACCCTGATCTTGGCCGAGATTCTTCCAGTCTTGGTTCGATTCTTCTCGACAAAGTCTCTGTACACGTCGAGTCTCTTCTGGGCACGAGCGCTGAAAACATTTGTTGCCTCGTGCCGACCAACAGTGTCACCATCTCCTTGGACGGGATATATGCGGTCAGACGGAACGAAAGGGTTCCAGATATAGATCCATGGGCAATTGAGCGTGACCCTTGTGGTCGCTGGTGGTAGACGAGCTAGAAACTGATCGACCGTCTCAGTGAGCTGTCGTGCGCTGGCAACACCATCGTAGCCGTTATGGATTGCATGTGCGATGTCCGTAGCGTCGTTGTCGGGAGCATGGCCATGTCGACTCCAATACTCGTTGACGTCGAAGTTATTCATTCTATCGTGTAGATGTGCTACATCTTCCTTGCTTCCTAGCGAGAGCCATCTACTCAGCATCATCAAGACGAAAACAGCCAGGAAGCGATATGGAAGCGATATGAAGGTATCCATGGGATGTGGAGATTGTCAGCACCTACCGTAAAAATCGGAATCCGAACCTGATGCTGGCGCCATAGCTTCAGCGGATAATTTCTGGATGCGATGGGAGTGGTGCTAGGATTGTTGATGATGGATGCGAAAATGTGAAAAGGATGGAAAGCAAACAAGGTCTATTTGTGCTGCATACGCAAGATTTCGTGCTTTTATGAATAGTTGAGCTCCGTAAGGTGGACTTGCCGTATCGCGCCGTCTGAGCCATGTGCTTGTGGCACCACATTTAAGCAAAGCCAAATATCTGAGATTTTAATTGTCCAATACAAGCCTAAGAACAAGGCCAAACAAGTCCCTTTTTCGCAACAGAACGATGGTTAGGGACCCTGCACGACTGCAACAAACAGTGATCACGGATGTAAGGAAGGGCTGTCAAGTCTAAATGGATGCACAGTATATTGAGAGCAGGGGAAATGCCTGCAAAGTTCTTCGCTGGGACCGAAAGGCGAGTTTGAAGTGAATATACCAAGAAGAATCTCCAGGAGCTGAGAACCATGCGATGAACTCTTGCTGCTCAACCAAAATTGAAACCTCTATTAGGTGCTGAAGCGTTTGATCGAACAGTTTGGGCGTGAGACACACAGGGAAAGACAGATTGACAGATAATTTCCAGCATTGCTTTCTATCATTTTCCGAATATCGGATGACGTTGTTGTTCAGACCACAGTGACCTGCTGCGTTTGAAAGCAGAGAGGATTGGATAAAAGACAAAGCACACTCAAACACATGCTATGCTGTATGTTTCTGTCCTGAAAAGTTCAGCCAACTGTTTGTCACTCCAATCGAGTACAGTAGATACATGGAAATACATGCAGGTCGCCTAAGACAGTGAACCCTTGTTCAATAGGAAAGTTGAAAGGGAATCGCTTCGTAGGCTTGGACGAGGCACTCGGCTTGACCTGGATCGATGAGCGGGGATGCTGAGCTAACAGGATCATGTCAGCTCAGTGTGGCTTCAGGTTAGGCAGGTATCAGGCATGGATTGTTACCAACAATGTTACGTAACTGCTCGTGCCCGTGTCCAACGTCACCTCGGAGCAGCCAGAACACCAGTGGCCCCCAACTGCTTGGTTCCCAGCATCAGAGAACACCGGCTGCGTGCCCATCTACACCGCGTTGCGAGTGTGACATGGGATGCTCATCCTATAATAGAAAGATACGAAATGGCTTGTTCAATCGCTTCCCGCTCGAAGGAACCCCTGAAGCCCGCGGGTAAACGCCTCTTCCCCTTCGCAGGTGCCGTTTGCGAGATCATCCATTGCTGACTCTGCGAAAGATATGACTTGAATCGATTGACGTCCCCACTGCTCCGACTCCCCTACGAACTGCGGCTTCAAATATACGAGCTTGTCCTCGGAGACCGACAGATTCACATCTTCTTCGTGCCATGGCAGCACAAGCAGCGAATCAAGAACGGGCAGCCGTACACAGAAACCATCAAAGGTGGCTTCCGCTACGAGGTGCTTCAGAAGAGAGAAGATCCCTGGAAGACGGACCGAAAGAGCCTACGAAAGCTGGCCTCACCCTCTCCTGAGGCACAGATCACCCTCCTGTCCGGTGTCTGTCGCCAGCTGTACCACGAGACGGCGCTGCTGCCACAGCAGATGAACACATGGTCCTTTGAGACAGCGCATGCCATGGAGCGGTACATATTGAAAGAGAATAGGATGCCGCTCATGCAGCGACGGGCCGTCCAGACGCTGTACTGCAAGGAGAGGCTGCCCAAGGTGCTGGAGAAGAAGTTTGGCGGCCTGAAGGCCATCATCTGGAAAGACGGCAAGAAATTGCGGTGGCAGGACTTATCGCTATTCCCGGAAGTAGGCTGGAAGGATCGTCAAGAGCTTCGGGATCGTTCATGGCGGTGGTGAATGCCAGCAGTGCTGGCATGCATCGGCAGAATATAAACACACTTGGGGCCCCTGTGACCAGGGCCTTGCTGCCTCACGAACGCTTGGATCTCTCCATTCAGGTCGAAACTGGCCCAAAGCAAGAAAGCGGTTGACCGAAACCATCTGCTGCTGACATCCCTTTAGTTGTATCAAACTTCCTAAGCATGTCTTGTCGAACGCTCAGTAGCAAGGGGGCCTGGATACTCAAATAGCTTGACTGTCAACATAGAAGTCTCAGAAAATCTGACTCTGTCTTAATGAAAAACCTGTATGTGTTGCGGTATATTATTCTGTCAATTTCAGACGCAGCTACAGTCTATGGCCGGTCTCGTCGAAGAAGCCCTCAGCATTACCCCGGTCAGCCGCCGTCTTCCGCGCCGTCTTTTAGGTAGCTGATATGGACTGCTTTTAGTGGCATCGTAATTTCTACGCCGTCATGTATGTCAGCTCCCAAATCCTTGTCGTGTGGGTTATCATGCCATTTGTTAAGCAACCCGCCGTCTTGAGCCGTGGCAGGCAGCTTGGCTGTGCAGGAGCCAGTCACGCTCTTAAGACGAGCTCCGAGACATGGTGTTCAGAGAAGCCTCGCGGCACTATCGAATTCATGCCCTTCACATGCGATGCCAGGTTCGTAGCTGCCCCGGAATTCCCTCAAACGAATTAAATGCGTGAAGTCTGGAATAGACCGATTACACCAGATAACAGGGAATGATGATATACAATCTCTGCAGAACCACAATAGCCACTAGGCTTATCACAGAAATCCTTCACATTCTGAAGTGCTGCCATTCCGGCTGGCATGTCGGCTTGTGAACCAAAGAATTTGCCCAGAGTATCTATTTTTATTTTTATTCCATCCAGCCCAACGACAGTTTCAGGCAACCAATCCAATATATCTAGCTACCCTGCCAGGCCAACCTTCCAAAGGATGGTGTATATAAACCACACCCAGGCTCCACGTCAGCGGCTGCGGCTTTCAGATGGATGGAAGTCTTCCATCTACTCGAGTATCTGGTGACCAAGGCAGATGAGTCCGGTGATTCGTTCTAGTGCGCATGTGTAGATTTGAACGTATGTCACGGAAAACAGCAATGGCACCGCCGGGGCTCTGTCTGCACTTGTCCCATCTTATATTGATGAGGTGCCACTACAACACCTGGGGTTAGATGTAAGTTTTGACTCAATTCGGAAACAAATGTCCTTGAAGCCAAGTAAAGGAATGCAGCAAGGATCTAGGTACCGTTAGCACTGAGATAGCCGAGGGCCGAATAAGGTTTCGGTAGGCGCACAGCAGAGTAGTGCGGCTGAATGGGAAGACTAGCGGTATGTACACACGCGTTCGAATATACACAGGACAGCCCGTGTAATTTCAGGAACAAGTAATTGGACAAAGGGGGTTTATTAACATACCTACCCAAATCGACCGTAGTCCTCTTCCATGCCTGTCAGGGTTTAACCCAGCAGCCAGCAGCCAGTCGCCAGCCAACCCCACATCTCCTCGTTTTCTCTGTAGCTGAATCACTGCCGGAAGGATCAACTCCACAGTCTGAATCAAGCACATCTCAGACACATGACGAGCTTGTGCCGCCAAGAGCTGAGACACTGGAAGCATGGGCACATTGAGCGAACAGGCTAGACCACCCGCCTGCCAGGCCTGTCTGTTTGTTTATTTGCTATATGAACATGGTCTGTATACAGCATTAAGCACGACAGGGCGCCGAAGCCACGGTGACCTGGCTAGCGTGAGGGAATCAGGGAATCTCCAGCAGGGAGCAGGGGGCCGGAGGGGGGATTGACAGCTTCTCTGGGTCTTGATTTGAGATTTGAGCAGGTGTTGATCCGAATTTTGGCTTGGGGGGGCCCTCTAAGGTCATTACTGTCTCGGTCCTAAACCGACCGTCTGGGTCTGGCTCTCTCGGGTCTAGCCACCGTTCCCACCCCGTTCAGCCCATCCAGCCATTTCAGCCCGTCTGATTTGCTCCGGCCTGGCTGTGTGTGCGTGTGTGTTTTCCAAGGTGTATGGCGCTTGGTGCGGTGGATCGACCACCGCTGCGACCACCGACGTCACTCTGGGCGCCTCACAATCTTTGCCCGGAATTCGATCTGTGCCTCTCACCTACCCATTCCACCGCTCACTCACCGAACCCACCACACCACCCCGATTTTCTCCCTCCATTCTTCAAGAGAGCACCTAAGCAGACGGGAGAGGAGGGGCGTGCTGCATGGTATGCATGAGCATGCGTCTGCTGACAAAATACCGTGCCAGCTAATCTATCTAGCCTTGGATGTGAATCTGAATCTGCACCTGAATCCGGCCCAGACTCCTCTTCCCGGTCCTGGCCCAACTCTTGGTCCCGGTCCCGATCCCGATCCCGTGTGCAAAGGAGGCCCGACGCTGTCTCTTCTAGGAGACAGCGGGCGAGCGTCCTCTGTCTGTCCCGGGCCTCCTATCTCATGGATGCAGCCAGCAGGAGCAGAGCTAGCAGCAACGTTGGTGTTGATGCCGTCCGGGAGGACCAGATGGACGGGCTCGATGCCTTGGGCATCAGAGAGGTCCTCGACGCCGACTCGCGCCCAACCTTCATCATCGACCTGGACCCCGACCAGCCCTCGCGCAGTGTCAGCACATGCATCGACCCAGTCTTCTGCAACGCTGCCCTGCGCTCGCACGACCGCCTGCTTGACGCCGTGCTGGGGCGCGAAACCACTGGCATCGCGACCTCCGCCGATGTCGATGCCAATGCCGATGTCGACGCCGCAGACTTGGCCTCACCCGTCCTCGACCCAACCCAGCAGGGCCCGGATCCAGGTGGGAGCCGCTCGCTGGCCCCCACCCATGAGGCCTTCAAGCTGTGGGTGACCGGCGTCACAACTCATGATGACTCCAAGGACGTCTTCCCGCTATCCTTCATGTACAATGAAATGCTATGGACAGGGTCTACCGTGCGGAAACGTTGGCGCATCATCAGTGGGAACCGGCTCTGGCAAGCCGACGTTCCTGTCGTTGACCTGGCATCTGGCGCACCCCTCGAGGTTGCCACCGGCGGCTCGAAAGCAAGCCAGGCCACCAAGAGGAGCCCCGCGACTCCTGGCGCTAGCTACGAGTCTGTTGTCCACACATCCGGCGTGCCCAATGTAGTATCATCATCATCGCCCTCTGGGCCTCTGACCTCTTCTGACCCAGTGTTTTACCCAAGGACATCCGCTAATGGATCGGTCCTCACTGGCGTCTCAAACAAGAACATAGCCATCGACCTCGCCGCCTTGCCCGAGAGGGCCACCATCGACTGGACGGTGCCTAACCCAGAAGGCCAGATATCCCAGCACCTTCAGTATGTTCGTGCAGTCGACTGGGGTGCCACATCCCTGGGCCCTATGGCTTCTTGGTCGGCAGAGTTCCGCCAGATCGCCAATCTCGTCATGACCAATCCTCACCCTGCCGCACTCTTCTGGGGCAGTAAATTGACTGTCATCTACAATGAGGCTTACGCCAACGAGGTCGCTGGTAACAAACACGTATGTATCATCCAGTGTTGCTGATGATGCCAATCTCTGATCCACTAGCAGCCGACTCTCATGGGGACCGAATTTGCCGATTTCTTCGCCGAGATCTGGGATTACTGTGGCCCTCTCTTCGAGGAGAGTGGCCGAACCGGAATCAGTGTCCGTAGGGACAACGACCCCATCTCCATCTACCGACATGGAATGCTGGAGGAAACTTACTACTCATGGACCTACGTCCCCATCTACTCGTCCTCGAATAGGGAGCTCCTTGGATTTTACAACGGGCCTTTCCAGACCACCAACCTTGTGCTGAACCAACGCAGGATGCAGACGGTGAATAAGATCGGCGAGCGGACTGGATATGCAAAGACCATCAAGCAGTTCTGGAAATTTGTGCTGGAAGGGCTCGAGGATAACCCATGGGACGTTCCTTTTGCCCTCCTCTACTCGGTCGGCGAGGACAATGACGACGAGCACTCTTCTACCGCCTCCGAACTGTCCATTTCGCTCAAGTCATGCCACTTTGAAGGGGCTCTCGGCGTGCCTGACGGTCACATCGCAGCACCCCAGCAGCTCGACTTGCGGCGCAGTCTTGAGGGCTTTGTGCCGTCGTTCCGGGAGGCGATGCGGACTAGGGAGCCGACTCTTTTACGTGTCCGCGACGGCACTCTGCCCGAGGCCCTGCTTGAAGGTATCGAGTGGCGAGGGTTCGGGGACCCATGTAAAGAAGCCATCATTTTCCCAGTGCGTCCCACCAACGCAGACAATGTCCTTGCATTTCTCGTTCTGGGCGTCAACCCACGCAGGCCGTACGACCATGAGTATAAATCTTTCGCAACCATGTTCAACCGACAACTCGCGACCTCGCTGGCCTCGACCATCCTGTTCGAGGAGGAGACACGCCGCAGCAGAGACGCCGTCGAAGCCGCGCAGCTAGAGCGGGTCAGACTGACGCAGCAATTAGACTTACAGGCCAGTAGACTACGTCGTATGACTGAGTTGTCGCCTCTAGGCATGTTTTTGATATCTCCAGAGGGCGTCCTTCGGGAAGCAAATGACAGGTTCTTCGAAATGACGGGTCACACCAGAGACTCACAGTATGAGATGTCGTGGATGGATTTTATTATGCCCAGCAGCACACGAACCATGGAGGATGGCTGGCACCGACTCGTGAATGAGCATCGCCCGTGGTCAGGGGAGCTGCAACTCAAGATACGTATAGCCAGACCCATCAACCTTCATGGAGAGGCAATCGATTACTGGTGCATGTTTACTGCACAACCCGAGATCGCATCAGACGGGTCCTTACGTTCCGTGATGGGATCAATCACCGACATATCCCACATGAAATGGGCACAAGGCTTACAAGAGCACCAGCTTCGCGAGGCCGAAGAGACTCGCAGGCAGCAGAACGAGTTCATTGACATCACCTCGCACGAAATGAGGAATCCCTTGAGCGCTATATTGCAGTGTGCCGACGACATCACCGCAGCTCTGAGCGAGTGCCGCAAGGATCCCACGAGCTTGTCAAATGACGTACTCGAGGCATGTTTGGAGTCAGCGCAGACAATCTCCCTATGTGTCCAGCACCAAAAGTCCATCGTGGACGACATTCTTACCATCTCCAAGCTCGACTCCAATCTCCTCCTCATCACCCCGGTAGTCACCCAGCCGAAGCAGATTCTGAGCCGTGCAATCAAAATGTTTGAATCCGAGCTGCAGGCAAAGGAGATCAAGGCCAACCTCGAGACCCACCCGTCCTACGACGAGCTCGGCGTGGACTGGGTGACGGTTGACCCGAGTCGAGTGCTACAGATTCTCATCAACCTATTGACCAATGCGATCAAATTCACAGCTCCATCCAAAACACGCATTCTCACCGTTGCCGTTGGCGCTTCTCTGGAACCGCCGGCCTTAGCCAACATACCAGGCTTCCAATACGTTCCGGTCAACACTAAAACCAATGTCGCAGCATCTGAAGACTGGGGTAAGGGACAGCTTCTTTACGTCAGATTCAAGGTGCAGGACACAGGCTGCGGCCTCACTGCGGAGGAGAAGCAAATGCTTTTCCAGCGGTTCAAGCAGGCGTCTCCTCGGACCCATGCACAATACGGAGGCAGCGGCCTGGGACTTTTCATCTCGAAGCGCCTATCCGAGCTTCATGGTGGTCAAATTGGTGTGTCGTCCAGTGCCGGCACCGGAAGTCTCTTCAGCTTCTACGTCCAAGCGAGGAGGGCAGAACCGCCCAGTGAGGCGCTGGAGCAGAGGCTTCCCATAGAGCACCACATGAGTGGTGACACAACCCTGCGCCAGCAGCTCGCGCCTCAACGCCAGGATCTAGCATCAACCGGCAGCCCGGCTGCTAGTCTAGTAGCAACAAAGGCGAGGCGGACGATAGACCCCAAGACGGTCCACATCCTCGTCGTGGAGGACAACTTGATTAACCAGCGTGTGCTGGCCAACCAGCTCAAGAAGATCGGCTGCACGGTCAACCTCGCCAACGACGGCGTTGAAGCGCTAGAATTCCTCTCTACAACAAATTTTTATAAGACAGATACAGGGACAGGCAGCGTGCCTCTAGATGTAGTATTGATGGATTTAGAAATGCCACGCATGGACGGTACGTGACTCCATATCCCAATCCAACCCCCCCCCCCCCCCAGCCCCGGGCCCCTGTTGGGGCGCGGAAAAGAAAAAAAGCAGAGCCTACTGCCGGCATATACATATGTCAGCAGGCCCTTGTTCAATTCTCCAGCTGACATCCGCACCCTCAATGACAGGCCTCACATGCGTAAGAGAGATCCGCAAGAAAGAAGTGCAAGGCGAAGTTACGAAGCATGTGCCAGTGATCGCCGTCACGGCCAACGTCCGGGACCAGCAGGTGGCGACGGCCAAGGAGAGCGGCATGGACGATGTGCTGTCTAAACCATTCAGGATACCGGACCTGCTGAAGAAGGTCGAGGGCCTGTTGCTGGCCGATCCCGATCAAGGAGCGGTACATATCCGGTGATGTGCTCTCATCGAGCCTCGCGGGTACGCAGATAATCCAATCTGTGGTCCTGATGCTAGTAAAGGGTATTCTGGAGACATAAATGATGGGAGGGTTGGATAGTTACATTCAGGTTTGGACAAGGGGCATGGAGGCGCCCACTGTCCTCCACCTTCGTCGAAACAGGGACGAGGTGCAATGGTTTGGACAAAGTTTATTTCTTAGTTAGTACGTGCCATAATGCGTGCCATGATATATCAATACCCATTTGATTATTGATTAATACAGATGCCGGTTTGCAGGTTTGGTCCGAGTACATAAGTACTTAAGTAGATAATTACCTAAGCAAGAATCATCTGAGAGCCGAGACTAGACTCGTAAGTGTCAACTCCAGCCCGCTTGGTGCATGTATCGTCCGACATCTAGTCTCAGCATCCCGCCACTGGCAACTCGCATGGATGAGTACAAAACATCTACTGCAAAGGTCGATGTACTTCCAAATGACCATCTTCTATGCTCCTAACAATATTCCCTGACTTATTTCCTGCAACGAGCTCTAGTTTCAATTTCATTGCTCCCTGCCAAGATGTCGTCCACTTTCTCCGGCGAAGACTTTGCCCAGCAGGACCAGTCACTACTCTTCTCGAAGTTGCCCCTCGAGATCCGCCGCCAAATATACCAACAGCTCTGGTCCGACCATGGCCTTACGCAGCACATATTTCTATTCAGCCAGAACTCATACCTTCAGAGCTTCCCGTGCTCTCTCAGCCCCGAACAACTCAACCAGGACCCAAGTTCTGCCACTTCTGCTGCTGGCAGTACAGACGAAATCATTGCGACACCGCAGTTCGAGCCCTTTGACGACCCCGGAGATATCGATGGCGCACTTCAGGAGCTAACACTTGACGATGAAGATAGACTTCTTCTCTGTGAACCACCCTGCAGCACGTGGTGCATGCACCACGTGTGCTTCTACCGCTGGATTGAGAAATGGGATAAGTCCTTCTCGAAGGTCTATAGCGCAAGCTACAGAGGTAATACGCTACGGCCCTTGCCTGATCCGAGATCTAGCCCTGTCCTTGCTGTCTTCCTGGCGTGCAAACAAGCACACCAGGAGGCGAGCGAGTCGTTATTCTCGACCATGCGCTTCTCCTTCTCAAGCTTGAATGCCATGCACATGTTCCTCGAACAAGTACCACAGCCTATGGTATCTCGGATCCAATATGCCGATGTAAGTGTATTGTCCGCTTCCCTTTACCAGATCCGGTTGAAATGTCCTTGACATGAGGTTGGAGTTACAACGGCTGACGAGAATTGCACGTGTCTGCAGGTTTTGAGCATTGATGGGGACTTCCTTGACCCTAGCCGGTCTTCTGCGGACTACCCTGCACCTGCCCAGAAGGTATACCAGACTCTGGATGCGTCCTTTCCAAAGCTGAAAGGTGAGTCTACATTTAAGACCCAGCAGCAGCAAACCGCATATCGCGTTACGAAAAGACAGGCCAATGGCTGATCACCACCTTTAGAGCTCCGCTTGACTCTGCACGCCAGTTGGTACAGCCAGAAGATCCCTCGGAAGCGGGACCTCCAGCCGCTGTACACGCTCGCGCACAAGAAGGAGAGTCTGCGCAAGTTCGAGGTCTTCTTACCAACCCAAAAAAGCAACAGCAAGGTTGGCTACGGCGAAATACACCCTTCCCTGAAAGATGCGCCCTTCAGCGTTAAGCTTGTGCCCCCTTGCTGTCGTGTTATTACCGAGTGTCATTGTTTCTGGACATGAAGGTCAACGTAATAATTTAGTTCCCCTGGTTAGTAGTAGAGGAAGGGACAAAAGAGGAGGAGCCAAGGTACCCCCTGGTTGGACGGCTTGGGAAGATTTCGGGCTATATCGATAGAAATAAGTATTTCTTGTGCAGCTATAATCCACTTCTCATCACTGGTGTTGAAAGTGCTAGATGTCGATCCAGCCTCACTTCTCAGTGACTGATCACCCGAGAAAGCACCTAGCAACTTCCAAAGTCTAAGATACTAATCGTTTTCTCTTCACTCTGCGAGAGTATCGAAAATGATGGGCATTGCAAGTCAGTCCCGAAGGGGGTTGGGTGGTTTTGGGGGGAGGGACTCGCAACGAAACCTTAACCCTGATCCTCACTCCCTAAGCGCAGCTAGATGTATGTCACCCATGTTTCAGGCGAAGCAGGCACCTAAATTGAGGCCTGCCCACTCACAAGCTGTCTGGGCCGGGCCGGCACATGCAAGGCATTGACGTTTCACCTCGTCAAGGTCCGCGCTTCTCTCATCCACCGGTGAGCTTCATTCAACCTCATCATTACCTTGTACCTGTGTGCCGCTCATCAACCCAGCAGATTCTCACTTCGCCCACCATCTGAACCAGACCAACTGGCCATGGCAAGAATAGTCAAGCCCCCGCGGAGCTGCGAACGGCTACACCACGTGCGCGCCCGCCTACGCAAAGCATCATGCATGACCGATGACGCCCACGACGACCTCTCACACAGTGACGAAGACAGTGGCGATGATAATAACGACAGCAATAAGCCAAGACCCGCACACCCGGTCATGCGAGCTCCAAGCCAGCAGTCAGCACCCGCATCAGATGCTCAGGACGCACCCTCGTCGTCAGGCACGCCAGAGCTGGCCCCACGAGCAGTACACATCAAAGACGCCGACCCCCAGACCCAATCCGCCTTCTTCGCCCGCCTGCCCCCAGAGGTCCGGCGGATGATCTACACCCACGTCTGGCGGCTGTCGAACCCCACCCTGGCCCTGCACATCCACGCCGCCTGCGACGGGGCCCGGCTGACGCACACGCCGTGCTGCACCTCGTGCTCGCTGTCATCGTGCTCGCCATCCGTGCAGCAGCAGCAGCGCGCAGCAGCGGCGGAGGAGGAGGCAGAGGAGGACGACCCGATGAGGACGGACCCGTGGCCCGGGTGGCGGGGGCGGAACCAGCCGCCGCGGTGGTTCTGGCACGCCTGGGGGCTGCGCATGCGCTGGGGGTCGCCGCACTGGAAGTGCCAGGCGGAGGCGATGCTGTCGTGGAGGGCCAAGGCGGACGGGACGTGTGCGGACGAGCGGGGGCTGAGGGGCAATGGCTATCTGCCCGTGTTCTTGACGAGTCGGAGGGTGTAAGTCATGCCCAACATCCATCCCGTACCAACCCCCTCCCCCCTAACCTAACCACTTCTTTCTCGCATCAGAGACCGCGTTGCACTACTGACATCCCGCCCAGGTACGCCGAGGCGATAGAGTCGTTCCTCGAGTCGACAACCCTGATCTTCACGGCGTCCGAGGACGCCTACCGCTTCTTCGTGCAGCAGCCGCACCCGTACCACGCCAAGGTGCGCAGCGTGCACCTGGCCTTCACGCACTTCAAGGACCACCTGTTCCTGCAGCGCATCGAGCCCAGGCACCCGCGCCTGCCGGATAGCCAGCTCAGCGTGCCCGTGTCGTGGGGCGTGTGGACGCCGCTGATGCGCTGCGTCCGCGGGGGGCTGCCCGAGCTGCGCCGCCTGACGGTGCACCTGAGCGCGGCGGCCGCGCCGACCTCGCGGGAGGAGGTGTTCCTGGACGTGCTGAGGGAGTGGGCGGATGAGGGTTATGGCATGGTTGAGGAAAAGGGCGGTGGCCTGGTGTATACTGAGACGGGGAGGCTGCACTGACACAGGGTGGGAAGTAGACAGACAGACTAGATTGGTTAGAGGGCCGTCGTCTATAATCTTGTCTATCAGCCTGGAGCTAATTGAAAATCCGACCTTGTCTACGATACTATTTTGTTTTCTGCGGCTCCCTCAACATCCCCAGATGGGTATGCACACCCTCAGCCCCATGGGCAGCCAGGTCAATGGTGAACCCGCCCACCTTGGTGAACCCCAACCGCTCGTACAGCGGCCACGCCCTGCCGTCCTCGTCGCCAGACGTGTCCAAGAAGATCGGCACGCCCTCGCGATCGGGGTACTCCTCCAGGACCTTGCGGAGCAGCATGGTCGCGATGCCCCTGCCCTGGTACGCCTGCAGTGTGCCGACGTTGTCGAGAAACCAGTAGTCGCCTTTTCCAACCAGAACCTGCTCCCGCATGCGGTCCAGCTTCTCCCACATCTCGAGGAGGAGGGGCCCGTTGAGACCTGGCATGAGCCGTTCGTGGTACTTGGCGTTCTGTTGCTTGATATCCTGCACATCCAACATCATTTAGTCTTCATAATTACTCCGCGGAGCGCTGCGCAGCGAGCTGAAAAGCCATGCAGCAGTCTGCTCTGCTTTGCCCGGCTCCGCGATGGCCTGGCATCCTTACCTCGTCCGTCATGGGTACCAGCGCAGGCTTCCTGGCGAGATTGACATAGCTCACGACCTTGCGGTCCGGGTGGTCATCGTCGCGGGCAAGAAAGAGGACCTCGTCTGGGTCCTGCAGGCTCTCTGCGAACATGTCCTCCAAGCCGGCATTGAACACTGACGGGTCGACGGTGCCATGGGTGAGGCGGTTCCAGGCCGTGACCGGTCTGTCCTGGTAGATGTCGGCAATGGCCTTTGCATCTGACAGGGATGCCTTCTCGACTGTGAAAGCCATGATGTTTTTGGGCAGGCTCTTGCTTGATGGCCAAGCTACTGCGACTTGATTGATCCTGAGCGTGCGATAGAATTGACGATATCGGTCTTGCTGGCTGCAGCAGGCAATGGCGCAGGCGTAAGACGTTGACAGGCTTGATTGCTTCACGGTGACTCTTCGCCGTGTACCCGCGACGCGCGATCCTTCTCAATCCCGAAGAGGCTTGGCGCGAGATCCTACGGTCCAGCAGTACCGGCATCGACCAGCATAGGCTGGAATGTCCTATGCGGCCTACTCAGCTTGAGCAGGGAGTGGTGTGCTCGCAACCATTTCCCCAGACACAGGAGGAGACGGAAGAATCCGTTAGAGAAAGAGAGAGACGGGGGAACGTTGGGACGGGGCCAACATGTCAGTCAGGAGGACAAATAGCTGGTCTAGTCAAGTCAAGGACAGGCCGGGCGAAGCTGAGTAGCATCCCGAGGCCGGCCATCGTCTTGTTGAGTTGCAACCCGAGCGTAGTGTGCCCTAAGTGGATTAACTATTGTCTCGACAGGGCAGCTCATGAGAGCGTGTTGGTCCAGCGCCGAGCCAGTCGAGTGGTTCGATCGGGCCGGGAGAAGCGAGGAGAGTCTAGAGGCGAGGATAGGATTTGGAAAAACTTCTTCTGGTGTGGCTTATGCCTGTCAGCCACTGCATACTGCCTCGACACGATCAAAGGGTGTATCGTATCTCGCCCAGCATCAACATATGTCTTAGCCCTAGCCTTGTCGATGCATGCGATCTGTGAATAGAGGGCTGAATATAGATGACAGTGCAGGGAGGCACCAAAGTTTGGTTGCCATCTCTATAGCGGCGATTGATCATGTAGACCAGATGCAACCCTGGCAGTGCGCCTTGCAACAACTGCTTGCATCAAGTGCCTGCATCCAGATGGCGGTTCCGACTACGGTGGAGAGGTGTTGCTGCTTGGCGAACGTGGTGTCTGCAGGAAGGCGCTTACGAAGCCCATACATGGGTTGACTTGATTTGAATTGATTTAGTGGACGCCTCTTTCGGTGTTTGACTTTGACCTCGATGGTGAACAGACTACTGTACACCTGCTCATCACCAGGCTTGGTTATGTTGGATCTTCTGGTGATCATTCTGACTAGGGACTAGAGGTGAGGAGAGAAGGAGAAGCCCAGTACGTACTGTAGGAAGGAGGGCCTGGATCTCCGGAGGGTGCGTCCCGTTAGTGCAGTTATGGCCCTATTCGGCAAGAACCGATGGGTCCCCCAGGCGTGGCAGGGCAGGGGCAGGGTGGGGATGAGTCGTTGTTTCCCGTTACCCGTTACCCGTGCTCGAGCCGTTACTGTGTACCCTACCCATCCACTGCCATCTCAAGTCTCCAGTCTGCTGTCTTCTGTCTGCTGTCTCCACTTGTCCTGTCTGAGAGCCAACTCTATTCCCGAGTTCCCCACTGCTGATCAGCTCCTCGCCCGACTCTTTCCCCATGGGCAGCTTGTCTGGTGGTGTCGCCCACTGCGTCCTAGTTCGTGTGTACCACAGTACAGTACATGTGATTGACTCTACAGCCAGAGTCCTCGTTTCAGTATGCAATGGACAGAAGATTGGTTGCAGCTACTTCCTTTCCCTGTGGTGTAACCAGTCTTCAGTCAGCGACTTCCCGTTTGAGTCTGCCTGCCCGACCAGGCATGTGAGAGAAAGAGACACATACAGAAATCAAACGAGGGCGTGTGCAACTCTGAACTCGCACAGACTCAATTGAAGCTTTTCTCTGCTGAGCACGACTGTCTTCAACACTTCAGCATCCAATCGTCCGTCGCTCCAGCAAAGCAAGGACAGGGGACAGAAAATACGAAAGATGTTCTCTCGTCCGTACCCGACATCCCGGCGCCCCGTCTCCAAATGCGCCCGCCTGGGACGCCACACCGGCTGCCTGATCACACTCGAGTCCCGGCTGGCTGGTAACCGCTACCTCGTCGCAGCCTACAGTTCTACTATCTATGTACATCGAGCAGCATCCTCCTCATTTGTCGTGATCTGACGGACGGCCTGCCAAGACAAGCGCGTCTCTGCTCCAGCCATCCCGACTGGCCACACGCCCACGGGCAAGCCACTCCCCAGCAGGGCCAACTCCCCGCCTGCGACGTCGACGTCGACTGCTCACGGCCCCCGACATCGTCAATGTCTTCGATGCACTTGACGAGCTAAGCTTCTTAGCCCCTAGCCCTTCTTCAGCCTCTGATGACCAGAATTGGCATCGTATGCTTCCTTGCGTGCTGCTGGCACATGGCATGGCACGGCATGGGCAAGGCTTGACATGGCCACCCGTCGGAACCAGTGCTACCTAGCCAGCCAGCCAGCAAGGAACCCAGCTCGGACTTTTCTCGAAGGTCATCAGCTGTCTAATCTATGCGTGGGCGATGTTTGGCCAATGCCTGGTCAGTCCCTCGTCTAGCCAGGGGCACAAAGTTACACAGCACACACGCGACCTGCCTTACTCCAGGGCACACCCAGGCACCCCACACTCGGCACAGCATATTACTGCACAACATGTGCATACAAACCTACCCAAGCGAACCATGGCACGCAAGGGACTCCTACTCCGCACCAGACGAAGATGCCCATCCCCAATCCACTCGTGGCCGACACGGAACCTCTCCTACCTAGCCACGAGAATGGAGAAATTAGATCCATGCTGGCGTGTTTGAGCCGCCTTCACCAATGTTCACCACGAACCACACGACAGACTCCAACGTCCCGCCTCTCCACCTCTCGCGCCCCCGCGGGTTTGCCCTTGGAGAAGCACCACCAGCCCATAGCCTCGACAGGAAAGATCAGCTGTTGGATCAAGGTGCTGCAGTAGCCATCACGCCAGCGGTCCACTACCCAGCACGATATGCATCCTCGAGCAGGCTCAGGCCCGTGACCCGTCGACCCATGGGGGTTGCCAGTCCAGTCCTGCCCAGCCTTCCCTTCCTTCGCCCTGGGGTGCCCGTTGCTGCAGCCAAGGCCCATGTCTCTCTGTTCGCGACGGGCCTACGCTCGAACCCCTGTCGCTCCTCTCCTTGCCCCGAAGGTTGCATGACTACAGTCGACTGCGTTCTCATTTCCCACCAACCGCATGGGAAACAGGCCCGCCTTTCCGCCCTCCACCACACCCGACGAACCAAAATCTGGGGTAAGCCCAGGGTATCATTTGATTATTGGGGTACACATGCCCGTCTGTATCCCCTATCGTTCATATAATCCTCCACTTTCCCATGCCACAAATGTCCTGCGATACTCCCTCTCGACGAGCCATCCAACCGTCTTCTCTTCCTTGTCTCGTCGCCTAAACCTGCGCAGTCGATTGACAAGTCGAATCGAGCTCTCATCATGTCGACCGAGAAGGAAGGCACCGAGGTGCACCATGGCATCTCCGCCAACGACCACCTGGATCACCACGACATCCAGTACCCTGTTGTTGCCGAGGGTACTGGCAAGACATTGGACGAGGCCCACGGCGCCAAGGCCAAGGAAGTACACAACGTGAGTACCAGCTTGTCCATTCTCTCTGCCCGCCACTTCATCCTACCATGCAACACAAATAATGCTGTATTTGTGATTCTCAACAGGATCGGATCATATCAGCTAACCCGCATTGAACCAATAGGCCGAGTTTTTCGCCGCTGTTCAGGAGTCCAAAATTGAAAGATGGAGCAAGAACTCGCTCAAGCTATACTTCGCCGTCTTCATTGCGTTCTGCTGCGCCTGTGCCAACGGTTATGATGGCTCCCTGATGGGCGCCATTATCGCCATGAAACCCTTCCAGAACACCTTCGGAACCGGTCTGACTGGCGAGAAGATCTCCATCATCACCTCGCTCTACAGCGTGTATGTGCTCAAACTGCCGCCCGATTGAACCTGTCTGGCCGCATAATAAAAAAAAATTGCAGTACTGACTGATACCTTAGGGGCTCAATCATCACTGCCCCCGTTGCTGCTGCCATTTCAGATCGCTACGGACGCCGAATCGCCATGTTCACAGGAGGCATCGTTATTATTGTCGGCGCTGTCATCGCTTGCACCTCGAGCACCATTGCTCAACTCACAGTCGGCCGTTTTGTTCTCGGTGCCGGCATTGCAATCATGACTGTGGGCGCTCCGGCTTATGCCATAGAGATTGCCCCCGCCCACTGGCGAGGTCGCTGCGTCGGTGAGCAGCCTTCTCCAATCCCAACCACTCTAAAGAACCGTTGACTGAGTCCCATCTAGGCTTCTACAACTGTGGCTGGTTTGGCGGCTCTATTCCCGCAGCCTTTGTCACCTTCGGCACCAGCTACATCAACAATGACTGGTCATGGAGGATTCCCCTGCTCCTCCAATGCTTCGCCTGTATCATTGTGATCTGCTCCGTTTTCTTCTTGCCCGAGTCACCGCGTTACCAGATCGCCAATGGCAAGGAGGAAGAAGCCATTGCCTTCCTCGTCAAGTACCACGGCAACGGAGACCCGTCCTCCCGTCTGGTCATGCTCGAGATTGAGGAGATGAAGGAGGGTATCCGCCAGGACGGCGCAGATAAGACCTGGTGGGACTACCGTTCGCTGCTCAACGAGCACAATGGTCGCTGGAGGTTCCTGCAAGTCGTCATGATGAGCACCTTTGGTCAATTCTCCGGAAACGGTCTTGGTTACTTCAACCCCACCATCTTCGCTGGAATCGGCATCACTTCTACGGCTCAGCAGCTGGGCTTCAATGTCCTGAACAGCTGCCTGTCAGCCATCGGCGCCGGCGTTGGTGTTTCTCTTAGCGATAAGATGATGCGCCGTCCAGTCCTGATTTTCGGCACGTTCGCATGTGCCTGCCTGCTCGCCATCAACGGCGGAACCTCGGCCGTCGTGAACCAGCACACCAATGCCGACAAGGAGCTCAATCCCGCCTACATATCATACGGCCAAACCGCACTAGCTTTCTATTTCCTTTTCAACGTGGTCTACTCCTTCACCTACACACCACTCCAGGGTATCATCCCCGCTGAGGCTCTGGACACCAACCGTCGCGCCAAGGGTCTTGCCGCGTCCGGCATCATCGTCGGCATCTTCGGGTTCGTCAACCAGTTCGCCGGCCCTATCGCACTAGGAAACATTGGCTACAAGTACATCTTTATTTTCGTCGGTTGGGACATGTGTGAGGCCGTCCTGTGGTACCTGTTCTGGTAAGTCTTGCTGCTCCTGAGCATTCTCTCATTCTATTGGTGCTAACGCAAGATTCTAGCGTCGAGTCTCAAGGCCGAACTCTCGAACAGCTTGAGTGGGTGTACAACCAGCCCAAGCCCGTCAAGGCTTCGCAGCAAGTCGAGAAGGTTGTTGTCCAGGCCGACGGAAAGGTCACGGAGAAGATTGTTGATACCTCGGCCTAAGCAGCCTACCCTGCAGGCGCCGGTATGTGGGGACAGGCGTTGGGGCAGCCGGGCCACCGGGATGTCTTGGCCTAACTCCAATTGTCGATTGGTGGATAATCCCCCCAGTTCGGCAATGGGGTCGTACGAGACCGTCTTCTGCATGCTATACAAGACTTCGTCGCATACCCGACGGTAGTGGGGTCGAGGATTGGATTGCTACTTTGGATGAGAACAAGGCGTTTATGATACCTTTTAATACATTGTTGCCTTCTGTGCCATTAATGGCCTGTGGCACCAATTTGCGATAACGTCGCTGATGATTCGCTCACCATATCCTAGCTTTCTCCCTACAACCTACTCACCGCCTCTCACCATTGATTAGTGTCGTAGAGCCAAGTGCCTGACTAGATCATAGACCAGGCGCACTCCGACAGAGAAGACCTGATGCCAAAGGATGCCTATCGGCTACAGTTCCACATGACATGAGATTTTAACAAAGAAGACCACTCGTCAACATGATTGTGCCCAATGCCTTCTCTCGAACCTGCTTTGCCCGACACCTATTTGAGATGTCACCGTGGAAAAAGGACCAGTTTTATATAGACGACAAAGACCTCCCGGCCGGTCAGACTCGTGAACCTGTCCCTGATCATGTAGTGGTGGAGACTTTTCTTGTCATCTATTCTTATGTCTTCTTGAAGACCGATGCGATGCAGCGGTCGCAATGTTTCTAGAGGGTAGCAAGGGCTCGATCGTAACTTGGCTGAATACTTGACAGTGGCTGCAGTCGTTCTGGTCTTTACTGACGTGACGTCTACTTGGTGGGTTAGGAATTGTCAAACAGAGACAAATGAGAGCGTGCATTTGCGTGCAACTGGCGGGATATCACTAATTTCGATCAAAAGTTCTTACTGTTGCTTTATTCCGTCAATTTCTATCTACCACTGCTGTGCTGCTGCATTGCGAACCTCCGTGACTGTGCCGAAAAATGCATCGTGCCTTGTTTCCTGGTGCCTCCTCTTGGTCTTTCCTCAGTTTCCGCATGCCATGTGACCAAATACTACTTGATGTGTACTTGTTGACAAAATTTTTAAGCATCAATAATCCAAAGGTGATTGTGGCCTCCCGATTCCGCTCTTTCCTTGCCACACAGTGCCGAGGCTGACTTTAGAACACCCACATATCTTGGGATTCCTTCAATCCGAATCATTGCTCCAGTCGACGGGGTCGTAGACGGCTTGCAACCAATCTTCGTAGCTCATAGCAGATCTGTAATCACGTTAGCTGTCGTCCATCTCGGCAAGGACAAGAGAAAACTATAGAATGAGCGACCTACCCGTCAGAATTGTACCATACTCCGCCCCAGTAGAGGGTTCCATATTGAGAAGGCCGTCCGCCGTCCCCGTTGTTAAGCAGACGGCCATCGGCTGTCAGGGTGAGGTCATACGGCTCTCTTTCTTCCTCGTCATGGGAGTCGTCCGCGGAAGTGTCTTGTAAGCGGTCACGGATGGCACATCCGAGGACTATCACCAAAAGGGTGGCTAGGATGCCGAGGAGGATGTACGCGACGAAGGTGCCGTAGTAAACAACCTCGGGGGGAGGGCCTGCGCCCCCACGGTGCATTGAGATATACATGCCGGTGGTTGGTTGATGTGATTGGCTTTCGTGTCTTGTGATTGGGGTTCAATTAGGTGGTTTGAGGTTTTGGGTGAGTTTTCAAAGCTTCAGAGGTGAAAATTGTTGTTCGAGTGATCTTCAGATTGATGAGCCTCAGGTTCGGTATTGTTTTGTTGGAGACAGATCAAGTGGGAGATTGGGTTGCGACTTGCTGGCTTCTATATGTGTGGTCCAAATGGATTTCAACCATCTTTTTTTCCTTAGGCTCTCTTACCGTTGAGTTTAGTGATACTAGCGGATATTTATTGACACAAATGGAATTTTTGTACAATAAGGTGCAAATTTCACGGCACTATCCTTAAGCTAGGGAACCTTGATTGTGATTCGCAATGGATAATTGAGGGAAAATAATGGAATGTTACTATGAGTCAAAATCTTCGCCAATTTGTAACACGCTCGGCTCATATTCATCTCCTCGGCCTGGAAAGGTGTTTAAATCACGTCTGGCGACCCGTTTACTCATGAGACACAGTGCTGTGGCTCTCAGGTAAAGACCTACCAGACAGTCGATTATAAGCCATCCCAAGACTCTGTCCTTTGCGTCTAAGGGTTGTCAAGGTAAAGACAACCGGTATCGATACAAATATACTTACAAAACCCTGCTAAATAACCTCTCTTATCTTCCGTTTAGCTAGTATGCTGAGGATACTAACAAATGGGGTATGTACGATTTTGCACAGATGGTACGGTTGTATTTCTCGTCACAGGGGAGTGAGCTCCTGGGAGACTACAAACAACAAGATGGCTATGCACTTATGGCCTAGCTTGCGGGTGAAATTACATGTCTGCATATTTGAATCTCTGGATCGTAACCAAGTCCCTTAGCTGAGCGTTTTCTCTTCCTCTCTATTGCTTGACTCTGATAAGTGGTGGTCGCAGCGCCCACTTCAGAGGCGCGTAGAACATGAGGCAGTTGGTTTTAGCGGTCTTGACGTCGAACATCGAACACCTAATAATTCGACGGTGAGTCTAGCTTCTGAAGAAGCATCACTTTCCGGCCCTGATTGAGTTTACCGCATTTCTTATACGAACCTAGCTGGTGCTTTCGTGGCTATCCCCTGAATTGTGGATCTTCATTTTGTACTGCTGTAGCACGTCAACCTGTCTCGGGTTTCGGGGCTTGCTCGGCTCGGAGTTTAGTCCAGGAAAACCACGTAACGAGAAACGATATGTTTATTTTCTGAAGATATCTCATGCCAAGTCACGGGCACCTGTTGATCGGAAAAGTAGTCTCCTTCCAGATTGTCGCTTCAGCTCAAGAGTACCAGCGCATGTCAAGATGCATTTCTTCCGTGCGACCCTTGCCCTCGGCGTCATCATCCCTGCCAGCGCTGAACCGCTGCCACTCTCAACGCGCCAGGAGTTGAATACAACATGTGCTCCCATTCACTACATTGTTGCTCGAGGCACGACTGAGGGCTACCCGGGCAGTCTCGGCTCCCTGGTTGATATCCTCCTCGCGAAGTTCCCGGACAGCAATTACGAGGACGTCATCTACCCGGCGACCCAGGAGACCAGCACCAACAGCTACTGGGAGGGCCTCGCCAACGCCACCCAGCAGATCAAGACCTATGCTGACACCTGCACCGACTCCAAGATTGCCGTCTTGGGTTACTCGCAGGGTGCGCTGGTTGTTGGGGACCTTTTCGCCGGTGGAGGCAACAACTCTGAGCTTGGGAACGCGACAACACCTCCATACATCGACTTCGCGACTTACGGGCAGCGTGGTAAGTGAGACGGTATTAAACTTTCCCAAGTAACGTGGCTAATGTACGAACTAGTGAATGCCATTTTGCTCTACGGTGACCCACGCCACATGCCTAACCAGAGCTTCAACCAGGGCAATGTATCCGCCCTGGCCGCCCCCGGTGTAAGAGATTACCTATCTACCTTGCTTCTCTGTGATTTATCGGATGTGGCTCAACGACTAACTCTCCTATATGCAGAAATATCCTCGCTCTGATGCGCAGCTGGCCGCCATCAACCTGTACGCTGAAAAGCTGCATGATTACTGCAACTACGAGGACGGCGTCTGTGACACTCGAGGTGTCGGCAACCTCACTGCTCATATGGCTTACACTTCCGACTACAACACCGTTGCATCTGAGTGGCTTGAGACCATGTTGACCGCATAAAGTGATCTGCTCGAGCATAGGTCATGTTGAAACTTGTATATACCCAGCAAACAGACAGGCTGTACAATATCTAGAAATCATGATTCCATTGCACACAGAATCGAAAAAGACTGTTTATCATGAAATATATTTCTGATACTCTCTTTCCACCTCGAGAGAGGGATCCTGTTCCAGTAGTTTTATCCTTTCAGGTAAGGAATGTACCGATGGCTGTGAGGGAGTATCGTATCACGACTTCATAACTTGCGCATACGCATTACATTTACTTATATTGGCATACCCGTAAACCGGTGTGAGATTGTGCCTCAAGCAGCTAGAAATATATATAACTCAAAACATGGGCAACAACTAAACCCTGACATACAGGGTGCTAAGCTGCATCCACTTCTACAATTTGTTAAACGCCTCCAAGGCTGCTACAGCAGTAACGTGGGCACTGGCGGGGTTTGCACCCGTCACGATACGCCCGTCTGTCTGGGTGAAAGCGTCCCAAGGTCCTGGAGGGCTCACATCTGTTTCTCAGAGTTAGCGAAAGGCACTTCATCTGTCGACTATGACAGATGGAAACTCACAGGTCGCACCTGAGTCCGCGGCGCTGGCCTCAATAGTGGGGCGTTTCCAGCTCTTGATGGTTTCGAGCACACCCTCCTCCTCCTCGCCTCGCGTAGTAAATCCGGTCACTTTCTTGCCAGATATTACGGACCGACCAGTAGATTTGTCGATTATTCCTGGGAAAATGGCACCGCCATGGCAACTGGTCACAAACTGAGCAATGTATCTCGAGCCGGGGATGGACGCTTGGCCTTACACGGCAGAGACTATGGCGCCGTCGGCATACATCGTAGAGGCAATTGACTGCAGACCCTTGGCATCGGGATAATCGATCAGAGAGGCGTGACCGGCCGAGGCGAAGAAGATACCATACTATGAGCCAAAGTATTAGCGGAATAGATCGTCGAGTAAGGGATGGTGTGGGCTCTGGCTGAAGAGAAGGTCGTCTCGTCTGACCTTCGAGGGGTCAATGTCAGATGGCTTAGGGAGCTTGTCCATCTTTGACCGGAATTCACTTTTGGTATCTTCCCAAACCTTGCGATCTTCATCTGGAAGCCAATCCTTCTGCTGTGACAACCAATCAGGAGAAAACGAGCCCGTCTCGGACACCAGATCCACTTCAAAGCCCGCCTTTTTGAAAACGTTGAAGGGATGAAGAGCCTCGGTGATGAAAACACCTGGAAATATTTATGTCAAACCGAGAAAATGGTGGAACGTTGGATAGCGTCGTGGTACAGCTTACCTGTCTCTTTGCCATCAGGATACAATGGCGCATGAGCTGAGGTGACAGCAATCAAAGCTCGCATCGGGGGTGCCATGGTGATAGGTTGCGATTGACAATTTGCGGCAAAAGCCTGTGATATTCCTGACTGGTCGAAGTCTCAGTACGACGGAGAGAGAACGGCAGGTTCAAGACTGACGCCGCCCAGGATGTGAGCTATGCTATCAAGGTAGGCTCTTGAGATCTGAGCCGCCTCCTTTCCTTTATTGGAAACATGAAATGCATCATATGAAGCTTTCCGAAGCCGAACCTTAGCCGTTGTATTGCCGGGTCGTCTTAGTGCGTTCTTTTATGGTTGTCGACGCAAACAATTGGGGAAGAAGGGTTCGATTTTGGTACAAGCTCAGTGCTAACCACGAGGATATCGTCATTGGGCGCACTTGGCACCTACAAAGCCGTCCATCATACCGAGGGGACAGCAGCTAATCAGCTAATCTGCCCCAACAAAACTAGAAAAGGGTTGGAGCTAATGCAAGATCCACGTCTGCCGATCTAGAAATCGTACATCAATCAGGACGGTGCGACCCGCTGGAAGCCGGAAGCCGGAAGGAGAGACATCAGAATCAAATTCACTCACTCGTGATTTGCTACTTGAATAACGTCTGTTTCAATTTGCGACAGAGACACAGTGCGCGGTGTTCATCTCCAAACTGCAACAGACACCCTTCCCAAAAGCCATGCGACTAGGACCGAGCTAGAACGGTAAGACCCAAAATATTCCAGCAGCAAGAATCGACTCATCGGGGTTCAATCCAATACCAAGAAATCGTAAATAATTATTTTGAAAGCCTAATCTGCATCTCTGTTCCTGCACCACGTCCTTCGTGGATTGCATTGTCTCTACAAGTGCGTCTCGCTACTGGCCATATTACAGAAGGCCTTATTGTGATTTTATACAATTTTGAACTATCCGGCTTGCGAACAGATAACTTGGCGGCATCGTGCTCCAGCATGGGCTCCCTGAAGCCCTCATGACAGGCACATCTGCTGTGGCGTCACCAAGAGCCCAATACCCCGTGCTGATCCCTGGCGAGGTCACCCAAGGCCAACACAGACATGACACCAGCAGCTTCAGTGGCAGAGGATCGGCCGATGCTGCCGGGAACCCCTCGTCGGCGCTGGCGTTGGAGCTTGGTGGTCAGAAGCGCCGTTGCCTCTGTGCATTGTGTCGGTGGACTATTCGCGAGACTTCGGTGCAGGCTTCATTAGTGTAGTATCGCTCAGGACGGGAGATCTTTGCAGACGCTGTAACATCTGACCTCAACACCTTGAATGACTGATTCCACGGTGTTTGTGCCCATCAATATTTTCGAAGAATGTGCGAAATGGCAATAGATGCTGTAGGAGAGACGAATTACGCCAGGTCAACGACGGAAGACATAAAAGCACGTGCGGTCGGCCATCACAGTCCCCGTAGGCGAAGTAGCAAAAGTGCGTTTTCTGATAATAAATCTTCATTCTACGCCCCCTCTCATTGACTGGACCTTATGTATTTCAATCTTTTGCCATAAAGACCATCAATACAGCTGCATAAGCCGCTGTAGCTCCCAACAAATTCTCCGGCGATGCAGTTGATGCGCAAGCCACCGCCAACGCAAATGCAAAGATTGCGATTGTTATCGTGAGAATAGTCTTCGATGGCACATCGCCTAAGGCAATGATCAGCATAGGGACAACTATCGCTAAGCCCCCAAGGATTGCAAACAAGAACCGCTTCAAAGTCATGCGAAAATTCGTGGCACGTTTCCGCAATCTCTCGGCTTTCTTCCTCGTCGTGCCTCGTGTCAAACTCCCGTCCTTGCCACTGTTCATAAGAAGAGGGTCAAATGAGCCTAAGAGATCTGCATCTGAGTAGACTTTATGACTAATGGAGTCTTCCTTCAGCTGTAGTTCCAACTCAGACAAGATAGAACCCAGGAGCTTGGAGCCTGGTCCATTGTCGATCCGAGAGGCCGCCACGTCCTTCACAAAAAGTGTGTCCCATCGGTTCGCATGGATGAACTCGAAGTCCCGAAGAGCATTAGCTACGGAGGGGCGAAAAGAATCTTTCATCAGCACTTTTTTCCTTCACTGGTTGTGATTTTGAATCCACCTACTATATTGGCCAAGTGTGACCCTGAGCCGCCCAAGCTGCTCGTCACATGTTGTTGAAACAAACAGTTGGTGTATTTCTTTTGCCAAGCTACGTTGAAGATTGTGAATATTCATGGCATAAAGAGGTCTAAAGTCAAGAACTGTGGTGCTGTCTCCGACTAAATGGCGAGTAGACCCACGGGCGAACTCAGTGAGTCGTTCATGGTATGGTAGAGTTTCGAGAGGGCCTAGCTCTTCGTCTCTTACTTTCCTGAGATCGCGTTCCTCTTCAACACTTCTCTGGAAAACAAAGAATCGGATGAATCCATCGAGTCTCTGCATAAATTTCATGATGTTGTTGATTTGATTAATTACTCGCCATACGAAAAGGGCTGGTATGGGCCGACGTGTGCAGGAATAGTTTCAAATCAGTTTCACTATTCACTATTTAAGGACATAATACGTAGCAATTCGTTCATACTATTGGATTGATTGGAATATTCCACATAGCCTTGTTCCAAACAATCATGGTTATTTATGTCTTGATGTGTAAGAAAGGTTTTTTTGTGGTCAGTGTGTTCGGGGCCGGGATCGCAATAGTATAAATATAGATGCATGACAACAAGAATCATTGGCTCATATCCATGGGCACCAAGGAACATGAGCTCTGACCTGATTGTCAACGATGTCAAATAAAACCCCATTGGAACCCCCCAACTGTCAAATTTGACTTGAATGTGGTGAGAAGTGTAAATATGGCTAGTATCGCCACACCGCCAGAGCCTGCCGCCCTCACTCTGTAGACGCGCCCATGCAGAATGCAGAGCGGCAGGCAGTGCATCCTGTGTGGAACGTGAGTCGTCATTTCCAAAAAAATGAGCCTTTTTCATCGAATGGATCAGTCCGGGCTGGCTTGTGCCGTGTCCTCCGTTTCACATGCTGACGGGCTGAGTCGAATGTCTCACAAAGCAACCTGTGTGGTGTCAGGATCTTTTGATAAGAGAGGGGTTCCGCCCCTTCCTGCATAGGAATATGGTTCCACTACTCAACCAAGGGAGCATCACTCGCCCGACTGACCTGGTAAGTTTCGACTCGGGGTAGATGTGGATGCAGATCCCAGCAAAAGGACCTCAATATTTGCAGATAAGCAAGCAAATCTCTCAGTACGCTGACCGGCCTAGAATCTACTCGACTTCTACAGTCCATGCGGCTCTGCGGCGTCTCGGCGGGTCTTTCTGATCGACAACGAAGCCTTATGCGAAGACACATTGGGTATTCCGAGTATAAATATCGCAAAGCATATGCACTCACAGATAAGTAATCTTTGCCACTGACTGATCGCCAAACTCAACATCCTGAAGTCTTTGCTGCTTTTATGGCATCAGGTTGTCCAGCTTGCAAAACCATTTCAGTTGCAAATGTATCTACATCAAGATTATTCTATTTCCAATTCCGTTGTGTCTCATTGACAAGTCACAACCTTCTCTAGTGCACCAGAAGCCCACTTGTTGGCACTCGACAGCTATGACAGATCCTCCCCAATCTGTCGGAACTCGCCGATTCGATACCAATACTTTGCGCAAGCAGATCCAGGATAAACTAGTGAATTCGATATTCCCTACATTCGAGACTCCATACAAAAAGTTCTTGCCAGAGGGTACGCTCAAAACGCTATTTACCCCTGGGGCGGTCAAGAAGGAACTGGGGAATCATTACGACGAAACGACGTATGATTTTATTAGGGATAAGGCCAGCAAGGTATTTGCCGTCTTGATCCTCACTGACAAGCCGGAAGCCATCTTAGCCTTTAAGAAATTTGAGGTTCACGATGACTATCTGCCAATTGCCCTTAAGAATGTTCACAGTCCAGAAGAAAGTGACTGGCAGCTCTGCTCGGAACGTGATCGAGAGCCTTCGCAGTGCGATGTAATGCTGGGCAACCTCTTAAAATACGACTGTGAATGGTCTTCAAGCCCATATTGCATTGAACAATTCTGCGAGCAGCAGTGGCAATTTATGGCTCCAGTATTCTCGGATAATTCTGGACATCACCGCTTCTCCTCAAATACGATTCTGCCGTTTTACAGCCCAGAGAAGCGTCCAGCAGCAGAGAAAGCCAGTCAGAAACCGAGCACTTTCAGCACTGTCTATGAAAGTTGGGTTCACCCAGATCACCAGGCCTTTTCAAATCAAGTATTTTTTATACCTTCTTATCCTCAAATTCCGCGACCATGCTGACCGGGTGTCGTAGGAACATGCCAAGGGAAAGTCAGTGGCCGTCAAGAAGATGAATCTCGATGTCCTCATTGTGGAAACCTACAAGGTCGACCAAGCGTACCGTTCCGAGATCGAAGCCCTCGAACTTTTTCGCAAGATCGACAGTCCACATCTCATCAAGTTTCTATGCACCTTCGAGCACGGTGACCAAGGATACTACATGATGTTTCCTTGGGCCACTGCTAATTTACGAGAGTACTTGGAGGTCAATCACCCTGATGATACGCAAGGAAAAGACCCTACTCCCAAAGCCTATCGTGTCAAGTGGGTCTTGAACCAACTTGCGGGCCTATCGGAGGCAATTTGGAAGCTTCACAACCCCAGCGCTCACCAGAATCCTGCCCTGTTGGCCGTACCTGACCCTAAGCAAGCGAATTGTCGACACGGCGACTTGAAACCAGACAACATCTTGCTCATGGGCGGTCCGGATGATGGGAGGCTGGTCATCGCCGATGTTGGTCTGACCAAGGTACACGACTTACCCACGCGATATCGCAAGGATCACACTCGCTCTATGACGGGTACAGCGAAGTACGAGCCCCCAGACATTCTCCGCGGTGGACCCAGATCTCGAGCTTATGACATCTGGTCTTTCGGTTGCATTTGCGTTGAGTTCATCATCTGGACTCTTTACGGACCATCCGGCCTCAAAGTCTTTCACGAGAGGTTAGGCAGCGGTAGCAAGTTTTGGTTCACAGAATTCGAAGATCAGGTTCGCAAGGCTGTGAAGGAGCACAACGAGAATTCTGGGCCCCACGTAAAGTGGTCCGATACTTTGATTCGCTCCGCCAACCAAGCCCTCAAATCGTGCAGAGTAACTCAGTACATTCAGGTCCTGCTAAACGAAATGAAGGGAAGTGATCCACGATGCTCAGGGGATTCTCCAATCAATGATCTACTCAGCTTGACAGAGAACAGGCTGCTGAAGATAGAGATAAACCTTGGAAGCGGTACAATCGACCCGAGACGACATCGTGCGGACGCCAGGGAGATGTCCGAAGGAATATGCAAGATACGTGACAGGGCCGACAAAGAGGACAGCTATCTTGCTGCGTGCCTGCGTAGTTCTCCCATGCCCGAAGTTCCTCATTGGGATTCTCCACCGCAAATGCCGTCCATTCCGGGCTCCTTTCTAGGAGCTGACTTGCCTAGCCGCCCGATCCGCGAGCACGCCTCGCCCGCTGAAGGAGTTATCAACTCACCAACAAATGATATCTTCTTCCCGGCGAAAACGCAGGTATGATTAAATTTGATCTCATCATTGCAAGCGCGTTAACACATTCGCTGACCGAAGTCGCGCTCGTGGGATAGCCACATGACGTAAGAAATGTCCACGATCAGAAAGAACAGAAGTAAGATGTGGATATGAGGTGAGGAAAACACGACTAACTGGGGAATTTACTAGGGAGTAAGTGTTCTTGCTAAATTTGATAATGTGAGCATTGTTAACTGAGTTCGTGTCGTAATAGTACGTGCGTTTACCTCGCCAGCCTAAACATTGAAAATCTATTGCGTAGTCATCTAATGAGCAAGCGTCTAGGAGGGAGCAAGTGTGCCGTGTTATTCAGGTCATGAGATCGCCCGCAAACCGCGTGAACATGATTTGCTGACACGGGGGTCGGGCTACGGTACCCAGGCTGTAAGTTGGGACTGCCTTCGTGACTGGGTCGCGGTGCTAATTTATAGCTAAGACAGTAAGTTTCCAGCATTCAATATGTAGCTGATATTATTATTGCTAAATGGTGCTGATTCAATTGAATCAGCCTGTAAGTCCTGTCTGACATTGAGCTTTGCTTCTGCTGCTGATATCCGGATCAGCTAGATGATACCTGGAGCTTTACCGGAGATAACAAATTCGCTCAAGCTTTGTTTCGCAAAATCACGCCATCGTCGGTCTTTCCTCCATTTCCTAAAGTCTCTAATTTGTGGAAGGACTGTGCTAGTTTGAACATTTGGGAAGGCGGCTTTTCTATTAGAACAAGTGTCGCGAAGCTGAAGACCGATCAATACCGTTGCGGACTGTGTTCCATATTCTTGAAATGCGTCAAAAAGCACGGCATGGAAAGCGAGAGCGAAGTACAATTCTATCGCATTGGATCCACATTCTGTTTCAGCCGGTATCAAGAGCCTGTTCTCTCAATCGTTGGGCACCCAGGTATGTTGTCCAAATACCGACGTAGGTTTTCTAAGTCGGCATTAGCTAAACTGGTCACTGTGTGTACAGACTTTATTTCCTCTGCACCTGCTTCTCTGCAACTGGGACTACCTATACTTCCGCAAACAAAGAGTGATACAGAAAAGGTCTGCCTGCGCGAGTGGATACGGGTTTGCGACAGTTTTCATGACTGCCTATCTAGCGGTGAACTGCCTTTGCCCACACGGATACTCGATGTTGGCGATCCTGGAAAACAAGATGCATCTTCTGTCAAGCTTGTTAAAGCATTAACTGTGGAAAACGAGACAAAATACGTCGCACTTTCACACCGTTGGGGTCCGATGCCCTTCATGCGCCCCACGTACATGTGCACTACGCAGGGCAACATCAGCTCTCTAATGCTGGGATTCGATGCAAGGCTGCTCCCACAGACCTTTCAAGACGCGATTCACATTACAAAAGTCATAGGGGTTCGATATTTGTGGATTGATTCTCTCTGTATTATTCAGGACTCCTTCGAAGATTGGCATCACGAGTCGTCACTGATGGAGGGTGTGTTTGCCAACGCCTACTGTACCATCGCCGCTACTCGAGCTATGTCATCCGTTGAAGGCTTTCTACAACCACGACCAGATCGTCAATGCGAGGCGCTGCGGCCCGTGAATGGGAGTCCATATTATGTCTGTGATCAAATCGATGACTTTCGAGGCGATGTCGAGAATAGCACACTAAACCAGCGAGGCTGGGTTTTGCAGGAAAGGGCCTTGTCGCACAGAACAATTTACTTTGCTGAGAGTCAAATTTATTGGGAATGCGGATATGGGGTTCATTGCGAGACGCTGACCAAGTTGAATAAGTAAGTGATTTGTTTTCGCATTCTGTCCAACCCTCCTGCTGCGACTTACCAGCTGCCGCATGTCATACGCCTTTCTCGAGCTCTGATATTTGTATATGGGACTATATTAATGACTCCGTTGTTGTAGTCCGAAATCGGCTTTGCTTGGAGATGCTCACTTCCCACGGCACATTGAAAACCTCTATAAGGATGTGAAAATCAATCATTTTGTTAGTCTCTATGAACAGTACTCCACGCTATCTTTCACCTTTGTGGAGGATCGACATGTTGCAATTTTGGGGGTTGAGCGGCGCCTTCTTCAATCATTGGGGACGACGGGTGCGTACGGCGTCCTCGAAGCGTATCTCCACCGCACACTTCTCTGGCAACGTGCTAAGGGTCAGGACCGGATGAGAAGGCTATCTGATAGGCTGGGCCGTAAGGTACCGACGTGGTCATGGATGGCTTACGATGGGACCATCTCATATATGAGAGTTCCATATGGTGAAGTGACCTGGAATGATGAGCTGTCCAGTCCTTTCAGAGGTAGGAAGGTGGGAACAGATGGCTTGGATGTTCATGAGCTGGAACTCGTTGTTGTGGGACGAAAATTGGTCACCAGTAATACGTCCTTGATGATGAGGAAGCAAATCGTGTTTGATGATAACATCTTGGGTGTTGATCAACTTGACTCCCTGGCTGTTGTCATAGGCGAAGAGAAATGTGTTGGGATTATTCCATCGCAAAGGATGTACGTGATACTTGTATCACCATGGAACAGAGACAACGTCGGTATCAACTATCAACGGATAGGGGCAGGTTTTCTTTTGAAGGGAGATATGGCAAACGACGGACTGCGTGAGATCCGCATAATCTAGGGCATCAAATTAGGAATACATTGGAAGGCGATTCTGGGAGCTGTATCATTATCATCGGCATCCACACCCAGCTAGGCCAGTGATCTTGAAGCATTGAAGTAAATGGACCCATGAGCAAGACTTGGTTGCCTTTCTCAGCCAAGTCATTCTGGTTGATGCAGACGGCATCTACCCATGATATCCGTCCTTCGCTCTCTGAGCGGAGGTATCTCAGGGCGGCATGGAGGGTTTTGCCGACAAGGATAAATTTCTGCGAGGACCAAACACACGAAAGTATTTCACACTCTGGAACTTTCACGTGCGCTCTGACTTTTGTCCATGGCTCTGCTCTATCGATCCCGGAAAAGGGCACGCCATATGCTTCGGCTCTACTTTGATGCCATCTTGAGGGTGCCCTGGCAACAATACTAACAACCTAATCTCTGCTGACTGCTCCGTCAAAGGTCGATAGAAATATTCCGTGTTTATATCTTCATGTGACTTCAAAGTGCAATCGATTAGTGGACTAAAGATGCTTTCTTTTGATGGTCAAAACTGGACGGGGCTCAATTTGTCAAAGGTTGGATCCGGGGAATCTACGAACATCGTGTGCAGGACAGTATTAAGCTGTCGTATTTTCGGAAAGCTTTGACGCAGAGGCGACACAGCCTCAAAATGCATTGCCAAGTGTCGGTTATCAACATTCAAATCTGTGCTGCCACACTTAGCTACCTTGGTACCTAGATGATTGACACACATCCGGCTGTTATTTCAGAAGCTTCCTAGATTGTCTAAATACTTTCTCCATGGGTGAGCACTTGCGCATGTGCGACGTTTCCCGGGCTTGGGTAACCCAATAGAATCAGAAGTCATCACACCTCCCGGACAATATGGTAAAACCCGTGAAATGCACTGCCTGGCTCGACCAACTGCCCACCGACGATGAGTTCCTGGGTTCCCGACTCCTCCGCTCGGTTTGTGTTATGTGAACAGTGCCTGCAGTGAGCACAACCCTGTTTACATGTGTGGTGGCACTTAGCCCTTCCGCCTCTTCCAGGCTTTGTGTGGAACTCATCATCCACGACCACATCGAAATGGCCAGGCGTAGTGGGCAGGCCCTTGGGCACCATGTCAGTTTTGCGATGCACTTCAAACTCGAAATCTGTCCATCCGACGACATCCGCTGACTTATCATAAATCTTCAATACGATTTTGTTTGTAACCCATGCTTCATTACTGTCTGAAAAAGCTCGCTAAAAATGATTCCAGTCCTGAAACATCCATGGTTGGTGACGAGCAATATTCATAGGCTTGCAGAAGGCCATCGTTGTCTACAGAGAAGTGAAGACTAGTCAGCGTAAATGTCGTTGGACATCTCAATAGATCGTAAAATGGAGACATTTCCATTTTTGGGGATGTCGAACGTTATGGTTATCATGGCTCTCCCCGGGTTGATATCAAAGTGTTTGTGAATCAATCGAATAGGATGCTATACGGAACGTCGTACTTGGCTAGCAAAGACCGCAGTATTTCTAGACTTTCCGTGTCATTTTGGGGTACAAAAGCGATTTCGTGAATATGTGGCAGACCATTGTAGATTGCCGGAGGCGGGAAGACCTGCCTTGAAGAAGCCATGATATTTGCAGCGCTCCGCTTCACAATTGGATTTTTCGGTTCGCCGAATCCCGTCTGCCTTTGAGCAAGACAAGCTTGATCTACTTCACAGCCGCCTTGACATGATGATATTTTATATCAAATTGCTTTCTTCACTTGCTCGTTCAGTAACAAGGCTCTCCGAGACTGTGCCGTGCAACTGTTTTATCTGTGCAAATGCACATGTGAGAGGCTAAAATCGGCAAACTTGACTGATCATCTTTTTCTGACAGCATCATCATGTTCCTTCGGGTGAAACACCAAAAACACTTCAAGTTGGTGTCGTACAGCATCCAAAACTGGCAATGTAGAAGGCCTTGCAGACAATGCATTGTACACATAGGCAGGTTGTCGGCCAATTTGGATTTATGAAACGCTCGTTCCCTGGGCACATGTAGACTAGTCAACCACACCGGGCGATAACGGGGCCAAGGATTGCAAAGATGCCCCATTGATATCTGGAAATGCTCTCTTCACCGCGCAAGTGCGGATTTGTGTGTAACCACATCGGGCGACAAGGGATATAGAAAACCTATGGCATGTATACCTTGTAGAACAGCAGGCTGTCAACTGACCCTACTTGTGGCAGCCCCTAGGGGTGCTAGGGTTTGACACTGGAGAGTCTGTACGTCTGATAAATATCAGACGCTGCATGACTGACCCGTGTGATGGTCGTGACGTACCAACGTCCATCATTCACTGAGATAGGCCATCTTCAATACAACACCTTTCAGACCCCCCAACTTGCTACCACACCACTTTCCACAAAACGTGCGCCTCCTATTGAAGCATCTCACGCTCTAGTGTCATTACTGCGGCTCTGCAGACGTGCCGTCTTGACCGTTCACGTAGCCTGTCCCTTCTCTATGCTCACGACTCAATCATGCAGAAAAACAGGATCTCCAGCTTCAGTAATGTCTTCCAAACTGACGACGCCAACCGGGCTTGACCCCTCTGTCCTCAACGACATCAATGGCCATATATTTCCCGACATTCAAGATTTTTACGAAAGTTTCTTCGCAAATCGACCGTGGACCTCCATAGCAGAAGAATTCGTTCAAAAGCTGCCGCACTTCCAGAAGCAAATCGACTTCCGTTTGCAAACAAACATTGTTACCTGGCTGACGGATCTCCAAGCATCACTCGCGGAGCGAACAACACTTTACTGCTCGTGGCATGAGCATACCACGGAAAGTTCACCCACATCTGATCAGATATTAGTTCTTGCGGACTCAGCAAGTCTCAAAACTGAGGTCAAATGGGACGATCTCGCGGTCTTGGGGCTGTTTTCCCAGGGAAGTCGTTGGGAAGGCATCCTGCAACTCTGTGCCTACGCAAGATCAGTGTTCTCTAGCCAGCCAAGTCGCGCGTTCCTTCACAGCTTCCTGGTTAGAGGGGAGGAAGCAGAACTTTGGCAGTCTGATCGATCTGGGATCTATGGATCCACACGACTCACAGTGACGGATACGAATGATCAGTACCTCTCAGCCATCGTCGGATACATGTTGATGGACAGCAGCGAGTGGGGAATGTCCTCGTTGGTTCATAGAAATGAACAAGACGAATGTGCTAGCTTTTCATACAAGCATGGCACAGAAGTTGTGACAAATACTTACATTCTAGGTGCTAAGATCTTCGAGCGGGGATCCGGACACCTGGTCAGTGATGGTCTCACCGTCTATAGAGCAAGGCGGGTTGACAGCCCAGGTTGGAACTATGCGATCAAGTTCAAATGGTCAAAACCTTCCGAACGCCATGAGTTGACAATGCTCAACTTGCTCAAGGAGAGAAACGTGTGGGGGGTGATTCGTCTAGACGCACACCATGACGGCGTCAACACCGAGATGCTGCACGACGGTCTCACCCTGAACAACTCCATAAATCTACAAGCGGAAGGCGATGGCTCTTATGTCGAGATCAAGGAATACGTGACAGAGTCCTCCGGCGAAAATATCCGGGATGAACCTAAAACACTCATTTGTACCGTTGTTACACCTGAAGGCCGGTCACTCCACAAGTACGAATCGATTCTGGAGGTCCTGTACGCCCTACGCGATGCGGCCAAAGCCCATCGATCACTCTATCAGAAAGGCCGAATCCTACACCGAGACATCAATCCCTCTAACATCATCATCCCCTCCTGCGAACCGAACAGAGACGCGGCCGACACTGCCAAAGGCGTACTGATCGATTTCGACATGGCGAAAGAGATTTCGGAGCCACAACAGCCTCACCAAGCTGTCGGAACTTACATATTTCAGGCCATTGGGGTGTTACAGGCCTATCTCCCAGACAATCCACACACCTATCGCCATGATCTTGAGTCATTCTTCTACACCTTTCTGTTCCTCGCGGTCACCAAGCGCCCCGTTCCGGAAGGAGAAAATCAGCTACAGCTTCCCACTTCGAGCGTGCTGCGGGAGTGGACCAAAGGGAGACTTTTTGACAAGGCCAATCGTAAAATTCAAGATATGGAGTCAGCAAAAGAATTCAGCCGACGGATCGTCGCGGAGTTCACGCCCGATTTCCAGGGGCTTGGGGCACTGGCAGAGAAGCTCAGGGCGATTTTGTTTCCGGTCAAGGAAGACGGCGTGATTTGGACAAGAACCGACATGACTGACCAGGGGACAAATGCTCTGTACGATGCAGTTATTGGTGCGTTCGAAGACGCAGCCTTGGAACCTGCGAGACTGTAGTCTAGACAGATATCTCGGCCTAGAATAAAAATCCAAAAACAGGCGCCCTGAAATAGAATAACTTAGAAGCGCAAGGGAAACGAGCCCGGGGGGGAACGGAAAAGACACCAATAAAGATGAACAATCGTTTCCCAGAAAACGCTCGTTAGTGAGTTATACAGATCTATTGGATCTTGGGGAATTTCAGCATTGGAATTTCCTCAGATGACAAATACCCAGTCACTGTAGCCCTACCCTGGGAACTCAAGCATAAATATACAATGGTTCCCCCGGTGTAACCTAACTAGCAGGCTTGGTAGGCGGCTAGAAAGAAAATAGCAAATTTACATTTATTAAGTTTCTTATATATATATGGATTATTTTACTGGACTACGACGTCGAGCTGTAGCATGAGACGGCCCAGTCTATCTGTGAGGTCTTGCTACGGAGCGGTTTGCGGGTTGGGGCCCCGGAGACGACACCGGGCTTCAACCGCGTTGCGGCCAATGTCGGAGCGGCAACTTGGAAGGAGCTGGCGGTCACAGAGTACCGAAAAAACTTCTATCCCGTCGCGACTGCGGCTATGATGCCCAAAGAGAGAGCGGCGTGGTTGATGATGATGATTTGTTGAAGGTGTACGGGACGCGCAACATGTGTGTAGTGGACGCGTCCGTTCTACTGTCTCAAGTGTGTAGTCATTTGGTCAGTACCTTGTATGCTGTTGCCGAGAAGGCAGCTGATCTCATCAAAGCGAGTGCGTCATGAAGAGGGTTATTTGATGCAAGAGATCGATGCGCGAAGAATATGTGCCTACGTTCTCAGATCGATTATATTATGAGCAAACTCTCATGACATACTTATTAGCATAAACATAAATTTGTTTACCCTTCTTCCCCCTCCTCTTGATCTTTTTTCGTCCAGTGAATATTTTTGTCCATGCTAGTCAGGCCTTCCCTATCGTGTCACGCTACTATGTGCCGTGTTCATCTTTCGTTACGGGATACCATGTCGTTGCATTTGCTCTTCTAATTCGGGATTGAGGTCCGCGGAAATCGGTTTCCGAAAAGCTAGGAGGGGTCATGAGTCAGGGGTGGCGTCCCTTAGCCATGGCTTGTGGGTCTGGACCTGGCCCTGTTCATTCGCACTAAATACCTGTTTGCCGAGAAGTAGCCGAGAGGGAACCCGACAGCTTTTGCTAGTCGCGACGCAGTCGAACATGCAAAACTTTTCAAGTTCAAATGCACGATGTTCAACGTGAGAGGAGCAACCGTTAAAGTATAGAAGGCGGCCCTTGAACACCGGCTGAAGCATAGTACACAATACTCGGACCAGTATGTACTCTGCTTGGTGCTCTACTAGTTCCTATAGTAGATACTTCAAATATTGCATATTATACAGATACTGCAGTAGTGACATTCGAAGACTCCACCTGCTGGCATAATTTTTGGCAAGCCGCGTGCAAGCGTCTCATCGTTGCGAGGGCTAGCTGCACTGGGAAGAGCCTACGAGACAGGCGTGCAAGGCTTGGAACTTTTGAAAATAGATTGAAATTGGAAAGGGATTAGAGTCTACTTGTAGTTTCTGGGCATTTCTTGGGCAGTCCTTGGAAACAATACCTGGGCAATGCCTGAAGGAAATTGGAGAAGATGCACCGAATTCCATTCAGTGACTTGACACCCTTGACTCCATCCTTTCCTTCGGCCGGCGGCACAGGATGTTTCGCGTAGCCGGTGGGGCCCCACGGGGTTGGCGCCTAGAGAAGAAATCCGGGGTAAGTCTGACCCTCTCAGGTGCCCATTAGGCCCCCAGGGACTCTCCTCAGGCCTTCCCCACCACCACCCCTCACGGCTACGGTTAGATCTTTGACACACATACAGATATTCGACCGCACGCATCCAAGGCAATCGATTCGTATTCTTGTGGCACGGTTCTTGACGATTCCTTGCAGAATACCTAGCGGCGGTCGCACAAGCATTGATCTATCGTATGATATGATACGATAATTGAAGACCACAATAAGATAATCATTCAAGTCCATACTGCCATCATCATCCGGCCCGGCCTCCCGCCTGGCCCAACCCCCACCCTATTGGTGCAGCTCTCTTTCTTTGCCCCCTTTGTATACTGAAGGAATGGAAAAGTCATCGTCGCCGAAGCAAGAGACCAAGAGGAAACATGTCACAACAGCGTGCGTAGCTTGTCGTGAGAGCAAGGTAAAGGTGAGAATAAGTTTTCCAAGTCTTCTTTCCAACTTGTCCAAGCTGCCCCTGCGAGACATCCCCAGCGCTGACCTCTGAGCCAGTGCAATGGAGGCACGCCGGCTTGCTCGAGTTGCCTGAGTAAAGGCAAGCAATGTCAATATCACGCAAGGGAGGACAAGCGCAAGTCAGTAATGTCTCAAGCCCCTCAGCATCTCCCCAAGGCTTTCTCGAACAAATGCTTATTCCGCAGACTCTCCTTTCGAGTCGCCGTCGAGCTACTCTCCACCAGGGTCCGGCAGCTTTCCAGGTTTATCAATGACCAGGGCCTGGATATCCCGCCCATGCAGCCGGATGACTCCAAGACTTTGTCGGGTATTCTCCAAACGTTAGGGCTCCATGATGTCCAGCCTGGTGCCATTCAGGACCAAGCAGACAACGAGAGCAGCACCACGCAGGGCGCACCGCCCGTTCGGGGGTTGGACCAGGGGACCGAGATCTCTGAGAGCTCGGCAGCATCAGCCTCGAATGTGCCTGTCATACCACCTGCTGAGTGTGCCGCAGGTAGCCCCCTCCGCACAATGCAAGGCTTGCCTGAGCTCGCCAATGCGGCCGGCGGCATAGACGGCATCATGCGCACTTCAACAGGTTGGGATTGGAACACGACGGCTGAATCTATGCCGCAAGGACATGTAATGCATCCGGGCTATGTCCCAATGGGCCCCAGGCCACCGGGCTTCCCCAGCAGCGCCTCGACTCCAGGCCAACAACAATCCGTCTCTGGTGGGCTTGGGAGCTCTCCCACGCTGGACATGGACGAGGCAACCTCCCCCGAGAGCGTCGACGAGCTCGCCGACCAGTTGTCCGATCGAATAGGGACTCTTCACATCAAGCCAGGGGGTCATATTCGCTTCTACGGGTCAACATCAAACTTTAATCTCTTGGAAACGCCGGCTTCAGACGTCACTATGAATGTCCATCGCACAGTACGGAACGACGGGACGGAGCATTTGGATCGTCTTGGGATTAACAAGACGGTCCCTCCAGAAATAGAAAACCATTTAATGAACCTCTATTTCACATGGCAGGACCCGTCATTTCACGTCGTTGACCGGAAAATGTTTGAGGACGCAAGAATAAAATGGAATGGTGCAGAGGATACGTCGTACTACTCTGAGGCCCTCAGGAATGCCATGTAAGCCATAATTGATATACGCCACCGCGGCCTTTATTCAAGAGCTAACCTAGTCCTATGTGAAGCTGCGCTTTGGGAGCCGCCTTCGACCCTAGACACCACCCAACATTCGTCACGTTCCCTAGGTCGCTCGCCGACTTTTTCGCCGATAGGGCCAAGGCACTTCTCGAGATAGAGCTGGATTCGCCTTGTGTCGCTACTATTCAGGCCCTCACCCTCTTGAGCGCCCACGACATAGGGTGCGGAAGGGATGCTAGAGGTTGGCTCTTCAGCGGTAAGCTGTTCGCACAATTTTGTCACCTGCAGGTCACCCTGGCAGTTTTGCCGACTGACACTCATTCTACTAGGTATGGCAATGCGGCTGTCATTCAACCTCGCGCTACACCAGGATCTGAAGCTCTATATAGCTAAAGGTATAGTGACTGTAGCCGAGGCTGATCTGCGCCGGACAGTCTTCTGGGCCGCCTTCGTGGTGGAATAGTGAGTGGAAGCCACGACTCCTCTGCCTCGGAAGCAAGATTGCTCATTTTTCTGCACAGTGTCTGGAGCTTCTACTTGGGCCAGCCGTTCCGCATGTCCATGAAAGGTGTCACCCTGGACAAGCCAGGACACAAAAGTCGATTGACAGCTTCTGGGCACTGGACCCCTTACGCGCATGCAAATACACCTCAGTCTTTCACTCCTATGGTCGACTGCGTAGAAGACGTCTGCAGACAGCAGGTTCTGCTCTTCGAGGCCCTCGCACCTCTAAGTGATACCTTGTAAGTTCGTCGGCATGTGCGAGACTGGGTGAGTTGATTGCTAAACTTCTTGCTGCTCCCTTCAGGTATGGCAGCGCAACAACGTCGAAGAGCGCTCTACAAGAACTCAGTGTTAAGACTTTTAAACTGCTATCAGACTGGAAGACAAATCTCCCAGCTGAGCTGTGCGTGGACCTCGACAATCGCGAAGCTGTTGACTTGCCGCATGTTCTCCTGCTTCAGTAGGTGGCTCAATGAACCCCCATTTGTGAAAGCTTTCTCTGTTCCTAACACTGTCGCCCGCAGCATGCAATTTTATCAGAGTCTCATTTATGCTCATCGTCCCTGGATGTCAAGAACCCAGAGCCAGCCACAGCAAGCGAAGGGTCCGGATGCTGACCAAGCCCGCAAAGTGTGCATGGATTCCGCAAGTGCCATCGCACAGCTCCTCCGCCTCTACGAAGAGCGGTGGACCCTCCGTAGGATCAACATCCAAGCCGTCGCCATCACGTTCTCCGCCGCACTGCTGCTCGTCTTCGCCACGGTCTCTCATTATCAACGGGAGAGAGAAGACGAGATCCTCGCCGACCTGAGCGCATGCCTACGGGCGTTGGATGAGCTCGCACCGTCGTGGGACACCGCCAGGCGAGCCCGCGATTTCCTCATCAGGCTGCAGAGACACTGGGAGCGGCAGGCCAGGTCGAGTTCCAAGGCTCTTGGGCGTGACGATGCCGCGTCCACGCGAGGAAGCTTTATCAGCTCAAGGAAACGGTCGCGCATGTCTTTCAGATCGGCTGATGAGGAGTGGCCCGTGCGACTTCGCGGCGACACGGCGTCGTCGTTAGGGAGTGAGTATCTGGCGGACAGCAGCGAGGCGGTCTCCGGGATGGATCTTGACTTTGACTGGATGCTCAGGACGAGCTTGGAGGGTATGCCGGGGAACTGGGGCAATGTATTTTCGGTTCCGTCAGGCCCTGGTCTTCCTCCTTAATCAGGAGGGAAAAGTGGAAGCATAAATGCTTTGTTTCAGGGTCTTGGTTACGATCACCGGACAGGTGCAACGGACAGGAACGTCATTTAATGCGTCTCAACTCGAGTAGCGCTTTTCTTATTGCTGCCAGCTACTGGGGAAAGTGAGCTAGAACTGCTGTTTGATAGCAACATGTGCCGTACTGACGCCTTCAAAACATTAAATGGGAGATTGCCCAGATGTCGCGGGCCAGACTAGCAGACTTGACTCCTTCCGAGGCGTCCTCTACAGCAGCCTCCCTGCATGAATACCTCCCGTTATTAGAATGTCATCTGACGTGTGATACGCGCTGGCGTCGGATAGGAGGTAAACTACTGGGACTTTGAGGTCAGTCCGGTCACCAATCCGGCGCATAGGGGGCTCGGTCGTCATAATCTCCGCCAACCAGGGGTAACGATCACAGAGATCGATTGTCATATCCGTCAGCATGTACCTATATTTCCCAAAGTTTCTCATTGTCAGTCACCATATGTACCCACAAGCAAGAAGTAGTAGATCCACAACAAATTCAAACAGCTTCAAGTAGAGCGAAAGACTTACCCAGGCGAGATAGAGTTAACACGGACGCCCATAGCCGCCAATTCGACGCCCAATGCCTTAGCCAGGGAGACAACCGCGCCCTTGCTTGCACAGTAGTCGCTCGTGCACTGGCCCTTGCTGGCGACGTGAGCGGCGATGGAGGCGATGAGGACTATGGACCCGCCGCGGCGGTTGAACTCGGTCGGCTCCTGCTTCACCATCTGGGCGGCGGCCAGCTGCGCGGCGTAGTAGGTGCCGAGAACGTTGATATTCATGCACCGGGCGACAGACTTGGGGTCGCGCTTCAGGAAGGGCTCGTCGGGGCAGATCCCGGCGGCGGTCACCCTTTTGAGGTTTGTGTGAGCAGATGGAGCGAGATGACATTTGGAGGGGGGTGGGGGTGCGGCGGGACTTACAGGCCATCTATGCGTCCGAAATCTTTCACGATTTCATCAAAGGTTGCCTGAAGGGCTTCGTAGTTGGTTACGTCGCTCCTACGTAGGCAGGGTCCATGTCAGCAATTTATTCAGCCTTTCTCGCACACGTACGTGGCGTATGCATCATTCGTCAGCTTTAGAACTTATACGCACTTATACAATTTGACCTTGACACCAAACTCCGTCTCCAGCTTTTGAAAATGGTCATGGGGCTTGTCCAACAAATCGATGATGGCGACATTCCCTCCAACCTCGGCGATAGCAAAGGCAAACGCCAGGCCGAGGCCACGACCACCGCCGGTGATCACGATGGTACGGCCCTTAAGGGAGATCAGGTCGTGGACGGTGCGGGACAGGAACTTGTCCGGGTTCCGGTCCAAGACCGCCTTACCTATGCTAGTGCGCTCATCGGAAGCCATTTGTGAAGAATTGAGCTATTGAGAGTTTGCCGCGACGTTAAGGGATTAAGTGTAATAGGTGGTTATTTTACTACCCTGGTAATTTTAAGGATGAGTCCAACCCGGTCGATGTTAGCTAGTCGATGGAGATCAACAGCTCACAAGGGTAAAACAGATAAGTTGGGACCTAAAAGAAATATCGAGATTTCAGCTTATGAATCTATGCTGCAAAAAATATCCCTGTGGGAGACACACCAGAGGCTCCAGAGGCTGATGAGCGCCGAAGCGCTCAAGGGGCGATCTTTATGATGTCGAATCGGCTTCGACTGGAGAGAATTGGAAGATGATTGGAAGTCTGATCGGAAATAGTGTGCGCTGGTGGACTTGACTTCCGTGGCGCATTGTCCTCGTGACGGGCCCGCTTGCGGCACTGACAATGCAGGCTGGCCGGAGGATGAATCCCGACCTGCATGGGCGATGGGAGGGCTTGGCGCGGGCGTACGTAACCGGGTCGGAAATCACGAAGCCGCACGTCTGGGGGAGCCAGGACATCTCGGCGCTAACGTCCGGACAGGTCGACAAAGTGCCGCTTAATAAAGCATCTGTATATTACGTTTGTCTTGGAAGCAGTGTCTGTTGGCGGTGCATTTACTGGGGCGAGAGTTCAAACGCAGCCGATGATATTTTTTGTTGCTTTTTGCTGTATCATACACACCCAACAGCATTACACATTAATTTTTACCTAACAAGATGAAGGACGCATCGGTAGAGCCCGTGAAGCTCGCGTCGGCCGGGAAGCTTACCAACGGCCAGGTCAAGGGCTGGAGGGAACATCTCGACGATGACGACCAGGCCGTCCTGGCACTGCGGAATTTCATCTTCGACATCTGCAACCAGAATGGCGGCGGTCACGGTGGCTCGGCCATTGGTATGGCGGCAATTGGTGTTGCTCTGTACAAGTACGTGATGCGATATAACCCGTCGAATCCAGAATGGTTTGATAGGGATCGCTTCGTGCTCTCCAATGGTGCGTTATTAAACAACTTAAGAAAGATATTGTTCCCTTTAAAATCATGTACCAATGCTAAATATATTTACAGGCCACACGGCGATGTTTTTGTATGCCCTGAACCATCTTGTTGGTTATGACGCTTGGACTATGGATGAAATCAAGGGGTATGGCAGCGCCAAGTTAGAAGGTTATACCACGCTCTGCCACGCCCACCCGGAGGTTGAAGTCCCAGCAATAGAGGTCACCACGGGACCGCTGGGTCAGGGCATTGCCAACGCGGTCGGGCTTGCCATTGCGTCCAAGAACCTTGCTGCGCGTTACAACCAGTCTGGCTTCAACGTCGTCAGCTCTCGCGTGTACTGCATGACCGGCGATGGTTGCCTGATGGAGGGAGTTGCACTCGAAGCCATGTCGTTGGCAGGAAGTCTGAAGCTGGAAAACCTTGTAGTCATCTATGACAACAACCAGGTCACCTGCGATGGACCTCTTGACTGGATCAACGAGGAAGATGTCAACGCAAAGATGCGTGCGTGCGGCTGGCACGTTCTAGAGGTCGCCGACGGCTCATACGATGTCAAAGCCCTGGTCTCGGCCCTTGAGTACGCCCGGACACTTACTGGCAAGCCTGTGTTTATCAACGTTCGTACTATCATCGGGCTTGGGACCGCCAACGCAGGGACTTTCAAGGCACACCACGGTGTCTTTGATGCCGAGAGCGTGGCGCTTTCCAAGACCCTTGCTGGACAGGATCCGTCAACCACGCACCAGATCCCAGCAGCCTCACTAGAGTACTTCAGGGAGAGGAAACAGCACGGCCAGAAACTTCAGAGCGAGTGGGACGATCTCATCAAGCGGTACCAGTCGGCCCACCCAGATCTGGCCAAGGAGTTCCTTAAGAGGGTAGCGGGCGACAATGGGGACGCCTGGCGTAGTGTGCTGGAGAAAATCGACTCGGGCAACTTTGGCGACCAGGCTACCCGTGAGGTAAGCGGAACTGTAATGGAGAGTCTATGGAAGACCCACCCAGCACTTTTCGGAGGTGGCGCCGACCTCGTCAATTCCAACAAGGTCCCCTATGAAGCCCACGAGGTGTTCCATCCGACCTCGGGCTACTCAGGGCGCTATCTACGGTACGGCATTCGTGAGCATGCCATGGCGTCCATCTCCAACGGTATCGCGGCTTACAACCCTGGGACCTTCCTCCCGTTTACGGCTACTTTCTTCATGTTCTTCATCTATGTAAGTCACCTGGAGCACGGCGACGTTCGAACTACTTTAGCGATATGGTGATACTAATCTTCATTGTTCTCTAGGCCGCTCCTGGTGTCCGCATGGGTGCCTTGAGCCACTTGCCCGTCATCCACATCGCGACGCATGACTCTTTCGCCGAGGGCCAAAACGGCCCGACGCATCAGCCCGTCGAACTGGACTCTCTGTATCGGGCAATGCCAAATCTGACGTACATGCGGCCATGCGACGCCGAAGAGGTGATCGGCGCCTGGATGCTCGCGCTGGCCAAGACCACCGGCCCGTCCATGCTCTCTCTCGGCCGTGACCCCGTCGGCCCCGTGCCGAATACCGACAGATTCAAGGTCGCCAAGGGCGCGTACGTTGTCGTGGAAGCCGAAAGCCCAAAACTCGTCCTGACCAGTTGCGGCACCAACCTACACTACGTCGTCGCGGCGGCCGAGAGCCTGTCCGCCTCCGGGATCCCCACGAGGGTGGTCAGCGCGCCGAGCTTCGAGCACTTTGACGCGCAGAGCCGGTCGTACCAAGAGTCGGTGTTCCCTCTGGATGGCATACCTATTGTGAGCGTTGAGGAGTACATCGCGACAACCTGGGCGCGATACGTGACGGCGAGTATCGGCATGACGGGGTACGGTTACTCGGCTTCCAATCCAAGCAACTATGACAGATTCCGTCTGGACGCGAAAGGGATAGAAGCAAGGGTCAAGGATTATCTGAAGACTTTGGATGGAGGCGACGCGAGGAAGGCGGGATGGAAGGCAATCTGACTTCGGTACATATTTTAGCACGTAGACAATTTATGATTGCGACGTAGATATTAGACACTTTTCTTCCCCTTTTGCGAATACCATCATCACATTTTCCAACTCGCCTCAAGATCATATGGATCCACGTGTTAATTTTATTGACACGAAGAGAAGTCTAGCCCATCCTATGTGGTCAACTGTTCACGAAAGGTCCAAGTTTCTAGGTTAATACTATGGGCTGGCACGTAATTTACACTTTGAAGTGATTGGTTGAAGCGAAGACAGCCAGCAACTAAGTCTTGGTTGGAATCAAGACTCACTTAAGCACTGAAAGTGCTACGTAATGTTGATATTAAAATACTGCTGTGTGCTAAGATTAACACATTACTGCCGACAATGTGCATTCTCCTGAGCAGCTGTTGTAAAATTCCGAATCCCATGGACCTGAGTCTCACTACTGAATTGCCAGTTTTGACAGCTGAAAAAGAGAAATTGAGTCCCATTACCAATGATAGTAACATTAAGTACGAATTAGGTCCTGTAGATTTGAACAGGCTTCTTGCAAAAACGCCGATTACACAGGTCACAAAACCACCTTCAAAATTTTGATGGAAAGCTGGGACTGAGTGAGAAGCTGGAAAAGGGACGATCCCCCTCCCCCCTACCCTCCTACCAGTCCATGACAAGAAGCCCTACTCCTAGATACTAATCATTTCCAAAGGAGAAGTATTGACCAGGGCGGCGGTAATAGCCTCGGGCACTGAGACCTTAAATTTTTCAAGGCATAAATCTGTCTAGTATGGATGTAAAATTTGGAGTATCTCTTGACACAAAGTTTTTCGGTGTTGTTTAACTGCTTTCGATATTGTATCAGAACTATAATTATGGTATTGCCATCTATTTGAAATTTACTACTGTTTTCACCACCATATTCCCATCAGCGTCACGAGTCTTACCAGCCAACTCAAGAGCGTCCTGTACTTTGTCGAGGCCCTCAAATCGATGACTTATCATCTTGGAAATATCGGGCAAAGGATTGCCATTTACTGGCGCCCCTGTAACTGAGGCTTTTGCAATTTCAATCGCACTAGGGTAAGCATCTGCATATCGCCAGGTAGACACGAGATTAATTTCCCGGGTTGTTAGATCTGAGATTGGAAGCGTGTGGTTAGGGATGCCCATTCCCACAAGGACAACACGACCACCCGATGCGGTGGCCTATGAAGGGAAAAAAGTAAACATCAGCTCGAGAAAACCATAGAAAAGCGAGGTGCGAATTGTTACCGGGATAAAGGAGTTTGGTCACTTACATAAATGCCACTTTGCACACACGACTCGACACCTGTGCACTCAAATACGGTCTGCACCTTTCCTACCGCCTGGCCATCCGGCCATTTCAACTCTGCAATGTCCGCTGCAGTCTGCCTGGCGATATCCAGCTTCTCTTCTAAGGTCTGCCCTCTCCTGAGGGGAACCGCATATACGACAGAGGCAAAACCCTGCTGCAGCGCAAAGTCCAGGCGCCCCTTGTCAATGTCGACCACGACGACATCTCGACAGCCCTCGGCGCGCGCCGCCACAGCGCAGAGCAGCCCGATTGCACCGGCGCCGAAGATCAGACACGTGCGCCTGGGTGAGACGGTTTCCTTGCCTGCCCTGCGCGCAGCGTGGATGGCGACGGCCAGCGGCTCGAGGAGCGCGCCGGCCTCGAAGCTCAGCTGGGGCGGGAGGCGGTGGACCCAGCGCGCGGGATGGTCCACGAACTCCTGCAGGGTGCCCTGGTAGTGGGGGAACTTGGAGCCCGAGCTGCGGAAGCGCAGGGCCGGGCAGATGTTGTACCTCCCGCTGCTGCAGTAGTCGCACTGTCCGCAGGGGACGCCGCACTCGAGCGCGACGATGTCGCCGGCCTTCAGGTCTGGGATCGCCTGGGAGACACTGGACCCTACAGCGACGACCTCACCCGCTGCCTCGTGGCCCAGGCAGAGTGGCTCGCGGACTTGGATACTCCCGTTGCAGAAATGCGTGTAGTAGTGCACGTCAGAGCCGCAGATGGTGGTGGAGCGAATGGCAACTCGAATCTCGTCGCTGGCGAGAGGCATGAGGTCTGTTGATGCGGCCTGGAGAGTTCTAGCCTTATGGAGATATTGGCCACGGCTCTTCTCTGGGGTGGCGGCGGTGGTCGTCGGCATCTTGGCAATATTCTCTGTGTCTTGATTGAGATAAAGTGCAAAGCTATGGGGGTGGATAAAGCAGCATACGACAAATGAACTCTACATTGGATGTGCAAGTGTTGGTGTCGCGACTTAGCACTCCTCAGGCTTGCCCAAAAGTCTCCAAGCCGGAGTCTCAGCTCCGCAACTGGCTGCGCTCCATAGCTTTTTGTTGACGTGGGTGAGTTACGACACGATTCCGGGAGCCATGTGAAAGCCGTTACTGTGGTGCGACCGTACTGGCTTCGGAGGGTGGCTGTGAACCGCATGCTGTGCCGAGTTTGTCTGAGGCAGGCGAGGAGTCGCCGAAACACAGCAGCCCGCGGGATCTGATTTCCGACCACCAATTCAGGTGGGCCACATAGTCGCCAAACGCTACGCCGCAAATACACTCCGAGGGGCAACAAGCCCCGGAATCACAGCGCGAATCTGGGGTAATAGATCTCATCGTCGCTTTACATAGTCAGGGGAAGGCGATGGTTTTCTTCAAGTCACCGGGACTTGAGCCATGCCTAGGAGCCTGAAACATTCATTGCCAGTCAGTCCATCAGAACTTAATCGTGTCGGCCATTTCTAGCCTTGGACATCATCTTCAGCTTCTTCATGGTCACAGACTTTCACCCAAGTTTGACTTAACATCTGATCTGGGCTATTCGACATCTTTGGTTCCACAATGTCGGCCTATGCAAATAACCTTGATGCCATCATCATCGGCGCAGGCCCGGCGGGCATCGCCATGGCCTACCGCCTGAAGCATGAGCTCAACTTTCATGACTTCTTGATTTATGACAAACTCGATGGTGTTGGCGGCACCTGGAGAGCAAACACATATCCAGGATGGTAAGTCAAGAAAACGGAATGAGGAAGGGGGTTAATAAAAGTCTTTACAATCCGAGACCAAAAACTAATCACCCATTTCGCTTTCACCAGTGGATGTGACCTTCAGTCGCACCTCTACTCCTTCAGCTTCAACCCAAATCCAAACTGGTCGAAGCAGCTGTGCGAGCAGCCTGAGATCCTTCAATGTAAGTTCTGTCCAGGCGGTCCAGTCATCTCACGATTTGCCTATCCGCTACCCACTTGAAGCGGTAAAACTGACCTGTGCATGGTAGACATGGAGGATACTGTCGACAAGTTCGACATCCGCAAGCATGTCCACCCGTCGGTTGAGTGCATCGGCGCGAAGTGGCACAATCATCTCGGCAAGTGGGAGGTAAACCTCAAGGACCTCAAGTCAGGAATTGAGTACTCACGCTACGCCACCGTCTTTGTCTCTGCCGTTGGTGCCATCTCCTTCCCGCGAGACGTCAAGTTCCCGGGTATGGAGGGTTTCAAGGGCCACATGTTCCACACCGCCCGGTGGGATCATTCTGTCTCATACGCAAACAAGCGCATCGCCGTCATTGGCAACGGCTGCAGCGCGGCTCAGGTGGTTCCGGCCATGGCTGAAAAGGCAACCTTCGTGAAGCAGTACGCTCGCAGTGGGCAATGGTTCCACGCCCGGCCGAACCGGTACTACACCGAGCTGGACAAGTTTATGTTCAAGTGGATTCCTCTCTGGGAGCGACTTTTACGCCTCAAGATCTTCCTCGATGCAGATGAGGAGACTACGACATACTTCCCGACCCCGAAGGGCCTCAGGCTGCGCGCCCAGATGGAGAGCGAGTCAAAGAAGTACATCCAGTCCAAGACGCCAGAGAAGTACTGGAACCACATCATTCCAAAGTTTCCATTAGGATGCAAGCGCCGCATTTTCGACCCCGGCTACCTTGACGCCCTTAATAGGCCAAATGTTGAGCTGCTGCCCGAGGGTATCCAGGAGATGACAGAGACCGGCATTGTCAGCGCCTCGGGAATACGGGATGACTTCGACATCATCGTCCTCGCTACGGGATTCCAGGTCTCAGAGTTCCTGACGCCAATGCACATCATCGGCGCTGATGGCCGAGCGCTGCACCAGCAGTGGAGGGAATGCCGTGGCGCCCAGGCATATCTCGGCACCCACGTCCACAACTTCCCCAACCTGGCTATTCTCTTTGGCCCGAACACCTTTCCCGCCAACAACTCGGCGCTATTCGCGTGCGAGACGCAGGTCGACTACGCCGTCAAGTCACTCTTCACGCCCCTGCTCGACCACCGGGCGGACATAATTGAGGTCAAGCAGACGGCCGAGAACTTCACGACGAATGCGATACACAAGGAGCTCTCCAATACCGTGTTCTCAGGGGACTGCTCGAACTGGTACATCGGCAAGTTCGGCCGCAACGCTGCCTCCTGGCCCGGCATGGCGCGGTCGTACTGGGCCGCCACATACTTCCCCGACTGGTCGGCCTTCAACCTCATCGGCGGAAGCAAGCTGTGGCCGCTCTACACTGTTCGCCGCTGGTTAGTGAACGCGGGGGTGCTCACCAAGGCGCTGCTTATCCTCGGTGTCGTGGCGGCAGCGGCACGCTCTGGAGGTCGCAATGCTAACATTGCTCGGCTTGATACCCTGAAAACTATTGTGACTAGAGCTCTTCGATGAGCAACACTTCTTCCTTGTTGGGTGAACTATTTCTAAGTCATCGACAAATTGGTCGCACAGGGAACATAGCGGCTTACAACTTTAGAATGCTTCAGTGATTATTCGGTTGGTTGGAAAACACATATCTCTTACATACTTATGTAGTAAATGAATATCTCTTCAGACTACCTTTCCTCAGTGAGCTAGACGTCTCTAGCATGGTCCAAATTTCTTTTGAAGTTGCTCACACAGCGCAGGAGACTCATGACTATGCGCTATGACAGGATGCCAGGACAATCAGGATGGCCTCGCTTCGAGAAGGCAATTCTACATCCAACGCTCCACATATAGACATCATTTAGCAGGCATGCAGAAAGCTGATATTTACGGCATTGAGGTGACGAAGTCATCAGTTACATCTATGCTGTAAGACTTGGGCATGGACTAAAGAACATGCTTGCAACCTTGGGGGCAAAACGCAGAATTTCTATATCGATGCAAAATTTTCACAAAGGGAAGCAACAAATAAAGCGTTGGTAAGGTGGGAAGATCAATCTTTTAAAGTTCGAAATATCCTGGCAAAGGTCTAGATTCTGTATTTACGCTTGATTTCCCAATATTGGGGCAGTACCCATTTTTGGGTTGCCACACAGTACTTATGACTGTAGTCTGTCTCGGTGTGGCTTACGACTATGCCTTGAAAGTACGTATGTAAGCGGTCATTACGTTAATAGTACGCAAGGCCAGAGCAGGCAAGGCTGGATGACGAATAAGTCTGACTTTGTCACGAGGTCTGCTCTGAAGGCGCCAAGGATGAAACGCGTGGCCCCAGAGCCGTCATCGTCTCCGAACAGCAACATCATGCTTTGCCTGGTTGAGCGGCCGAAGCCAGCCCACTAGTCATCCTCAGAGTGATTTTCGGATATTGGATACGCATATGGATTTAAGATCCCGATCGGCACAAAGTCTTGTCTGGCCGGACCCAAATTCCGGGATACGCGTGGGGGACAAGTGGGTTCGGGGCTTGAGTTCCGCGACGGCGATCCGAACCGCGACACGTCCCGCATCCATGCCATACTGAAAAGCGACAGAATATGCCCAGAATCGTGGATGTTTTGGGGGCTTGCGATTTGACCTATATTTTCCATCGTGAGAGTATATCGATACACACGTTGGCAACTATTGTCTGGTACTGCATTGTAAAGACTTTCTCAAAGTCAATTCTCGAGCCTAATGATCATGTCTTATCACGAAAAGCACTTGAAGAATGTGAGATATGCCGCAGGGCTCCCGTGAAGAAAAAGCAGAGCGCTGATGGCCTAACTCTCTTTCACAGCTCAAGGATAGCAGCCTGTTCTCGGGGGAGGCTTTTATTGACGGGCAATGGGTTTCTAAGGACAAGACATTTGACGTCTACGGTTGGTTTCCAAGTTCTGGCTTTCCAGATTTCCTCTTACTGAGATTAAATAGAACCATCGTCAAGCACTGTCTTGGGCAAGGTGTCAAACTGTACAGTTGAAGATTTCCAGAAAGCCATCGAGAGTGCGGACAAGGCACAACGAAGCTTTTTTGAAAGCACAACCGGGACCCAGAGAGGAGCTCTCTTAAGAAAATGGAATGACTTGATCCTGGAGAACCTGGATGACCGTAAGTTTGCAGCATATTGAAAAATTCGGCTTACGTGTGTTCTGACTCGTTTGATGATAGTCGGGGCCGTTCTTTCCCTTGAAAACGGAAAGACCTTGAGCGAGGCAAAGGGTGAGATCGTATATGCTGCAAGCTTCATATCATGGTTTGCAGAAGAGGCCACTCGTTCTTATGGCGTCACGATCCCATCCTCTACTCCTCACACCACTCTCATGACCATCCGAGAACCAGTGGGCGTGTGTGGGATCATCACACCCTGGAACTTCCCTGCTGCGATGATTACCAGGAAAGTCGGCCCGGCTCTCGCCGCTGGGAACTCCGTTGTGATCAAGCCACCCAGCGAGACACCATACACCTGTATTGCTCTTACCAAGCTGGCCGTGAAGGCCGGTCTGCCCCCTGCGACAATTCAGGTCTGCCCTACAAAGGACCGTGCAGCTGCCACCGAGATAGCCAAAAGTCCGCTGGTCAAGAAGCTCAGCTTCACGGGCTCGACTGGTGTGGGTAAGAAACTGGCCGAGCTGGCAACGGGCACCCTGAAGAAGGTCAGTCTAGAGTTGGGCGGGAACGCGCCATTCATTATTTTCGACGACGCAAACCTCGACTTGGCCGTAGAGGGTGCAATGTTCTGCAAGTTTCGTTGCTCGGGGCAGACGTGTGTCTGGTAAGTCCTCTTCCCTCCCCAATTTGCTGCCTGACACGGCGCAAATGCTACTCTGGATGCTGATAGTAGGTCCTTAGCGCAAATCGACTTTACGTTCAGAAGGGCGTGGCCAAGGCTTTCACAGAGAAGCTCGTCAACGCTGTTCAGGCGCTGAAGACGGGACCGGGGCTGGAGCCCTCAACCACTCAGGGTCCATTAGTGAATAAGGCCGCCGTAGACAAGGTCAAGGAGCATGTCGACGACGCCATCTCAAAGGGCGCAAAAATTGAGCTCGGCGGCAAGACGCCTGAAAAGGCTGGCTTCTTCTACGAGCCTACGGTGCTCTCCGGCGTCACAACAAAGATGCTGGTCAGCAAGGAGGAGACGTTCGGCCCTCTCGCTCCCATATTTGAGTTTGAGACCGAAGAGGAGGTTCTGCGGCTGGCCAACGATACCGAATTCGGTCTGGCAGGATACTTCTTCTCACAAGACATCGCGCGGGCGATGCGTGTAGCACAGAAACTCCAGTGTGGTATGGTGGGTGTCAACACCGGAAAGATCAGCGCGGCCGAGGCTCCTTTTGGGGGAGTCAAGGAGAGCGGATACGGAAAGGAGGGCAGTCTTTACGGTCTCGAGGAGTACCAAATTATCAAGAGCGTCACAATTGGAAACCAGAACGTCGGTGTCTAAATTTAGCAGCAGGAACTGTATGGCTTACACCAGTCATCTAGCACGCTTTGAGTCGATTAAACCAAATTGAGCTTGTCGACGAACAACAAAATGGAAAGCAAAAATTTCCAAAAAGTTCCTTCAGGAGAAACACTCGAGAGCCGTCATCATACCTGCTGTTTATCTTTGCCTCTGGGTGAGGTGTCGCGTCATGTGAAAAATCTCGGACTGCAGGAAGTTACTATCACGAATTGTAATTGACGGAAAGCGTTGTATGCTGTAAGTAGCATGGAGTCAACGTTCAGTTGAATGTGAGCAGGGTGAGGGTCAATTGCCGCACAAGTGGGCTGAGAATGTAGTCCTGTCTGAATGAGAGTCCCGAGCTTTCGCATTCACTTTGTGCGGCAGCCGCAGTCGTTCTTAGCGTCTCCTGACAGAAGAAGCTTGTTCAACCCAATCATCTGCCGACCCATGCCCATGCCATGAGGCACTCAAAGAGACATTTATTTGATATTGAGATATTCCAATTCTTTCAAATACAAAGATGGGGCTCGAACAGCACATCATGCCGATGTTGGGTCAGAAATTCGCCCGACTTCAACATCCAGGCTCCAAAGTAGTGTCAGCATAGTGTAAAAGCCCTTGTAGTTCTTTCGGTAACAAGAATCCCCGCTTCATCCGGGATTCATATTCCGAGCCAAGCCTCCCAAGAGTAGGACCTCCGAACTATATTAGTCGAAACGAAGGCGGAATTGAATCCCGATCAAGGGGCGAGTCAGAAATGGGTGGCAGGCAGGAAATTTTTGAACGGGCGCAAATGATCAAATCTAAGCACATGGGGCCGGTGCCATTGAATTCTACAATCGCAGATGCTATCTTGTGGCAAAATTTTGTTGTTGGAAGCAAAAGAAGAGTTGACTGTCGCTCAGCGTATTTCCCAACATTGAAGTGATGTGCGTATAATCTCAAAATGCAACACCTGACTTCCAGCAGCAGATTAAATGACCCTTCCAATAATTCTCGACATTCTCCTGCTCCGTGAAGATGATGGGAAGCCCAAGAATGCAATACGAAAGCGTCAATGCCTAATCCGATGCATTATACATGCTGCTCGGCAGCAACCTGGTCAGCCGCAGAGGCAGCCACCTTCATAACCTCCATCTCTTCCCTCGTGCTGGTGTCCCCGAACAAGACATCAATCTCCTCGAGAGTCTTGCCCTTAGTCTCCGGGACAAGAAGCACCGCCCATATGCCAGCCAGTCCGCAGAAACAGGCAAAGAATACATAGGTCCCAAACTGAATATTCTCGAGCATTGGAGGAACGGCAATGCCAATGATAAAGTTGGACAGCCAGTTGACGCAGGTAGCCAGAGCGACACCCTTCGCACGCATAGAGTTGGGGAATACCTCAGCGGGCAAACTCCAGCCAAGCGGAGAATAGGAAACACCATAAACCATGATGAAACAGAAGGCCATGGCGACGCATGCCCAACCCGCGGCCGTGTTTGCTTGCCAGTCCTTTTCGTAAACACCGGCCAAAGCAGCAATGATGATATAGCAGGCGCAGGACCCGAAACCACCGATAATGGCTAACGGCCTTCGTCCCAACTTGTCGATAATAACAAAGCAGATAGCAACAGCAACCAGCTGAAGGATATTAAAGACACCCGACAGGATAAGGGACATCTCATCAGACTGTCCAATGGAGCGAAAGAGTGTAGGAGCGTAGTAGATGAAGGCGTTTATACCAGAGAATTGTTGGAAGAAGCAGACTCCGCACCCAACAGCGGTTCTGCGCAGCATCTTCCGGTCAAACAGATCAAGCCACGAGAGGGCCTCCAGCTTGAAGCTCCCAGCTCCGGGATGCTTCTTCGCAAGTGCCATCTTGTTAAACTCGATCTCGGTAACGATGCCCCTGTACTCCTTTTGCACACGAGCGTCAGAGGGCGGCAGACCGCGCAGCTTGCACAGACTCGTAAGGCACTCCTCGTTACGGCCAACGAGAGTTAGCCATCGAGGTGAGTAAGGGAAGAACTGAATGCCAACACCGAGGATCGTGGCGCAAACCATCTGCAATCCGAGAGGAAGCCTGAAGGAAACTTCGCTGGCGATATCTTTGGTGCCGTAGGTAATCCAGAAAGAAATGACAACACCTGATACGATAGAGATAGACTCTAGAACGAGCAGTGTCCCTCGCAGATTCGGTGGGGCGATCTCAGAGATGTATAGTGGAGCACCCTATGGTGTCTTTGCGTTAGCCTTCTGTAAAAGACGAGAAATGTTCAAGAGGGTTTGCATACCATTGCAAGTGTACCAACTCCAATACCACCAATGGCCCTTCCAGCCACAAGAGTGCCATAGTTATGAGCTGAGGTTTGGATAATAGCGCCGATATCGAAGATGACCACGACCAGAGTCAGAGCCCGCTTCCGCGAGATCTTGTCGGCCACGTACGGCATGAAGATGCAGCCCACGAAAGCACCGAACAGCAACATGGCAGTCATAAAACTAGTACCAAAGGCAGTCTTAGTCTGTGGGAAAGTATTGTGGAACTGATCCATGACGTTGATAATGGAGATAACGCCCTGGTCATAGCCGAAGGAGAAGCCTCCAAGCGAGGCAAGAAACGCGGCCCCGAAGACATATGAGTTTCCGAGGAGCCCACGAATGCCGTTCGGCCCGTATGCTACATCTTCTCCGAACATGTCTCCATCTGACAGGTTCTGAGACTCGGTGGGCGATCCCTCCTTGTGCTCGTATGTGGTGGTGGTCCCGTTTTGGACATCAGCTCCCGGGCTGATCTTCATATCTGTAGACATGACCGAAATAGATAGAAAACTAGATATCCCAGATCAATTATGTTCGTGGCGGTGGACTTTGGAGAGAATGTGTCGAAAAAGGATAAGAGGGAAAGAGAAGTGGTCCAAAGTAGTGGTTGATGGAATATTGGCGAGGCCTGTCATTCCATACCATCGAGAGATCAAAGTTTGTGCGAGAGCAAGGCACGCGGGATAGACTGATGAGACAGAAGAGGCTAATACTTATACACTAGGCCCCTGAGTGCTGAGGTTCGGTCCTCAATCCGGGCCCGCTGAGGAGGTATCGCTGACGAATGGGTGGAACCTGGGGACCGAGGGTGCGGCGTAAACTGGTGCAACCGACCCCAGCTCATTACAGACCTGGGGTAAGAGGAGCTGGTCTGGGGTCAAGGTGTTGCTTCCCCATACCCCGGAAAAAGCATTCCGCAGTGACCCCGCTGTACCCCCGTAGTCTTAACAGGGGGAGCCCGGCACACATGAATTGCCTGCCATGTTTGCACCTGAGGTTGCCTTGCAATCACGATCGGGCTCGCTCGGGAAATGGAGCCTCTTTTGAGGTGCTTTGGTTTTACATGGGTTGGTCGACAGCCGAACTGCCTCAGCGGCACACAATGCAGGAATCAACTCCTGTCCACCAACTGACCAATTCCGCTTGCTTCTTATCGAATCGCTGTTGCCTTACAAACCGTCCTGAGGTGTCTTATGCCTCCGTTCAAGAGCCGATACACTTTCAACGTTTCTAACTCATTGGCACGTAAAGCGAAAGGAATGTGTTTGGATGACTATTTTTGCCAGTTGCAATCCCAGCACCTAAGTAAATAGGAACCCCCATTCAAGACACCATCTTGGTATCGGCTCTGTCTTTCCTATGCCTGATCTAATCAAATAATGTTATGTCCTAGGGGAGGCCCTAGGTTTGTATTGAGCCATTTTGCCTCCCAAGCCAAGCAGCTATCAGGCGCGAGCAAAACACACACCTCGCTCGGAAGCGGTCTCTACGGCAGCGAGGAGAATTAGTCAGCAACCTTATTTGCTTTAGTTCAAGGACCTCTTGTATGCGCTCAGCCCTGAGCCCACTACAGATCCCGCTCGGAAGAGTCCCCGTCCTGGGCTTGCTCAACGAGAGCGTCCCGACTCCGGCTGTTCCACATCTCCTACCTCAAAACCAACCTCTTTCCCCACAACCGACGATGCCTTGTCGCGCCTGACTTTTGAAACTCTCTGAAGTGTGTCATCATTGATGGCAAGTCATACTTCTGGATACAGTAATCATTATAAACTGCTGATCTTTTATCATTCGTCTACGATATGACTCTTAAATAGCTAAACCTTCTGAAGTTGCTTTAATCTCGCTATGTATCTAACCTAGTCCCGGAATGGTAAACTAAATCGTGGGATGGGTGGTGCCCTGTCCAAGGCTTCCCACCCCCTTGGCCCTTGCTCTCACAGCACCCAAATCATCCACGTTCAAAACGCCGACGCCAGCGTCAACCAAAACTCTCCATACAACCTCCCTCAAGTTTGGAGGCTCTGATGGAGTATCCCAATATCGTGTCAGCAAGCCTCTTACTCCTGCTTGTTCGAGTTGGGTATAGGATGTGCCGTTATCGCTGGGGGAGACGTAGAGCATGGCGTTCCTGAATTCTGTCGAGGCAAAGTAAGAGTTCGACTGGTTGAACTTGTATGTGGGCGACTCGTTGTCTAGGCTGTCATCGCCGGCGACCAATTTTTCAAGCTTGGCATCCCAAAATATGTCCCTGTGGGTCGCATTCAGGGCAAGCACAGAATCAAAATTGCTGTTGCCCGATGCTACAATGGTAAGGGGCCTCATGATTCGAGTCGTACCGTTCCAGTACGTGAGGAAATCAAGGTCTCGCAACGATTGTAGTTGGGCGTCCATCTCCGCAAAAGCCTCCGGCCCTGAGCTTTTAAAGTCCACGAGGAGGACCAGAGTTTGCTCAGGGGCGAGGTCAAAAACGCCGCGTCGAGTATTAGTCGCCACGTTCTGCGCTTCCAATATACGTTGGAGGGGCTCCAAATATAGGGAACGTAGCGTAACATCTTTGTGTAGGTTTGCGTCAGAGTGCCCGACTAGAAGATCATTGTCTTTCAAGTGGACATCGGCTTCAACGCTTATGCACCCGGACCCGAGTGCTTCGAAGAGAGGGATCCGGCGCTCGTAATCGTTATGAGAATGAACTGGCACCGGTAAAACTTTACGCAGAAATAACTGGCGTTCCTCGCTCCAGACCTCGGGCATAGTGCCGCTAATATCGTGCCCAAACCAGTTATCGAAAGGGTCATTGGAAATGCGGACTAATCCAGCCTCGAGCCGATACAAATACACAGATTGTGCAGTGAAACTTATAACAGAGCCATTTCAGTAATGTAGAAGCGTCAGAGAAATCTTGCAGCGTACTCACCCGAGAAACAAAAGGCCACTGACATATTTGAATAGATTTCGTCTACCGCTATTGAAGACTTTTGATAGGGTCGTTTGCTTATTTGTGCCCTCGAGGCTCACAGATGCGGATGAGGTGGTATCATTGGCAAGCGATCTATTGTCGTGGAGGTTTATGAGGTGGTGAATGGAAGCCATGATGTATCTGTTGCTGGTTCCTTGTCACACGATCATCGGAAGAACCTTCTCACGGGGCAGAGCGGCCTTTGGATAAGGAGGCTTTTCGCTTACTAATGGATTTCTTATGAGGATTCTGCTGATGACATTTTAGGCAGCACTCGAGACCGCTTCCTTGTCGGTCTGTCGTGTATTCTCCACTTGACGCTTACCAGTTTCGGAGACCTGGTCAACCGTGGGAGCAGCTGCCGCAGAACCACACTCGTCTGGTCACCACCCTCCACATCTCACGAAGTAAATACTTGGCCACCAGACTTAGGAGGGTATTTCACTTCTATTGGACGGAATAGTAGCCCATCCTGCGAAATTACGAATTAAGGCGTCCTACCAACGGCATACTGTTCTGCACTCATAGTGCTTTTTGGAGGGACTGCGATACTGACATGTTACGGCCCATCCAATTGCCCCAAATGCCCCAATTAGGACGCTGGCCGGCGTAGCTATATGTTCACGCGTCCAGAGTGGCTCGTAGGATCGTGATGGATAACTAGACGCTTGTGCTTGTGGAACCCGTAGTTGTCTACTTAGGTACCTTGCACCCTGGAAATGTAGACGACAGTCTTCATTACCAGATATTTCAACTTGAAACAGGTAGTCACCCTGGGTCAGGTAGTCTATTGGAATTAGAATCGAGCCTGGACCTACTTCTAAAGGTACTTACAATTAAGGAATCATTGTCCCATTTCTGAGATCGCAGCAATCCCGCCCATATTTCTGAGATCATGGAAAACAGCCCAGCAGTGCTCTTTTCGACTTCCCAACTGCCCATTTCTCAAGTTTCTGGCTTTTCATTCCTCTACCTTCCTTTGTATATTGAAAATTCTCATCTCAAGGGTGTGGGTTCCACCCCCACGTCGGGCTCAATTCCCGTTAAGTTCCTTTTAGGTACCCGGTACCAGCTCCCCTACCTGGTTTCCCAGATCTGGAATTCCCGATCCTGGAAACGGGAAACGGAAAATAGGTCGGGTACATAGTGGTACAAGGCCGACCTCCTTCACAGTGCCCTGCGGAACGCCTCGATGTGCTGTCCCTGGTGACGAAATATTTATTCTCTAGGGTGTAAGGTGCCGGTAATCTTACAGAGGACTATGGATGATGGCCAGTATCAATTCATTAGCGAGACATATGTTTATGGCGCGATGCAACGGGAGATTTTCGATTTGCAACAGTGCGAAAAGCTTCTCATTCTTTGAAGTGGCGATATCACTTAGATTTGTTGTCAAGTTAGCCACAGCAAAGCAGTGGCGTGGGTTTCCTAGATTCTTGATATAGATATTCAAGCCTTCGTGTGGAAGCAAACGTACAGTGATATTCTTTTTTATTTAACACCTGTTCTGAACCAACACGCTGGCACCAAGGGGACCCGTTTGGGGCACGCGGCGGGGGAACCTCTTGGAAAAAGGAACCTGCTGGAAAAGGTACCTACTGAATGCAAATCTACTAGAGTGCTGTGGGATGGAATATACTGATCTAAGAATCACGAATCTACCACTGGGGAATCTATCATCCCAAATCTACTAGGAATAAGCACAGCGATGTGGATTGTCTGTACCGCACTACTGAGACTTTTCCTGCGGACTCAACGAGAACGACGTGGAGCCCTGTTGGGACTCTGGCCCTCGAGAGATCATCTTGCGAATGAGGCAGGGTGGCATTGTGGTTGGTTCGCTGAACATTGGGCGTGATTTACGGAGGCGGGGTCACAATATTGGTGTCTGCACTTGCGGCGCCAGGAGCAACGAGGCAAGCGTGCCTCTGAAGGAGAAGTGGTGTCGTCTCCAAGTGGGAGACTTGCCTCATTACCATATTGGTGGCGCGAAACCGGGGAGTCTAGCAAATCTCTCCCAAGATACTTCAAAGAGGAATTTCCTCATTGACGCGTCTCGTTGTGAGGAGGCACTGGTGTACGTGTTTGGCATCATAGATGTCAACAAAGTGATCGTCGCTCAAGAGTGTCTCGAATGTGCACATCGTCACTACGCAGAACACGGCTTCGGCCAAGGGGTCGCTATCATCATCCCGCATGACAACGGTATCAGAGCAGATACGGAGGATGATCAGCAGAGGCGCAAGAGGAAGATTGAAGATAGCTTAAGAGCGGCTGAGGAGAAAGAAACGAGGTTTATTCGTCAATTGCGAGATACGGCTGGATCTGCGTCTTCGGGCAGTATGAACCAACAGGGATATATATGCTCGTACTTATTGGTGTGCTCAAGTGTGGGTGAGCCGTTGTAGGAGGAGGTTACAAGACCTTGCTCAAGTTTGAGTTAGTCGTTGAGAAGCCTGAAGAGTCTGATGGGTCTGAGGATGAGCAGGAGTCAGCAGTTCATGAACTACGATGCACCCGCAGAAGAGCCGTCCGCCAGGTGTCAACTCGGTTCGTTGAAGTTTGTTCAATTCACTATCAATGGTACCCGAGTTGATTGTGAATCGTTCTGAAACTTCTAGTATCAGTGTGGGCAGGCAAGTTTACGTGTACCGCAAAACAGTAACTTATCTGGTCTCCCAATCAGTGAAAATTTCAGAATCTTTTCCCTCAGCTATCTTCATTGTTAATTCTGCCGTACTGTAGTTGTTTTTCCTCTGCAGCAATGGCCTCAGGCCAAGTACGTGTTGCCTGCGGCTGAAGGCCCCCGAGCCTGACCACAAGGGAGCAGGTGGCTACCCGAATACGTCTTCGTGCAGTATCTGCTGGCAAGATATACCTGCTAGCATTGTCATACTCCTCACAGGCACAGAGAATCTTCCGGAAACGAGGTCTCGGTTGATGGACTAACGGCTGCTGGCATATCGCAAACCTGCCAGGCTATTGCTACACGATGGCGGGCAAGAAGTCCCTTGGAGCCTTTGTAACAGAATGGCGAAAGTGTAGAACGAGGAGAGAGGAGGCCGCGGCTAGTAGACGGGAGCGTGGCCTCCTCAGGGGCTGTCTCGGAAGGTAAATGAGGTATAGTCATGCGCGTAGCCGGCTGAGAAGTCGTCTACGGCTGTGGAGGAACGACGGGCCATGCTGGGCTCCCCAATACCAGAGATCATAGCGGCATAGATACAGGAAAATACAGGATGCTGTCCTCGTTGTCATAGTCAAGCTTGTAATTGCTGGATCAGTATGACGACTAACGAATGCTCGGTCACCTGGCGTTGAACCTTTGTGTTCCGCAACCCTACCGTTCTAAGTTCTTTCTACGAGAAACTCACATCTCAATGTCCTCTTCAGTTACCCTATCAACCGTCTATGCCTTCAAACAGCCTTAGATCCTACTGTAATAGCAGCTTTAAGATTCTTATATGTTGTTATACCTGTATTTTGTCCAAATTTCAAAAACAATATCCCCTACAAACACTGACTTCTTCGCACTCCGTAACAGACAACGCTGCATCACGCGCCTCCAGCCCCCAGCATCAGCAACCCCAAGGTATCATTCGCAGTACAGGGCCCAGGATGTAAGATTGAGTGCGCCGGTATCTCGCCATCCTCAGTCGGGATCTGTATAGCAATCGTCTCAGTGGTACCAGGGTATGACGTGGCGTGACCACTCGCGCTGACATCAGACGTGTCTGCTGCAAATATGAGGCCGAACTGCCCACCAGACACATACACCTCAGTGGTGTCGTCCTCTGGGAGGGTGATGTGGGCTAGGCCAGACAAAAAGATGACCCACCTGGGAGGGAGTGGTCAGCATGTAGATATGCATGTGCGTATGCACATTGTCGGACAAACTTGGAAAAGGAACGGGCTGTCGAGCCTTGCGGCCATTGACAGGGTTGAGATTACACAAAGCTTAACCCGGGCTGGCTGCAGATACCCGAATAGCTGGACCTCGCTGCAACTGCAGTATGCAAGGCGAATCCCTCCAAATCACCAGCCCGGGGAATCAAATATCGGAGCCCGGCACTTACTGATTCGCAGGTGCATTGTGCACCCCAGCGTCATACTGCGCCGGCAGCACGCTATACGAGATCGTGCTGGTGTTCCCCAGCTGCAGCTGCGCGCTGCCCGCAGTGCCCTGCTGCGTCGAAATGGAGAAGGGCGTGTCCATCTGCCAGCACTCGAGCGTCGACGCGTTATTGGCCGCGCCCAGGGCCGTGAGATTGAATTGCAGGGCGACGACGGCTGCCGGCTGGAGCAACAGCGCGCCTGCAGCCAGTAACTTCGCTGCGGTGGGGAGCAGTCCCATGCTGTGCATCTCGAGCAATGTTGCACTGGCGGTGGATGGTAATTTGGCGGGGTAGGGAGGATGGTAAGCTGAAATGCAGGTGAAGCAGACAGGCAGATAGATTGGTAGGCTGACGGGAGACACGTAGGTTCACGAAAGATGCAGGAAAGAGGTGTTCGACCAGCAGAGTGCCAGTGGTTCGGTCAGATGCAAATCAGAGGCGCTTAGACGAGCAGCTAAGGTAGTCAAAGCATGTGCAGATCTTGAAGAGAAACAACGGATGATCGGAAATCACGATGTGATCGTCCATTTAAGAGAAGAGGTTGCATACATAGAGTGGGCCAGAAGGATCCAGGAAGTCCAGGGTCCTCGGTGGATGATCAAAATTTCTTGATCCCTATGCGCGTCCACCAAATACTCACACAGCTTTTGTCCCTACAATTCTCTTCCCTACCTAGTACTATCCCCTTTCCAGTGTAGTAATGACCCTTACAATCTTTCAGCTGTCTCGAAACTCCACAAGCGTCCGCGCCGCCAAGTGGAAATATTGCGCGATGGGACCATGGGAACGTTCCGTCCCGTGCTTCAATTCCTACGGAGAGGGCTGTAATACTCCTTCCGCCTGATTGCGTGTAAGAATCGGGCCGTGAACAGTGGATAGCGTTACATTGCATTGACCGGTGAGGCATCCATGCATCAAGAATTCCGATAGTGATTATAAGCGAGGACTCTGAGCCGGCGAGGGGCAGGAGCTGAACGGGGCCAAGATTTTGGGCGGGCGCAATGCTGAGAAGTTCAATCTATGCGAATTGACAGCTCACATGGTTGGATTACTTGTGCCCCGCAGTGTCGTGCTTGTAAGTGTGGGTGGGGGGAGAGGAGACATCGTCCTCCGTTCTCGCAGTCGTCAACGTTGGGAGGTCAGATATCTCTGGAATAGTCCTTAGAACTATGCCTTGACTATTGTCAAAATCCTCCATACTGGGTATGATTTCTATTCGAGGAGACCTTTGCGCATACTTTAATACTCTCTGCCGAACCATCGGATTACCGGAACTTGCAGCAAGGGACCTTGTGTGGAACCCGAGACATGCAGACTCGGGAAAGAGGGGAGGGGTGAATTTGGAGCAAAAGTACAGTGGGATGGAACCTCGCCTGCTTACGCATCAGGCAATGTGGATTTTCCTCAGTGAAATTCAACATCGGTCTGCGGATAGCGACCGAGTTCAGCAGGTGTTCCCAAGCGGCAGATAATCCCTGGACACTGCTATAAGAACCGTCGTTGGTGCCTATTTTGGGCTAGTGTGTTTATATTGTGGGCCTGGCACTCTTCTATGAGATCCAAAGACCATCCATCTCGTCACTTGGGTGCGCAGACCATCGTTCGTCTTTCCAAGGTTGGGCCCTAGGGCGCCATGACCCGACTATGTTGAGAACATGGCTGAAGATTTTCCCACTATCATAACCGACGAGGCGCGATCGCGGGCTCCCATCAGCAGTGAAACTGTCATAGGAGTGAGCGTTTTGTTCCTCTCTCTAGCGACAATATTCACTGGAACCCGCCTCTACACCAGATTTACCGTTTACCAGCAATTCTGGTGGGATGATTGTAGGTTCAACGAGTTCCAGACTACTTCCTTCGCGCAAGAGGCTCGAGCTGACAAATCCTTGGTGTGTTTTAGGGTCCATGCTCGTGGCCTGGATGGGCACCATCGTGCTGTGCACGCTGTTGGTGATGATGATGCAGCACGGCGGAGGAAGTACACAATCTCCATCAATTCGTCTCTTTTCCGCAGGCTGACGGCAGACACGGCAGTGCACCACGCAGACACGCCCGTCGCAGAATACAAGCAATATGTCGAGCTCTTTCAGGACCTCCAAATGGTCGCCCGCACGAGCATGTTCTTCGCCAAGCTCTCCATCCTGTTGCTCTACATTCGGCTCTTCTTTCCCAAGGGCGTCACACGCAGCGCACTCTGGTGGATCATTCAAATTGTCGTGTGGCTCAACTTTCTCTATACGGTTGGCCTGATTTTGGCTATCGCGTTGCAATGCGTTCCATACAATAAGCCTTATGGCAGCAGCTGCGTGAATCAGTACATGGTGTTGATTTCGGCGTCAATCATCAACATCATCAGCGATTTGCTCGTGCTATTAATTCCCATGGCATCAGTATGGCGGCTGAATATGAGCCGCAGGCGGAAGTGGGCTGTGTGGGCTCTGTTTGCCTTCGGGTCAGTTCAATCTTGTTCTTCATTGGGGTCCATCCACTTATATTGCCGCCTCCTAGCACACTCGCGCCTCTATCCAGCATCGCCCGCCTTGCCTACCAAGTACCCATGGCCGACGGAACAGACACAACGGTAATCTACATGATCGTAGTCATACTGGCTCTGGCAGAGCAAGTTATTGGCATCGTTGCCGGCTGCGCACCCATAGTAAGCACCTGGTTCGTCCGCCTCGTTCTGCGCAAAGGATCGCGGGACGCCAAAATAAGCCCAGCCGCCGCAGCAAACGCCCCACGCACTCTCACGCAGCGGTTCAAACTCGATAGGGAGGGCGGTGAACCCGAGACACCTCAGGAGAGGCGGCTGCGGAAATGGAAGCGGTCCAAGGCGTCGGATCCATATCCTACTTTAAACACTACGATACTCACCACGGCGAGTGAGGAGGCGCTCGATCCAGGTTTTGAGGCGCTTAGGAACGCGGAGTCGGGGCGGAGGTCCGATGCATTGGAGTTGAGCGACGTTACCTCTGTTGGGGGCAGAGACAGATATTGAGTCCCAGAATCCATAATTTTAGCTGTCTGCACAATCTTTTGTGGGTGTCCAAACTCTGTTCCATACGCAGCGCCATTGCAACCTTTGAAAGTAGCATGAAATCTGAATGTCAACCCTCCACCGTTTTCAAATCTTCGTGGGCTCCCAGCAAGTCGGCCTTGTCAAAATCCTCATCGCCTTTGGGCAGCTCCAGCGTCATTGTGTACATCTGGGCCGCCTTCACTTCGACTTCGCCGTCGCTCTCCAGCGCTAGAACGTGACCACCACGCTTCTTATCATCAGTAATGAAATGCAGGTGGTCGCCGTGAACACCAATACCCTGCAGATAGTGAGGCTGCCTGAAACCTACCAGAGTGCCACGGACGTTTTCAAAAGTAAAGGACACCTGGTTTTTGCCGATTTCAAGTAGACCCTGGTGCGGCTCTGTCTGTCCTGCTGCCGTTCTGACGGTAACAGACTTGAAAACACCATCTAGGCGCATAGCCAGAAGGTGATTCTTAGATCCAGGGCTGTACGGGTGCAATTAGCCGGTGTCCTTGGCCATGAGACTCGATATCTCGCACAACGAAGACATTGCAGCGTGAATGAGACTGCCCCAGCAGTAATGAGAAACAGAAGCTTTGAAAAGATAAATATACCTACACAAGCTTAGTCACAATGCCATTCAATTCCTCCTTACTAGGCACAACAGCCTTAGTAACAACCTCGGGCTTGAAGCGTGTTATTTGGGCGAAAGGGTGGATAGCATCACCGTTTGAATCAAGATCAACGATAGATCCATCCGAGAGCATCTGGTAGGCCTTTCCATCGAGCACGATCATCTCGCCGTTCATAAAGCGGAATGTGCCCAAGCCGTGGTCCCCGTGCTTGAGGAACTCGGAGATAGGCAGACCCTTGTCGGCGACACCGTCCATGAGCCCGAGCGCGAGGGAGTACTGAAACATTTGATTGTGCGCCATGCTTGATCTCCGTAGCTGCGGGTGTTAGAAGAGTTGAGAATGAAAGTAAAAACTTGCGTGGTGCCGTTAGACCTGCTTGAATCTGACTTGTCTTGAATTGGAAATATGTTTTTTCAGCGAACTTGAAGACGCGAGTGCCGAGCACGGAGGCGACGTTGGTCAAATACTCTGCAGCTTTCTGGAGCTGACTAAGAGTGGGTATGGGAGTACAAAAAATGATAAAGTCGTATGTGATAAGAGTTGATCGTAAGCTGTTGGTTGTGGTCATCCACCTATTGCAAGGCATTTGTGTGGGTACCTAAGCAGCTGTCCATCTCACAGAACCAACACTTCTCTAGTTCTGGTCGCAACTCTTACCCATGATTTTAGGTGTATTTGTCAGATGAACCTGATTGGACTAGTCACTGCCATACTCAATATTGGCCTACGACTCTGCTCTAGATTCCCTAAAGGCCATCATGATTTGGCTCTGAGACAGTCAGTACCATCTTAATCCTCGATGAGTGCGCCATTAGAAGTCTGGGACAACTTCAAATTTGTGAAGAAATAGACGGGTAGGCATGAGGCCTTTTGAAATTTGTCTAGATTGCAAGATGTGCCCTCTGACACGTAGTAAATATGTAGATATTAAGACTACATCCGACTGCATTCATAAATGCGGTTGATCCTTGAGTTTCAAAGTTGTCAGATAGAGCAACGAAGGCACTTGTGCGCTTCCCGCCTGGCTGTCATAAAAAGCCTTGATAGATCAGGCTGTGCAAGAGAAAAACCTAGACAAAGCTGCTAAAGCACAACTAGTGGGTATCTCGGGTGTAGTAATCCTGATTGATAAGGATTTCGTCAAAATGGTGGAAGGGGAGTTCATCGAAGCAGAAGGCTGGTCTTTGAACGCCGCGTTGATGCACGTCGAGGTCTTGGGTACATTGTCTGCATGTGGACGGGATGGCTTGCAGCTGACAGATACTATTCTTCCTTTTTTCTTTGGAAGCTACTGTCGCGCTCTACCATGCTATCGGCAGCAGAAACAAGGCAGTGCATGCCCAGGATGCTCTCGATATGCCCATCGATCACATCCGCAAGCCGCTTGATCACCAAGCGGAACGTGACGGGGTGCACTCAGACATGAAATAGACCAACGTGAAGCAGTTCTTATTGTTGCCATCTTCATGTTCCATATAAGTAGAGGGCAAGGGGATATGTGACTACACAGCCGACTGCTAGATTGAGCACACATGGGACTCTACTATACAGCTTTCAATCAGGACCTTTGGATTGAATAGCGTATTGCAAACTACTCTCCCGGATAGCCGTCTACTGCGTACTAAGAACCCCTGTCAAATCATGATTCTTGTACACTTGTATGCATCTCTTCCATAGCCAACATCATGCTCGCAATGCGGAAATGTCCCGTGCAAATCGGTGACAAGCAGGACCCAGTTCAGCTAGTGAAAGCGCACTGCACTAACTAAACCCCTTTCTCGCTTCTCTAATGTCTTTACAGGACTGGGAATTGTCTTCAGCGTTCACAGGAAAAGGACAAGCATTGACTGTAGCCGGTCACGATGTCTATAAATATCATGGCGTGTGGATCCGTTAGGGGGGTTAATTGTGCCGTGCTCCCTCTTTAACCTTAAAGACCCCTAGCAAATGACGGGCTAGTACCTCCTGTAGGGCTGTGTTTCTGAAACACTACAGGCTGTGGTTCTTTTCTTGCTAGAAACGTTCGAAATTGATTCTTGGCAGATGGTCCCAGAATAAATGGACACCGCGAGTGCGTGCTCGGCTCTAAGCGTTGCTCCGCCTCAGTAGCCGTGGTCTTGACTCGAGAGTTACCCGTTCCTGCATAGAAGGAAACTTCGGCCGGCTCAATATTATGTTATGAGTTCTTGCTGATGGTTGATGATCTCCTGAATGCTCATATTGGCATTAGCATGGAGCACTTCTCTCTCTACCCGGATTGAGTGGCGTAATTACCCGGCTAGCGACCGCGAGGCCTTCGTAGATGCCATCTCGTGCCTGACCAAGAAGCCCTCGGCCGGCGAGCACTTCGCCCCCTCTCAGAGCCGTTGGGAAGACCTCGCGAAAACCCACCAGATCCTTACGCACGCTGTTCACGGCAACGAAATCTTCCTTCCTTGGCACCGTGCCTTCGTTTCGACTTTCGAGGCCCTACTACGCAACGAGTGCGGATTCGACAGGCCCCTGTCATGGTGGGATGAGACTCTCGATGCGGGCAAGTTCAACGAGAGCAGCATTTTCACTCCTGAGTATTTTGGCTCGCTGCCCGAAGCAGTCGACGACGACAACGATAAGTTCTGTGTCACCGACGGCAAATTTGCCAACCAGACCTGCAATATTGGACCGGGAGGGGACAACAACACTGTCCACTGTCTGTCGCGCGCGGGTAATGAAACGATCTCTGGAGAGATCACCACGGATTACATCAAGTTATGTTCGCAAATAGATCGCATCCGCCAGTTTACCGGCTGCCTGGAGACTGGGTAAGAACTCTAGTCGACCCTGAATTCTTTCAGTTACAAAATTTGCTTACAATTTGCCTGTGACAGAACCCACGCTTCCGGCCACAACGGCATCGGCGCCGTCATGGGAGACGTCTGGGCTGCGCCCGAGGACCCCGCCTTCTTCATGCACCATCTTTTCGTCGACGCACAATACGCATCGTGGCAGGAGGGCGGGAACGGCACGCGTAAGAGCGCCGCCAGTCTCGCGGGCGGCTGTGCCGACTGGAGCTACCCCTGCACCAACCCCCTGAAGATGGATACTGTCCTGAGCCTCAACGGCCTCGTGCCCGCGAACTTGACCTTGGGGGATGTCATCGATACGCGCTCCGGCTCGCTGTGCTACGAATATGACTACTACTTCTAAGACTCGATCCCTTCAAGAGTAGTTATTAGGAAGGCTTCTACAGTGCTTTCCGGAGACCGGCCGTGTTCGTCCCAGGGCCAGATAATCATTTCGATCATACCGACTGACCACATCCCAGTTGGGTCGTTCATTTCTATTTGTAAATATTCAAATCTAAGTTATAAACAATTAATATTTTCACCCCGTGCGTGGCAGATATCTATTTGTTTGGTTTGTGTGTTGTCTTAGCTTTCAGCAGTCAGCCACTCCCTAGCATGTATTGATCTTGTGCCGTCCTCGATCAAGCAAAGGCAGTTTAACAGGATCGTCGATGAGTTCCCCGCTGATCCATGTGAGTGCTCCAGGTCTTCAAGCGCCACCCACATGAAACAGGCTGAAGGAGCTCGGAAGGGATCCCACACCAGGTCACCGCTTCGAAATCTATTCGGCGTTCTTGACATGCGATTTCCGGCTCAAATTTATGTAATCATTGAGTGTCGGCCTCGTGCGCGAAGCAGCGTTACTGCAAGTGATATTTTCCCGCATGTGCGCTGTGCATGCTTACCATGCCTGAGTCTCCCTGCTTTTCTGTCAGCAACGTCAAGGAGGCTGGTTGAGTTGATGCTGCGTAACATAGTCACCTAGTTACACAACGTGCTATGATCACGCACCCTGAACACTGGACAAATAGGGAGTACTGGGGGCTGCAGGTGGGACTTGACGCAGGCAGAGGGTGAGCGTGAGGAAGACTGACCGGTAGACCAAGATGTAAGCGCCGCCGAAAGAAAAAGATGCAGGCTGAGCTCGTGGCGCTCAAATGGGCAAAGATCGGTGTAGCTTGTGTATGCATGCATGTAGGCCATCTTCTTACCAACACATACCTAGAATTTCGCTTCCCCCACCATAAGATGGACCGAAGGGCTCTAGTTGCTTACTTGGTGGTGCTTCTAATCTTTTAAGCTAGGATGAAGGCTTTTTCCTTTTCAGCTATAGCCTCTGTAATCAAATCGCGCCCAGATAACCCACAACCTAAGCTGTCAGCAACGGCGATCTCGTGAGCTGCGTCCGAATTTCTGACGTACATAAGTGCTCGCCAAAACCAAAAAGGGCTCTCACACATTTGAGGCTGAGCCCGCGAGGAAGAAGCGCCATCTTCTTTTGTCCAGTCAGACGACTAGGTAAGTTCGAGCTACTGATTGGCCTCTTGATTCACTCAAAATGGTTATCGTTGGCTGACGGCACTTTTTCCCAGACATCAACACACCACGCCCCAAAATGCATCCATTCTGGCCAGATTTGAGAACTTCTCTTAGAAAGAACCCAAACATTCTTATCAAAGAAGCAGACGGTTCAAGCGCCTGGAATGCCACAGGGCGAGCCATAGAGCGGCACAATACCAGAATCCGATACGGCGTCGAGCGGTGTTTGAGCCAAATCAAGGCGGCAGAAGGATCGCCAATATTTCCTCAGCTGAACATCATCGGCCGAAGACAGGAAAAGGCCAACCCGACCATCACGATCTGCTCTGATAGTCAAGAAGCAATGGAAAAGCCTGAAGCGGCAATGGGAGACCGTGGCTCTCTTCGTCGGTGTCCAGATTCCCGGCAAGATCCGTGCTCTCTCCCACTCGCAGTCGGCTGTGTTTCCAATTCCTTGCCCAACGAAGAATGCCAATCTAGAGGCTCACATGCCTCTGGAACCAACGGAAGTGACCCCAAGACCTCAAATCCTGTTGCGAGTGGTATATCGGGGCCGCGACTCGGCAGAAGACTCGAGTTCAAAATATCCTCCGAGACAGGGTCACGCGTTCAAAAGGCGACCGGCGGACTGATACTTAGAATTGGCAAGGAGCTGTATCAGATCACTAGTCTCCATGCCGCAGAAGCCTTAGGGGAGTCGAATTTGATGCCAAAGTCGGCTTCTGAGACCGACGAGTGCGAGTTACCTAGTGGCGCAATCGGCTGCTCATTGAAATGGAAAGACCAAGACGTGCATTCGGCATCGCCAATTTCGATGGACCCTACGCTGACGAGCCACAAGTTAACTCCGCCTTACACACTTATCAAACTGTCAGAGCTAGAAATCGGCCAGGCTAGCAATGAGATCCTTGGAGGAGAAGGCGACGGTACACAGAGAAAAGTGATCCTCAACGTTGCCAAGGTTGGCAATGAAGCCATCAGCATCGTCGTGGTGACGTCTCGCGGACCAATTGCCGGCGTGGTCCTGCCTGAAAAGACTTTGCTCAAGCTTGGTGGCTCATCACTGTCCCAAGCAGTGCACACCGTCAAGCTTTCAGAGTTGATTGAGCAGGGCGACTCCGGCTCAGCAGTCATTGATCCTGCCACGGGGACTTGCTACGGGCATGTGATCCTCGGGGCTGAGCGAGACTTCGTGGCTTACATGGTGCCAGCACCTGAGACTTTGGCTGACATTCTTCTCAACTTTGGAAAGTTGCCTTCCCTACAACTCCGGCGGCCTTCTGTAACAGAGCGGTCCGGCGACGTCAAAAGATGGAAATGTGTCGTTCCAAGAGCTGAGACCGATTGCCAGCCTCTGTCTCCGTTGGATAAGTGTACGTCCTGCAGCACAGGCAAGCTATACAGCACACGAAGCCGGGCGGCCGCGCACTTGAGGCGGAATCACCTTTGCAGTGAGCCAGCAAACCGGAGAAAGAATACGAAGCAGACAGACGGCAAGAAGGGCGATCGACTTCCTGGGGCTCAGCTGAAAAATTGCATCAGTGAGATGACAGTGACACCTCTGTACGCCAAGGTAATGGAAGCCGAGTCGGACTCAGATTCAGACTATGATAATGACGCCGATGTTACGGATGATGAGCCGGAAACAGTGTTGCCCTCGGCATTTTCTACGATGGCCATATCAAACCGACAAGCCAGTGCAGGAGAGGAGAACAAGGAGCTGCGACGTCACAACAAGCAATTGGAGGATGGACTCAAACTTTTGGAAGGCGACATCGATGTGCTAATGGAAGATAGAGAGGAACTTAAACAGAAGGTGGATTATCTCCAAAGAATATTGTTGGAGCAGGAACTAGAAGCCCCATTGGGTATAGGACAGCCTGGCTCTCTCTTGAGAGTTGGGCAGGGATGGACCGAGGCCAGCGACGAGAAATATGAGTTCAGCGACCGACTAGACACGATATACTCATGCGGGTCTTCCGACACAAGCATGAACAGTCTGCTACAGTGGACAGAGTCCGTCTCCTCTGAAAGCAGTCGTCCGACGAGCTACGAGAAGGAAAGCTATGTCTCGCCGAAAATGACCATTCACTCGGATCTGGATGTCGGCCACTTCATTAGGAGATCCTCAACGCGCCGGAAAGCACCACCACGCCGAGTTGGACGCAAGCCGAGGCTTACGCCCATGCTTGCACACCTGGGCATGAGGCACAGGAATGGCGCCGCAGACCGGCACCTGAGAGCACTGGCGACTTCATGGAAGAAGAGTGGTACAGTGCTTGCGAACCGGGTCGAAAACAAGGAGCGAGTGTTTCAACGAGGATATGCTCCATGGTCCGGTAAATGGAGTCGAGGGGAGCGTCACTATACCCTTAAATGGGTACACAAACGTGGTCTTCCCGCAGCTGGGTCATGAAGACGACATACAAGGAGTACGATGCATCTCAAATTCAAGTTAAAGAATTCCTGGGTTTTTGGGGAAAGCTCTGTCAGTCTGGAGAGCTGGGCACTCGTGAGGAGGACTTGTCGCGGGATCGGTATAATTTCTGTCAAAAAGAGGGGGCATATGAGATGTACGGGAGAGCTTGTCAAGACGCATTGGTTTCGTGAATCATAATCGTGTAATTCTGTAAAGCATTGACCAAAATTGGCCTTGTCGATCTCACTCGCTCGCTGCGTGTATTCCAGTCCATTCCATCAAACGCCTCTTCTGCAACGACATCACATTCTTATTTGGCCCATGATGAATTTTCCCACACCAGCATCGCATGCATGGGCACCCAAACCAACGCCTCGAATGACTCCTTCACATGACTTGGGCCATTGGCATTGTGTGTGACACTTCGTGTTGATTAGGGCAGAGGCTCGTAGGAGCCGCTGCCGCTGTTGTGCTTGGCACGGTCGGAGAAGAAGAAGTAGACGATGAGGCCGACGATGGGGAAGACGAAGACGCCGAGGCACCAGAGCAGCTTGTGGATGGGAGGGCGGTTGGACTTCAGGACCTCGACTGTGGTGGGGACGGGCGGGTTAGCAGGCTGGACTGAGCGGTGACCTCTACAAAGGGAGGGGGACTTGATGGGCCGTGGACGTACTGAAGACGATAATGTCAAGGATCAACACGATGAAGCCGATGATTCCACCACCGGTGCCATACTGCCAGCTGTTGTTGACGGTGCTGGCAGAGATCTCCTGTGCGACGGGGGCGGCAAAGGCGAGGGCGGCCAGGCAGAGCTGGAGGAAGAGGGTGTAGATGTGCTGGTACATGTTGCAGGCTGACGGTCTGTCTTGCAGCTTCAGGGTGGTATCGTGTCGAGGAGGGTGTTGATGTCGATCAGATTAGGGTGTCAAGTTGGGTGGGAGTGGGAGTGGGAGTGGTAGTGGGAGCGTGAGGAAGTAGAAGAGCGGGGGACAAGACTCTGGATCAGAACGAGGCGGTCGTGTTTTGTCTTTGTACAAGGTGCAATCGGCAGACATGTTCGTGGATTGCAGTTACGGAGTGGGCTGGCGGGGCTGCCTGGGCGACGTCAGCCCCACTTGGCAACATGATGTCATTGCATCCTGCCGTGTGATTCGTGGCCGAGGCAGTAAGGCGGGGAGCAATTGCTCCGCTTACACCTCCTCATACCTCCTTCGTACAGCTGAGCTGCACCACATAGCTGCACCACATACGCCCACCCTTCAGTCATCTGACTCCCGCTGCACCACCATGGGCGGCGAAGGCCCTACTATCGCCATCATCCGGGGTCTCAAGGTTAGGGTCCCAGTGCTAGACCGTTTCCTGAACGCAAATGGGGTCGATGAGACATACGGCCTTGCACCCTTCTACGATATCGACCCCGACCAGCAGTCACGGCTTCTACGCTCAAAAGTCGGAGGAGGCGATACACGCACCCGCATCTTTGTCCCCTCAAAATTAGGCCGTAATGAAACCAATTTTGCATATGTGGCTTGGGCCTGGGAGATGGTTTACGCTCAGAAGGAGATTCTCTTAGACCAGCACCTCCCTACAAATCCACCAACAGGATGGGCAGCTATGCGGGATGAGATATTATCCTTTAGTCATGATACGGATTCCAATTGGAACGCCGCTGGGCATGGAAAGACGGGATTATTTGTCGTAGTATCAGACGAACGGCCATACTTTCCCCTTTCATTCCTGCAACAAAATACTGTGAGTTATTCATCTTCGATTACTCCCTACATTTGCTTACGGCTAGAGACCTGCTAACCTGCTACTTTCTGTGACAGCCGCCTATCCATTGCGACCAATGCGAGGCCACTTTTGACTTGTTTCGTAAACGACAGGAGCACCGGAGACTGGAGCATGGAATCGATGAGGGAAGCAATCCACTCCCAGACAATGATTAACATGGATCACCACAACAGCTTTGGGCAATATTGTTATCAGGCACCTGGCTGGTTTGACGAAAGGCTCTACCTTCACTTTTCTACCCTAAAAGCGACTCCACGACTTCCAATGTGCGATTATACTTTCCACGTTGCCCGTCCTAGTCGCACAGTAAGCGCGTGATGAGGGATATGCCTTCGTGCCCCTACACTCTCCCTCATACAGCGAGCATAACCCTTGTTCTCGAACATCAACAAGGAGAGCCATCATGCTCCGGGATCTCGCCAATGAATTTGTGCACAGATGATCAGCCCCCCTTTACCACATCACTGATAATACAGGGTTTCAAGTCATTGATTTGGTTGCCCAGCCGGTAAGGATCAAGCTGACAAGCAAGAGCTGACACCTAAAGGCATCTTGTGATGCTGCTGAGTGCGTGTCAGAACACTCGGTCTCACCAGACACATCTCATCTTGTCACCTCAATAGTCGCCAGTGGCCCTAAATAGCTATCCTTTAGACCACCAAGATCGATCGCAATATTTTCTAGTATCAGATTCGTATGCAGCAGCCGGATACCGAGGACGTGTTCACCCTTCGACACAGTATCTGGATTCAGGGTATGTTGCTTCCTCCATGAGCAGTCCTGCACCGCTGTGAGCCAGCCTTCAGGAGAAGGTAACTCTGGATCTCTGGCTGGCTCAGGCTCAAGTAACAGTTCTCGATGAATAGGGCCATCGTCAATGCTCCATTCGTATGCCATGGGATCCGTTGGGTCAAAGTCAAGGGTCATGTTGAAGTATAGGACAAGAGTCGAGCGACCAGTAGTCCGGGTATCGGAGAAGACGAAGAATTTGTAGTCCACGAAGATCGGACTTGGGTATTCATTGTCTGGCCGCAGCGCAATCGATCCTAGTTGTGATCGACCTGTGTCAGGGAGGAATCGATGTGAGTGTTCCAAGTTTTGTCCTGCCGGCGCTGGAATACGGATGTGCCCATCCATCTCCACATAGCCCCTTTCAAAGCTTGGTGGAAGCAAACGGCCTGTTACCGGTAGATGGATCTGTTCGAAGTCACCTTCTTCGGAAAACACGTCGATGAGAATGACTTCGTCAAAGTCGCTTGGCAATAGGTCCTCTTGAATTCCAACATCGATCCTTTGGTCGTCCTCTCCGGGAACCAAGGTCCCAGACTCCTTCGAGAAGCTCACCCAAGGGTACGGCACTTTCAGGGACCAGTGAACCGTCGAAGGCCCACGAGTGAATAGCTCGAACCATCTCGTATCCGTGCTGTAACGAGACATTAGACCTAGCGTGACACCAGGGACCAAGTCTCCGCGACTCGGGTGGGTGAAGTCACTGTTCTCATTGGTCAAGCCTGGCCTCACTCCTTCGTGGCCCTCGACCATGACACCCATGTTGCCAACAATCGGATTCGACTTTTGCCTCGTCTGGACGTAGCAGAGTCCACTGATCATATCTCGACTCGGGGCGTGCCAGGTGTCCCGAAAACCGTAATGTGGTTGGGAGAGAATATTGTTCCACTTCCCTCCAAGCAGAGTGTGGTACTCCTCCGAAAGATCAAAATCAGCATCGAAAAGCTCGAGGACCCGCTTTGCCACGAGGTTTGTGGAGTTGCGCCGCTGCCGCGCGTACATCTGGTTTCGTGCCAGGTTGACCTGCAGGCGCACGAAGATGGCACTTGCTTTGATGGGGTGCAACACCAGCTGGAAGATGGCCGGCTTTTGTTCCTCGGTGGCACGGTCGCAAATAGACTGTGCGAGCCCCAAGAGCGATTCCCACTGCGCACAAATCTGTTCGGCTTCTCTGTAGTGAAGAAGAGAGAAAGTCGTTGGTTCGATGTGCTCATGGCGACGCAGAGCGACGAGTGTGTCGTATTCATGCCAAGCTTTTGCGATATCCTGGCTGAGGTCAACACCAAATTGCCGTGCCGAAAGACTCAAGAAAAAATCGGGAATACCATCTGGCTTGACAGAGTTGATGTCCCACGCCAGAGACATGGCAAATGTCAGAGGGAGCTCGAGCGGCTTGATATCTCCCACGTTGAACACCCAGATCTGCCTCGCCCCTCGACTATGGGCTTCCTGCAGCTGGTGCCATGTCTTGCCCAGAGAGTTGCTGTTGATCCACTTGTAGCTTCGCGGTGTCCCAACATATTCGAGATGGTAGTAGAGTCCCGCTCCTCCCTTCCTTTTGGACTCATCTCCATGTGGAAGCCGCCTAATGCTCCCGAAATTGTCATCCGAAAACAACAGCGTCACATCGTCAGGTACGCCTAGTCTCCCACTCTCATACTGCACTTGCACTTCCTTGTACAATGCCAGCAATTGCGGCACTGCATCTTCTCGTCCATGGACTTCCTTTATGAGAGACCTCTGCGTACGCAAAACGTCTCTCACGACAGCTGCTGGATCCTCACCTTTCATTTTCGTGTCATACTCGCCCCTCATGCCCATGGTAAAGTAGCTCTCATAATCTTGTGCCCTCTCCACGCCCTTTCTGAAAAATTGGGTGATCTTCTCTTTGTTGCTGATCCAGTCCCAAGTCCCTAAGGGATTGCCCTCCGCCAGCCACTCATTGCTCAACCTCTGCATCGGCTCATGGTGGGATGTCGACATCACAATTCCGTGTGTGTCGGCAGCTTTCTGGTTGTCCGGGTCATCTGTGAAGAAACTTGCTCCTGGGTTTGGATAGCCCGGCCACATTGCAGGCCACAGAAAGTTCGCCTTTAGCCGAAGCAGAAGCTCGAAGACCTTTTCGTAAAATTTCACGTTGTACCCGCCGAACTTCTCGCGCACCCAGCCTGTAAGTGCTGGAGCTTCATCGTTGATAAAAATTCCACGGTACTTGATACTGGGAGGGCCATGAATGTTGGTCTTATCGGTAGCAAAGATTTGAGAATGGTGCTGTGGTGGCACATCAGCCCACCAATACCATCTTCGAATTTTCAGTCAGTTACGTGGGCGAATACTTAATCATTGGTCGACATGGTGAATAAATGCAGACGAGGAGGGGGCCACCTTACGGAGACACGCCAATCTGCTCTGACAATGTATAGGTACCGTATATTGTGCCTCTTTTGTCACTACCAGCAATGACTAGTGCCCAACTGCAGCCTTCGAAAGGGTCACGGACAAGACTCGTTTGAAACGACTCCCATTTCCCTCGAATGGCAGAAAAATCAACTTTTCCGCTGTTTTCCAGTTCCTGCACCAAGGAGCTGGACTTGATGCAGCCTATGATAATGGCGACGCCTCCATGGACGTCAATGCGCGCGTTATCGCTTATAAGGATGTTCCTCGGAGGCTCCTTCGTAACCCGAGAAAAATCATCAGCTAGATTTCTTGCCGCGATGTGCACTCCTTCATAATCGCGCTGGTCCACAACAACGACCGAGTTCTGTAACTCGACGGAGGCCTGTGGGCTTCTGGAAAACATAACAGGTCCTTCCTCAGGAATCGCTGAGTCTAATGCCGTGGGCGATCTCACAAAATTTTGAAGAGGCATCGTAGAATAGCTACACCGAGGTCGCCTTGAACAAATTAGATTTCTTGGGTCGACATGCGCGGGTTACACAGTCACGTCGAAATGGCCAAGTCTTTCCCCGCATCAACGGAGGTGTTAGATTACCCCCATTTGTATCCGCATAACACAGAGGCACGGATAATTGCATCCAATTCAATAAAGCGAGAAAAGGCCTTGGTGGGGCTTTTTTACCCGTCTTACTCGAATCATTTTCAAGTCTCCTAGTCAAAGTCAGGATCTATATAGGGAAGTGGCAAGTAATAAGATCCCAGAATCTGGACCAAAGGCGATAGCATTCTTTATGTCTTACTCCTATCATCCTACAGAATGTCACTCGATTGACTTACCAAAGCGGTATTTCAGACTTGGGTATTTTGGAAATGTCACTTAAGATAGATTCCAGTGATTGCTCACTATCCGCCCGACCCCTTTGTGACCCACCTTTGCATATCCACACTACGTTTTTTCATTATACGCTTTCTTTCTATATTTAACAATTCAATAACCTTGTTTTGTTCACTTATAAGTACATCGAGCTTCAGATCCTACTTTTCCAAACTCTGCATTTGCAACTCTTAGAAGCAGCCCTTCATCTTCTTCTTTCAAATCTGAGGTTAGTTGTCCAGTCTGAGCTAGTAGGCTGACAAAGCCGCGGGCGTTGAGGCTTCTTTTTCTTTTTCCCTTTTCGTTTTTCATTTAAAATGTTCTCGGTGGCTTGGACAATGTGATCACCATGCAATATATATAGGTAATACAAGAGAATGTTCAACGGATCCTGAGACACAGTCGAGTTACACCTGACGCTTGTGGCTTGTTGGGCTGCATGCTATGGGGATCTTTGCGATGTAATAATCGGGATCATCAGCAGATATGCATACGCCACGTCGAAAACCTCCGGCTCAATATCGTGATATGCAACCTTTCTGAACTTCCCGAACGGTAGACTGCTAACGATGCTCTCTGCGTCGGTTCGCTCTTTGCATCGGAGCACGTCTTCGCCTCAGTCGGACCACGAACCAGGGCGTCTTCCGGACCAATATTCAATGATACTTCTTGTTTCTTGATTTCACTATAAGAAGGTCTGCCACTTCTTGATCCTCATTTTGGATGGTCATCATTTTCTTAAGCCATAGATTCATGAGTCGTCTTTTTACACTTCATCAAGCTGAACCTACCGCGATGTCTTCCTCAAACCAGGCGCCAGCCTCAAGGCTAGTCGAGCAGGCAAGGAAGACCGTTGCGAAGGCTGTTGAATATGCATGGGACATTGCCGAGCTAGATGGTCACTGGTGCGGTGAATTGCGCTCCAATGTTACCATGACGGCGGAGCAAATCTTTTTCTATCTTGTAATACATCCAGATATGAAAGAAATCCCCTGTGCCGACGAATACAGACGCTACTTGCTTGGACAACAACAAGATGATGGGTCGTGGTCCATTGCCCCAGAGCACCCGGGAGATGTATCGACGAGCTGTGAAGCATATCTGGCCCTCAAGATCCTGGGAGAGTCTCCAGACGCACCGGAGATGGATCTAGCAAGACGCTTCATCCTGTCCTCTGGCGGAGTAGAGAAAGTGCGCATCTTCACGAGGTTTTTCTTTGCTCAGTTCGGGCTGTTCCCGTGGGACGCTACGCCGCAACTCCCAGTCGAATTCATCCTCGTACCGCCCTCCGTTCCCATGAACGTCTACAAGTTGTCATCTTGGGCGAGGTTGACTATTATTCCGATGCTCATAATTGCCCATCACCGACCGGTCTATGCCTTGCCAAACGGCCATTCCGCGAAGAACACCTTCCTGGACGAGATCTGGCGGAACCCACTCGACAAAATGGTGCCACTAGTCCCCTCATTCCAAGAAATGTTCAGCTCGGGCTATTTGTCATTTGCTTTCAGCGCTGTCGACAAGGTCCTATTCTGGCTGGGCGGCTTGCGCAGGAACCCTCTCCGTCAGTACGCTCGCCAGCAATGCGTGAAATGGATTTTGGAACGCCAAGAGCCTTCTGGAGATTTTGCAGGATATATCCCGCCCATGCACGCCGGTGTCCACGCTCTGCTCCTTGAAGGTTACAATGTTGATAGCGACCCAGTCCGTCTTGGGATTGAGGCTCTCGAAAGATTCACCTGGCAGGACGAACGAGGAAAACGGCTCCAGGCTTGTCCGTCCCCAGTGTGGGATACTGTGCTCATGACGAGGGGCCTGTGCGATGCTGGTGTTTCCGTTGACGACCCTCGCCTTGAGAAAGCAGTGGACTGGCTGAAAAGGCGCCAAGTGATGGGGCCAGAGGGCGATTGGCGAGTTTACAGTCCAAATTCGACACCAGGAGGGTTCTCGTTTGAATACTGCAATGAGTGGTATCCTGACGTGGATGACACAGCTGCAGCTATCTTGGCCATGATCAGCCAGAACCCTCACGCGACCCACTCCAAAGCCGTGGTACACGCGGCAAAGTGGACATGTGGGATGCAGAACAAGGATGGAGGCTGGGGTGCCTTTGACGTGGACAACGACAAGCTGTGGCTGAACAAGATCCCCTTCAGCGATATGGACAGCCTCTGTGATCCTTCAAGTGCAGATGTTACCGGCCATATCTTGGAGGCTTTCGGCCTCCTGATCCAGAAAGGTCGGGAACACAAGATCGAAATTGACGAGGGACTTCTGGACCAGATAGTTCTCGCATCCCATCGTGGCATCTCATACCTGGCCCGTACTCAGGAGACAAGCAGCGCGTGGTACGGTCGATGGGGAGTCAACTACATCTACGGCACCAGCAATGTATTGTGCGGGCTCTCATACTTCACAGAGGACGATCAAGTCATGAGTATGACGTTAAACGGCTCACAGTGGATCAAGACTGTACAAAACAGCGATGGTGGGTGGGGCGAAAGTCTCGAAACCTACCGTGATCCGGAGAAACAGGGAATCGGCTCTTCGACTCCTTCACAAACGGCATGGGCTCTAATGGCACTCTTAACGACGTGCACTTCAACCGATGAAGCGGTGGTGAGAGGCGTCGAGTACTTGATCCGCAACCAGAATGATGTTCGGGGCAAGGGCATATCATGGTCTGAAAATCTCTTTACTGGAACAGGGTTTCCAAATTTCCTCTACATGGGGTATACTTTGTATCGTCACTACTTCCCTCTCATGGCTCTTGGTCGATTTATTTCTTTATCTGGCGAATCTGCGAGCATTAGACTAGGGGAGCTTATTTAGTCATCTACAGATTTGTACGTTGAATAGTTTTAGAAAGGACTAACAAATATTGATGCTTTTCTAAAAAAGATTATAAAGTTGTTTTCCATGGGAAACTATGACATTATTGTTACCCAGGTACGTAGGACACATAAAATGAAGGCAGATAAAAGGGATTGTGAGATACTAATTAATGCAATTGTAAATTTTTGAATTATATCTTCGCATCTTTGCATTTTACTTTTGAACACCTCCAATCAAATCGCACACGCCTTGTCATCTTCAAATTCCCGGCTGTTCTCGATGAGTGTGGTGACACCAAAGTCGATGGCTTACTCCGCATCAATCCTTTTCTTTTTACACTTGAGCAGCCATAGACATGTTGCATGCAACAAATGATCGAAGACCGCGGCAACATTTGGCGATCGACGAATGTTCTTGGACATGGAGAGCTGATGCCCTTCCCCGAACAGAAGGGTCTCCGTCCGCGTTCCACGATCAGGGCGTTGTGCTCTCATCGAGTGGGATTTAGCGCAAATTCTCCACGACTCCAGAGGTTGTTCTTTCTCACGAATTTTAAACCATCCAAACATTGCGTGAAATCTCGTCTAAGTCGAGAAATTCAAACAACATCCTGTACATTTTTTGTATCTCTCTGAGGTTCTCTGTACGCGACTGCTCTGTCATCGAAACTAATTCTAGGGTCCTACACATGTAATCTTTCATTGATCATTCGGGCTACCTTGCAAACTACGTCGTCTCCGCATCTCCTCGAGCATTATTTGCTGTACGAATACACGCCTCTCGAAGACATATCGACAATTCAACTTTTGAAGATGCTTCTCGAGCGAGAAAATCGACGCATGATGCGGAATATAGACAGCTCCGGGTCCATCAATAATTTCGACCCAATGGAATTCGTCAAGGTAACTCTGCTATCGACAAAGGGTATCTGCTACAGACTGGCAGGTCTTTCTACTAACAATAGGAGTGCCGTGCGAAGATCAAGAACGCGTACAAGCTCCTTAGGAATCAGTCCCAGAGGGAAGCATTCAACGCCTTGTACAACGACATGCTGAGAGCATATACATCAACCAGCGCATTTTACGCTTTGCTGGGAGGCGTTACAGAGTCAGAATCAAGGTGCTGTACACCGGCAATGTCCTTCTCCGCTAAGTCTTCCGGCCGCTCAACACCAGATAACCCGAGTTGCGCATAGATCCGGTCCATCCTAGCTTTGTCTTCCTGAGCAATAGTGGTATCGTCGCCACCAAAGTAGATATCGAGCTCTTCCAGCGTTTTGTCCTTGGTCTCCGGAACCATCTTCCAAACAAACAAAGTGCCCATGGCGCAGAAGCACGCGAAAAATATGTAAGTTCCGTACTTCATCGATGCCAGCATGTCTTTAGTTGTAAGACCAATGACAAAGTTGAACATCCAGTTGGTGGAAGCGACAATTGAAACACCCCGAGACCGAAGGGAGTTTGGGAAAATCTCTTGGGCCAGGACCCACGACACGGGTCCCCAGCTATAGGCGAAGTTTACGGCAAAGAGCCAGATGAATACGATGGCGACCCAGCCGCCGGCGCGGTGTGACGGCCAGTCGTCCTCGAAGGAACCTTCGACCGCGGCGACAACGACGTGGCATGCCATCATTCCGATGGCACCCGCCATAAGAAAGGTCTTGCGGCCAAACTTGTCAAGATAGAGTACGGCGGGGAAAGTAAATAGAACTTGTAAAATTCCAGTAACTCCGGTAGCGAGGAGCGTTGTGGTGGTGTCCGTGAAGCCAAATGTTGCGAAAATCTGAGGTGCATAGTAGAGAACGGAGTTGATACCAGTCTATGTGCAGCAGCCATTAGTATTATGCTATGCTACATAGCGATGCTGAACCTGTTTGTGAGGACTTACAAATTGTTGGAAGATCATGATCCAGACACCGATTGCAACACGCTTCAACATGTTCATCTGGAACATTGGCTTCCAGGTGCCAAAGCGGCCATTCTGGGCCAGCTCCGACTCAACCTCATCGTCGAACATGACTGCGGCTTTGATCTCGAGGAATTCAGTTCGCAGAACCGGGTCCTCGGGTGTGAGTCGTCGCAGTTTGGACAGGGCAGACAAGCAGTCCTCGTCACGGTGTTTCATTGCAAGCCAACGCGGGCTGAAAGGTAGGAAGAACATGCCAACAAAGAGTGTCCAGGCGAAGATGAGCTGGAGTGCCAGGGGAAATCTCCACGAGATGTCTTTTTCTCCCGAGCAAAGATGACCATGAGCGGCATTGTAGTTGAAGGAGCCGTCCTCGAGGTACCAATCGGCCTCCGGAACACCATATGGCTTGCACTCGCTACCGCCAACGAAGTGCATTCCGTAGTCCAGCCAGAAAGCAACCGCAGTACCGATCGTAATCGAAAGCTGCTGCAGAGACACGAGACCACCGCGGAGCTCAGGGGGCGCTATTTCAGCTTGGTAGAGCGGAATAACCATGGAGAACATGCCGATACCAAAACCTCCAATGACACGGCCGGCGAAAAGGTGGTCGGACTTGGTGGCGGCGAATTGTAGGCACGTGCCTGCAGTGAAGATGATAACGGCAACCATCATAGCGTATTTCCGCGAGATGGAATCGGCCAGCCAGCCGCAGAAAAGGGCGCCCGCCCAGGCACCAAGCTCGAGGGCAGCGACGAGCCAGCCCTGGATGGTTGAGCCCATCAGGTCGGGGAACTGGGCTTGGAAGTTCTCCATCACCAGGATCGAGGACATGACGCCCTGATCGTATCCATACATGCAGCAGCCGATGCTGGCGAAGGCGCAGGTCATGAAGACGTATGGATTCTTCAGCATGCCTACGATGCCGTGTTCTTTGCCGGCAGCGGCGCGGCCAACGGCCGACTGGCTGGTTACAGCTCCTCCGGCGACCATTGTGTTGTGTTGCAATCGATGGTAGGGGTTAAGGAGGTGCAACGAAGTAAAGGAGTATCGACAAAGGAAAGCTCAGTATATTTGAAATTAAGATGGTCAACAAGCAACCTTTTAACAATAAATTTCCTTGGTGCTTGTTCCTAATCGGTGTACCTGCCCCCTGCTCTTCATCTGCTCCTTCAGCACTTCGTGTCTTCCGAAATCCCCTACTTTATCTCCGAGCCTGTAAGTCCACGATCATCTCCAAGGTCATTCGGGACAACGAGCCGCAGTCCATACGCGTCATTGAAACCAATCAAATAGTCAGAACGCGCACATGATTCGTAGTGGTGTAAGAGTCCAGTCTCGAAGTCTGTAGAAGACACGCCGGAATGCGGCCGACCGGTTAGACCGCCTTCGGCTAAAGTGAGGCTTTGGGATCGTGTTGGAGGCCAGTTAATTATACCGGACGGCTATCACCCTCGGAACACCAAGTAGGAAGCCCGTAGCGTTCTGGATGAGTGGCTGGTGTGCACGGGAACCCCTCATGAAGACCGTGTTTGTAAGCCTGGAGAAAGGCAAGAGTAATGTTCCCCAGTAGGCCCCCTGAATTGTCTCCAGGTGAGTCCACTACTTCTCCGGGGATGGAGTCGTGTACTCGGCCATACTCGCGGTGGTATTCTGGGCCCTGGAGGGACTGGTCCTGGAGGATCGGGAACGGCGAGGATTGGCTAAAAAAGAAGATCTCGGGCAAGATAATGGAAGAAGACCACAGGTCGCGCTGGATCCTGAGCGTGCGTTGGCCAGTTTTGGGCTCCGTCTTGAAGTCGGGATATTCTGGCCTGTGTGTGTACTTGGGGAATCAGTCGGCCTGCGATCATTGACTCGTCTGGGTCTTTCACCCAACATCGTGGGTGCTATTCATGGGCTTTCAATAAGCTTGGGCGTTTCCAGAACATATTTATCCATCCATGCGCGGATCTTGAACGTCGTCGATCGCGGCTCATGTTCGTAGGTTGGGGTGTGATTGTCTGCTAGCCAAGACAAGCCGCGGAGGCTTAACAACCCTTGGCAGAAAGCTTGGTGAAGTTCCCGACGCGGCGTCCGTGAAGATTCCGCGGCTCTGGGAAGCCATGCCTGAAGCGCAATCTCGTTATCCACAATCCGCGTAGCCCTACTGTCGGATTGAAATGGTACTGGGCTTTTTTGTGGAGCAGGTCGGGACGATCGGCATGGTTTCTCGGCCAGATTGTGGGTCGAGGTGGGATCGGCGTCGGCTGCGGCCAACAAGGACGCCGCTCGAAGAGAACAGCACGAGGTCTTTGGCCTGGGGAATCTGGAGTAACGTTCTCGAATCATCCTAATGCCCACGGGGTTGGCTCTGGAGGTCCCCAAGCTCCTCTTTTCAAGGTTCTTGCGCTATAGAGCACTAGCGCAGTGAACTGAGATCCTCATTGAGATTGCATAGCTTCCGCCGAGCTGCCAACCATCGCTTTGGTAATCACAGGTCAGTATAGCGGTGACTTTCTAGATCCGGAAAATCTTGGGTAATGTTGTTTTGACTCCATCCAATATTTTGAATAGGGGCATTGGGCTATTTACTTTATAAGACGGCAGATGCAGAGATTTTATTGACGATTAGCTAGATCATGTGTATGAAATTCTGCTGGCTTCACAGGGAAACGATCTCTTCTCATTGACGGGTCTCTCACTCGACCACCTCCAGAATCCATAAAGCTCCCGTTACTGGATTTTTGTGTATCTTCGGGTTCGCGTTATTTCCGTCCGTAATTAGATCACAATCATTCTAAATCTATGACATAGCATGATGGGACAACGAGTGTGTATTTTGCATAGAGGTCTCTAGCTCGGAAACGAGGGTAAGATCCACCCTCATCAGTCCATGTATCCGATGCTTGTTTAAAAAGTCACTTCTCCAAGCTTTTCCAACTCAATCACTAAATCAAAAGAATAAAACGAAAAACAGGCGAGATCTCGGGGGAAAACCCACGATCGTAAGAGTGACAGAATAAACAACCATTTATCAAACTAGAGGGCAGCATTTACCACGGAGTGTCCCCAGTCGTAGCAAGATAATACTGCCCTGAGGCCGCGTTGACAGCGTTGGTAACGTCCTTGAGCGCAGTCTGGACTGTTGCGCCGTTGTCGTAATTGGCGCCAGAGTAGCCGTAAATGATCCCATCGACTTTGATCGAGTCCACTAATTGTTTGACATACGCGGAGTCTCCCGACGAAGTCGTCCACGAAAACACCTTGGCAAAATTGCCCGATGAAGCGGCTTCCTTTAGGTTGGCAACCCTGTCGGCAAATCCGTCCTTGATTGTGGGACTGCCCCACGAGTAGACACGCCGGCTGTTGTCACCAGGCCCGGAGCTGTCAAAGCTCTGCTGGGCCCACGGCAGGTTCCCATCTAGGTTGACTGCCTCATTGCTATTAAGGTTATTGGCGATCCGGGAGTATGTGTTGTACTTGTAGGTGGTCCCGTAGAAGCCATACAGTGCCCTCACGCCGACCGGCTGCAGGATCTCGCGGGCCAAGTCCCGGAGGGCAGTGACGGAGCAATGCACCCACTGAGGATCGTCGGCATTGCACCAGTCGGCGTTCTTAATGTCAAACCACACAAAGGTCACGGGCTTGCCGACTCTTCGCTGGTCGGCGACCGCCTGAAGGACCTCTCGTGCCGTGCCGCCGGCACTGGTATCTGTCCCGTCGTGGTCTGCCCACCACCCGCTCTTGCTCCAGGGCTGAAAGTCGATCTCCACTGCATTTGCACCGTGGCTAAAGGCGTTCTTGACACCCTGGACAGTGAGTACTCGGTGGGCTATGGCGTAAAATGGTTTCGTTGCCCGTGACTGAATTTGAGCAATTGAATCCTCGGTGCTCCTAGGGCTCCGTACATCCAATGTAAAACCATTTTCGAGGAAGTCTGAATTTGCAGCTGGCAGGGCAAAAGCCGATCTGAATTGGATAGTGAGCAAGGCGCATAGGCCATGGATGAGTCTTGTTGTGGAAAACATTGTCAAGATATGGGCAGGTCGACAAACTGTAGAGGTCTGGGACTAGTTGTTCTCCTCCTCTGCTGCACTTGGCTATAGATTCTTTATACTTTCCATCTTGATGGCTCTGGATATCCATAGCGCGGCGGCTGAAAGGCGAGGCTGGGCAGTGAGTAAGAATTACCTAGGTATGTGTCTCATTATGAGCCATTTGAGACAGAGATCATGTCATTCATATATGGAGACATACGATGCGGCTGAGGTAGATAAGGGATCTCACATCTACGCATAGAATAATGAGTCAGCTCTCTGTTGCACGACAGTTGAGACACTGGTTAGGCTATCTGCTCAACTCAAAATATCGAAAGCTAACGTCAGCGGCGGCTTACAAAAGGTCTAGCCTTTCCGTACTGAAATTGCGATTCAAATGTGTCTCAGTATCTAGAGGTAATGCTCTGAATCATTCTCACACCAGAGTGGTTTTCTGGCAGAAATTACTCAAGTCTTTGGAAGGGATTGGTTGGACTGGTTACTGAGACTACAAGCCCCTTGGGTCATCCGCTTCTGTCTGCTAAAAGAGTGACATGAGAAGCTCAACGTACTACTTGTCGTCATATTTCTCCAATATAGTTTTCCTCATCTTGAACACATCACTTCCTGTTATACAACCATGGAGAATGGCAAGGACTGTAGTCCAAACCATCAGTGTTCGTTCACAATTTCAGCTGCTCTATGCGGACGACCACAATACAATAGTAGCAGCTCTCTCTAGAGCAAGCCTGTTGATCGATAGCGCTCTGATATTTTTTCAATTTCAGGAGCATCTGTCGTCGCTCCAAACCGACTATTTCAATTAGTATTATTCTTGCTACTCAAATCACCGAGGAGAGCCGCAATATTTGCGAGTGTCGCAGGGCCTGAATCATCCCCTGAATAGGTATCATAACCCTGATTTATTATCAACAAACTCCCCAGACCTGACTGTGTCCAAGCCAAAAGCCAATCCTTCACTGTAGTGTCATTATATCCCGTCAGGGAGACGTCATGCATAATGAACGATGACCTGTGCCCTTGTTGGCTAGGGAAACTTTCCACTAATACCGTCTCGTCATAGGCCCAGGGAAAGTCCTCAAAGACATTCACGAAATCGGCGAGGTCGTAGTACTCAGGGTGGACGGGACCTGTTCCGGGATTTAGGATGATATTGGGCCCTTTGAGCCCATACGAGGCCCATATTCTCTTAGCAAAGAGAACTGCGGTCGTCATGTAGTAGACGTCGTCATCTGCCTTGTTTCCCTCCTGGTCGTTAGGGACCTCGTCGATGAATATTCCATCAAGGGCAATTGCCTTGTCATACAGGTGCCAGCGAGCCCAGTAGCTGATATTAACCGCCATCTCCCCCAGATATGAAGAATTGTACGCGGCGTGCACATAACCCCAGGTTTGGACGTTGTTGTAGGACTTGAGAATCGAGGTAGCATTACGCCACTCGTCGTTGAAGCCTGGATCACGACTCCCTGGCCCGTCTTCGACGTTGAGGATAACATCGAAAGTGACTGCAGGATTATCACGGACAACTTTGTAAACATAGTCCCATGCACCTTCTGTGGGATAGACGTAGAGTGGGAGAACGAGATGAGTGGCCGAAACTGTTGAGACCACGGCGACCAGAAAGATCAGGGACAAAGATAGATTCATCTTGACAGGAGCGAATACACAGCATCGAGTCTGAAAGAAGTGTGAAAGGGAGACAATTGATCATCACTAACATATAGACAAGGTGGTATTTGTCGCTCGAAAAAGTTGTGGATTTAAGGAGGGGGTAAAAGTATTCTCTTAGCATATTCATTCCACTTGCTCGTATAAAATGAATTCCATGAAGCATAATAACCTTATTGTCGAGTTTAATGTGTCCGGCTAACTAGTAAGTGGGAGAATACTCCAACACAATTGGATCTCTCCTCCCCATCTGCGCTATTGAACCTTAAGCACAAGGTTTATACTGGCCCGCAATTTCCGGTCACCATATTTCAGACAAAATTATATATACATCCTGCGATTCGGTGATAGACGTGCAAGACAACACATGTACTATTGGGTGGACAGAAGTGATTGTTGCAAACAAGTAGTTGCGGTATTCGTGCCTTGTCGCCTGTCATAATTGACGCTGGCATCATAGACTGACCAATCTTAGCACTGATTTTAGTTATATGGCCTCTATCGAATGGCGAGGGTCATATTCTGTTCTGCTTATTTGACAGCGAGCAGCCAAACAGAATGCATGCAAAACAGCTTTGGACAAAATTGAATTTTCAAGATTCGGGATTCAGGAGACTTAGTAAGCACCGTAGTCAATATGGATCGATTGTACGGGAGCAAATGGGGGCTGCTCTTTGGTTGTTGCCGGAAAAGGGCCCAGGTGGGGGGGGGGGAGAATAGATAGGTCACTTTGGGACACCCTTCTGCATATGCACCGTCTGCTGACTACATTTGTACGTCTGATTGGGCCTCAAGTAAGATCTATGCACCCGCACCCAAGCCCCAGGCAGAACGCTGAAGGCTGTGATGCCAGCTGAAGAGCAGAGTTTGCTGATCAATACATCACAATCGACCCCCCGAAAACCGCAGTCAATAGTCGAGAGATGTCCGTGAGGAACCATGCCAATTTTTGTTCAGTACCGGTATCAACCCCTATCCGGGGAGGATGCGATTCGGCTCATCGTTTTGAACCCATCGCAAGACAAGGAAGCTCCACTGAGTTGCTCCATCATTCAGCATCGGCGCTCGACAACACAAACTGTCACATACTCTGCTGTGTCATACGCATGGGGTCTCCCAGAATTCACGAAGAAGCTGGAAGTAGAATGCGACGGTGACGTTTCTTACTTGAGCATCACCCCTACTGTCGATACTTTGCTCCGGTATCTTCGGTCGCCCAACCGAACCCACCGTTTGTGGATCGACGCTTTATGCCTCAACCAGGCGGACGAGATGGAAAGAGCTCAACAAATCCCCATGATGGGACGCATCTATGAAGAGGCTGAAAGAGTCCATATCTGGTTAGGTCCTGCGAACCGCATGACAGCGAAGCTTTTCGGGTTTTTCCGAGAAGCTAGTTCGTTCCCAGAAGTCGAGAAGAGGGAAATGGCGATACGCGTTGTGTTCTCACTCAGCAAGCACTGTGGCAGCGATGGCTTCTGTGGACAGCAGTCACTATTTCAATTCTCTGAACGCGCGTGGTTCTGTCGCCGTTGGGTCATTCAGGAGGCTTGTCTTGCTCGTCAGGCCATTCTTCACTGCGGTCGCCATGGTCTACCTCTTCCAACTCTTGTCAAGGCTGCGGCTCGGTACCAAACTCTGGATGTTTCGTCTTACCCGATAAAAGTGATGGCGAACTTGAGCAGGCCGACGGCCGGTCTCAACATGTTGAAGCTTCTGTGAACCTTCCAAGAATCGGATTGCATGGAGCCCAAAGACCGGATCGCTGCCTTCCTTGGCCTCATCCGAGACGCGCGGAGCCAAAATCTACATTTGGACTACACGTCCCACTGGACTCGAATATATAGGGATTTAGCCTTCCATCTTTTCACTCTAAGTGATAATGATATTTCTCTCCAGGTTCTTCTCCATTTATTTGAATTTGGACCGATATCAAGACCGGAGGATCCATCTTATCCGTCGTGGGTCCCGGACTGGTCGAGAGCTCGACAACGGGATCTCCCTTATCACTCTCTCATCAAAAATCCAGACACCCATGAACATTACCCGACTTCCCCTGGAAACACAAATAAGGCCAGAGTGATAGTGAATTGCGACTCTTTGACTATTATTCCATACGCGCCACTTGGTCGACACCCTGGTGGACACGTTACTCGCGCGTTGAAGCTCGATTCTCCACCACAGAGCGAGGACGAATGCCCAGAAAGAGTACTGTCCATACTAGAGGATATCCTGCCCTCTACATCTGAAAGGAAGACCCAAATTTTTGCATTGTTTGTTTTGCTCGAAAAGATCCTAGGCTTTCAGGATCGGAACGCGGGTCGACAGTCCTCCATGCTACATTCTGAAAACTCCAGTCAGCACCCTACTGAGCTGCTCCATATTTCGAGCGCCTGTATCAAGCGATTGGACTACCTCCTACAAGAACATTGCCTATTCTCACTGGAGCCATTTGACCCGGGAAACAGAGCAGGGGGAATGTATGGCATTGGCCCTCAACAGATGGGTACGGGCGATGTCATGATTCCAATTTGGCAACTAGAGTGGAGAGATCAGCAAAAAGGCTCTCGTGTGAACGAGGATGTAGCTCAGTATACGACAACAATGCTCTCGGTGAGACCTACCATAGAAGGAACTGTGCAATCTCATTCCAACGAACCAGGAGCAGCAAGGCGAGTATCAGAGGGCAAAATCATTGGTCCGGCAGTATGTGTGGAGTTTTACGAGCAAGGAAACAAACAGGATGACTTTATCATTGGGAATTGGGACAACCAATCGAGCGGAGAGCAGCCGTACATGATGCGACTGCTTTAACTTTACGGAAACGATAGAGACGGTTGAGAAGTCTCGGAACGCTGCATTGAAGCATATTTGCCGATTTACAATCGTAGCTCATACTCTGAGGGTATAGTCTAAATACTGTCGTTTCACAGTGCGTCCCTCTGTTCTTATGGCTCATGTCGCTATCAGTTTCAGCCATGGTGTGCCACTGTCAGCAATGCTTAAATGCTATTGAAGATATAAGATAACCGGGGGAGGATCTGCGGCTGTACAACATAGGCTAACCCGCATGCATTCATTGAAGGATTCCAAGAAGGTCCACTACTGTGCTGACGACCCACCTACCTGGTCAAGCTCGTTCGCGGCATCCGATAGCACACATATGCAACAAGACTCGCTACTGCATGTACAAATCGTTACACACCTCGACCTTTGCGAGATGAAAATCGAGCGATCTGTTTCCACTGTGGTCTCGGAGGTGAAGAGCACAGCCAATAGCTCCCCTGGACCTTCGCTGCATGAAGCCGCCAAGAACGGGGATGTCCGCAGCCTGAGGAAATTGCTCCGGCCTGGCTCCGCAGCGGACGTCAACGAGCTTGACGACGAGGATAGAAGCGCCCTGCACTACGCATCCAACTCACTGATCGCGGAGAAACTCATAAACGCCGGGTCTGAAATTGATGTCGAGGATGCTGAGGGCTACACGCCGCTGCACAGGGCCGTGGCAGAGCGCCGAATCGACGTGGTCTGGCTTCTACTTGTTCATGATGCGAAGACCGACATCCGAGATGACGATGGCAAGACGCCCATGGGACATGCCAAAGGCTGTCCGGCGGCGGAATGGATGCTTCGCCACGGGCCTTCAAACAGTCTTCTTCGCGCTGTGGAGGCCAATAGGGCGGACGTAGTCGAAGCTCTCATAAATGCCGGAGCTGACAAGGAAGTCAGGGACGAGAACGACTTTGTTGCCCTTATAGTAGCCACACTCCGGGGGTCCTGGGACGCAGCTCGCGTTCTTATCGAACAAGGAGTAGACTTGGATGTGTACGGGGACATGGGCAACGGTGTGCTGCACATGGCTGCCCATCGTGCGCCTGCGGAGTTCATGGGGTATCTTCTCGACAAGGGCTTACCCATCAACTACCAGAACCATTGGGGCGGCACCCCTCTACTTGAGGCCGCTGAACGCGACAATCGGGACGAGACAATCGCTCTACTCCTGGAACGAGGCGCCGACCCGGAGCCGAGGAACAACGCGGGATACACGCCGCTGCAGCTTGCCGCCCGGTCTGGCAAGATGAATGTTGTCAAGATGATATTAAGCCGGATGAGAGAGCGTGAGCTTCTGGGTCCTTCCTATCCATCTAAACCAGGGGCCGGCTCGTGGTACCCACTGGCCGAGGCGAGCTACCATACCCATCCTGAGTGTGTGCGCCTGCTGCTCGCGGCTGGCTCAGAGCTGAATATCCGGAACGATGAGAGAAACACGCCGTTGCATCTTGTGGTTTGGCCCACCAACGAGCATCGCGAGGTCGATGATCAAACTGAGATCCTTCATCTGCTGCTTGACCATGGAGCATCGATTGATGCTAAGGGACATGATGAGATGACTCCTCTCGCATTAGCATGCCGATGGAACTCGCTTCCTTTGGTACAGATGCTCATTGATGCTGGGGCGGAATTGGATAGCATATCCTGGCATGGAAGGGGAGCGGATCGTGAGTTCGGCTATACGAGCCTGATGCTCTCTGTGGCGTTCGGGGGCGATGACAACCTGGACGTTGTCACAGCCTTGGTGAATGCAGGGGCAGATGTGAATGCACGGACACACCGTAAGAAGTTGAACGCGCTGGAAATGGCCCAGAGTCGAGGCAGGATGGATCTTGCCTCTGTCCTTGAAGATGCCGGGTCAATTTGTGATAAACCTCGCAATACTTCCATAGGTCGAGGGAGGCGTTGAGGACGATGTCGTCTGGCTTTGAAATGGAATACAAGTGGAGTGCCCTCTTCCTTTCTCTCTTATTTTTCTGAGGCGTTCAACACTGCAATGAGCAGTAGCAAAAGTGATGGGTGGCCTGCCTTGGCTTTAAAGTTATGGGCAGTGGTAAGAAAAACTCGCATTCGTGTAGCGGGCACATCAAAGGGAGGTAATTGGAAGCCACAGTCAGAATTCTGATTTTGCCTTTCCCGGTTGACCAAAAGTAGCAAAACAATCCTGAAGAAGTCCTTTGTGAGGGCATACCGGTGAAATCCACGATATCTTCATATATTGGAAACAGCAAGTAGATAAGTACTCTTTCATCGTATGAGACAAAATAAGGGCTAGATCTTGGTACATCATGATGTTATTGGATTGAGGGCAGTCAAGTATGTGAATGTGCGTCATTTCGATATTTCCATACAGCATTATATTGCGACGTATATACAAAGCCAGAAGTGATGATCATTTTCATGACCAACGACGGCTGGTACTCCCATACTATGAAGCCGGAATTGGGAACGGATCAACACTTGTCAGAGTTGGGACCACGGGTTCGATCAGCCCAGTATCTGGATCGAACGTCAACTTGTCAATCGTGGTCTCCCGATGAGTCCCGTCACCATCAGGTATATGGAACCGATGGTACGCAATGTACCAAGCATCCGTCCCTGGCACATTAAGGATGGAGTTGTGCCCCGTGCCCAGGATCCCCTGACTTGTGTCCTTCTGAAGCACTACACCTTGATACGTCCAAGGCCCAGTGACAGAGTCAGAGGTCGCGTAGCCGACTCGGTAGTTCTCTGATCCAGTGTCATCGATCGAGTAGGTGAGGTGGTAGATGCCATCACGATATACCAGGAACAGGCCTTCTCTGAAGTCGACAAGCCCGGTGATGTTCTGGACAGTGTCCCAGTTGATAGAAACCATGTCATCGTTCAGCTGGGCAATCAATGGCCGGCCGTTGCCCCACAACAGCCAGTAGATCCCCGTCTCAGGGTCTTGGAATGTCGCAGGATCGATTGCTTGGCCGGACGTCAACTTTTCGTTGTTGAGAATCATTGCGGTCGACTCCGAAACGAATGGACCATCCGGCGAGCTTGCAACGGCGGCGCCAATAGTTTTGCGGTCGTACGTTGGGTTGTTGCCACTGAAGTAGAAGTAAAACTTCCCATCTCGCTCGATAATGGTAGGAGCCCAGGCATTGCCAGTCGCCCACGGAACGTTGCCCGATGTGCCGTTGAGGACCAGGAACGGCTCTGATGCCCGAGACCAGGTGCTGAGGTCCGGGGACGACCAAACATAGAATTCCTGACCACCCCATCCAGCGAAACCGTCACTCGTCGCGTAAATATAGTACGTCTCCCCGAAGGCCGCAATGTTTGGATCGGCGTAGAGACCAGCCAAGACAGGGCTGTCGCGCGGCATGAGCCTACTCTTGCGATCTTTTCTGGCCGTGGCAAGACGGTCAGCGCCGGGTGATCTGGGCTTTGAGGAGCTGGCTGTCAAGGATGCAAGCTCGGCTGCGGTGACTGGGATGACAGTGCCATGCCTTGGGCTAGTAGGGAGTGTGTAGGAACTCGATACGGCCCACTGTGGGTTTGCGATATCCGCAGTCTCGAGAGGGATGTATCCGCGTCCGCCATATTCATCCACGAATAGATAGAACTTGTCGCCGTTTACGTCGTCAGGGTTTGCCTTGAAAGCAGTAGGGCCTTCGACTGCGCTTGTGCCTGCGTTCTTGCCAATGCAGCTGGTGACAACAGTCCACGACTCCAGTGTTGCGAGGAGCGAGTCGGATCGCTCTTGAATAATATCGCTACAGCCAGTTCCGCCGGCACCCTCGTCCTTGGTGAAGCGGTAGTAGACACTGTCAGACTTCAGAACAGTGGAATCGATCCGAGACATGCCCGCATCCTGCCAGATCTTTGTCTCGCTGAAAGTAACAAAGTCCTGGGTGGTTGCGTACAGCATCCGATGGTAGGTGGCCCCTGTCCGGTTCGTATCGGCCGCATCATAGAGAGAAGATGCCCAGAAAACAACATAGGCACTGATATCTTCGTCGTAGTATGCCTCGGGTGCCCAGGTATTACCAGCCTCTGGAGGAGAGACCAGAACGTGACGCTGACTCGACCATGTTTTCAGGTCGTTCGACTCCCAAACTTCGAGGTATCGACTCCCAAATCTCACTGCATCCGACCATGAAGTACCCGATCCGATGGAGAGGTCAGTGGCGATGAGAAAGAATTTGTCTCCCTCCGGTGATCGGATGAGGAAAGGATCACGCAGGCCTGTTGTTCCCAAGGAAGAGGTCAGAATGGGTTGACCTCCGTTCAACTCTTGCCACGACAGAGCATTGTTGCCAGAGCTTGCCGCGAGAAAGATGTTTTCGCCTGCTTTAGAGTTCCCTGTGAAATACGCGAAAACATAGCCCTCGTACGGGTCTAAGGCTGTGACGGTATTGACCGCGAAGGCAGAGGCCAAGGCCAGGAACGAGCCAGTGATCCGCATCTTGATGGAACGTCGAACAATGTGAAGACTCCAACGAGCATGATCGCGTCGCACGCGCCTGATGGCATGTATCTCGGACTTATATGCACATGGTCACGAACCTTGGGCTCCATATCGGTTCACGCTATTAGGGCGCATATGCGGGTCGCTGCATCTTGGTGGACTCTTTCGGTCATGCAGGATTGACGGCCGAGTTCACAGAACAACCCCCCCGCCGGCATTGGGCGGAATGTCAAAGCATTTCCCCTTCGCCGTATCACGCGCCGAGTCAATCAGATTCTTGCGGGGAAACGTGGGGACTCGAATGTGGAGAATACACGAGCAAAGTCTTGGCTTTCCGGCGTGGAAGTACCGAGCGGATAAAAATACGACGACATCAGTTTGTTGTGTGCAATTCTTCACGCGGTATTCTGCGCTAGCTAGGGGTATACTGCAACAGAACCAATGACATGTTATTTTATGAAGGTCACCCGATCTGTGGGGACTATTGGACCTGACTATAGTCGCCTTGGCGGACGAACCACTTACCCTTGTTACCCAGTTCTGAATGCTTCTAATACTACGTAAACCTTGATTTCGCGAATAAGCGATGAGTTGCACAGCCGCAAGTGGAATCTACCCCGTGTTTCGTCCTCAAATTAGAGAAATAAAGAGATCGGGTACTTAGTCGAGGACGACATTAGATTATTGGCATCTGTATGCATGCATCAAGCACATTTCAGGAGGACGCACTATTGAGGCGTTCCGAAACGCGAATGTGGACCCAGAAAACGCTGGCATAGTGTAGAAACAACCAAGTGCCATTTGCAGGTAGAAGCTACAATTGCAAACTTGTATAAGTTCTAAGAAGTATATAAAGGTAGTTGCAAAGAGAATTTGACAATTTATATGATCCTAAGCAAGATTGCATCCCAGGGCTAAGGGCTCGCACCTCCACACATAGACAACGAAATACGTCGATTCCAAGTCACTGCTTTCACTATCACTTTAGACAAAATACAATTTGACGATCGCCCATTGGACTCTTTTCTATTGTGAACATGAATACTAATCGTCTATGCAGGCACATTGTATGCAACATCGGACTTGATCCCAAAAAGACTTTTTGCCGCTGGTCGATGAAAGTGTCGATGACGGATCAAACAGCCTTAGAATTTCGGTGAGGGAAGCTAACGACTAGCTAGCCAAGATATATCGAAGTCAGTCTAGTCCAAACCCTTGAAGGTAGGGGGATAAGGCATAACTCAAGTAGTTGTGCTCCACACAGTAGAGGGAAGCATGTGGTTAACATGTATCGGAGCAGTCTTCATCTAAGAGAGTCATGACTCGAAAAACAGAAAGAGGCTTCAGATTTATGAAGCTCCCACACTGCCTCAGGGTTACGGAATACAGCAGCGATACCAGCGGTGAGCTATAGTTTATCTTTGTTTTATTTTATTTTCTTGAAAAAGCAAAACAGAAATAAAAATAGAGTCGTTGAAATGGCTGCCTACTCCAAGTGTCTTTCCAAAACATGCTATAAAGCAGGTATCGCGGTGGCCGACAGACTAGCTGAGGTTATCCTCAAGACAAACACCACTGATTTGATGGATGAGAATGACCGGAATATGGCCAAGCGATGTTCAAGCCAGGCCGTTGGTCAGATGAGGGAGAAGGACTACCTCGGAAGATAGGTACAAATTCAGAGCATGCGAAGTCGATGTGTGTAATGAATAGCTTCACCAAACTTTCAACTGGTCCTTACTCACCAAATATGTCACCTACGCCATCGTATGTGCCTCAGGAGGACATTCTGGCAACAGGCTCAAGGAAGACGACCATATCACCCAATGTTCTAGAAACGGGCCCGTCACCTGCATTGCAACCGCAACCCATTCAAAGCATGGCACTCAAACCTCAGCGCATGCCACACCTCTCGGCATAATCCGCACGTAAAAAGGCCGGATGCTTTCAGTCGTCAGGATTTGCTTTTAGAGTATCTGTCATTCCTCCGGCCGTGCAAAAAACCTAAAGCACTGATTTTCCCTGCCAAATTAAGCATACCATTTTAACTTCACGGCGTTTACAGAACATCCATGCGGCCCTACCTTGAAGAGTTATGAACTCCTCTCCCATAAAAATAACAAGTACAGTAAAGAGAATGAAGTTCAGTCATGTACAATCGTCAGCCATCGCCCAGAATCTCCAAGAAAGAGGAGGCAGTATGAGAATTCGTAAGAGCACCAACACATCCCAGAACACCAGGCGCAGCACAAAACTCCGCACAACAAGCGATGGGTGGGGAAATGATCCAGAATAAGTCACGGTGGCCAGAAGCACCGTAATTACGAGCAGCAGCAGCAGCAGTGCAGCTCGGTCAAGGCGCGGAGCCAAGGAGAGAAAAAAAGGCCGCTATCAGAGTCGGGATGAATCCCAGACCACTGGCCGTTTCAACCCATAATTTCCCCGGCCCGTAAAGTTTCCGCCAAGTCCACGATCCCCGGTTGTCGGGCCACTGAGTGTGCGAAATCTTTAGATGGAACATGTTGCAAGTTCACCAGGTCTAAGTGAAGCAAGTCCAATAGTCCGCTTCACCAGCTGATTTGATGTTGGTCAGACATCACTCGGACGGAGCTCACGTGTTTTCTAGTGAAAGTTCGGGTCTTTGCATTTCGGTCTCGGAAGTCTGAATAGTTGACAATACTGTTTTCTATTGATTGGTCTCGTACTGTCTCGAACGGCCTACGAGTACCACTCGTGCCATTGCAGTCAACCCTCCCTTCTGTCTCATCCTGTAACTGTATGGCCAGTTATGTACAAGGGATGAAATGGTATGATATGATTGCAGCGAAAAACTAGGAAATAATGATCTCGACGCTCGATATGAACAGCCCCACTATGATGCGCCCATCTTCTGGTAACTCATGTTGACCCTTCTCCACCCAGAATTACTGGTGCTCTGCCAGGCCGAGCGAGTTGTTGCCGCCGTTGAAGGCGACGAACTGGGACTTGAAGAAAATGTCACCGTAGATGCCGAGGTTGCCTTGCGAGGCCTGAACACCGCCAAAGCAGGCTGGTGAATATGCGTTAGCTTTGAATTCTGACAGATTTGATCAATGAGAGTGACTTACTGTTACCCTGGACCTTGGCGAAGTTGATGTCAGCGCCCTTGACACGAGCCATGAAGTTATCACCGACGGACATCATGAGATCTGGCAGCTGAGCATCGCAAGGAACAGTGACGCCTCCAACTTGCTGGTCATTGACGGCACCCTGGACCTGGGAGTAGTATCCGCTGACAACGGTAGGGTTGGTGATGATCAGGGTCGTGCCGGTGTCAGCGATGGCCTGGAAGCCAGCCTGACCCATTGCGGGTGCGCCAGTGCCGACTGCGAACATCTGAGATGGGAATTGCCAGAAGCCTTGGGTAGTGTTGACAGGGACCCAGGTCATGGTGCCGTTAAACTTAGTGTTGTCGATTCTGCCAAACTCGTACGCACCCACGGAGGCCTTGCGAAGGTCGGCAGTGAACACGGGCTCAGCGAGCGACGGCATGACGTTGTCGAAGAATGTCTTCTGCTGCTGCGGCTTGACAGTGTTGAGCTTGCTGAATGCCAGACCAACCAGACCGTTGTTGTTGGTGTCCTGAGTGAACGACTGCGAAACAGCGGTGGCCATCTCGATAGCCTGGTCAGTGACTGTGGCGCCACCGATGTTGACGGTATCAGTTCCAACGTTGCCAGCTGCCCCAGAGCCGTCACCGTAGCTGATAGAGAAGGACGCGCCCTGAACCATCTTCAGAGTCGTGGACTTTGTGGGGTCGTAGAGGGTGTGGCCAGTGGTGGAGGCAGCAGCGAGCTGAGTGTTGAAGACCCAGAGGTCGGACGAGCCCGAGTCAAAGTCGAGGTTCAGGGTTTGGCCACCAATGTTCACCGGGGACAGATACTCGACATCGCCCTGCTCGGGAGTGGCTGTGACGAGACCGACACCAGCAGTACCGTTGGCAGCGTTGGAGGTAGTGTTGGCAGCGTTAACGTTGACGAGCGGTGCAAGCTTGGCCGGGCCGGGACCGGACTCCTTGGCCACGGCGCTGTTGGTGAGCTTGTCCTCGATAGCAGTGGTCGTCGAACCCTGGTTGCGGATCGAGTCCATCAATGCTGGTGGGATGTTCATGCGGTATTTCCTCAGCGACTTGAGCAGTTGTCTGGGTCCATTGTGGCCCTTGAAGTTGGGGTTTGCCACCCGCTCGACCTTGAAGACTCCTCGCTTCTGGACCATCGGTGACGGCGCGGCCGCAACCAGGGCGGCGAGGAGGCCGAGGAAAAGAAAGGCTCTGATGAATGACTGCATCTTGCCGTCTTGTGGGGAGGAGAAAGAATAGAATTAAAAAATGCCACACCAGGTGGATAAGTAGAACTAAACGCAGGGGAGGAGGGAGTGAGACAGCTCAGACCCAAGTACTTCCTACTCCTGCTCGATATCTCGAACAAAGAATGTGTGACGGACTGGGCAAAGAAGGTATATGAGAAGGAGAAGGACGGAGGAAAAGAAGAAGGAATATCAGGGTAGATAAACCTGTCGAGCTCTGCTGACGAGGAGGGAAAGGAGAGGCACCGTAGTCCTGAGATGGACGAACCTTAAGAAGGGTTGAAAAGAAAGGAACTCAGACCGGCGACATGGTCAAGGATACTTTCAACCGGGCTGGTGAGTACGGGAAACGGCAGCGTGAGCATGTCAGGAACAGGCACCCTGGAAACAGGAGGTTACGTACCCGCTGGGCCTCCTTGGCACAGAGGCAAGCATCGACAAGCATCATTGGCGAAAGCTCAGCCCGTGTGCGGCAGCGTGCCAAACACGCACAGTTGCACCTCGAGGCTGATCCAAGACGGCGTCTGTGGCATGCCGGTGGAGAAGCAGTGTGGCAGACCCCAGAAGCTCTGGGGGCATCCATGTGTGTGGGGCAGGGTGGTGCGGCGATCCAGGAGCCGCATCTGCAGGGATTAACTGGAGCCTCATGCACAGTTCTGCAACCTTGGAGTCGTTCAAGTGAACGTCCTACTGCGGCTTTCCCCAATTGGGCCGTCAGTGGCTTGTCTGAGAAGAGTACCGTAGCTCGTACCGCCCCTTTGACACACGATTCAGCGGCCTAGGGCCAGCGGGAAAGACGGCAGGCTTGCACTAGAACCCACGTCTTTCTGTCCTGCCTCCTGTGTCATGTCAAATGAACTCAGGGCGAATGGACCATAACATGCTTGCTGAAGCCCGTTGAGAGCAGGCATAGCAGAGTGTTCCTCTTGCACGGTAAAGAGAGAGATTTCGTGCTAGACCCGGAGGCAGTGCGGAGAAAGGGCCTGCGAGGTGGTCTGTTGACCAGGTCTCTCTACGCGGGGACCCAGTGACATGGCCTGCCTACTTGGGTGTGGACTGATTTTGGGGGTCTTGGGGCATGATATCTGATGGGCCAGTCTGGAAACCAGCCAATATCGCCAGTGATGGGCTTGGGCTTGCTTGGCGAGAACAAGACTCTGGAGAGCCGGCTTGGGGGTGATCCCGTTTCGCGTACCAAGATCAAACGTTGACAGCGTTGGAAGATTTGTCGACATCAGAACATCTTCAGTTGACTGCGGCTAACTAGGATGCCGACACAGGACAAGCTTTCAAGCTGGATGTTGGCGGTTGGACGAAGATGTTCTCGGGAGCCTGGTAACCGGCCCCAAAGCAGTTGGCATCCCCTCAAAGACCATGCCTGTCTCCTCGGGCCTTGGGATGGATGGGACGAGCACGGCAGTGACGGGAAAAGGGCGAGATTGACAAATTGTTATACGACTCCTTGGGTATCGGAACATGAGAGACTGGATGAAGATGAGGCTGACGCAGCCGGCTGCCATCACCAAGCTGCCACTTTTAGCTGCACAGCCACCGGGACACTGCATTCCCATCGGTGGAGGGCATTAGTTTCGTTTCTCATGTTTCCTCGGATCGTTCGTAGCCAAATCTGAGTTGGCCTGGCCTGGTTCTTGGCTCTTGGCGGAATAGCGGCTCAGGACTCGTTCAGTGGTCGTTTCAGGGGGGTGGTAGCACCGTTCCCTGGTTGGGATTGCGCCGATCAGCCTAGGGCGGCGAGGCTTGTCTGCCAACGCCGCGCAGCATGGATGGTGATCACCAGTGATCTGCTGAATGATCCTCCCGGGCTCTGGGCAATGGCAAGTCGCACCCGGACGCCACGCACCGAGAGCCAGTCGCGATGCCTCTAGGGCACGTTCAGATGAAGCAGAAACGGAGCAGTGTTCCGAGAGCTGCCTTGGCCATTTCTCAGGACCCGAACACGGCCTCGCATTTGGCATTGCTCTGCCGGGTGCTGTTTCCTTGATCCAGTTGAATGAATATCGAAGGTAGCTCGGCGTACCAAGAGGCGTGTCTGGGAAGCGAGAGCAGCAGATCGTGGAGCTAGAAGGTGCGCAGCAGGCGTGTAGACTGAAGACAACAACAACAACAGAAGAAACAACAGATAGACAGCTCGCGTGGCTGGCTCTGGACAGGCTGCCAATCGTCGTGCTCCTGGTCCTGGTGCCTCGGGTGAATGAGCGTAACGACGATCTGATGGCCGACGCCGAGGCGATGCGATGCTTGAGCACGAAACATGGACTGGGGTTTAGAGCTGCATTGGTAATCGGTGCGAGCGACAAGCAGCGCTTCGTTGCGGTTGGGTGGTTTGTTCTGTGGAGGATGGTTTGGGGGTGGTTTCAGGATCTTCGGACGCAGAGGGGTTGTTTCGTCAACGCCCCACTCGGAATCCAAGCTTCGCCAAAAGCACTGGGCTTCTCGAACACGGTAGGGCATTATGCAGTAGCGCCACCCTTTTAACCAGAAGAGAAGAGAGGCAGGAGACGACACTGCCTCTGGCATAGAGAGATAGATGTTTATTGGGAGGGCATCTCAATAACGGCTCGCATCGAACAAAATGACAACGGTGAAGCAGACCAGTCACTTAGGCCACGAAGAAAGACACCGACACAGATGCAGCAGCCAAGCAGGACGAGTCTGGGCAAGAGCTTCTTTTCCTGTCATTGATCTTGGGACTTGGCAACTAAGATTTACGTGCCGCCTGCCTAGATTCGTGGAGATCGTTGTTTCCCCAGGAGGGATGTGTGGGTGTTTGGATCACCATCGCATCACGCACTGCCCAGCCTGCCAGCCAACTAAGTGCCAGGTGTAGTAGGCGCAGGAGAGGGAAGGAGGCTGCGAGTCATGGAGATCGGTTCAGTGCCAAGGCGCTACGGCGGCCAAAAAGGCAGGCAGGCATGTGCGGATCGAGCCGCCAGCAAAGGAAGGCAGCCCAGACAGGTTGTCCAGGCACAGGCCAGGTACCTGGGCTTACGATACAGGGGCAGCATTTAACCTTAGTGAAGAGAGCTCATTTGACACTCGTCAGATAGATTGAGGCCCCATCAATCTCGTACTGTACCTGGATTACGCCTGGGGTTCGATGAGACTGGCCCGACAGTCCTGACAGGCAGTAACCGTGTGGCCGGAGATTGGCAGTGCAAGTCACCCCATGCTGGAGCCGATCTTCTACTGAATCTATGTGCATGTTGCTTCATATTCTCCGGCGGGGGCGTAACTTGCTCGAATGACCTCACCTCCGCCGATTTCAGAAGCTTGAAAAGCTTGGTACTCTGACAGTGGGTCTCTCCCCTCGTCTTGGGGCTCTTGACACGCTCCGCCCCGCCCAATCCCAGACGTGCAACCCTTGCTGCAGACAATGGATGATACAGTTTGTGGGCCAGACAGATGAAGACATCAGCCTCATCAGCTGGCCTCGTTCGTATCCCTCGTCAATTTGCCATGTCCAACCAAAAATACCATCTGGTTGCCAGGTTGAAGCCGGGAAAAGGGGCGACATCTTGGGACCATCATCACTGTTCCCTGCCACCACAGTAAATACAGCCTTCCTGGGCCAGTTGGCGTGGAATCCCGGGCAGTAAGCAGATTATTTACTCAATTGAATCAACAACAAAAACCTGTGAAGTCTTCCTGCCCAATTGTTGTCGCCGCCTATTTCCCATCCGCCACAACAACAAAGGCCTTCAAGGCAGGCCAACCTCACAAACAAGGGGGTTAGGTGCAAGCGCCTGCATGCGCGCTCTCCAATGGGGGGTGGCCGCGCAAGCTGAGACGACAAGGGCCTACTTTTGACACTCGCTACCGCCATCACGCTCGACAGACTCAATGATCCACCAATATGCGAAAAGACCGGCAGCCCCTCCACATCATCCTTTTTTTCTCCGTAGCAGCAAGAGTGGAAGTGGACTTGATCTCGCTGAATGGAGATAGTGAAAGCTTCATTTCTGGGTCGTCAAGAAGAAGTGGGCATCTTCAATGCTGCATTGTGCCGTACCTGGCTTGCTTGCCTACGTGCATGTCGAACTTGTACGCGTACTGTATAGAGAGCCCACATTTGCAGTCTTTCGTCTCAATTCTCGTGGCCCCGTGGCCCCATGGCCCCGTCTAGCCGAGCCAAAGCTTCTTTGACGAACCTGTGTTTGCCTTGGCATCCAAAGGGAAGGTCTGCTTCCTGACTGGGTGTGGGCTGGACGAGTAGCAAACCTTGAGATGAAAGGCAAGCAAAATGACATCGTCCATTTTCCACCGCCCCCTACAGACCGAGGCAAAGGGAAGCTGGCCTGTGGACCGTCAATTGAGATTGCTGTTGGCTGGCTTGTCCTGGCTGGCTGTCTTTATGACGGTGTCAAAGATGGAGAGGAGCACAGAGAGATTACTGCTTTGCATCCATAGTGAAAGGCGTCATTGCAGTTTTAAGAGTTCGCGATCACTCGTAACCATAAAGCAGAATAGACACGCAGATGAAGTATCACCATCGAACATCATCTCACAGAGTTTCTACTACGTATGTAAGTCAGCAGTCATCCTGGGGTGCACAGCACAAAGCTGCCAGGCACGGTTAGACACGGTACGGTACGGTATTTAGACTGACGGATCACGTGACAGCTGATCTCTGGTATTCCGTTTCAAGCCGGCCAGCTCCACCTTGCCGTATCATTGGATTCGGGCTCCGTCAGGCCAATCTCCCGCCATTTCCCCAGCCCAGTTCCGCCCTCGCCACCCAACGGTCACCCCCATCACCCACCCACCACTCGACCCGACAACCCCAGCTGCCGACGTCTTCTCACGGAGCGACTGCCGGTGCCACAAAACGGTACACCCCTCCGACCCATCGTGAGCCGGTATCAAGTCACGTATTCGTCGTTATCCTTCCGGATAAGGGTCTTTGTTTTTTTCCCCCTGCCCCTGCTCTTGGTCTTCTTGATCATTTGCCCCCATCGTCTCCGCGGTGGTCTGGCACGGCCGCCTCCCTTGCGGTCGCCTCAAGGATAGCCAGCCTGCCTCGGCGATTCAACACGCGGCGGCCCCAGTCGGCGCAAACAGCTTCCTTGCCCGACCCGTCCAGCTAGCCCGGCTCTCGATCACCGACCGCTTGTCAGTATCGGCAACGGCAACGACAACGGCAACAACGGCACCACCAGCCTCTCACTAATCTAGCTGTATCGAGAAGCTCGATCCCTAGCCGCATTGGCTGATCCCGGTCGTCCCTCGTACGCGGTACCGGTCCAGCACTCCATCCACTGCCCTCGACGACGACAATGTCTGACGGCGAGGACTACGGCTCTCCTGAAGCCATCCAGCCAACTGGCACCGGCACAGGACGCCAGCACACGCCTTCCCACCGGAAGGGTCCACGCTTCAGCTGGACACCGGCTTATGAGGCCACCTTTTTCCGTTCGCTGTGCGAGAGCGTCAAGCTGGGCCTCAAGGACAACCACAGCTTCAAGCAGGAGGCCTGGGACCGCGCCGTGCAAGCCCTGGCCGAGCGGCATGGCGCCTACCCCAACAAGGGGCATCTCATCAACAAGAGCGACAATGCGCGCAAGAAGTTCCGGCTGTGGAGGGGCCTGAGAGAGGACCCAGAGTTTCTCTACAACCCCAATGCGAGGACAGTGACTGCCAGCGAGGAGGCTTGGAGGGCGCACATCGAGGTGAGTCGATACTCCTTTTACCCCTATCTGCATGTGATAATGCATGATGTGGACTCGGCAAGGATCCAAACGAGATTGAGCCAGAGGGGGACTCCATATGTTCGCTGCATCTACCCGTCATCCAACCCGTCATCCTGATCGGGGTTGGAGATGGGCATGCTTGGGGTTACTGATGGCAGAGGGAATCACTTCTAGTACATTGCGAGACAGGCACTGACGCTATCTGCACAAACACAGAGAGAGCCCCTTTCCAAGTCACTGCGCAACCGTCCGTTCGAGCATGAGGAGTTCATGGAGATTCTCTTCCCAGACGTTGTCGGGTCCGGAGGAGCACCAAAACGAATCACGAAGCCGCGGCGCAAGGGAACAGGCGAGATGATCGAGGGAGACGAGCTCGACGACACACCTGGAACCAATGTCCTGAACCTCCTGGGCGCAGACACCTCTTTTCTCCAATCCACGCCGATCCAGACCCCGATCCAGCCGCCTACCGTGCCATCCAACGGCACCATTCGACCCACCTCCACCACCCTGCCTGCGCGCACCTCGATCGCCTCCTCGAGTGCGCTGACTCCGCCAGATGAGGTACCTGTCGAGCCTACCCACACTGGAAATACGCGCAAGCGTTATCTTGGATCCAACAATGGCGCCGGTCCGTCCAATGCTAGCGAGAAGCGCCGCCGTACCGGTAATAACAATTACATCGATCTCACTCACTCAGCACAACTGTCCAACTCGGAAAACCCGTTCCAACTCGGTAGCAATGGTGCTGCCCCGCAGACCAATGGCAATAGCGGCAACCCACAGCTCACGCAGAACAACCCACATAACGCGACCACCGCAACCGTCACCGCCACCACAACGAACGGGGTCAGTGGCAGTGGCGGCGGCAGCAGCGGCAGTAGCCAGGGCGCCACAAATCGTACGCAGCATTTCCAGGACGCAATGATCGTCATTGCCGAACAGATCCGCACCCAACGGCTCGTGCCGGCCCAGCCCGCCACTCCTAATTGGCCTCAGCAGGCAATGGAGGTATTTTTCCGGGACTTTGGCGACGAGGAGATGGACTTGCAGATCAAGATCGGGGAGAAAGTGTTGTGCGACAACAACAAGGCCATGATGTTCTGCATGATGCCCGAGGACCTGCGCAGACACTGGGTCAAGCGCCTGCGGGAGCTGCACAACCTCAACGGAGGCTCTTCGAGGGGTGACATCAACATGCCCGGCCCTGGGCCCGTGCCTAATGGGGGCGGAGCAGGCGGCATGATGGCTGTTGTAGGCGGCCCGGGGATGCAAATGGGCTCCATGGGTAACCCGAACCCGATGATGCGCAACGGTAGTCAGATCGGCTGAGCAACGTTGTCAACAACCACAAAAGTCGTTGCGTATCTTGTGCTCTGGAAATTGTTTCTTTTGGAGTTGAGCTGGCTGATTTGGGTTTTCCAGGGAGGTTGGTTTCTGTGAAACGGAGAAAACGGCACGGGAGGTTGGGCGGTCGGCGTTTCTCATTTCCATGTGGCCCGCCATGTTCTTTTTTTTTTTGCATTGAGCTGCTCTCGAACAAGTCCACAGGGAGGACTTGAGAGTGTTTTTTGATAGGCATGCTGTGGAGCACACAGATGTTTCGCTTATTCTACGGCTGATGATCAAAGTACACAAAACCACCACTATTCAAGGCTGACTGACAGTTATGTTCGGGTGCATATCTAAAGCTATGGTGGCGTAGCTGAATTACAGAAAGTAGTCGACCTATGAAATATACACTTAATGATCACACTTGCTGCCCTCATGATGGGCAAAATGTTTTTTTAGTAGTCCAAATCAAATCAATGGCTAGCAATGTCGATTCTCGTTAGCGTGTGCTACGGGCACGGTTACTAAACAACATGGTCACAATAGGCATATATAAGAACCCTCGTATAAGGAAAAAAGTGGTGATTCGTCACTATGGCTCAGTGCTGCTGGTATCGTGTGGAGTGTCAATGGAAAACGGCTTCTCCCTCAACTGTGACGAAAATGGGCAATGCAGCACATCCTGACTCAAGTAAGAAATACAACTCGAAAACCCCCTTATCAACTCCAAAGAACAGAACCTCTCGTTACCCATCTCCCTCAACATCACGTGTTGCCCACTAGTATTCAACCCCGTGGGCAAGTAAGGAAACCAGTGTGGGCGAACAACCTCCCTACGAGCTCTTCGATCCGCGGGCCTTGGTGAAGTATCTGGCGAGAGAGAAGATAAGTCAGCATCATCGCAGTCAAGACTGACAACAAATAAAGAAATTGGGAGGTGGAGAAGGAAACATACCGGCCAAACACACCCTCAACAGCACCAACAACAGCAACAATACCCGCCCCAAGACCAGCAGTCTTCCAGGTGAACTGGCCGCGCTCATGCAGTCCCCAGGCCTTGTAGCCGAGCACAGCGCCCAGGCCAACGACAGCGGCGAGGTTGGCAGCAACGAGGCCCTTGCTCTGGCCGTCGGAGAGGGCGGCGAGGCGCGACAGCAGCCAGTTGTCGGCGCGCGCGGCGCGCTTCTTGGCGGCCTCCTTCTTCTGGCGGGCTTTCTCGCGGGCCGTCTGCTCGTCGCGCTCGCGCTCCAGCCGCGCCGCCTGCGTGTCCGTCTGCACCTCCTGCTCCAGGAAGTCGCTCGGCACCGTGCGCACCGACTGCGAGTCCACGTCCACCAGGCTGCTTGTCGAGGTCGTCACCGACTCGTTGGGGATGATCTGGGGGGGCTGGGGGGCGGCGGCCTGTTGGTGAGGAGAGGGTTGTTAGTTTGTGTTATTTGTAGTGATAAGTGTGGTAGATCTGCTGAGGCAGGTCTGTGGTAGGACTGTGAGGATGTGGCAGCTGCTGTGGCTTTTTTGGTGCTTGGCTATGGTTTCGTGGTGTCTTGGCTGCGATGCTTTGGTGGTGAGGGGAGGGGAGGGGGGTACACAGTAGAATAACATACATCCTCAGGGGACTGCTTGGGGCCAGAAGCGGCGACATCAGCATAGGAAGACACTGTTTCATCATGTTAGCAGTCTAGCCTTCGAGTAGCAGAGGCAGGTGTAGCCAGGAAGGGATTGTGACCGTACTCTTGACTTCTTGTTATGACAACGATCTGAATTATGAGGTGATGTTTCGAGTCAAGGTGATCTTCAGGAACAGCACGAATGGCTGAAGCTGTCAAATGGCGTATTGTTGTTGTTGGTGTTGTTGGTGTTGTTGATTGTGAGTGGATGAATGGGGAGGACAAAGTCAGATGATGTTTGTTTCTGCTGCTGGACGAGAAGAGAGGTCTGGGACATGTGATGCGAGGGAGAAACCGGGTTGGTGATGTCTAGTGACGATAGAGCTTGGGGGTGACCCCCCTGTCGCATATGACGTATGCGGCTAGAGCTGTGCAAAATCCTCGACTTGTCGAATCGACTTGACTCAACTCTAGCAAGCTCCAGCTCAGTAGCCTCTGGAGACGTCTGGATCGAATAGGCGGCCCACAGATCCACACTGCTGCAGGGTCATTCCTGGTATCTTTTTATCCTCCATACTTCGTTGGTCGACATCCCGTTTGAGCTCATTGAATCGACCTCCTCTGAGCTCACAACTTGGAATATACTCAATATTTGCAGATCATGCAAAGGTCTACATACCATAGGCCTTGCAATACTCCTTCGCCATGTTACCATAATATGGAACATGTCAGCAGCATCGGATAAACCACCTTATGTCACTTGACTCCTCCTGGCCGTCTTAAGACACCCTTCCTACGCTAGGTACAACAAAAGGGTAGATGTACTCAATCTGAGATATGATACCTACCGGTTGCATTCGAAAAGATGGCTCGAGCAGGGCGTGCCGTCACCGCTGAGGCTTCGTGGCCGAGAGGACTATAGCGAGACTACACTGATCAAAGATGTGATTGGGGAGCTATGTCTGCCAAATGCCGACAAGTGGTACTAGGGCATCGTCAAGCCTGCTGACCTCGGGGCCATCATTGCGTTGCTCTTGGCCCAATGTACCCACCTGGAAAACCTCAGCGTGGATCCTGATTTCATTGTACCATGTTGCCCGTGACTAGAGGATAATTATAACCCTTGGGCTCGACCGTACAACCCGTGGTTCACAGCCATTATCAGTCACGCCTGCGCCAGAGGGAGCAACCCGACTATCAAGATCCCACAACCTGACCCACTTCACCGTGTCAAACCCAGAGAAGAAATTGATAGCTGCCCCCCCCCCCCTTCTGCCGCGACGCAATATTGATAGAGCTTCCAGTGCTGCTAAGAGATGTGTTCCTTTTCTCCTTCTACCTGCCCAAAGTCACCACCCTCTGTCTACGATCCGGGGAGAGCTGAGAGAGCTGGTCGAGAGCCAGGGAATCAGATATGTTATTCTCTGGGATGTATAGGACGGTAGACTGGTTGGACACAAGCCCTGGCTTTCGCTACGCCCTACTCCAGATTGCGGACTAGAGTTACACAGAGGCTCACTTGGTGAGCCGGTCTTCTTGCTTGCTGATCTACCGTCATTTCTCGGTCAAGCGTCCGATACATGCAAAAAGCCTACCTCATAGAATATCAACTGTTGGACAAATTTATGTTGTCAAACTTCATGTTGAAATCATTATACAGCTTTCATTTCGTGGTAAGGAAGACATCAAGAAGCTTATAATCTCACTCAGGTAACGCGCACGCACATGTGCTTCGCCAGAGTATTATAGGAGCAAAGTGTAATACAAATGCTCCGTGGTGGAGTAAATTGTCTTGTTGCCCGGCCGCAGCAGACATCCTTCAGCAAACCATAACGTACTGATAAGAAATGATGTAGATGAGGAAAATCCTGACAGATGCACACAGAAGCGTATGCGTTCTACTCAAGGCCATGAGGCGTTAGATCTAGCTTTAGAAGTTGCTGCGCACAAGGGGCGCACGAGGAACCCCCCCCCCTCTACTACTGTTTTCTTTTTTCTTCTTCTTCCTTTTTTTTTTTTTTTTTTTTTTTTTTTTTTTTTTTTTTTTTTTTGTTTGTTTTTTTTTTTTTTTTTTTTTTTTTTTTTTTTTTTTTTTTCCCCCCCCCCCCCCCCCCACACCTCCTTCAAAAAATTTTTTTTTA